GAATTGCATTGTTCAATGCAACTTGGAGCTGCATAACTAGAGTGCCGTCTATCGGTTCAGCTGGAGGTAACATCATATCTCCAGTTGTAAAATAAACGTCAAGGCCAGCACCCTGAGTGGCAACAAGCATACCAGTGTAACTGTTCCATTTAGGATAGTTCATAGACGAAGAAAGCTTCAAGCTCTCATCTCTAGGGCAAGTGAGAGCGAATTGGCTCATAACCTGTTGTAATCTAGCTATTCTATTATGAATATCCATTGTATATGTTCACTTTTTCTTATGTTTGTTGCTTATTTATATTTAACTAATATAACTAGCCTACAAACTAATATTCTCAAACATAAATACAAGGGACAAACCTCTTGTATTTATACACTTACACCTTCGGTTAAACTTGCCATTATTCATTTATCATGGCGGCTAACTTTCCAGTTTTAGATTACTTAAGATGCCTTATCATGATAAGACTCTTATCTCTTATCACTCAATCCTTATTGGCCTCGGCATCTTATCTCAACCCTAAGATACCTTATCATGATAAGATTCTTATCTCTTATCCCTCGATCATGATTGGCTTTGGCATCTTATCTCAACATTTACTCCCTTTCTCAATATCAATGGATCACATATAATTATGGCTCTGTTTAAACCTATGTTCAATCAATCCTAATATTAGCTGGCTGATAATTGTATTTTCTAAAATGGTGAAAGATTCTTAGGAAAGTGAAAATTCAGAGAAATTTAGGGTTACATAAGCAAATAAATCACGTGATTGATATTAGAGCGAATACACAAAGCGTTTTCTGAACCAAAAATGTGTCCTTCGGGACATATGGTCAATCGAAAAAATACAGAGAAGATTAGCATGGCCCCTGCATAAGGATGACACGCTTTACAAAGAGATCTTACTCATACTTTTTTTTAAAAATCACGTAGCAATTCTAGGGTTTAGTGAGTTATGAGTTAAAGCTTTAAAACCACATGAAATGTACTTTGGGAAGTAGGTCAACTTTCAACAACGGGTTAACTCCGAAAAGAAAGGTTCCGGGTTCGACTCTCACGTGTGCATTGCTTTGCGCCGTTTTAAAATCTAACGTATTTCATAATTATAACAAATACATAAATAAAGAAGCAACGTATCTTTTTATAAACAAGGTAAAGAACATAAAAACAAGAGATAGTTAGGCTGGCCATTTACTCAGTTTCCAGAATAGAACCGTTCGATTCACTCAAAAGAGAGGTGATGTTTGCAGGTGGGTAAATAGCAGTTAACAGCATGATTAACTCGTAGATTTCTGCTGGTACAGATTTTTGGTAAATTTCCAAAATAGCGGTTGGTTCAGGATAAACAGATAATGCTCTGTAGAAGTGAATTGCGGCATCAATTTCTCTATCAGGAAGGGAAGCCAACTTTTCAGCTGCAGTAACTTCTTCTATGAATGATTGTTCTTTGTTTTCTGTGGTCAAAGGGTGAGCAATCAAAGATTCGGTTAATTTCTTTTTGAGCAAGATGGTTTTTTCTACTTTAGATGCTTCATTTTGTAATCTTGCAGCCTTTTCTGCTTGTCTTTTCTTGTGGTAGATTGACTTTCTGAATTCAACATTATGTCTTCTTTGATAATCGAAATAGAGACAGTAACCGAGGGCACCTGCAGCGAGGGAGAGGAAAGTAACGGATGCTGGATTTGCCATTTTTTGTGTGATTCTTGATGTAAGGTAAAGTGGTAGAGACACAAAGACACTGCTCGGTAACTTGTCGCCTGTAACTCTTCCAGTGTATATCTTTTTATGACATAGTCTTAGAAAAAGTGGAAAATTGGGCGAAGACTGGATTCCGTAGCGAAAAGCCAAGGAAGGAGTAAACCGTGAAAGACTTTTTGGTGCACGGAGTGATGATAGCGGAGGAAATAGTAAGGGGCATAAGGCGACGCGTCGATTTTGAGAAAGCTTCAATTTTTTTCGTTTCCCATACAAACCTTTATCATGATTTTTTCCATAAAAAAAATCATTTCCAGCAAGAACAGGTAAACTTTACCATCAAGAATAGTATTTCATAAACAAATAGGAGAACAGCAATGGCATTGAAGAAAAGAACGACACTCAGATCGAAATCTGTGAGAAGAGCGGGGAACGGCTCTAGTACGGTAGCTAGCACAGGTTCTGAAAGCCAGAAAAAGGATAAAATACTTGATAAGCTTGCTGAGAAGTCGGTAAAGGCGAAGAATGAGACTATTTCACATTCTTTGAAGAGTAACAGTGTGATGCCGAAAATGAACGATCCGAGCCAAGCAGGGATATCGAAGAGTGCAATCAGAAGAAGGAAGAGAAAACTGAGAGACCAGTTGACACCTAAATTGACTGAAGATTTGTTGGATGCGTTGACGGAGAGCACGAACGCAACAATCAGCAAAAAGAACGACGGAACGGAAGAGATTATTATTGAGGAGAGGGTTAAGCTTGATCATTCCCCAAACCCTTTGAATAAGAGAGGAGAGATGGCACTTTTCAAGATCGAGAACGAGAACTTCAAGCAGGTGCTTAAGAACAAGGAGTTGAGAACCGGAGGGTTAGCTGCGTTGAGAAACTCGATTTTGTCAAACATTACAGACGAGTGATGAGAACGAAGCCTGGGAGGACTCCAAGTAGTGAACTAGTTAGAGTGTAATATAACGATTTAACGATGTATATAAAATCACATTATAGATATATGGGGAAGAGTCATATACAGATAACATTAGACCGATAAATAAATAAGTAGATGAATAAATAGGAGAATGGAGAGAGGAGGGTAAAGGTGGGGGGAGGGAAAAACAAGAGAGAAATAAAAGGATGATGATGGATCGAGATTTGCATTCCTGTATCTTTAGAATATATTTTTTTTAATTTTTTTCTTGGTTTTTTTTTTGATTTTTGTGTACGGAGTTTGTATTGGTCTTGCATGCTTGTCCTCATTAGGGAAAAATGGGAAAATATGGACAGTGGAACAGAAAAAAACACAGAAATGAATAATAGTAAGTTATAATTACAACGGAGGGAGGAAGGGGGATAATGAAATGTAATTATCGGGTGGAATATGGCTGGGTGAAAAAGCTTGCTTTTCTCTTTCATTTTGATTCCTTTATTTTCTTTGCTTTCTTTATATTTCGTCTGATAAATAACGGGACATGTCAAATCAGTACGATCTGTACCACATTCTACCGGTTGTATCGCTCATCATCTTCTTTTGCAATTGGAGGATTCCGTAAAGCAAGGCTTCACAGGAAGGAGGACAACCAGGGACGTAGATGTCGACAGGAATGATTCTGTCGACACCTCTCACGACGGCGTAGGAGTAGTGGTAGTAACCACCACCGTTGGCGCAGGAGCCCATGGAGATGACCCATCTTGGGTAGGCCATCTGGTCGTACACCATTCTCAAGGCAGGGGCCATTTTGTTGGTGACGGTACCGGCGACGATGATGATATCGGACTGTCTTGGGGAGGCTCTGAAAATGATACCCAATCTATCCTGGTCGTATCTTGGGGCGGAGGCGTGCATCATCTCCACGGCACAGCAGGCCAACCCGAAGGTGGCTGGCCAGAAGGAGGACTTTCTGGCCCAGTCCTTTGCCTTGTCGAGGGATGTGATGGCATAGTCCATGACGTTGGACAAGGGTCTTTCAGACAGGACGGGAGTGTCTGTAGGCAACGTGTGCGGGGTGAGGCTTCCATTGCGTATTGGAGTTATGGAGAACGCTCTGGATGTGTTGTGTAGGAGGGCGGAGGATCTGAAGGACGATCTCAAGAGAGAGGATGAGTATTGCTGTAACATTGTGGGTGTTTGTGCTTGAGTTTGTGCTTGTGTGTGTGCGTGTGTGTGTGTGTGTGTGTGCGTGTGTGTGTGAATGTGTGTGTGTGCGTGTGTTGATTGATGTACAAATCTGTGTCTGTGCTTCGCTTGATGTTTCCTAGTCTATCGGTGCAACAGCGGCGGGATCACGGAGAGCGGGTGGACCACGGAAGAGCTGGATGAAACGCCTGGTGTCTGCGCAAGTCTGATGCCGGCGATACCAAGGCCTGAGCGTGCACTTGGAAGAAACAGTGGGAAAAAAGACGGTGCTGTGCAACAGCGTGCAGCTACGAGGGCCAGCGTCTGTGCCGTATTAAAAATTGGAGCGATTCAGTTGGCTGAGCGGGTTTGAGGGGAAGCAGGGGCGACGACGAGGCCAGCGGAGCGGCAAGCGACCGGGGGTGTGTGTTCGTCGATTTTGAGCCGATCGACCTTCCCACCGCATCCGTGCACCGCCCGGCGCTTGGGCGGCACGTGCGGAGACCCGGAGGCCCGGAGCGCGCATTACGTAATGGCGGCGCGACGATCCCGGCCGTTGTGCTGTCTGCACAACAACGCAGGCGCGCCCTGGGTTGTTGTTGTTGTCGTGGCGGGCCGCGCCAGCCACCGTGCCGGCGACGTAAACAAAGACCCGCATGGCGTCCGCACGGCGCACAAGGCAAAGAAAGCTACGCAGCGCTGCAGGGAAAGCCGGAGCATACAACAAACAGACCCTGCACCCACAACAATGCTGGCTGCGTCAGGCCCTTGTCCGGCTGGTCGACCCTTGTCCCCCCTTCACTGGTCCGGCAGCACTAGCCAGCATTGTTGCGGCCCCCCCCTCCTCGGTCCTTGCTGCAGCGAACGCCGGCGTGCGCCGCGTTGCTATTTTAGGCTGCTCAGGCCGCCCAAAATAGCCAAACATAGCGGCGTCCCTGTTTCTTCGCTGCCGCAGCGTTAATAATAGTACCCACGTACGTACCCACGGGGCGGCTGGGGCCCTGAAGGGGGAGCCTCAAGCCGATGGCTGGCGGCCGATAGCGGTGCGCACATATAAATACACAAGCTCCTCCGGCCCCCTTACGTGTCTGTGTTTCAGCAGTCTGGCCTGCTGCTGCCTGTGCTGTTTCTTCCGTCGTTTCTGTTCTGGTCTTGGTCTGGTTCTTGCTCAGCACCCTTCTCTGCACACAGCTACCTGTCTCCGAGGAAAGAAGTCTCTCGTTTACACGCCTTCCCTCCACCGCACACAACCAGCCTGGCTTTTGTCCGTCTGCACTCGTTTCGTTGCACTCGCTTTACCTTCTCTCGTTACCTGACCCCGTCGACACTCCCACGGACAAGTCAGCCCCGCTGCTCTATTTGCTTTCTTCTGCCGTTGAACTTTTCCCCACACCCCAGCCCCCCACTTTGCCTCTGCTACAATGAAGTTATCGTCTCTGATAACGCTGGCCGCCGGTTTCGTTTCTGTCGCAGCCGCACTCCCAGTCAAGCTCCAAAAGAGAAACTCCAGATGGGACTATGAGTCGAACGCACTCTACGGTGTCAACATCGGCGGGTGGTTGGTTCTCGAGCCGTACATCACCCCCTCGCTCTTCGAGGCGTTTGGCGGCGACGACTCCACCAAGCCCGTCGACGAGTACCACTTCTGCAAGGCGTACGGCCCGGACCAGGCATCCCAGGTCTTGCAGAACCACTGGTCCACCTTCATCACCGAGCAGGACTTCGAGGAGATGGCCTGCTACGGCTTGAACTTTGTCAGAATCCCCATCGGCTACTGGGCCTTCCAGACCCTCGAGGGTGATCCATACGTCCAGGGCCAGGTCGACTACCTCGACCAGGCGCTAGGCTGGTGCCAGAAGCACAACTTGAAGGCCTGGATCGACTTGCACGGTGTCCCAGGCTCCCAGAACGGTTTCGACAATTCTGGCCTCAGAGATGAAATCGACTGGCAGACTACCGAGGGCTACGTCCAGGTGACCACGTCCGTATTGAGTCAAATTGCCCAGAAGTACTCCGGCGCCGACTACAACGACGTCGTTATTGGTATCGAGCTCGTGAACGAGCCTTTGGGACCGGCCCTCAATGTCGATGAGTTGGTTGACTACTATAACGATGGATACCAGATTGTCAGAAACGAAGGTGACGTTCCAGTCATCATCCACGATGCCTTCATCCAGTTCAACCACTACTGGGATAACGTCCTTAACACCCAGATTGACCCATCTGTTTGGGACGTTATTCTTGACCACCACCACTACCAAATCTTCTCCGTTGGCGAGTTGCAAAGAAGTACCGACGACCACGTCTCCTTTGCATGTAACATCGGCTGGCAGGAATCCGGCGAGTATCATTCTACTCTCTGTGGCGAATGGACCGCCGCTCTCACAGATTGCGCCAAGTGGCTCAATGGTATGGCAAGAGGCGCTAGATATGACGCAACTTATGATAACAGCCAAGCCGTCGGTAGCTGTGAAAATCTCTATGTTGCCAACTATGATTACTTCACCAACGAGGAAGTCAGATCCAAATACAGAAAATACGTCGAGGCACAAATGGACGCATACACTTTTGGAAAGATGAACGGTTGGGTCTTCTGGTGCTGGAAAACAGAAAACTTGATCGAGTGGGACTTCAAGCAGTTGGTCTCCTTGAACATTATCCCACAACCACTAACGGCAAGAGAGTATTGGGACCAATGTGGCTACATTAAATATTGATCCAAACTTCTCTTTGTTTCTTTTTCTTTTCTATCTTCCCCGTTGCAACCCTCTGCACTTATATACCTTCAAGGGTTCACTTTTAACGTCTTTTTCTACGGTTTTCACCTTTTTTTCTTTGTCACAATTATCCAACCACCAATTCCTGTTTTCTTTACGTAGATACGAGTGACTGACTTTGCCCGCTCCAAAATTTGTATAATACATAAATAATTAATTATTAGAATAACAATAAATTTACTGTCAATACATCATTGTATTAATACTTGTCCCGCGCATTGCGTGTCCTGCGGCCCGCAGGTTATTATATATATAGACCATCATAATCTTCATCTTTCAGCTTTTTTTTTAAAGATCGGAATCTCTCACACTGCAGCTAAAGATCTTTCACTCTGGTAGTGGCAAATGAAAACGCCTTTTGATTTAACTTTTACACAATTCACACACTGTACACCAAATATCACCACAGGAAATAAAAACTCTAGAGTTTTGAAGGAAAACAGGCAAATTTGTCCTCATCAACCCGCATACGCTTGATATACTGGCTTACAGATAACAGCAAAGATGTCTGAAAAGAAAAGAGATACTGAGTTAGAATGCCCGATTTGTCTTGACAAATTAACAGTATCTGACCTTTCATACTCGACGACAACGCCATGCCACCACTTTTACCATACGGATTGCATTCTACTATGGACAAAAATATCCGCTTCCACCTGCCCACAGTGTCGGACAGAGTTGTCTTCAGTAAATGTTGTCAATGAGTCGAAAATAATACCGATAGAAAGAAAGAAGGCTGACAGACTTATAGGAATGATTGAACAGCCTTCTTCCTCCACAGATCCATCTTCGAATAATCCAAACACCTCCTCAGCTGCCTCTGCAGCAGCATCCTCATATGGGAGCAGTCGCCCGAGGATCATGACCACAGAAGGTTTGGTCAACGTTCTTGTCTCCACACCTGAAAATGCTACTCGACGTCAAAATCGGTCTCTCTACGAACGCATGATCGAAGCAACGTCAAATCCCATTTTCCATTTGGATGATAATGATATTGATTTTGACGATTATAATGAAGATGAATTGTACGAGAGGACTTCTTCAAACTCCCGTCGTTCTGGATCTTTGTTCAGGCGAAGGGAGAGAAGCATATACACGATGAATGAACCAGATACAGGTCATAATAAACTGTCTAACCAACAATGCTGTATATGTGATACGTCTGTTTCGATTTCACAAATAATCGTTTGCCCTCAGTGTTCCGCATTGTATCACCTTTCTTGCTGTGATGGCTCGAACTGTCCATTATGCGAAGAATGGATAGGCGATGTTCAAGCCCCATCGATACCTTGTGCATCAAAGAGGAGCAGGATTATATCAAGGGGAGCTGATCGCTCACTACGCTCAAGAGATCCTAATAGAGCTAAAAATGATGATACCAGTTATTACGTTGAACTGGTAAACGAATTACAAAGGCGATCCGGTAACAATACATTTTCTGGGACAACACAAAATACCTTGCCAATGTCAGCTGCTCATTCAGAACCAGAGAAAAAGACAGAATCTTCGACAGAAAAGGAAGCATGGGAGGCATTGAATCTGATACAACAATCTTCCACTAAAGAGGACGCATCAAATGATAAGGAAATTCAAATTCCACTTCCCACTGATCCTGTACCCGACTACCCAGCAGAACGTAAGCTTAAGCGACCTAAACGTTCCATCTCCAAAACACTACATACCCAACCAGCAAAGCTTACAGAATCGGCTCTTGCCCATCTTGACTCTAAAAACGATAAACGTCCCAGCAGAAAATCACATTGTTCTTTAAGTAGGCAAAAATCGATTGTATCTTCTACGCAAGAGGGACTTTCATTCACTCAAAAATTGATTGTTCAACGACTTTTGTTGAAGCCCAGGTTGAAAAAGGATCTAGCAAATAAGCTCACTTTCGATTCTTACACAGAATTGAATAAACACCTATCCCACGAACTCTATTCCTATGTACAACATAATCAACTAGCAATCTCAAGCATGAATGCAGTGATAGAGCTCGCCGAACGTGAAGGTTTTTTACCTTTCGTTAATAGAAAAGGTGTTGATCAATTCAGTAATTCTTGTAAGAATAATCCAATAATAACACGTTTCGTCAATTGTGAGTGGCGAAATAACGATGAATCATTCACGGGACAGGTTCAAAACATAATCAATTTGGAAGTACAAAAATGGATTAATTTATAAAAGTAAATGTATATAATACAAAAAATGACAAAGAATGACAAAGGTAACTATCGAATTGGATTGATTTTACAAATAAACCGAATAAAGCTCATAAACCCCATTTCCAACTAAACCCTGTGAACCTTCAAGATACTTGTTGGTTTTTCGGTCTATAATTTTTATATCTGGTGAAAAAATAACAATTTTGGAGTCTTTAATGAAGGCAGCACAATGAGCATATACCAAATTCATATTTTTCAAATTAAACTTTTCCCTGATAGAGGTATCATCAACCATACCTCCACAAACCACTTTAGCATTTTTGTTTGGAGTCCAAGGTCCAAAAAATTCTGCATCCTGACCGATAGCCGTCTTAATCAGTCTCCACTCAAGTGATTCAAGTTGAAAAGTGTAATTTGAGTAGTAATTGTAGCATTCCTGACTAGAACCATCTTTGCTCAGGCCTTTTGGGATACTTGAATCGTTCAGGAAGGTGTATGCATCACGTGCTGCTCCTCTCGCCGAATGGAATCTATGGACAATATCTTTACCTTTCTCCCAGTCCATTATCTGAACTTTTGTATCATCATCTCCGACATCATACATTCCTGCTTGAATTGGCAAAAACGTAGTTTCAGGATAGTGCCCTTCTTCAATTCCTCCTAGAAGTTTCAAAGATGAGCCAGACATTAACATTGTATGTGCGCAGATGAAGAGCCTATTTTCCAACTTGGAAAAATCATCAAAGTTATACCATTTCTCGGTCTGAAAATCGAAGATCCATATATCACTGAGCATGTTGTTGTTGTAATAGACATCGAAATTCTTTTCATCTACAACTTTTGTGTACAATATCGAGGATCCACCAGATACAAGTAACAATTTTCCCCTGAGAGATTCATTTTTATAAGTATGGGAATTATTCTCTGAGTGAGATGAGCGAGATGAATAGGGTGAAGGGGAATTATTTGCGTCTCTAGTGGAAGAGGCGGCCGATTGGTTTTGCTCATTCCCTGTACTGAGACTTTTCACTGAAGATGCAGAGGCTGCCGTTTCAGACCTCTTTTTGAACATATCCTTAATTTGGAAATCCGTCTTTGAGGAATTAGACGTTATTTTCCTGTTAGATTCGGAGAAGCGCTGGTTTAAAGCAGATTTTCTAATCGGCGAAGGCTGATGTAAAAGGGCATAAGTACTATCTTGAACTGCTATATCGTCCTTATCATTCTTTCTCCAGTTTATGAACTTAGACAAATCACAGGACTCTAGCAGGCACATTGAAAAAAAACCCCTCGGAGATGGCCAATGTGATGAATTATCCGAGTGGCTGAGAACTCCAGTAAACTTCGGAGTATTTTTTCTGTTAGCCAAATGATTTAGCTTTTCATCTATGATATAACTGAAGACATCGTTAGCAACATCAAAGTTTCCGATTGGACTAGCTAATGCTACGTCAGCAGTTCCGTTGGCATCTAAAAAGAAATCTAGCTTCCATAAGTCATTCATGGCAACAAAAGATTTTCCTGAACTGTGCAATTTGTATCCTCCCATTACAAACATTGTAGTAGGTTTTATATAGGTAGAGGATTGTGAATGTCGAGCTGCATCTTCTTGACTGTGAGTTGAGTTGAAAAAATGTGCATCGTCCAAGGAGTTTCTGTTGACAATATTATCGTCATCCAAAGGGACTGAGGCAACACTATGAGCAAATCTTGGAATTGAGTTCGGGAAAATTGTGCTATAAGTGGGATGGACAGATAGCTTGATTTCTCTGAAACTGCATTTTATTCTATCAAACAACCAGAACTGGTCATTCGGCGTCAATATTTTTTTGATAACACAATGATTCTCGTCTGGGTAACTTATTTTGGTTCCTACTTCCAATCCACCATAGATCATGAAAAATCTATCACTGAGCCTGCAAGCACTAGAGCAAATCATTGACCTTGGAGTTGCATTTGAGTACGATGACGAGTTGGAGGATGTATTTGTTTTCGTGATTGAGTTCGAACTTCCAAATGCATCCAGTTTCAGATTATGGTGACCATTGTGCAAATGTGGATTTTCATTTTCAGCTTCGTATTCATCAATGTTTTCTGCCGTATGATTATCATTCAAATCGCAGACAAACTTAAAAGACTTGGATTCAGTTAAATATTTGCGTATCTTGTTGTATGGTCTTACAGCAATTGATTCAATTTTTTCTCTATCCAGAGGTAACGGTAAATCGTAGTCACATACCATTTTGATGTTTTCTGGGGGTATTGTGAAATTTTTTGTTATTGACCGAAGCTTTTGTTCATATTCATCTGTTAGCAAAGCCTGTAGCCCACCAAACATGTACACACCATCGACCATATCGACGGCAGTGAGATACGATAATCCTGCCATCTGTTCATCTGAGAATAGCGTTGGAACGTCAACAAAACTGTCGAATGACTGAAAAGAGCGTTGGTCTTTATTATTCTTAACGGAATCCAACTTCTTGGTCAAAGTTTTGTTGACCGGCCTAAACACATTATGGGTCTTGTAGTAGGCAAAAGAATCATTGGGGTAGAACGTGGATTCGGAGGAGATATTGTTGTTGAGATTGGCGAAATATTGGTGGTATTTGTAGTTCTTACCATTATATTTGGCCGGATCAGACAAATCGACCTTTGTGTAAACTGTGGTACTAGAAAGTGGTTTCAAAAAATACGGAACATTGGGTCTATTGAGATAGTCTTCCATGATTTCTTGCTGCTCGGTGTAGCATATACTATAAAGAAGATATAATCTTTCTTGATAGTAATTGCGATCTTATCAGGAATTCCCACACTTTTCAATGGCAAGGATATTTCTGGCCTCTTGTTCCTGTCTGCTCGTGTTTCTCTGCCCATGCGCTTTCTGCCTAAGAGATCTAATGAGGCATTGTTGCGACGGAGACGGCGGTGCCCGTTTATTGGAGCGGGGGCCGAGCGAAAAATTGATTACGTCGCTGACAGCAAGTGAAGATCTTTGTTGCACATGCGTCTGTGCACACGATGGTGCCTCGGGAGCGTTTGATGCCTAGGAAGAAAAGAGAAAAAGGGCTTCTCACAAACAGAAAGAGCAGTTACTGAACCAGAATGAATTAGAATTAGAATATGTATACTTATTTATGGATATGAGGTAGTACAGAGTCCCTCTTTATTTGGTAGCACCGAAGTAGTGCAAGTAAGCACTCAAAGTCTTAGTTCCTTCGATGTAGTTAGGAGTGTTGAGCTTTTCGTTAATGGAGTGTGCACCGTCGTCACCCTTACCCATTGGCAATAGCAAGACGTTGGCGCCCAACTCTTTCTCAAAAGTCAAGGTGATTGGGATGGAACCACCCTCTCTAGTTAAGTCTGGCTCGACCCCCCAAACCTTCTCTGTAGCTAGCTTGGCGGCGGTGAATTCGTTGTTGAAAGGATCACTGACCCAGTAGGCACCGTCGTGGATCAATTCTGTTGTGAACTGGTTTGGCGACTTCAATTCCTTAAACTTCTCGTTACAGAAGTTGATGACCAACTCGTCCAACTTCTTGCTGTCCATGTCCGGAACGGTTCTGATGGAGAACTTACCGACGACCTTGGCAGGTATGACGGTCTTGGCACCTGCGCCGGAGAAGGCACCTTCGATACCGTGCAAAGACAAGGAAGGGAATCTCCATCTGTGCATTAAGATGTCTTTCTTGCTCTGGTAGATGGCGGTGTTGGAGCCTGCTGCGAGGTTCAACTCGTCGACGTCGAATTCAATGTCCTTGTATAGGGAAGCTTCCTTTTCGGTGACTGGGGCAACCATTTCGTTGACTCCTGGGATGAGGATGTTGCCGTTGATGTCGACCAGCTTGGACATGACGTTGACCAAGTCGGTCATTGGTTCGTGGATAACACCACCGAATATACCGGAATGCAAGTCAGCGCCGGGACCCTTGATGCTGATCTGGTAGTAGTTACAGCCTCTCAAACCGTAGGTGAGGACCGGCTTCTTCGTACCCAACCAGTAGTTGTCGCTTATACACACGGATTCGACCTCCTTGAAGTACTTCTTGGCTTCTTGGGCAATCAAGGTGTCCAAACCAATGGAGCCGGACTCCTCCATACCTTCGAAACAGAAGACGATGTTGACAGGCAGCTCTAATCCAAGCTCCTTGTGAGCCTGGAGGGAGTTCAACCAGCCCATGACCGGGCCCTTGTCGTCGGTGGAGCCTCTACCAATGAGCTTGCCGTCCTTCTCAACCAAGGTGAAAGGGTCGGACGCCCAACCGTCCTCCAAAAGAGCTGGCTGCACGTCGTAGTGGCCGTAGATCAAGACGGTCTTCTTGTTTGGGTCGGACCCGAACTTGGATAGGACGATTGGAGGGAGAGGGAGCTCAGGGTCGCTTACAGGAGGGGGCTGGATACCCAAGTCTTTGATGGTGATGTCGTCGGCGCCCAACTTTGCCAACTCCTCTTTCAAAAAGTCGGCCATGGCGAAGACCTTGGGTCTCAAGGTCTCGTCGCTGGACACGGAGGGGATGGCCACGGCGTCGGTCAATCTCTGGATGAACTGCGGCTTGAGCTCATCGATCTTGGCGAACAAGGGGGAAAGCGTGGTGTCGATGCTGGACATTCTGGACAGGTCTATTCTGCTGCTGTAGCGGCTGAGATTAGTGTGGATGCTTCGGGAGAAGTAGCTGACTTTCGAGTATGGGCACGCCTTGAACATGCAACTGTGTGTGGGGCGAGAGGCAAGAGAAGTGTCAAAGGACAGGGGCGGAGGGGAAAGCGAAAGAGAGAGGGCGAAACGGAGGCACAGAAAGGGAAAGCACCACACGAGGGAAGGCCCTCCGACCGGTCGGACACAGACAACGTCTTTTCTTCACTACACTACTCGGACGCTTACTTACTCCCCGTACACAACGGGCACTCCCTTCACAATGGAAGCGCCCGCAATCCATGCTGCATGCATGAAGCCACAAGATCACTCGGCTGCTGCTCGCTGACGGCACCAGACTTCGTAAGCAGCACGGTCTTGTTCCGGGCGGAGGCGACGGCGCCAACGGCGCCCGGCGGGGCCCACCACCGACAAGGACACACAACAGCCTCTCCTGCTGCTGGTGGTGTTCTCCTTCTGCAACTCTTGTGTTGCTTCTTTATTTCTTTGCCCTTTTCCTGCTCTTGCTGCTGCTGCTTTGCCTCTTCTCCCTCTCTCCCTGTCTTCCTCCTCCGACAAGCTTCTGTCGCCAAAAAGGGAAATGCCGCTCACAGAGCCGTGCCCCGAATCCGGCCGGCGGCGACGATCGACTTTTCGCACTTTTTGCGTCGATCGACGTGCCCGGGTCGATCGACGCAAAAAGTGCGAAAATTGAGATTTGGGTCGATCGGCCCGTTTTTTTTTTTTTGCTCCTTCATCTTAGGCAGCCTATTGTTACTCACTCGCCCTGCATTTCTTTCCGTTCTCTCGGCTGACTCATTTTTCAGCTTCGTCAGCTTCTCGTCGACTCAGGGATTTTTTCTTTTTTCACCGGCTTTTTTATCTCAATAACCCAAGTAGACGTGATTAGAGGCGGATACGGTGCTAAACACTCTGCGTTTTTTTTTCGTACCGTTTCTGTACCTTCGAGTTTCGGGTTCTTCTTGATTCTGCGTTTACGTTGCCCTGGTCGGACCTTTATTGTGTTGATCCTGTTGGTTCGTTTCTTTCTTGTTTTTTTGTTGCCTCCCCTTTTCCTCCTTTTTCCTCTCCCCTGTAACAAAGGACCCCCATTTCCTACTAAACATCATCCAGAATGTGTGGTATTTTTGCCGCCTACAACGTGGACGATGTCCTCGCCTTCAAGCCAAAGGCCTTGCAATACTCCAAGAGAATCAGACACAGAGGTCCAGATTGGTCTGGTAACGTGATCGCCAACTCCACGATTCTGTGTCACGAGAGATTGGCGATCGTCGGGTTGGACGCCGGTGCCCAACCTATCGTCTCCCCAGACGGAAGATACTCCTTGAGTGTCAACGGTGAAATCTACAACCACATCGAATTGAGAACGGTTCTGAAGGACTACGACTTCAAGACCCTCTCCGACTGTGAAACCATCATCCCTCTTTTCGAGAAATACGGCGTCGACGCTCCAAACTACTTGGACGGTATGTTCGCATGGGTTCTTTACGACAAGGAGACCGACAGAATCGTCGCCGCAAGAGATCCAATCGGTATCACCACTCTCTACATGGGTAGATCCTCGAAGAACCCAAAGACGGTGTACTTTGCCTCCGAGCTGAAGTGTTTGACCGACGAGTGCGACCAGATCGAAGCCTTCCCTCCGGGCCACATTTACGACTCCAACACCGACAAGATGACCAGATACTTCAAGCCAAACTGGTGGGACGAAAACAAAACCGCCACCGGCGACTGTGACTTCACGGCCATCAGAGAATCCTTGGAGCTTGCTGTCAGAAAGAGATTGATGGCAGAAGTTCCTTACGGTGTCCTTTTGTCCGGTGGTTTGGACTCTTCCTTGATTGCCTCCATTGCTGTCAGAGAAACTCAGAAGGCTGCTGCCGCTGAAGCCAATGTTGCAATCGACGCTAACAAGACTTTGACCGGTGTCGACGCAAAGGGTAATCTTTCTTTCACTGGTTGGACTAAACTTCATTCTTTTGCCATCGGTTTGCCAAACGCTCCAGATTTAATTGCCGCCAAGAAGGTCGCTGAATACCTCGGCACCATCCACCACGAACACACCTTCACCTTGGACGACGGTTTTGACGCCTTGTCCGACGTCATCTACCATTTGGAGACCTACGATGTCACCACCATCAGAGCATCTACCCCAATGTACCTTTTGTCCAGAAAGATCAAGGCTCAAGGTGTCAAGATGGTTCTCTCCGGTGAAGGTTCCGATGAAATCTTCGGTGGCTACCTTTACTTTGCGCAAGCCCCAAGTGCTGCTGAATTCCACACCGAATCCGTCAAGCGTGTCAAGAACTTGCATCTTGCTGACTGTTTGAGAGCAAACAAGTCGACCATGGCATGGGGTTTGGAAGCTCGTGTTCCTTTCCTCGATAAGGAATTCTTGAACGTTTGCATGAACATCGATCCAAAATACAAGATGATCAACTCAAAGGAAGGTAAGATTGAAAAATACATTCTCAGAAAGGCCTTCGACACAAGCGATGACCCATCTGCTAAACCTTACTTACCAAAGGAAATTCTTTGGAGACAAAAGGAACAGTTCTCTGATGGTGTCGGTTACTCTTGGATCGACGGTTTGAAGGACCTTGCCGAAAAGCAAGTCTCCGACGAAGAATTCGCAAACCCTAAGCCAGAATGGGGATCCGATATCCCAACGACAAAGGAAGCCTACCTTTACAGATGTAAATTCGACGAGTTATTCCCTTCAAAGGCTGCTGCTTCTACCGTCATGAGATGGATTCCAAAGGCAGAATGGGGTTGTCACGAAGATCCTTCCGGTAGATATGCTAAGATTCACGAAGCAGCTGTCGAAAATTAATGTTTATAGACTTTTTTTATAACCTCATTCTCAAAATAATTAAATCGTGTCAATCAAATGAGAAATATATCATCATTCTTATGTTAGTGTACATAAAGTAACCGCATTACCTTTTAGTCTTCTAGGACGGTATCAATCAAACATCCCCTAATGAACTTGAAGCCTCTGGCATCCGTTTCTTCTTTACTCACAACATCAACCTTATACCGTTCAAACTTGTCGTTCTCTACACCTTCTTCAAGGATATTGCCTCCAGCTCCAACCATGTCAAACTCGTCCTCCTTCTCAACATACTCGATATTTTGCTCAATTTCTTCAAAATCTGGAGCCAACGCACTCCATTTTTGTGATGCTCTTACCCCCCAAACAAAAATGGTACCACTGTCCATACCATTGGCAGACACACAACACACATTACCATTCGTAGACCTCATCCCCCAATCGACATCAATCAATTCTTCGTGAGCACCTTCTAGAATTTGAACCAAAGAACCCATACTGGTTTCCCATACATACACATCATGGGCAGCTCCACTACCTCCTTGGGTACTTGCACAAACATATTCTGCAGTTGGTGAAAACTTGACCGTATTCCACTGGATCCTGTTGACAACGTCTTGGTACTTTTGTTCAATATCAAATTTCCAATCGTTTACTTCACATCCAGCTTCGTACCAGCTACTTATATCGTACTGCCGTAAAATACGATCACTCGAGTTGACAATCATCCTACTTATTGGAACAATATTATTTCCAAATTTTAGTGTCAAACCCTCATAAAATCCTCTCTCCATGATTGAGATACCCTTGATGTTACCACTGCAAACCTTGATATGTTTAACTAAACATCGCCTTTCAACATCAATAATCTGTAGCCAGCCCTTGCTTGTACCTGAAATAACATATTTACCTCCAAAAAAGGTACAGCAACAAAGAGGATATCCTTCCTTGTCCTCACTGGACACACTTGTCAAATCTTCATCCAAGTCTTCAGTCGCTTCTTCATTATCTTCATGCCCAACTAGATCCACAATATATCCAGCATCATCAATTTCAGATTTATCCGTTGATTGCACAAAACAAACGCCTCCCACTACTCTACATATGAATATTTTCCAGTTTTCCCATTTTTTGGAATATGCATTAATGAAGCCCGAATTCACTACATCAACGTTCCAAATACCTCCCGGAAAAATCTTCTCCCAAACAAGTTCCATTTTGTGATCTTTGAGGCCATGTAAACATACTTTCCAATCTCTTGACCATGATACTATCCCAACCACGATGTTACTAGTATCATCCTCGTCATCATCATCATTGGAGCAGTCGGTTGTCTTGTTGTAATCATCATCACTGGGCGTTTTTTCATTTTCATGGTAAATCCATCTAATTCCCACGACAGGCATTGTATGTTTACGCATGATGCAAGTAACATTGTTTGACCAGGTATCTATGATTAATATTGCTCCATTTAGTAATCCAGATGCTATGTAATGTCCACATGGGGAAATTTGGAGTGCTGTACAATGTCCATATGACAAAGTCATATTCAAAGTTGTTGGGTAATCAGCTGCAATAAACTGCGGATCGTGAAGAGACAAATTCATTATAATTTTTTTTGGCTTTCTGCTTTTATAAGACTTTATTTATTCCTCCTTTTACACGATTCCCTTGCTACAAACATAAGCTATTTCCAAACGTAGAAAACTTCATGATAAACATTTGGAAATTCACTATCGCAAAAACTCGCGTTTCATTTTCTCTTTTGGATTCAGCAAAATAGGTGGGGATTTATGATACATTTATTGTATATAAAAGTCTTATAAAAATGCAAAGATATGGTATGAACACCAAAAGTAATGAATTTGAATGAGTCGGAAAAGAGAAGAAAAGGGTTAGGAAATACATAACAAGGAACAAAACAGACCAAAACAAAACAGTGAAAAAAATACATGTAAGAAAGTTAAAAAGAGAGTACAGCGACAGTGGAAACATACTCAAATTCAGAAGGGATGGACTCACCTTATACCAGGGAAATGAAAGAGACAACTCACAGAGCTTACGATTTTTAGTTTTTGATATGCTGACTTTACCTGAATCTTCTGTGAGCAGCATCTGATTCCTCACTATCACTATCGATATCATCATAATATGAAGTATTACCTTCTGACTCTTCTTCCACAGTGGCCGAAGGATGTGTATCAAAATGGCTAGAGCTAGTTGGCATTCCAATGCCAAACTTGTGGAAATCTTGTTGTGAATCTTCCTGTAAGTAATCATTTGGATTTATCCGTTCTCCGTAAACACTGAGTCCTCCCGCTGTACCATTCGTCACTCCGCTGATATGGGACTCACTTCTTATATGGCTAGAAGGAATTGCGTTGGTAGATTCAAACGGATTTGTATTACTTATACTGTTTGATGACTGGAACGGGTCAGTATCTGCCAAAGTTTTATGCGTCACTTCACTTTGTCCAATTGGATTATGAGGTCCCGTGGATACGACTTCCAATGTGTCACCCATACTTAACGGATTAGTATCATCATGTAAATTGGCTCTAGAGTCCACAATATTGTCTGACCCTGGTAAGGTGATGGTTGATTTACCTCTTTTTAATCCTAATAATGACTTTCCTCTGGTCAATTTTCCAACTAAATTGGTTAATCCCTTTTTGTTTGAATCATCCGAGCCAGTTTCATTTGTTACCATTTGTGCATCAGAACCTTTATTTTCTCCGTCCAAGTCCGGGCTTCCTGGATGTTCACTGCTAGAAAGCATGTCGCCATCACGTAAGTTGTACATATTTGTTGCCCAGTTGTCATCGTGCTCTTTGGCAACTCTTCCTAATTCAAACAACTCGTTAGAATCGGTAAAGTCTTCATCCAAGGACCTGTGTTTACGTTGAAATGAAGTTCTATCATCCTTGGTTTGAGCGAAACGTGCATCTGGGTTTTTGGAGAAAACACTAAACAATGCAAGAATCAAAATGACAATCAAAAGTAAAAGTGAAACTGCAGCGTTCATGATGAAAAAAATCAAACCCATAACAGAAGCAACTCTAAATGGCTGGTTGTAAATACCGGAGAAGAATGTAAAAAAGAATGAGTTTATGGTGGTAATGAGTTGAATGAAAACAGTCAATACGTTGGTAAATTTGTCCAAGTAAGGTAAGAAGTGGCACATGAGACCTAAGTAAAACATGTCGATAATCCATAAAGCCATTGCTTGTGTTCTACCTGATGACTGAGAAAGGGAGACAAATAATGCTTTCACAAACACGTAAGAAAGACTGACCGCACAGAACCAATATTTCCGTGCGTTCAACATCGTGTACAAAAACCCGTACCGACTCAAAACTTCAGGATTACCATAAAGAATTGCAGCAGGATTACCATGTTCTTTGATAGACCTACTTCCATAACGCAAAACTTGGAAGCAACAGATGGCCATTGCGCCGACTGATAAAATTAAGAAAAAGACTGCAATTGTGACAACAGAACCGGAATCAACCTTGGTAAATTCCCACAAGGATAGAATGAGCAATTGAGGGTAACCGATATAGATGTATCTAGCTAGGATACCTTTGAAAGTTGGTTGCCAAGAAGTTCTGCGCTCCAACTTTCTGCTAATCCAGCTATCTCTTTTTCCCTTTGTAAGTGCCTTTGATAGGTACCTGTAAGTGAAAAAAACACCAACTAGAACGTATAGACAGAGAACAAAGAAGGTGAAACCGGTGCATACAATTGAAGAAGGCTCAATATTGGAGTCGTACCCAAGACGGTTGATACCTCTTAAAACAAGAAGATAGTTATTTGATTCAACGTGGTCCATAGGGATGTACAACTCAGTATTTGTATTGGGGTCTCTTGGCATCAAAGAATTCTCTGAGATCTCCGATGCGTACGGTGAAGATGAGAACAGAGAAGGGAGGAAGAAAGCCCCAACGGATCTGAGGAAAGAGCTGTGGAAAATCTTTTGGGCGGAACGTTGTGTCAAAATGGACTTCACACCTGCCGTAAGGTATTGCGTTGGAGTACCCCCAGTGGCCTGGACGTACCAGCGGAAGATATCCTGCATGAAGGTGATGCGGATCAAGCCCATGGACCAAGCCAAGTTTTCGGCCCAGGCGTTAGCGATAGGGGGGACTTCATCGACGGAGATCATTGTGATAATGACGACACTCTGGAAGTAGGTGAACAAGGAGATCGCGGCAGCGGACATTCTGGAGGCCGAGGCCGAGTTACCGAACATGGAGAGGACAGCCGAGACCAACAAGCCCAAACCTGCAACAACAGCGGTGGCCCATTTCGCACCTTCGTGGGAGACGGACTTGCCGTTGTTGAAGGAGGCTTGTAAGCAACCCAATATCTCGTTGTTTTCATTGGTGATAATCAACCTTGCGACGGCGTCCAAGTTGGGGAAGGTGAAGGCTATATCTGGGATCATGTCGACGTAGTTCTTGGAGATGTACTCGACAGACTCGACTTCCATCTGCGAGGGGGTGATGGGGCAGAACTGCTTGAGGTTGAGACTGCACAAGTCGATGCTCTCGTGGATGATGTCGAAGCCAAACGCGTACACCGTGGCATGCGCCTTTAGTTTGCCCTGGATCTTTGCCGCGAGCGAGACGTCGTATGTGATGGAGCGGTCGAGGGCGTCGAAGGTGACGTTGAAGTAGTTTGGAATGATGTCCGAGTTGTTTTTCATACAGTTGACCAACGAGTTGGAGTAGAGACGCTTTTCGGCGTCCGCCCCGGTGAGCAGCAGCAGCAGCACTGACACCAGAGACAACACGTTCAGGTTTGACACGAGGTGGAACATTGCTGGTGCTTTTTTTGTGGTTTGCACTTTTCACGAGTTAAACGGCTTTTCAAGAGTAGCCACGACTGAAGGCAGAAAACAACGAGGGAAAGAAAAGAAACGAGACGGGAAACGGGATGAGGACCAACCGGTGGATCAGAACGTGAGCACGGACAGCAACAAGTTTGCGTGCTGGCTTGAAACAAGAGAGAAGGTGTACTGTGGAAAGCAGATCAACGCCCGGAGAAGATGTGCGACAGATCTGTGTTCTGGATCAAATCAAGTGTGCGCAGGAGCAGAGAAAAAGGGTGACAGGTAGCCTTTTCGTTAGCACAGGGGTTCGGATCGGGGGGTGGGGGCAGGCCTAGTATGCGGACACTAGTGGGGCTTCTTCTTCTAGACCAGGAGGATCGTCAGTAAACAAGCACGAGGGTGACACGCACGACAGCAACAACGACAGCAACAACAACAACAAACAAACAAACAAACAAAGACCTGGTACATGTGCAGAGCACCGCAGCTGCTCGTACTGTTGGATCAGTGCGCTACTGCTAGCGCTCCACCGCTGCCACTGCTAATAATAAGTAGGCAGCGGCGTGTCTACGACGACGGAACGTTTTTTCCACGCTGCCGGACAATGGCGGTCTAGAAAAAAAAAGGGCGTCGGCATGTCCGTGAGGGGACGCGGAAAAAAAGCAAATTGGGTCGATCGACTTGGAAAACGGCGGGCAGGACCGATCGTCGCAGAAATGAATTGACAAGAAAGACTGGAAAGACAACTAACATTAACTATACTAGACAACTAGCTCATTAGACATAAGATACTACACGGACGGGCTACTTCTTCATGCTGTGAACAACCTCGATCAAGTGGGCGACCACGTTGGGGTTCGACAAGGTGGACACGTCACCGAGCTGATCCTCCTCGCCGGCCAAGATCTTTCTGAGGATTCTGCGCATGATCTTGCCCGATCTCGTCTTAGGGAGGTCGTCGACAATGATGATCTGCTTAGGGGCGGCAAACGGCCCGATCTCCTTGCGCACGGTGAGCACCAACTCCTTCTTGGTGGCGGCGACGTCGTCGATCTCCTTCTTGAGGGAGACGAAGGCGGCGACGGCGGAGCCGGTCAACTCGTCCGGGAAGCCGACGACGGCGTTTTCGGACACGAGCGGGTGCTCGATTAAGGCGGCCTCAATCTCGGCGGTGGAGAGACGGTGGCCGGACACGTTCACGACGTCGTCGACACGGCCCAAGATCCAGTAGAAGCCGTCCTGGTCGCGGGCAGCGCCGTCGCCGGAGAAGTAGTAGCCGTGGTAGGGCTTCAAGTAGGTGTCCAAGTAGCGGCCGTAATCGTTCCAGATCGAGCGGGTCATGGAGGGCCAGGCGGTCTTCACGCACAAGACGCCCTCGACGCAATTGCCCTCCAAGTCCTCACCCGTGACCGGGTCGCAGATGGCGGGCTCGATGCCGAAGAATGGGAGCGAGGCGGAGCCGGGCTTTGTTGGCGTGATCCCGGCTAGGGGGCAGATCAGATGGGAGCCGGACTCCGTCTGCCAGTACGTGTCGCAGATGTGGGCCTTGCCACGGCCAATGAACTCGTTGTACCACTCCCACACGTCCTTGGCGATCGGCTCACCGACGGAGCCAAGCACGCGCAAGGTGTCCAACTTGTAGTTCTCGATGTACTTCTCACCGGCACGCTTCAACAACCGCAATGCGGTCGGTGCAACGTAGAACTGGTTCACGCCGTACTTGTCAACAATGTCCCAGTACCGGGAGAAGTTGGGGTATGCTGGGGTCCCCTCAAAGACGACGGTTGTGGCACCGTTCAGCAGTGGGCCGTAGACGACGTAGGAGTGGCCGGTGATCCAGCCCACGTCGCCCGCGGTGAAGATGATGTCCTCGTAGTGAACATCAAACACGTACTTGGTGGTGAGCATGGCGCCCAAGAGGTAGCCCGCAGTGGTGTGGAGAATCCCCTTGGGCTTGCCCGTCGAGCCGGAGGTGTAGAGCAAGAACAAGTTGTCCTCGCTGCTGACAGGCTCTGGCGGACAGTAGGGCCCGTACTTGACCACCTCCTCGTGCCACCATACGTCTCTCTTGCTGTTCCATGGGATGTGGGAGTTACCTGTCCTCTTGAAGACGATGACGTTTCTCACGTCGGGACAGTGGGTCAACGCGTCGTCGACAATCTTCTTCGTCTCGATGATCTTCCCGCCCCGCTTGGACTCGTCGGTGGTGATGACGATCTTGGAGTCGGCGTCCAAGACCCGGTCCTTCAAGGATGTGGAGGAGAAGCCGGCAAAGACCACAGAGTGGACGGCGCCAATCCGGACGATCGCCATCAAGGCCACAATCGCCTCCGGGATCATCGGCAAGTACACGGCGACCGTGTCGCCCTTCTTCACGCCAAGATTCTTCAACACCTGTGCAAAACGGCACACGTCCTTCAACAACTCCCCGAAGGTGATGATTCTGCCCTCGTTTGGCTCGTCGGCCTCGTAGATTATGGCCGGCTTGTTTGGGTTCTTGATCGCCCAGCGGTCGACACAGTTGTAGCACGCGTTCAACTCTCCGTCCACAAACCACGCGGACGGCTCACCGTTGTTGTCCCGGAGACGTGGCGCCTCCGGGACTTTGGCCACGGTGAACGGCTTTGACCACGAGAGGTTCTCCTGCGCCATCTTGCCGAAGAACTGCGCCGGGTGCTCGATCGACTCCTTGTGCATCTTCTTGTACTGCTCGAGCGAGGTAAGGTGTGGCTTGCCCGGGTGTCTTTCGAGAAACCCGGAGGGCACGTCCATTGCCCGCTCGTTCATAAGATGCTCGTTTTCCAAATGCTTTTCTGGCATTGTGTATGCTTTTCGTTTTAGTTTGACGCTTGCTTCTGCTGCTTGCTTCTGCTGCCTGCTTCTGCTGCCTGCTTATTCTTGCTACACACTACGCGCAAGGGCAAACCGAAAAGTGGCACCAATGAACGACCCACAATCTCCACAGCTGCGCCAGACCGTTCCTTTTATAATTCCATCCGCCAGCGCCAACGTCCCGGCAACCGCTGTCCAAAGTGGGGTAGCCGCCTGTCCAGCTCACGCTGCTCACGCTGCTCACGCCCCCGGCCTCCGGCCCCCGGCTGCTGCCCCACAAAACACCGGGCACCCGCATATGCCGGCTGTCTTCTTCTGCTCTTCTCTCCGGCGTTGCCCCTCTGGCCACCATCGGGGGTCCTGGAAGAGCAGGCCTGGCCCGGCCTGGCGGTCTCGGACTTCGGAGAACGGCGGCGGCCGCGGAGCGGAGTAACGAAGCGGGGCGGCGGGGCCAGCACAGGAGCGGGGCAGCCGAGCAGCCGGCGCAAACAGCCGGACCAAGCACCCCGCGGCGCGCGTGCCGCCGACGCGTCGGCAACTGAGCCGTCGGATTGGGGCACTTCCCCGCACCGACGCGTCGATTGCGCCTCGGCTAAAAATAGCAGTCATGTGGGACGCCTGCGCCGCCGAGCCGCTCAGCCTGCGCCGCAACGCCGCGCCTCGCCGCGCCAGGAGGCAGAAAAGCGCCAGAAGGGCGTCGTCCCCCACTCGCTCTAAGGGGTTGCTGGGGTTGCTGGGCCCAGCGCTGGCTCTGTCGGTAGACATGAAAGATCTGCACCCGGATCAGAGACCGTCTCTGCCCCCACAGTAGAGCCCCCAGCTGTACGCACACGCACTCCCTCATCTTTCTCTGTCCACCAAAGCTTCATCTTGGGCACGTCATCGCTTCAGCACGACCGGACTCTGTGTTTGTCACCTGCTGGTCACCGTGAGTCTCTTGCTCTTCTGTGCACATTTCGACACCGATCGCCATCTCCGTGCTAGCCAGGTCCACCGCTCAGACGTCCGCCACGCACTCCACCCACGCACTCTCCCAGACTAGAGAAGGAAAGGAGACCAGAAAACAAGTCCACAGAGCCCAGCAACCCAGCCTCAACACATCATGGTGGTGATACGCTTCCTCCTCTCGCTCGTGCTGCTCCTGCAGCTGCACAGCGCCGACGCTTACAAGTTCCTCAGGTCGAACTCGCTCTTGACGTGCATGGAAAGCTCCCAGTTCACCTCGACCTTCTTCGACGTGTACTACTACCCCCACAACTCCACAGCCGTCTTCTACATCGATGGCTCGTCGTCCATCTCGGGCAAAATCAAGGCGGAATTCTCGTTGGTCGTGTACGGCCTCAACGTGTACCAGGACTCGATCGACCTCTGCACCCTCGGGTACAAAACCATCTGCCCCATCAGCTCGGGCCACATCGACGTCCAGGGCACCTACGCGGTCGAAACAGACCTCACCAGCAAGATCCCCAGCGTCGCCTACACCATCCCAGATATCGACGCTTACGTGAAGGTCTTGGTCTACTCCACAGACGACAACAACAACACCAGTCCCTTGGCCTGCCTCAAAGCTGTCGTCACGAACGGCAAAACAGTCCAGACAAGATACGCCGGCTGGCCCATCGCCTGTGTCTCCGGCTTTGGCTTGGTAGTCTCCTCCGTCGTGTCCATCCTGGGCCACTCCGCGACAGCCTCCCACATCGCCTCGAATGCCGTCTCCTTGTTCATCTATTTTCAAAACTTGGCCATTATGGCCATGATGGGGGTGGCTAGGGTCCCTCCCATCGCAGCCTCCTGGGCTCAGAACTTCATGTGGTCCTTGGGCATCATCAATGCCGACTTCATGCAGGACATCATCTACTGGTACGTCCAGTCAACAGGCGGTGACGTCACTGCCGTCTTGACCAACAAGGACATCATCTCCATCTCGATCCAGAAGGCGAAGAGTTTGCTTTTCAAAAGAGAGATCTCCGCTGCCCCGGCCTCCGATGACTATATCAACGACTCCAGTATGTACTACACAGATGAGTACAACCTCTCGTCAAAAACTTTGGTTTTAAGAGGTATCCAAAGAGTAGCATATTTGTCAGACATAGAAATCTCAAATATCTTCATGACCGGTGTGATCTTCTTCCTTTTCGTCGGATTTGTGTTGGTTTTCTTGATCTCAGTTTTCAGAGGCTTCTGCGAAATTCTCATTAGATCAGGTGCAATCAAAGAACACAGATTTGCCTACTTTAGAACAAACTGGAGCTTGGTCATCAAAGGTTCTGTCTACAGGTACGTTGATATTACCTTTTCAACCATCGTCCTATTATGCATTTGGGAGTTCACTCAGAACAACTCAAGGGGTTGTTTAGCGTTCGCCATTATCATATTTGCGGTCTTCATGATCCTCATGGGCGTAGGAACAATTAGGATCATCATGGAAGGATTAAAATCGGTCAGCCAATTCAAAAACCCAGCTTATTTGCTATACGGTAATGAGAAATTTTATTTCAAATACGGTTTCCTATACTCCCAATATTTGGCAAAGAGATACTATTGGGTCGGTATTCATCTTTTCTACTTGTTCATCCGTGCCCTATTAATTGCTGTCCTACAAGAGAAGGGGAAAGTTTGTGCATGTCTTATTTTCGCAATTGAAATCATCCATACTGTTGTTATCATCTATTTCCGTCCGTACATGGACAAACGTACCAACGTTTTCAACATCTTGATTGCTGTAATCAACTTGATCAACTCAGTTTTCTTTCTGTTCTATTCCAATGTGTTTCGTCAACCTGAGGTCGTATCCTCTGTTGCGGCTGTGGTTTACTTTGTTCTCAATGCAATTTTTGCCTTGGTGTTGTTAATCTTCACCATCGTCACTTGTACTATTTCATTGATCCACAAAAACCCTGACGTTCAATATGAACAAGTCAAGGATGATCGTGCTGCCTTCATGCCTAATGAAAACATGGCTTCCCAGAACGAAGAAATGGAACTTGCAGCGCTTGGTGCTACTGCCATGCAAGGTCAAGACAGAAATTCATACATTTTTGGCTCGAATAACGAAAAGCCAAGATTGAGCCCCTACGGAATCGATAACACCGACAGCAAAGCACATCTTGAACCTTATGATCCAGACTATAGCAATGACAGTGGATTAGAGGAAACGAAACCAAATAAATTGAATCCATTTGCAAACACCGAAGACACCATTTCGGTCTCATCGAATCACGGAAGTTCTTCGTACGATGTTGAGAACCCTTTCAACAATAAAGCCAGGTATCATCTATGATAAGTGTGACTTCTGCTTCACAATCTTCTTTCTTATCGTCAATTTTCAATCAAATTCTTTACTACAACCATATATTTCTCTTTATCACTTCTCTATTTATACGCCTATTTTGGATACTATTCTATTCACGATATCTTGTTGATAAGTTATTAAGTTTTCCACGCATCTGATCTGTTTTTAATTTAGTATCTCCTGTTTTATGTACAATTTTTTTCCGCCATTCTTTTCTCAATACGTACACTACTCTTTTTTGTTCAATAAAAAACACAGCATCATGCATTATGCGCTTTTCATTTTTTTTTTGACTTTCAGTGGCGCGTGGTAATACGATAGGTTTCAAAAATATCAGAATTAACAAACTAATCACTTAATCTTTGAGTAATGGATACTTAGATAGCTGCTATCTGAGTCAAATACTAATATACAGCAGGGCGATGAATTACCATGGAGGACGGGGAACCAACTCCGGAAAGTGAAAAGTTTAAGAATTTCACAGAAAGTGCTCATGAATCTTCTTGGGGTAGTTTGCATGATTCGGAGTTGAACATCGCTTTAAGACAACAGTTTTCAAAGAACAATTCAAAGAAGGATACTTCCAACATAGAGATAGCAACAGATGTGGACACAGATGAAGATATTCTACACTATTCCAACAATAATGGGAGAAACGCGGTTGCAACTGATATTAAACCACCAACGCTCCCGAATTATGCGAAAGAATCCGTATCAGATGACTGGGGATCAATGAATGACTCCCAATTCATAAGTTTTGTCAATAAAATTAGCCAGACTCAGCGTGACTCTAAATCTACTGCTTCAGTGAAGAAAACATTATTGTCTTCCGATAAGGCTAATAATACGGCTGAGAGCTCTGTATTTCTTGATGAAGACTTCCAGATATCATCCACCCCGAAATGCAAAGTCAGCAATATATCATCTTCCCCTATTTTACTAGCTCAAAAACTGCCTCAGCTCCGGGAAAAAGGAACAGAAGTTGAATATCAGGAAGATGTGATGACTAAACAAGACTATGAAGATTCTAATAGATACGCATTTGAAGATCATGAGGGCTATTTCAAAGTCAAGAATACAAAGCAAAGAAAGCAAGATCAAGAGTATTCTGAATTCCTCAAAGGAAAAAAAGAAGATGGCCAGACTTTTCCACCACTATTTTCGAATTGTGCAATTCATATCAATGGGAGAACAGATCCAGACATTTTACAACTCCGGAAAATGATATTATTGCATGGGGGCACAAATGTACCTTACCTTTCCTCGAAAGGTATTGCTACACACATTGTTGCTGAATCCTTGCCACCAAGAAAAAGAATACAATTTTCCAACTGCAAAGTGGTAAGTCCGAAGTGGATAGTTGAAAGTATTGCTGCAAAAAAGTTATTGAACTGGGCACAATATAGGCTTGAGCAATTGGGAGAATATGGACAACAAGAAATCAATTTTTTGAAAGTAAATACGTTAATGGAAAATAATGACGTTTCAGAAGTTCAAACAGGTAATATTGCTGACCATGGAACAGACATGGAAGTAAATGATTCCCTTTCAGAGGATAAGAGAGCAGAGAAGGAAGATATACTTTCCCAGGAGTTGAGCAGAGCAGGAGTCGATGCCAGAGATTCCAATTTTTTGCGTATTTTTTTTTCGAAATCACGACTACATCATTTGAGTACGTGGAAAGCTGACTTGAGATCTGAATTTTTAAACAAAGCTGCGGCTCTTTTGAAAGAACGTCAATTTGATGCACCTAAAAACAACATCGTGCCAGAAAATAGAGTCATTTTGCATGTTGATTTTGATTGCTTCTTTGCAAGAGTTTCTGCAAACTTGCATCAGCCTATGATAGATTTTGATAATACACCATGTTGTGTGACACACGGTGGGGCCTCAGCGGATGTTTCGTCTTGCAATTATGTAGCTCGACAGTTTGGTGTGAAAAACGGAATGTGGTTTTCAAAAGCACAAAAATTATGCCCCAATATTGTTTGTCTACCCTACCAATTTGATGATTATGAAAGAGTTTCCAATATTTTTTATGCAAAACTTTTAGCTCTGAATATTGATTCAATATTACCCGTGAGTGTCGACGAGGCATTAGTCGATATATCTTCTTTATGCATGGAGAGCGGAGGTGATACTATGGGGGTTCTGAAAAATATTAAATGTGAGTTGGATACGGCAACTGGCTGTACTGTGAGCTGTGGATCTGGAAAAAATGTTCTATTGGCAAAACTAGCCTTGAGAAAAGCTAAACCCAATGGGGTTTATGTTGTTCCTTCCGATGAGAATCAGATTTTGAGGTTTTTGGATGATATTGATGTCAGAAAATTACCTGGATTTGGCGATCGACTCTTTGAAAAGTTGCTTTCCCTGATGGGTAAAGGTACAAATACAACTGTAACAATAAGCTCATTGAGGTGCATTGAGAAGGAAAAGTTGATTTCATCTTTTGGTATTAAAACTGGAGAGAAGTTGTATCTTTTTTCAAGAGGGGTCGATGATACTAGTATTGATTTATTATCTGATCCAGAAAAGTATCTTCGAAAATCACTCGGTATTGATGTAAACTGGGGTATACGGTTCAGTTCCAATGCTGAAGTTGAAGATTTTTTGAACAGGCTAGCAGCTGAGTTAAGTAAGAGATTAGTTGATTGTTGTATGACTGGTTCAATGCTAACTCTAAAGTTATCCATTAGACATCCAGATGCGCCCATCGAACCACCTAAATATCTAGGAATGGGTTATTGCACATTTGTGTCGAAATCATCTAGACTTGGAATTAGTACAAGAACTACAGGTATCTTAAGTTCTGAAATGAAATATTTATGGCGATTTCTCAATGTTGACCCTAAAGAGCTAAGAGGGGTTGGTGTAAGTATGAACAAGCTTATTCCCGAAGGCAATGGTAAAATAGATACCAACAACCAAATGAAGCTTCAGTTTAAGCCAGCTGCAGCTACATCTCTCCATACCGCTATTCAAAAGGAATTACCTGAAGAAGTTTTTGAAGACCCCCCTGCTTTGGAACCTCCTGCCGGTATAGGACATAAAATCCAAACTCATCAAAATTTTTCCCCGTCAAAACGTACAAGAGGTGATGATTTTTTGAGTGAAGAGATTGATTGGGAGGTTTTTGATAATCTTCCAGCTTCTCTTCAAGAAGAAATCAAAAGAGAATTACGGAAGAGGAAATTACAGTCGTCTCCTATAAGGAAGAAAGTTGCATCTACTGGTAAAGATATTGCTTTTATGCTTTCTCCCTCTAAGAGAACCCCCAATAACATTCAGCAACATGATATTTATAATCTCATAACCCCAGAAAAAGTAAATACTAAAGATGAGAACCAGATTATTTTTCAGGGCATCAACGTTTCCGAAGAACCCAAAATACTGAAAAAGTTACTGTTTTGGATGGACTTCACGCTTGAAGAAAAAACTGGGATAGAAAAAAAGGATCTGGAGCTCTTCAAAGATTTCATGCTGAAATTGCTTTCTAGAAATGATGTGATAAGATATACGCGGATAGTTTCGGCCATGTCAACTTATTTACATCTTAAAAAAGATATGAGAGGATATGAAGAATGGTTTTACCAATTGAAACAGCTCAAAGCTTTGCCTGATGAGCAATCCTTTACTGCTTTTGAGTTCAGGTTCTAAATAATTTACCTATATTCCCTATATACCATAATCAACAAATATATATTTTTTTTAATCTGTATACTTAAACATCTTTAACAATCAAGCTTTTTGGAGCTCTTTGAGACCATTCAGTCCACGATCCATCATAAATAGAAATATTAGAAGAATCGAATCCAGCCAATTGCATTGCACATCTAACAACACAAGCTGTGACTCCTGTACCGCACATGACAATTATTGGTTTGTTGTGATTTATATTTTTCTCTGCAAATAAGCTCTGGAGTGTCATGTTTGACAAAAATGCCTTCTGTGGAGTTAGAACCTCAGAGAAAGGTATATTCACTGCATTCTTGATGTGCCCCGAAGACATTCCTGCTCTTGGTTCAGGGGACCCTCCAGAGAATCTGGCGGCTGATCTTGCATCGATCAAAGTATACTCTGATCCAATTTTCCCATTTTCTACCAATTCAAGAAGCTGTTCATATAAAACAACCTTGGAAGAATCGAACGTAGCATGATATTCAGATGTTGGATATGGAGATGGAGAGCTTACCAGTTTATTGTCGAGAAGGGTTTTCTTATCATGCACCTTGTTTACCAAATTAGGGTCTGAATGGGATTTCGCATAAGCAGGATAGGTATTCAGTATGTATATTTTACTCAAATTGTGTCCGAAAACCTCAAACATCCATGCAGCACGGCAAAGACTAAACACACCTTGTTGATCGTAAAATAAAAGTTCAGAATCATTTTTAATACCCAATTCACTTACTTCCTTTTCAAAATCTTCTTTTGAAGGTAACATGTGAGGATACTTGTTTGAGTGATCCTTGGCCTTTTCAATATCAAAAAACACAGTACCACTGGAGAACCTTTTTTTCATAAATTCGTGGTAGGCATTTATAGGAACATTGGGCATATACCATGAAGAATCGATTGGAATAAGAGTGTCTTTGTGTTTTTGATAAAAGGATTCTACGGAAGCGGGCGGAACCACTGATAACATTCTTCTTGAACTTTTAATCAAAATGGAGCTTCTTTTAGATATCAATAAAATAGAAGATACAATCATAGTCAATACGTTATCTTGTAGTCACTGGTGAGGGAATGGGTGTGATTTGCAACAGGGATAACAACTATCGCAATACCTGTCAGCTTGCTTATTCTAGACTACATGCTGTCAAGTGAGGGTTTTATTCTTAATCTACACTTGAATTACGTAATCACCCAGATTTCTCTTTGCTGGCTGGTCTTGAATTTTGAACTGGGTCATCCTGGACATCACGAAAGTGAATACAATCCTAGATTCATGTCTAGCTTTTAGAACGCAACGAAAAGCAGGGTGTTGGAAGGCTTTTGAGCTATTCGTTCTTCCAAAAACAATGAGTGCTGCGAAAAAGGCGGGTGATAAGGGTTCCCGAGTGCCGAAAGATACTGATTTTGATTCGGTCTTGAGTGGTCAGATCGCAACGTTTGATAACTTGTTTGACGGAAAGACAGAGCATGCGGATAATGCCATCGACTTCAGTGATGAAGACGAACTTGCCGAAGAAGAAGAGGACTTGAATGATGGAGAGGAGGATGTTTCTGCGAGCCATGCGGATCACACAGGAGTGCCCTCGTTCAAGGAAGACTCAGGTCACAATGAAGAAGACTTACTAGGAAATAACAATGACGAAGACGAAGAAGAAGAAGAAGAAGACGAGGACGATTTTATGAAGGAGCTACAACAGGAAGCAATGGAAGGAGTTGAACAGAAGCAAGACTCAGAACTGGTGGCTGGTGCCGTCTTTGGGTTTGGTGTTCCGAACAATGCAGGCTTGCAAGATTTAGATTTCGCTTCCAATTCGTTATTGGATACAACAAGACAAATAGGAGACTCGGATATTGAGTTTTCGGAGGAAGAGGACACTAGCTCCAAAGAGAAAGAGTCTAAAGTGCTTACTGAAGAAGAAAAAAAGAAGATTTCAGAACAAAAGAGACTTGAAAAAGAGAAGAGAACCAGAGAAAACAAAGAAAAGCTTCTCAGGATATTTTTCCCTACTTTCCAGAAAGGGAAGCCTATGCAATTACAGAAGTTATTTCCGATAATACCTTTAGAGTTCAATTATCAGCAACCGCCACCAATAACGAAACCCCTTCTTCCGAGAGGTAGTCATTTTGAAGTCGATGAAGACGAAAGCAAAGAGTTCGGCATGACGAATAAGCAATTGAGAGAGCAAAATAAACTTATTAAAAAATCCAGTCATTATTTGAATGGGCCAAATGTCATTAGAATCGAGGCGGATGAGGTGGCGAAACCATTGAAAGAAGAAGAAAATAAGAAACGGATTATCAATGCTATTTCATACGACACAAATTTGATTATATCAACTGCCGATTGGAATGACGACGAAATTATTGGCGCTGCAGAGGATATTGAAATCCTTCCTCAAGCAAAAAGACTTAGGATTGAAGACAATAAACTTGACTCTTGGGCTGACAACGATGATGAAATGATATTTGAAGGAAACCTGGACCTTGACCAAATCAACCTCAAGTTAGATATGAATGATCCGAACCTCATATTTGTTGACAAACATACCTACACCAATGACGGAAGGGTATATCAAAAACGTATCAATAACGATTCAAGTATTCCTTCTACTCAGAAACTTCTAGAACTAAAATTCAGTGTGTCTAATGATAAAGAATATGAACCTTTGAAATCAAATTATCAGACCAAAGTTAGAGCAACCATTGGCACTCTTAACATTGACCATACTCCTCCAGCGCTTAGATTACAGTCTCCATTTTACAAAGTAACGCCAACGGAGAAGGAGAACAGAATGTATCACAGACCACGCTTCAATATAAAATCTAATCAAACTATTCATTTCTCTAAACCAAAAACCAGAAAAAAGAAGAGAGACAAAGGTAAAGAAGTTTCCGAGATATTCAAAAAAACTATAGATCTTACACTTGGTGATACTGCAAACTTTTTCCTTACTGAGTATAGTGAAGAGTATCCGTTATCTCTCAGTAAGTTTGGTATGGGATCGAAGATTATTAATTATTACAGAAAAAGAAATGATGACGATAATACTAGACCTAAGTTATCTGTTGGTGAAACTCATGTTTTAGGAGTACAGGACAGGTCGCCATTTTGGAATTTTGGATTTGTTGAAAAAGGCAGTATTGTCCCAACATTGTACAACAAGCTTATCAGGGCACCACTGTTCCACCATGAAGCCTTCTCGACAGACTTTTTGCTAGTAAAGTCATCAGGTGGGGGTAATGGTCAACGATTTTTTTTGAGACCAATCAGTCATTTATTCACTATTGGTCAAACATTACCTGCTATAGAAATACCCGGCCCGCATTCTCGTCGTGCTACCGCGATAATGAAACACAGATTGCGGATGATTGCATATCGTGCATTAAATGCAAGCGACCAAACCAGGATCACAGTAAAGGATATTTCTGAGCACTTTCCTAAGCAGTCCGATATGCAAATTAGACAACGGTTAAAAGAATTCATGGAATATCAAAGAGGTGGTGCAGATCAAGGTTATTGGAGACTTAAATTAGCAGACAAACTTCCTTCATATGACCAAATCAGAAGAATGATGTCACCAGAAGACGTTTGTTTGTTGGAAGTCATGATGTGGGGACAACAACAATTTGAAGATGTTGACAAATTCAAAAGGGAGAGGCTGGATTCACTTGATCGAGCGAATAACGGTAACGCCAAGAAGGAAAAGGAGACAGGGAGTGAAGAGACCTTAAATCAGCAATTAGCCCCTTGGAATACTACTAGGAATTTTATACAAGCAACTCAGGGGAAGGCAATGCTTCAAATCCATGGCATTGGTGACCCGTCTAAAGAAGGAGAAGCAATATCATTTTTGAAAATATCCATGAAAGGTGGCTTTATTAAAAATGTCGAAGGCAAAGATTCAAAACCAGGTACCCCTTCTGGGGGAGCTAATTCTACTTCCACTCATTCTTATAACGTTGCTGTTCAACAAAAGTTATACGATGATGAAATTGCTAAGGTTTGGTACAAACAGGCAAAATCTTTATCCAAATACAGTAATACAGATAAACCCAGAGCAGTGAATCATGAAGAATTGAGTGATATAGGTCTCATGAAGAAGGCAAATGCTAATGTTGATGAGGAAGTGAACGAAAAGCCAAGATATTTAAGAATCACCAGAATGGTAAAAAATTCATACGGTATCAAGGAGAGGAAAGTTCAGGTGATCAAAGATCCTAAAGTTGTCGAGCTTTATGTGAAAAAGAAGCAAGAGCAATTGCTCGAAACAAACGGAATCGCAGACAGCAACAGTATTGTTTTAACCAATGATAAGGAGGAAAATATGAAGGTGAAGAAGCGCCTCGAAGAGGAACTTGCCAAGTTAGAAAGACAAGCAGAGAAGAAGAAGAGAAAACAGTCCGGTATTACTGCGGCCAATATTGATAGTAAGGGCCGTATAAGTGGGAAAGGTATTGGCAAGGGTAAATCTACCAGTAGAAGATGTGCGACATGTGGTTCTCTTGATCATATCAGAACAAACAAAGCATGTCCGTTGTACTATACTGTGCACAACAAATCCAATCCAAACTACATCCCAGGAAGTGAAAAGCAAGCAGAGCTGTTGGCCCACAAATAACCGGCCATTTATGTAACTATTCGATCAAGATATCGTCGTCTATGGGTTAGCGATGAAAATTTAAAGAAATGTAAAATAATAAATGTATCATGAATATATCGAAGATTTATTTTGCGCGTAGTGAACGATCAATGAGAAAAAGGCTACTCTAATTTGGTGACACGTTGAAAATTATAGATAGTATGGAACAGCCTTTGACATTGTAGGGACTGTGTTGTCAACTATTCAGTCACAAGAAACCAAAATAATGGAAAGTACACGTAAGGCGATTCGTGTGTTTGATGCATTTCGTAAGTTGAAAAAGCCAATAAGACGAAAATACCGATTCCCGTTTTCTCAACAATGAACATTATATACTAACTCTCAAATATAGCCAAAACACCACCAAATGATCAGGTTCGATCTTATCGGGGGTCATACTCTACCTTGTTGACATATTTTTTTATGGTGTTTCTTATATGGGTTCAGATTGGAGGATATATTGATGGATTTATCGACCATCAGTTTTCGGTTGACGAAGTTATTAGAAGCACATTGAATTTGAACGTTGATATAATGGTAGCAATGCCATGCAAGTACTTAGATGCTAATATACGTGACGTGACTGAAGATCGAAACTTGGCTGAGGAAATATTGAACTTTGAAGGGCTTTTTGTCCCAAATGCATTCTGGAATATGGGAATACAAAAGGATGTACATACCCCAGATCTAGATATTGTGTTATCGAATTCTTTGGAAGCGGATTACGTTACCAAGGGAGTTCGAACAAACTTAGATGCTCCAACCTGTAGAATATATGGTACCGTCCCTATAAATAGAGTTCAGGGGGATTTTCATATCACTGCTGAAGGTTTAGGATATCCAGGAATGTCCGGTATCACTCCTGCTGACTCTTTGAATTTCACACATTTCATCAATGAGTTTTCCTTTGGTACATTTTACCCATACATTGATAATGCATTAGATCTGACAGCACGTAAGACGAACCAGAAGAGACATACATTCCACTATAATCTAAAAGTCATACCTACAGTGTACAGCAAGTTGGGCCACCAGATTGATACTAATCAATATTCAATCAGAGTGTACGAGACTGATGAAAAGTATGCTCCAGGAATATTTATAAAGTACGATTTTGATCCAATCAAAATGACAGTGATTGAAAAAAGGTTGTCTTTCTTCCAGTTTATCATCAGATTGGTTACCATCATTGGTGGTCTCTGGGTGATTGCGCAATGGATGTACAGGGGGATGGAGAAGTTCATTCTGATTGCTTTTGGAAAGGAGTATTACAGACGTGGCGAGGAAAAGAAAAGCGGATTGCTAGACGCTGAGCCGGAGGATGACTTTGAAAAGATTTAGAAAAGTATACAGAAAAAAAGAAAAATTATCTTTATATAGCTTCAACTGTTAAGTTGAAACATCGAAACCCTAGTGGTATATATTTGATTTGATTGTCGCCTAATTCTGCAACAACAAGCGTGCCTCATGTTTATTTGCAACGGCTGGAACCATTTCCGTGAACCTATAGTACTCATCATCATCAAAAGTAATGATGTCCCAGTATTTGTAGATCATCATATAGCAGAACATCATGGAAAGAGAGCTGAAAATGGTACCGTCTACATAGTGTTTCAAGTTTAGACAAATCACCTCGCTGAAAGCAAACAGTAGCACCTGGGAAGCTGCAAAAAAGAAGCAAGTCAGCGACAAGGCTCCAATTGCCCACCAGTTGAACACCAATGAAAAGCAGCATATGACGATCTGTGAAATCAACCACGTGCCCAACATCACCGGGTTCAAAACAAAATAGAAGACAAACAACACTGTGGTGTTGGAGTTGTTGAGGCTTGGGGACCATCCCTTGAATGTAAAGATCGCGACCATATAGTTGACAATAAACACAAACGAAGAACTCACGTAGAGAGATATCATGGTTTTGAACGATCCGTCGTCCCAGAAGTTGAAGCTTGATAGGCCGGCGAAAAGCAACGACCAGCAAACAACAGCCATATTGGCGATCTCAAAGCTGACAAAGTAGGCATATGTTCTCGAGCCTGGTGGGGAAACTCCTGTGTCGATTACCAACGAAGAGATGGTGTGTGTGATGAGGGTCCAGAAAAAGAAGATCATCTCTTTCCGGGCAACCGAGGTATATCGAAGCCGGACAAGGTAGATGATCATCAAAAGAATAATGAGGTTCCCGATATTTATGAACGAGGTTCCGATCTCAAAGATCAATGTGTTGGCAAGATTGACAGACCTCGCATAGCACTTGGTGAGAATCCTATCGAAAGGTGTGTTTGTGGAACTGTGCAACGGTTTGACCAACGTGCACAGGGGTAATGGGGTTTTCTCGCAGATTTGCTGGAAATCACCAAACGTCATTCTCTTGTGCTCTCAGGTTGTCTCGTCTCCTTTTCGGTGTCCGCACTAACGTAGAGTGATGCACACTTTCTTTGATCTTTCCGTCCTTTTGGCTCATTTCTCTTTTCTTCTCTAGCACGATCAAGGCTCTTCCCCCGAGCTGTCGTCTTTTTCGTGTTTCCCTTTTGTTTCCGTTTTCTTTGTTGTCTCTTTCCCTCGACCCCCGTCTGTTATTTCCTATTTGGGTTTTTGATTTTCAGGCGCGGGTACGGGTGCTCCCCGAGAAAAAAAATTCAAATTTTTCATTGCGGTCAGCTCTTGTGGCTGCAAAACCGAGGATCAGCCAGCCGGATCTGGGGAATCGAGGGAGAGAGGGTGAGGGAAGGAGTCAGCCAGCCAGTGTGACAGAGAAAGCAGACCATCTGAGGGTGCAAAACTAGCTATTGGAGGTGCTGGTGCAGACAAAAGTATTTGCTACAGAAGGACAGCAATATAGAGCAGCAAGCAATGAGTACCGTCGACAAGAAGCAATCTGGTTTAGCAAGAATCTTGGGTCCTGCCGTCGCAGGTGTGTGTGAAATCGGGGTGTTCCACCCTGTCGACACCATCTCCAAGAGATTGATGTCCAACACCACCAGAGTTAACAATTTGGAGAAGTTGAACTCCGTCATTTTCAAAGACAAGGCTTCCGCTCCAGCAGGTAAGAGATTCTTGTCTCTTTTCCCTGGTTTAGGTTACGCTGCGTGCTACAAGATTCTGCAGAGAATCTACAAGTACGGTGGTCAACCATTTGCCAACGAGTTCTTGACCTCCAACTTCAAGAAGTCCTACGACGACCTCTTTGGTCCTAAGACCGGTAAGGCGTTGCTTTCTGCCACTGCGGGTTCCCTTATCGGTATCGGTGAAGTCGTCTTGCTTCCTTTGGACGTCTTGAAGATCAAGAGACAGACCAACCCTGAGGCCTTCAAGGGTAGAGGTTTCTTCAAGATCTTAAAGGACGAAGGTTTCTCTCTTTACAACGGTGCTGGCTGGACAGCTGCCAGAAATGCTCCAGGTTCTTTTGCTTTGTTCGGTGGTTCTGCCTTTGCCAAGGAGTTCATTTTTGGTTTGACTGACTACTCCTCTGCCTCTTGGTACCAGAACTTCGTTGCCTCGATCTGTGGTGCTTCTGCTTCGTTGATTGTCTCTGCTCCTTTGGACGTCATCAAGACCAGAATTCAGAACAAGAACTTCGACGCCAACGAGTCCGGGTTTACCATCCTCAAAAACATGCTTAAGAACGAAGGCCCAACTGCCTTCTTCAAGGGGTTAATTCCAAAGTTGTTGACCACTGGTCCTAAGTTGGTCTTTTCCTTTGCTCTTGCTCAATCCTTGATTCCAGCATTCGACAGAATGTTGAAATAAGTATGTGCACACTAGACATAACCGCCCTATTCCAGTATCTCTCTTTTTCTTTCGTGTAAATAATTACTGTATACATCCTCTCTTTTTTTTTCTTCCACTAACAAATATAATAATAGAGAAACAAAAACCCTGTAACGAATTTAGTAATATTGGTCTTTCTATAACGTGATTTATGCTTGAATTAAATATATACAGGTTAAAAACTACGCTTAAACATCGGTTCTTTTCATTTCAGCCACTTTGTTCAAGTTTTCATTGGCCGCTTCTATGTCTTGTTGGTTCTTCTCCTTCTTTATTTGTTCCGCCAACTCTTTGATGTCATCGGTAAACCCATTTAGGTAATCTTCCACGGCTTCGTAACCTGGTCCCTTGTTCACGTTATCCAATACAATATCTACCAATGCGTTATCAAAAGTGACATGGTTTTTCACAGCACTTATCTTGTTAGGGGTGGAACTTGCAACATTGTTCCAGGCTTCATCGGCCTTGCTGTCAAAGGCAGCATCGACTAATTTTTCAAGCTTTTCTTCTGTTATTGCAAAATTGATTGATGCATTGTAAAGCTCAAATAAGCTCGCAGCTCTCTGAGTGTCTGCGTTTAATCTAGTCTGCAGTCTGTTGGACTCTTTCTTGATTCTCAAAGACTCTTGTTCCTCAGCAGTTCTTGGTCTCACCAGCGGGTCGCTCAAATAGCTTTCCAAAGTTGGGGAGGTGAAAAACTCGGCTTTAGATTGTGTGTGTTTTGCTGCCTCCTGCGCCAATTTTTCTTCTTCAAGCTTCAGAAGCTCCTCGTGTTTCTCTAGATTTTCTAATCTTTCAACCTCTTTTTGGTAAGAGTCCTTCAAGTATTCTCTTCTCATCTGAGCGTTTTTCACTTTAAACTGTTGGCTGATTGGCATTTTTGCAATTTCATCCTCAGTAAATTTCTTCGCTGGCTCATGTGCAGATCTCTTCAGTAATTGTTCAGGAGTGAATACTTTCGAAGGAATGTAATCTCTGGTAATATTTTTTGGGTGGAGAATACCTTCAGCATATCCTGAGTCAGTTTGTTTCTTATAAACTTGGTGTTTGTATGGTTGTTTGAAAATTTCCTTAGGTTTAGGCAACAACCCCGATTTCCCTCCAAACTTCATTGCTCCCTTACCCATGTTGAAGTTTAGCAAATATGATTCTTTCTGGTCTTTGGCACCCTTTTGCTATTAAGCACAAGGCTGCATGACTTTGCCGAAATAACAGTAGCTTGATCTTTTCCCTCTGCCAACTTGAACAAGGATTTCGTCGATTCCGCTACTACAACAACTAGGCACAGCGTGAAAAAAAAGTAAAACCGCGCCGATCGTCCAGCTGGTCCTATAAAAAATAAGCTGAATCACGTAATCAATGTCATGAATCTGAATCAAGTTTGTTGATGTTTCTAAATCTTGCATCTCGGAGATCATGAGCCAAGTCTAGCACTTCTGAGCTTCAGCACAACTGCTTCGGTGTCGGTAATTCATGGCAAGCTAAAAATGGGTGATAACCGTAGAATCTTCTCAGAAGGGCACGTTTCCGTGCTGCGATCTCTGCCCTCCTCCTTTCTCTCTCACAAAGCTAATTTACTATCACCAAGGCAACTCCTGGAATTAAACGCCTCCATCTTACAATATCTCAAGCCAATTCTTAAATCAGAGCCTGAGATTTACAGCATACTTGAATCCCGATTGACAAATCACGGTCCTCATGGCGCAAATGACGAGCAGATTACAAAATCCATAGAGATACCTGAAAATTACCTACAAAAAAAATGGACGACTGTACTAAGACTTCAGCGAAATATTCAGGAGTTGGAGATGAAGAATAAGGCATTAGAAGGAAGAAACAAAGAAATAGTAGAGATGTTGGATAATGAAGTCAAAGCGAACCCACATTGCTCAATTTCGAAAATCAACTGGATTCCTTCGTTCCTGAAATCGTCACTCAGATTTCACACTTCCCCAATCACAGCAATAGCCATTCATTCGTTCAATCCGTACATAGTCACAGCCTCTCAGGATGGTATGATGGTCATATGGAATTTGCTGGATCTTTCTGAACCTGTCAACCAATTGAAAAACGCACATTCCAAGTCGATCAATATGGTAACCTTTCAAAAAGGTACCTCTTATCTAATCTCATGTTCCTCTGATCAGTTCATCAAAGTGTGGGATCTTTCCACTCCAGACGATGTGCGCATTCCCATAAAGTCCCTAACGGGACATGAACATATTGTTTCGGCAATATCATCTTCTCACAAAGATCCTAATATACTATTTTCCTGCTCTAGAGATAAGACTATAAAAGTTTGGGATCTTCAAACAGGATGGGCATTACGCACCATTGATGCACATTCCGATTGGGTGAGATCAATAGACTCAAGTGGAGATTATTTGATATCATGTTCTTCGGATACAAGTATTCGCTTGACGCATTGGCCTACAGGTACGGGTGTTGGTTTGTGTTTGGGGCACAAGCAAGTTGTTGAAGACGTGAAATTCATTCCTAAAAATTCGAATGAGTACCTCGATGCATTCTTGGCAAAAACTGGTAATAAAGGGACGCTAAGTTCTGAACAGAAAACTGAATATAGCCAAGTTGGATACAAGTATGCTGTAAGTTGTGGTCGTGATAAGTTAATCAAAATATGGAAACTACCACTGCCAGATTATAATACGCTAAACGGGTCTCCTATGGCAAACAGCTTAAATCCATACGGCGAGTGCATAAAAGAAATTAAGGGGCATGCATCGTGGGTTAGATGCCTACAGATACATTATAACGGAAGATATCTGATAAGTTCTTCCGATGATCAAACTATTAAGATATGGGACTTGAGTAAACTTGACGAGGAGGAAGTTAAACCTGTGAAAAGTCTACAAGGTCACCAAAGCTTTGTCAATACAATAGCTATATCTTCTCCTACCGATGACGGTGAGCTAAGTGACGATAAAATAAGATGCTATTTGGTGAGTGGTGGTGCTGACAATGTAGTGAACGTGTGGGCTTAAGTGTCTCATGCGAATATGAGGTAACTGTATTAAAGTTTGTGTGTATATAAATCTATATCTATAAATGATGAATGCGGAAAGTTGGTAATAATTGTCATTTTCAGTTGGAATCAGTAGTTAGCCTCTTATCAGCTAATTTAAATTTATTCAACTTTTCCACCCAACAGGTTGCACAATGTTTGGAGCAGAATCTTCGTTTGATTGTCACAGATTTACTACCTTTGAATTCCCACCATTCCAGCATATCGGCCACCGATTCAATGCAATTTTCTCCACAATTCCCACAGGTTTCTCCATTTGTTCCATAAATCAAAGAGTTCATTGCACGTTTGTAGATAAACTCGCTAGTTGAGTCTTTCCATTTTTGTACCTCACTTTGAGAGATCAAATACTTGGAAACTTGTCTTAATGCTAGTTCTGTTAACTTGGGGCACCAGGTAAGCTTTGATTCAACAAAACTTTGTTTTTTCTTTCTTAGCTTCAGCTTATTACTTGACTCAAAATCATTCCAGTCTTTAAGATTTCCGTTGTCATCATAGCACAAATCTTGAATAGTCGACAAGCTGCGTGATAGGATAGAGGCGTGTACTGCATTTTTACTTATTTGTTTGTTGGATTTCAGCCAGTGAATTCTGCTGAAAGATAGAATTTGCTTGTCAGTGTCTAGAAACTCTACAGAGCCCGTTTGCTGTGAATATAGTTTGAGCAATTCAAAATTGATTGTATAAAACTTATCAACTGATGTTTGTGAGATCATTGGGTTACCTGTGGTAGCAAGAACTTCTAATTTTCGGAGATTAAGTATGTTATGGGGCAAAAACTTGAATTTATTCATTGCCAAGTTCAATGATTTCAGATCCTTAGCCTTATCTATGTTTCCTGACAGCCTTGCAATTTTGTTGTTACGTAAAGACAGCATTTCTAATCTTTCTATTGTCAAAAGTTTCGGATTTATTGACCTCAATTTATTGTAGGAAGCGTCAATATGTATTAGTGGTTTAACAATGCCATCATCCGCACAGTCATAGAAGTTTTGAATATCGCATATATAGTCCGGTAAGCTGCTGAGATTGAAATATTGCAAATTTAATGTTGAAATAGGTTTGGTTGAGCTCACAGGCTGTTCAAAGAACTCATCAATGGCTTTGAGTAAATTCTGTTCTTGGATTGGTGAGTTCTTAACAACAAAATATATAGGCTCATCATACAACGTTGGCAAGTAATTCTGGGGTAGCTCATCTTTTTCAAGTTTATATCCGTAGACATGGCCATCTCGATCAATAGCAAATTCCACGTTCGAGTTCGATGTTAGCGCTGGTGGTAAAGGTATGCTCTTGGCTCTTTCCTGCACCATCCTTTGTTTCTTCCTGGTTGGTTCGGTAAATGTTGAGCCATGCCTCGACAACGGATGTAATTGCTTGTTTATTTTGGGACGATGGAACTTGCTAGTTCTATCCAAAGTGAAAGAATCCTTCTTCAGCTGTGTAGACTGAGATAATGGTAATAGTGTAGGAGATGATGGTAGTGAAGGTTTGGAGTCCAAGTTGTTATTAGTTATAGAGACTAGATCGTCAAATGCATCTGAGCTCAATGGCTCAGGCTTCTCGTTGAAAACATTTTGAGAGTGGAAGGGAGAACTAGGAACGTCAATATTGCTGGTATCCATTTGATGAAATGAATCGCTGCTGAGGTTCTGGTTATGGAACTCAAGGATTGTGCTTGAAGTATTAGTAAAGTTGTTGAAGTCGGATAGAGGACGATTATTCTCCACCAACACTGAGGAAGAACTATTTATCATAGAATAGAGAAACTTAGAGGGCTTAGGTTTGAAATCATTTTCCTTCTCCAAGTCCTCATCAGAATACGTATCGGAATCGTTCTCGTAGTCAGTGCTTTCCCTGACTTTGAAGTTACCTCCGATATCGTCGGTATCATGTGTGCTTTTGTCTTTTTGTCGGGGCTGAGAAAGATTCAAGGGAGGCAGATTTTCATCTTGCCTCGATTGATCGTACGCAAATGGTAACAATGGGCCAGCCATAGTTGCAGTATGTGGTGCTCTCCTTCAGTCTGCTGCTCTTCACTCCGAAGCATTCGTGTAGGTACAGCTTGGCTGGAGTCTGAAAAGGGAAACATGAAAACAGGGTGAGAGTGTTGAGAAAAATAGAAAAATTGAAGGAGTCGGTGAAGCAAAATATCAAGTACGCGTAATTCGAGGCTTAAAGCTAGTTTCGTGTTTTACAACAGTAAGCTTGTACAGAGAGAGTCCAAGTGAAGTTCACAAAAATATTAGACCTGGTCTATATAGTTTACATATTTATGTCGTTATATTAACAGCAAGTATTGGTTATATTGCCATGTCGGTATCTCATTGCGATAATGTTGTATTACCCCAGAAACTTGGTAGCAAAAAAGGACAGTAACGTAACTTAAAGTTGGGTGGTAAGTACAAAATACTAGCGGTCTGCCAAGCCGGATCCATAGGATCAGATTTCGACTACTTTTGGAGTGGTGAATATCATGGCGCACGTCAACCTCCTCCGATGCCTGCTATTTGTGTGTGGACTCCTGTTTCCGGTACTGTTAGGAGATACGGAATCTCGCATCGACGTCGAGCTGGACCTACTTTTGGAAGGGAGCGCAGCCGGAGCTGAACTTTCGGAGAGCTCCGAGTCTGGGGAGGGAGCCGGGTCCAATCCGGGGATGTGGTAATGTGTGTTGTTGAAGTGGCTTCTCTTGCGCTGGTTCTGGAAGTAGCTGCTCAGCCTCTGGTCGTTCTGTCTTATGCGGGAATCTATTTTCGAATTGATCATTCCAAACTCGTCTGCCTCGTCTGCATAGATCCACGGATATGAGAAGTGTCTGTATTTCCTGTGGCGCATGTGTGGTGGAATTGGAGAAGCAACTGATTCTGCGTCTGATAGCAAGGCTTCCTCGTCGTCTGCTCCATCGCCGTCATCGCTGATGCAGGGTCTCGCTGGTGGTGCAGTCGTCAGCGTTGCTGGCCGTGGTACAGCGGCACCGTGTTCGTCGCCCTGTGCGTTACCCTGTGCGTCACCCTGTGTGTTCTGGTTCAAGATCGCAGAGTCGCTTTTGTGTCTATAGTAGACCAACGAGCCAATCATCGGCACAGAGCCGCTGCCTTCTCCTCCCCGTGGTCGCAACGAGGCGACGTCCAAGTCGTCGAGAGATACTCTTCTCGAATGGAGTCCCTCGTCCGCCGTCTGCTGGCTCTGCGAACCGTTGTTCATGTCGCTAGTGCACCACATGCTGCGTGTGTGTCCCATGGAAGAGCCTTGCAGGCTTTCTGACGGACGTTTGTCGTTCTCCTCGAACGCCCTCATCGAGGGGTGGGGGCTGCGCTGTTGTTTTCGGAAGGCATCATTGGGACTACCCGCAGCAGAGTTTCGGTCCGGACCTTGTTCTGTCACAATTAGCGACACTCTTCTCTGCATTGCTGTTTGAGTGCGTGTATGTGTGTGTCTGTGTTTGCTTCTGTGTTTCTTGTATCCGCTGCACACTGTTGCGGAGCAGAAACCTAAGAAGAAGGACGATGCAGAGGGTTACGGGAGAAAAATACGAGATCACGGACGGAATCAAGACTTGCAAGAGTAGAGAGGAAAACCTTGCTCTCCTGTAAAGGGGCCTGTCATCGCAGGACAAGCTGTCACACAGCCTGTTCAGTACGGGGATCACGGTTGTTGCATGACAATGTGTGGTGCGAGCGATAAGGTGACCTGTCCACGGCAGACTGTGTGGGGTTACACAGGGGCCGGGAAAAAGAAAAAAAACGGGGAGAGCAGGAAAATGAAAAATGAAAAATAAATGGAAAAGTTGGGACCGAGTTTTTCTAGAAAGAGGGCAATGCCCAGACGGAGGGGAAGAGCGTCCTTATTTTAGAGCTGAGACAGCGAGCGTCCTTTGTTGTTGTTATCTCCCAGATCCACATGTAGCCGCCCGTGCATGGTTCAGCCAGGGCTGGTAAGCTGGCCGCCATGCCAGCCCGTTCCGGGCGGAGTCGAGCCGTTTCAGGTACGCGGTGGTTGCTCTGGCTCTTGTCGTCGTCCCATGCGCTCCATCCGTGCACCGCTGGCTCCGCCTGCCGGCTCGTTTCTAATGCGCGTGTGCTCCCTGCAAAAAGATGCTGAGCATTGGTTGACGTGTAGTAACCAGATCCATTCCATGTACATGTAGAAACACATGGAAGTCTTCTAGGCCAAGCAATTGCTCTGTGCACAGGAACACGAACTGTCTTCTGGCACAATGGACAGAGAAGAGCTCTCCTTTGAGACCTGGAGGCCGCATCTCGTCTACAACAACGACACTGACGCAAATGATCTCAGTTACGAGAAGTCGCAGGCGTATCTCTTTGACAAGTTGACCCGTCTGCATCTGGCACTGCAGCCGATCAACGCAGCGTACAGGCCGGAGCTGGCAGACGACTTGGTGTTTGCGTTTGACCAGATCAACGCGTTGCTGGACTACCTGGTGCACACGTACGAAAAGTCGAAGCACATCAAGCTGTTATCGGTGAACATCAACAACCTCATTGCAAAGACTATCACCTTTGATTTGAGCGTCATGATGAAGAACGGGCACGAAAAATTCAACATCTTGCTTATCGAGCTGGTGAACAAGCTCAGCGACCTCTTTCTGGCCAACCTGAAGAAAATATCCATGTCGAAAAACTGGTTCTCCTCGCTAAAGCACTTGGCAGTGATTGTCCTGCACTACGTCTTCACCAAGTTCAACGGCTTCTTAAACAACGCGAAAAATCCGCTTCTCACGGCGTTGTACAAGCACCTCAGCAAGGCCAATGACTCCTACAACTCCTCCATAGAGAGCGGTGTCTTCAAATCTAACTTCTTCTCGGATATGATTCATTTGGTCGATATCATTTTGACCCACGATAACAGCAACTTGATCTTGGATGAGAAGCTGTTCAACAGACTGCTCAAGTTGTTTAAGTTTGTGACGAAACAGAACGCTTCTTCTTCCTCGTCATTGTCCTCTTCTTCCTCCTCCGTGCCGTCCACATCCGTGCCTGCGTCTTCTAACACTTCGTTGTATACCTACCCGTTAGTCTCAATCCTTCATTCATTCTCCATCTTAGTGTCACTTCTTAAGTCGGACAGGTACATCTCCAGTTTGAGCTCAAGCAAGAAATCGGCAATTACTTCTACCAAATACATGTCCTCCATCAAAGAGCATACATCTGTGATGTTCAAGGCAATGGACACCGATCACAAGAAATTAAAACTTTGCTTAACTAAGAACCTGTCCGACTTGTTGGTCTTTACGTTTGTGGTATTTGGTGCCAACATAAAAGATATCGATTTTGCATTGGATTCCTGCATAACTTTTCTTCTTGCCGAGTATAGGAAATCCTCCACCACTTCAAATGTCAAATCCTCTTTGATAGAAACACTCATTCAGTTTATTTCTAAACTAAATCTCTATTATCAAACGAGTCGGGTGAAAATTTCCAGAAAGGAAAGTCATGCCAACTTTGTCTCGTACAAGTTTTTTGACATCATGAATATTATCTACTCGAACTTATTTGAATTTCCTACGTTGGATCCTTCAAAGAAAAGAAAACTAACGAAGGAAGAACAGTCAGAACATTACATTCTCATAAATAATACAATTGCTATGAACTTTGCTATCAAGACATTGAACCATCTAGATTTGATTCACAAATTCATGATTGATGAGTTGGACAACGATATCAATAAACTCATAGTTTTATCAAAGATAATTTTGGGCAATTCTTCGACAGAGGATAAGATTCGTGTACAATGTTTATCCCAGGTTGTAGATGGCGATAATATTCTCAACGTGTGGTACGCAGCAAACTTACTGAAATTTGCTCAAATACTAATCGAAGACTTGAACGAATTCATTCTATCCGATCATGGTAATCTTTCAACATCTAATATCAACAGCGATATTGCATCTCAATTAATAAACAAAATTAGCAGTCTATGTGTGAATAAGAACTTCAGGGTGCGTGTCATTTCTGTTGAAACTTTGGTTAAATTATTGAGAGTCAAACCGGATATGAGTTTCGGTATAATGAACGAATCTCTAAAAAAGCTCACTTCTGCATTTGACATAAGCGGAAAGTCTGTAAATGAAGAGTATAAAGGGTCTTTCAATGATAATTACTCCAATTCCTATCTAATTGTCTCTATTTTATCATTCTCATCGAAAGACTACATCACTTCTGATTTTGTCTTGAAGGTATTTACTCTCTCCTTGGAGTTTTTGAAAAAGTTCAATACTTCGGTTGTTTCGACCAACCTGCTTGGTTCGAGTTCCGGAGTTACTATTTCAAACTTGAACTACGAAAAACAATTAGTTTCTTGGATTTTATTGCTCGGATTATTCAACTATGCTTCCAACGATGAAAACACAAAATCAAATAATTTGTTTCTACAAGACCCAACCCAGTTTTTGACTATATGGAAAAACTTACTAGCTCATACTATTCCTAAGGGATTCATACAGATTGACCAAAAAACAAAGGGAATCACGAATATAAGTGAGATTATGAAAATCATTGAAATCAAGAATCAATCACTGGTTTGTCTTATTGCATATATAAGTTACATGAATTCGAGTGGTGGATTACAGAATGATGACTTAATTAGGCAGTTGAACCAAATACTCATCAAAAGCTACACTTTCATTTCCACTTTCACCTCCGAACTATCTGGCATGAATGTCCCACAATTCTTAGACAACTCCCTGTGTGGTAACAAATTGAGGATCTTCGAAGCTTACTTAAAGTTGCTTCCACACTTGAACATAAAAAATGAAATAAACTCGACTCTTCTTCTAGATATTGTCAAAAAATTTTGTGATATTGAGAAATTTAGATATCAGTTTAAAGACCCATTTGGAAAATTTATCAAGACATCCAAAAAGAGAATACACGTCAACTCTATTTCTGAGTATTCGATTTATTACATTGACGATGGAGTTTGGTATGGGCTTACAAGTAAATTCAATAATTTCAAGATCGATGAGTTGATGATTAAGGATAAAACATACAAGGTGGTCAATAACAGAAGTGAGTCGGATATTGATCTAGTTCCTTTTCACACTCAATTTTTAGTCGAGTCACCTCACATACAAAGTAATTTATCAAATATTTTGGTTTTTGATGATACTGCTGAATCCAGGAATTTTAATTTTTTGAATCATTCTTTATTACACGATGCTTTCATGCTACTATATAATAATTCATATGATGTTGGCTACACGGATACCATGAAATATCCTGTTCCGACAGATACTATGACTATTGATACCTCCATTGAGTTGTTTGCAATATCATTTCCTCACCTTTCTTCAAAAATCCAGCTATCTGTTTTGGAATCAATAAGAAGTTTTGTCTTTTATAAAATGAAGGAAAGTAGGTCAATAGAGTCTACAAATTTTGATGAATCAGAGGAAGGTAGTATCAAACTTGAGTTTTCATTAATGTTGAGAAAAAAAGCCATATCAATAAATACATCAATTGCTTTCCACAGTCTTCTAAACTACATGTTAAGGTTTAATACAAACATGAGTAAAAAGTTGAGCCTCAAAAAAGAGGTTGCCAATTTGATTATTGAGACCTTAAAGAATATCAATTTTGAAGATATTTATCTAGTCAACTTGAATTCAGAAAGTATTGGTATTTGCTGCTCGTTAATCGATGATAGTTCTGTTCAAGAGGAGATGTTGAATAATCAAGTTTCTATCATCATTAACTCTATTGCCGAAAGCTCAAATCCAAATGTTAGAGCTTTTAACATCAAAACGTTGTCACAGCTAACCAAATTTTCCAGCATGATAAACACAAGTAGTATAACTAAAACGATTTTTACTTTACTGCTTGACCCTCATCCTATTGTTCACGCTGCCTCTTTGCAATCTCTTGATACATTTCTAAGTGGGAAATCTAATTTGGAAATATCGAGTAATTTGACTCATGTTATCATCGACTATCTGGAAAAAATTTGGCTGAATGATAATTTTGGTATCAGATCAGCTACTACCATTTCCTCAAATATCAATTTCAGAGAACACTCAAACTCAGTTAATATGATGGTTAAATTAGTAAGGTCGCTTATCAATACTGCCGGACCAACGATAAGATTATGGAGTGACGAGTTGAAATCAAAACTTTCTAACATTTTGTTCAATTTTCAGTTTCTGGTTACTTTCGATTACGAAATAGTTGTCAGGGAGCTACTAAAAATTTATGAAGAGTTGCTTGTTTTTGACAAAACTATCATAAATATGAGCAACTACAAAATGTTAACAAAGTTACTCATTATAAATAATTTCAAAATTGGAGTATATGGACACTCATTGAGTAACATCCCATTCGACGATGAGTATGATAACGAAAACACACATGAATGTTTTCCATGTACCACTAGTTCTAAACTTTTGAACATCTCTCTAGAATCTGCATTTCAATTATTCAAGTTGGAAGACGAAGGCATAATTGATGATGATTTTGAAAATCTATTATGGATTGCATTGGAGATAGATCCTGGCAACGAATCTATTCAAAACATTGTCACGATTTTGCTTGAGGATTCTATGAAAAAGTCGAGTGAAGAAAAGTTTGGATGGTTCAACAAGCTTCTTAATTATTTCAATATCTCTAAAGCAGCGCTGTTAAGCCCATTGATGAAGACTTTTGTCAAAAGGATAAACAATGGTGGTATGTATTTTCATATTCCAATTAGTGAGACAAAAGCCACTTCTTCCAAAAAAAATAGCAATAACAATAATAAGGAGACTGTCAGCAACAAGATTTCAAATAATGCTGAAGATATGGATGCTGAGCTAGCTGAAGCTGAGGAAACACTTACTTCCGAACAGCCTAAGCGCAGTTCTGAATTTTCAAATAGTCGTGAAAATGAAGAAGAAGATGATGATGATGATGATGATTACAATGGTAATAAACTGAAGATAGGAGCTAATGAAGATGATATGATTAATATATTGGATTTATCAAATGAACAGGTGAACTGGAAGTTCAAGTTATTCATCATTGAATTATTGAACAAACTTCTCTCATTTTGTAAAACGGACCAAAAGCTGAAATTGAGTTTGTCTAAAAAAATACCAGAGTTTGTGAGAATTTCATTCATCTCTTCTAGCTCTAATTTGATTACACTAAGAATATCGTCGTTGAAATTATTAGGTGAAATTATTGAGCTTTATTCTGACATGTCCGATCCTCTTTATCCAGATGTTTCAATCCTCGATCAACAGCAAGCCCAAATTATGAGTACCATCACTCCATCATTTAATAAAGGCTCAACCGTCGAGCTTGCAGGTGAAGGTATAGTTTTGTCTTCAAAGTTTATCAGCAGCAATATAACAGATATTAGAAAAGTTGGGCGGATTATCAAGATATTAACAACTAGCTTGGAGAATTTGGCAATCACAGCAAAAGGAAGTCCTGGATCTAATGAAAAAGAAAACACTTTCACCAAAATTGGTGACTTGCTTATCTTGACAAAGAGATCTGAAAATAAAATTAAAATTTATGTTCTTCAAGCATGGGCTAGAATGATGATTTTAAACGAATCCAACGATAATTCAAATGCCGAGTTGAACACCTTAGTTCAAAACTATGCTAAGGTTCTTATTCCATTATGGGTCCACACAATCAGGGAGTATGCTATGCTCAAGTACGGTACTCTTAAAGACCTTAATTTTGACGAATCTAACGAAGGGTTGGATTTAGGAATCTATGAAGGATGTTGGGTTGACCTTGTCGAAGCAATTGGTATCGTAATCGATGACAAGAACCACTACAGCTATTTGGTTAATATTTTAGGTGATGACATTGGAAAGCTATTCATGGTAATTTTCAGCTTATGCTTAGAGTATATTACAAAGAGATCCAACAAGATGAAGCTGAATTACTCTCCAGATGACATGAGGATCCTGAAATCGCTAAGAAAATTAATGAAATTAGAATTGTCCATCAAGATATTGTTCAATGACTACATTTTTGCTGAATTTGTCGATATAATTAACAAGCTTATTTTAGTTTCAACAGAGAGCTCTACAGTTGATCTGTTGAGCACGATAGACGAGTTGTTGAAAGACATATTTTTATTATATTTCAATGATCTCAGGCTCAGTCAAACGGATGAAAATAAGCAGGAGAAGTCGCCTGAAGAAATTTACTCAGACTTTGACAAATTATTTGAACTCTTGAGGCTTGTTATCAAAATTGTCACCTCGAAATTGGCATTCATCAAATACAAAGAGATCAGTCATAACACTTGTATTAACCTGGATGGTGCAGATTTGGTTTTGATTAAAAAGTGTTTCACATCCTTTATTGAGATGATAAACAAATTACCGCCGCCGATTCAAAAAGACCTTTACTCGAATCTAGTATACATGCAAGTTTTGATCCATGAACTAAACGATGCAAAGTTGTTAACAATTCTATTACCAGTTTTCCAGAAAAGTTTAGCCAATTACAAAAACTTGATGAATGATGACGATACAGATGATAATAAGAATTTGAGAAATCTGTTCAAAATCTTTAAAATTCAAGATAGCTCAAAAGAAAACCAACTCTTGACTTTCATTATACTAAAAACCATTCCGGATATTCACCTTGGTGAAAGTGATATTGAAATAATTAATACGATGATAGTTTCAGGGTTATCGTCAAAAGATTCTAATTTGATATCACTATCTGTTCAAACAGTTAAGTCGATAATTGAACACATTGAATACACCGAATCCTCTAGCTCTGCGAATTCCAAAAGGATACTCATGAAATTGATACCACTGCTGATAGATACGATGTCCAAAGATGACGTAGAATTGACTGAGCCAAGATTATTCATTGAGATTTTTGTAATTTTTATTAGAAAAATCCATAATTTTGATTCTGGGGTTGCTGCGGAATCAACAAAGCTAGACTCAAGTTATCAGCTAGTATTACCTATATTAGTTTTTTTCAACTCAAGATTCGGGTATGAGAGCTATATCCATGACAAACTTTTAGAATTGGTTGAAATTGATCCAGCTGTTTTTAAAAAAACAATTAAAAATTCTAACGATAGTTTAAAATCAGCTATCCAGAGGTTGGTAAATGTGAACCATGTTGAAGGAGAGAGCGAGTCGGGTGAAATTCCGAACAATGCATCTACCTCTAAGGAGGCGCATATTGAGTTGAAAACTTTTGGCTGATACTACTAAAAGTTGTGTAAACTGTTTACCTGTTATACCTGATTTAATTAATTATTCATATTTATTTACTTGCAAAGTGATTATTATTTAGTCCAGTTGATTCATAAGCAAGAATCACCTCCTTCTGGCAACGCAGAAATTGTTCATTTTGACTTCACCGACAATGTAACTAAAGTTTTCGTTGATAAATGCCTGAAGCGTGTTCAAATTGGCATACAATCCATCGAACATTTTGGTTCCATCGGCATCTTCGATTCCATACATTTCCATCAACTTTCTGTTGAGTTCAATGGTCGATAGGTCAGATTGCAACTTGAACCATGGTTTGACAATGAAATCGTCTATAAAACTCTTGATACTGAGAGATTTCTCGATTCCGGAGGAATTATCAGCATCTAAAATTGTTTCACAGTATAAAATTTCCCACTCTGGATTTTCCAAAGATGTAGCATCCTTGGCAGAATATTTCATATCGATGTCAACATAGAAGCTGCATTCAGAGCTTGAAACAACAAAATCCGGGTTGTATTTATTCATGTTGTTAAAGCCTGCTGGGATGGCTGAAGTGGTCTTAACTAATCCTTCAAAAGAATGGACTGCAGGTTCGAGGAAGTCTCCAGGAAGCATTCCATCAAAAGAAGACTGTGTAAATTTCAAGCGCTGGTTATCGTTGAGAAAAAGGGAGGAAGGGTAGTGGTACCATTCCCTGCCAATGCAGACGTTTTCAATTACGGAGGAATGGTTATCGACTGTTGAATCAGATAAATATTTGAATACGTTGATTGGAGCCGAGTAGTTTGTGTTCATGTTATTAACTCTTGTCAAGAACAAAAAAACTGTTGTCGACAAAACGACATAGTTCAAGATTTTCTTTGTGATCTTGGTAAAGCAGTTTACATTGAAAGTTTCACAGGACATGAACTGGGCAAAGGAAATCGAGATGAGATGATAAATCGGGTACATGAAACGTTCTTCCTTGTGAGCCTGGGAAACAAAAATACCAAACCAGATTAGCAAAGGCAGTTTGTAAATGACTAACTGGTATCTGTTGAAAAGTGTCAAGAAATTGAGTGCACCAATGACGAAAAAAATGTGGAAGTTCAACAACAAGTTCTTGAAGTACCAGAGGAAGTCTTCTGTTCCAAAGATGTCAGGACCAGTAGAATCGGACGCGTGGAACACGTTGTAAGACAAGATGTTGAACCCAACATAAGCTGTTTTCTTGTAGAACAAGGAGTCGAATTGTGCAATGAAATATGCGATGAAAAAGACGCAAGATAGGCCGGACAATAGATAGATGGAAAATAGTCTCATGACGCTATAATCGTTTTTCAAAACGGATTTAGGGGAGAACACGAGGGAGTTGATCAAGCTGTAGGTGATGAAAGGAACAATCAACACCATTGAGAATGGCCACCCGACAAAGCCTGCGACGGCAGTCAATAGTGTTGCCATCGTGTACGATTTGGTGATCAAAGGGCTGGAGACTCTGTATAGGTTCAAGAGCATGTTGGTGCGAGGAGCCAACTCGTCAACCTGGGGCGCATCCTTGATGGTGTTCGCCTTGTCTTCCAAGTTGACCAATTCTGTATCGATGCTCGAGATGAATTTTTCGGTGTTAAAGAAGTGGATAATGTATGTGGTGGATATGATGCCGAACAAAAGGGTGTACGAGCTTGGGAGGATGCTGACTGCAGCCTGGTACATGCCCGGGGACAGTATCTGCGAAAGGAGAAACCAGTTCTGGATGTTTTTGTTGAGGAACTTCAGGCTTTTGGAGAGCTTGATCTCGGCCAGGGTGAAGGATGCGGCGAGAATGACACGGACCAGATAGAAGAGAGTGTACGAGGGGACAGCCACGTGGTAGAGGCTGAGGGCGTACTTGAGCCAACTGATCGGATAGATGAGCAGGGAATACTGGGCAAGGTAGGCGTACGACCGGATGGCGTATTCTGGAGAGTACTCCCAGGTCTGCTTGCCGAAAAATCTCGTCAAGAAGTTCAACGGTTCCCAGAAGTTGAACACTTCGTCGCAGTCGGGGATGATCGCGTAGACAGCGGCATGGAGACGGGTCAGCAGGAGCGTCGTGTAGAGCACGTACTGTAGCATTGCGGGGTCGGTGCGTGATGGCGGAGCAGCAGGGCGGCAGGAGCCGGCAATAAGAGGGAAGAAGCAAACACGGTCCGGACAGACGCCGGAAGTAAATAAATACACGGATTCTGATGATGGTGGAAAGAACGGGCCACATGTCCTGGACGGGCGCGCTTACGTAACGCGGGAGCCGGATTTTACAAAAGTGCTTGTTGTACAACGACGTATACTGGGAGAAGTGTATAAAGTAGACAAATAAATAACGGATGGGGGAGGTGACGGTGGCCGGGGACGCCATGCGCAGCGGCGGTGGGTCCAGAGAATAATAGAAGGGTGCTGGTGGGGCCCGTGGGGCCCTTCGGGCCCAGACACTAGTTGTATCTGTCCTTGGAGTTGGCGTTCCACAGCAGGCCGTCCTTGTCCAACTGCTTGCCGACCAGGACCGTGTGTGGAGGGTGGAACTCGTTCTTGTCCGAGTACGTGTTCTTGACCTCCCACCATGGCACGTCCTTCATGATCTCGGCCTCTCTGTTGTAGTACGCCAACGATCTTCTGAGCACGTCTCTGTCCTGCTCCGCCTGCAACAGAGGCAAGACGTTGATTCTCGCCCAGAGCTTCTCTCTCGAGAGCTCCACCTGTTCTCTGTTGCCCTCGATGATCTTGTAGAACCCGTACGACGACATTGCGACGAGAAGACCGAGCCAGACCGATGGTCTGAACCCTCTCGAAGGGAGGTTTCTCTTCCATTGGAGCTTCTCGTAGCCCTGCGTAGGGGCAAGGTCTTGGTGGTGGGCCATCGTGTCTGTGTGTGTGTGTGTGTTAGCGCGTGCTGTGCTTGCAACCGACTCTGCTGTTTTGTCTGAGACTGTTTCTCTGTTCCTCTTTCCCTCTGTCCCTTCTGCCTCTGCTGCTGCTGTGTTCTCTTGTGCCCTGTACAAAGCTCAGCGCTTTCGCATTGGGGGAGAAGCGCAAAAAGGAGGGGGGGAAATGTCGGTGCACTGGTGTAAAATGGCGCCAGGGGTCGATCGACCCAAAAAAACGGAAATCCGGGGCCCCGGGCTCCGGGGATGCCGGCGGGGCGGGCCCTGGGGTGGTGAAGAGGACGTGGCAGCAGAAGAAGAGGAAGAACAGGAGGGCCAGCGGGGCCAGCGGGCCCGACAGAAGGCAGAAAGCGGCAGCAGAAAGTCAGCAGCAGCAGCAGGATGACAGTGAAGATTACGACACACGAACAGGCGAAGACGCTGATCGAAACGCACGACACGTTTCTGTTTGACTGCGACGGGGTGATCTGGATCGGGGACGAGCTGCTTCCGCACGTGAAGGAGACGATTGGCTTGCTGCAGGCGCTCGGGAAGACGCCAATCTTCGTGTCGAACAACAGCACGAAGGCGCGGACAGACTACGTGGCGAAGCTAGCGGGGTTCGGGATCGGCGGGATCGAGACGAGCCAGATCATCAACTCGGCGTACTCGACGGCGATCTACGTGCACGAGGTGCTCCGGCTGCCGAAGGACCAGAAGGTGTGGGTGCTTGGGCAGAGCGGGATCACCGCAGAGCTGCAGCTGCTCGGGTACGAGACGGTGACGTTCGACGACCTGGAGGCGGCGGCGGCGGCCCGTGGGGCGGCGCCGCTGGCGATGGAGGACGTCCACGAGCTCGTCGACCCGGGCGTCGGCTGCGTCGTCGTCGGGCTCGACTTCCAGCTCACGTACCTCAAGCTCGGCGTCACGCTGCAGCACCTCCTCGACGGCAAGACGCCCTTCATCGCCACGAACATCGACTCGACGTTCCCCTTCAAGAGCACGCGGCTGCCCGGCGCCGGGGCCATCGTCGAGACGGTGGCCTTTGCCAGCGGCAGAGAGCCCGACGCCATCTGCGGCAAGCCCAACGCCGGCATGATGGACTCCATCCTGGCGCACCACCGCCTCGACAAGACCCGCACCGTCATGGTCGGCGACCGCTTGAACACCGACATGCGTTTCGGCAGCGCCAACGGCATCGACACGCTCCTCGTGCTCACGGGCATCGACCGCGAGGCCAGCGTCGCCGCCGGCCACGACGACGTCTCCTTCTACGCCAACGCCCTTGGCGACCTCTACACCCTCTATAACTCTGTCTAGACGGCCAACTCGGAGCTCACCGAAACATGTTCCGCTTACGTAACCCCGTCCGTCTCCTGCGGCTCCGTCCGAGGCCCGCCGAGGCAGGTTAGCTCCAGCTCCGTGCCGTGCCCGTGCCAGCACAAGGCCTGCCCCTCCTGCTGCCTGCGTGTTCTGCCTGCTGTGTACCTCTTCGCCACAAGAATAACCCCGTCCGAACGTACTGCCTGCCCCCATACCCTTCCTCCCCTCCTCCCCTCCGCCGGGGGTCTTCTTCCGCCCGCCCTCGCGTCTTGCTCTGACGTCGTTGGATTGACAGAGAGACTGACATCACAACTTTCTCCACCTCCGCCGCAGAAAAGACGCCGACGCCGACGCCGGGAGAGGACACAGAAGACGCCCTGTAGAGAGCCGGACACGCGTGGACACGACCCTTCTGGCACACGACACAACACAGCACCGGGACCTCAACTGGACACTCGGCTACTCACACAGACACAACCCCCTCCTGCACCACAGCAGCACGCTACGCCCCCCACACACAGTCGCCACCACGCACGGACCTCCCCTCTGCATTCCTACTGCGAACGACACCGCAGGCACCCTGTTTTCTCAGCTCTGCACACCCGCCACCACGCCCCGTGCTGCTCCCACCCACTATCGCTAAGACGCCGTCCCGCCGAAACCTTTTGCTACCTATCTAACGCCGTCACCGACACAGCACACACCCCCCACACATGTCCGTGACACAAGAAACACTAGAGTCGTCCGACCTCATCAACTGGACCATATTCCAGGAGCTCCTCCTGATGGACGAGGACGAGGAGGGCTTCGCCCTGTCGCTCGTGGAGACGTTTGTCCAGCAGGCAAACGACACGTTCAAGGAGATCGAGCAGTTGCTCGGCGAGCAGTCCGCCAAGACCGAGGACAACTTGAGAAAGCTCTCGTCGCTCGGCCACTACCTCAAGGGCTCCGCCGCCGCCTTGGGCTTGCAGAAGGTGCAGAACGAGTGCGAGCGGATCCAGAACTACGGCAAGATGGAGGTCTTCGACAACGACCCGCTGGCCGCCGCCGCCAGGACCCCGCAAGACTGGTTTGCTTGCTGCGCCGAGGCCTACACCCAGGCCGGCCGCTACTTCATCGAGAGCAAGGACTTGCTGAGCGGCTTCTTCCAGGCCAGCCTGTAGACCCGCCCGCCCTCCACATCCGCTCTGTAGCACTCCACACTCTCCCTACGTAATAACTAATTCGATCTGTGTTTACTATAAATGCGCTTACACCTCTATACATCCAGCCGGCCGCAGCCGCCGCCACCCTCGTCTACTCCGAAGGCCCGGATGCCGTGCCCTTAAAGTTGTTCTCGATGAACGAGTACGCCAAGATCAGGCCCATGGAGACCATTCCCAGATACACCGTCAACGTGTTGAGCTCGCTGTCGCTAATCATCGTTTCTTCTCTGCAGCCACGCTTGTCTCTCTCCCTCTCTATCCTCCAGCCCTCTCCCCTTCTTCCTTTCCACCCCTTCTTCTGTCTGATTCTCTTGTTCAACAAACATGACACGCAGACATCTCTCCCGGTTACCCAGATATCTCGTTTTTTGGGCCGATCGACCCACCCGCCTTTTTTCCGCCTTTTTTCCGCCCCAGCCCCCCCAGAATCTGGCGCTCCCTTCCGGCCGGAACGGCATACCGCTTCCGATTAGCACGAAACGTGTCTTCGGGGAACACCCCCCGGCCGAAGGTTGGTGAAAAGTTTTGCGGACGAAACGACGGGTTGGTTGGAGGGGGTTTGTTTGGGTGTGTTAGGTAGAGAATATTACCAGCAGTCCCGCTACAACAACCAGTACCCTGACACAGCACTCCACACCATGTCCGCCAGAAAGCTCACGTTCATCCCAGGCCCTATCGAGTTCTCGGACAATGTCCTTGCAGCCATGTCCACGCCTTCGCAGGCACACACCTCGCCTGAGTTCGTCAAGGTGTTCCAGTCGGTGCTGGTGAAAACCAGAAAGATGTTCTGCTCCGCTGCAGCATCGAAGTCGCAACCGTTTGTGATCTCCGGGTCGGGCACGCTCGGGTGGGACTTGTGCGGATCCAACCTGGTGAACCACAGCGACAAGGTCCTGGTCTTGTCGACCGGGTTCTTCTCCGACCAGTTCGCCAACTGCCTGAAGATCTACTCCGACAGCGTCGACGTCTTGGAGGCACCGGAGTTCGGCGCCTCCGTCGACTTCAAGCAGCTCGAGTCGAAGCTCGCTGCCACCGCGTACGACGTCATCACCATCACGCAGACAGACACCTCGTCGGGCGTCTTGACCGACGTCGAGGCCGTCTCCAAGGTCGTCAAGAAGATCTCGCCTAAGACGCTCATTGTCGTCGACGCAGTCTGCGCCACCGCGTGCGAAACCTTGAAGTTCGACGACTGGGGCATCGACTACGTCTTGACCGCCTCCCAGAAGGCCGTCGGTGTTCCTTCCGGCTTGTCCATCTCCATCGCCTCCAGCAGAGCCATGGAGAAGGCTCTACAGAGACCAAAGCCCTCCTCCTTCTTCGCCGACATGAAGAGATGGGCCCCAATCATGCAGGCCTACGAGAGCGGCAAGGGCGCCTACTTCGCCACCCCGGCCGTCCAGTTGATCCACGCTCTGAACGTGTCCCTCGACGAGTTGCTCGCCGCTGACACCCAGACCATCGACGCTAGAGTCGCCGCTCACAAGGCCGCCTCCGACGCCTTCAAGGACAAGCTCGTCAACGAGTTGGGCCTCAAGCTCGTGCCGGTCTCCAGAGACGTCGCCGCCCACGGTCTCTCCGTCGTCTACTACCCAGAAAACGTCGAGGGTGCTGCTCTCTTGTCCAAGATGGCCGCCAACGGCTTCACTATTGCTTCCGGTATTTACAAGGAATACAAGGACAAGTACTTCAGAATCGGTCACATGGGTGTCAGCGCAGTTGGCGAAAGAAAGCAAGAATTGAACGAATGTTTCGAAGCTTTGAAACTCTCTTTGTCCGAATTGGGTTACCAAAAATAGACACCCCTTGATCTCTCTTTTTTCCTTTTGCGTTTACTCTCCCTCTCCATTTCATTCTTAGATTAAAAAAGTAGTACCTTATTATTATTTAGATCTGAAAACATTTACTAGCTACTACCCTGCATCTATTTGCTCGCTCCTTGTATCAACAATTGCTGCATATTGCCAACATTCGGCAGGTTATTCTGTTTCAAGTAATCCACCAACTGGCCCAAGGTAAAATCCGGGTATTTTGACAAAAACTCAGAGAGCCGAATTTGAAACTCGGAGAGTAGCTGCGGGAACTTCGCCATCCCACGTGTCACAAGCATCAATAGCATCGCCGTACGGTATGGGTTCTTGCATGCAGGCATCGAGTTCTGTATGGCCTGCTCTAGATGATCTACATACGTCAAGTAGGGTAAGAAGTTATTGCTGTCAGTCAAGTGTTCGTTTGCTCCGGAGTTTTCAATCAAAATATCAATCAAAAGCTTCAACTGGAAGGATATATTCTGATTCCTCTCAATTAAAAGTAAAACATCGTATGTCGAGTTCAATGGGTCCATGCAAGAGTCTCGCACATACACATTGGAAATGCAGTAGTCGAGTATCCATTCTTTGAAGACCCTGTCCATTTTATCGAAAAATCTTATGTAGTCTTTTGGCCTGAGGTAATCACTATTTGAGTACATTCTCCACGACATCGGAACTGGCTCGCCCTGTTGTCTTTTCATTGTCAAAAGGTTGGCAAGAAAGTTATACCTGGACGATTTCACCATCTTCACAAGCTCTTTTCTTAAAAATTTGTGGGAGAAATGGTTGTAGAATCTGAATCCAAATTCAGCTTCTAATTCTTTCGCATCTACTTCCATAGGAGCAAGAATTTTATCATAATTGTCATCCGATAGTTGAAGAGCATTCAAATCTGATTCGGTCACCGTGGCGCAATTTTTATCGATGAATCTGATACAGTTTTGTAGAAAGCTGACGTCGCTAGGAACGTCTTCAAACTCCCAATATCCACCTTGTTTTGGACGTGTATATCTTATTCTCAAGGAAAGTAGATTTTTCAAGCTCTCAACGTCGTTGGGCAACGGATCCGCGTGATCCCCAGTGGTTAATGGGCTATTATTATCGGAAACCATTTTTATTGAGAAGTTGTTACCTATCTGCAAAGCTTTTACGGTAGGATCTATTCCGTGTTGCTGGCTTTTGTTGATATCCAACATCCGCATTTGCGAATTGAGACTATCCGCAAAACCATCCATTATACCATGTATTTTGATCAGCTTATTTGCTTTATGTAAATTAACAAAGAATTTTCAATTGACCCTCCAAACTTTGATATTAAAAGACCAATCTTTTGTAAATGCACCGATATCTTCTCGTTCTGGTGTAAAGATAGGGAAGGAACAAAGAGAATACTCTCGCGAAAAATGTTTTATTTGTAACTTGGTTAAATTATTATCAAAGCGTTGAGACCGATTTATATAGAAAATATAGAAAAATAAGAGTATTATGTACGTATGTATCAGAGGAAAGGAGAAAAGAGAAAAAAACAATTGAAGTAAAGTAAAATTCAGTAAGTGCGTTGGGAAAAAATGAAATCCTGTTGAATGAGATCAAATTTCCAGTTAATGAGTTATGCCACGCTTAGGTGGATAATGGGAAGTCGCCAGCCCAAGCGTAGACTTCGGTCTTCAAAGAAGCCAACTCTGGAGAGCCTTCAGCAATCTTCTTCTTGAAATCCTTCAACTTGTTGGCCTCGATAGGCAACTCGCTTTGAACCTTCTTTGCGTATTTGACAGTAGCGTCGATGTAGTTGGCAATCTTGACAAAGTCTTCCTCGGAAGCACCTCTGGTGGTCATAGCTGGAGCACCAATTCTGACACCACCTGGGACCAAGGCAGACTTATCACCTGGGATGGAGTTCTTGTTCAAGGCGATGTTGATCTTTTCACAAACGGCTTCGACTCTGGCACCGTCGATACCCTTGTCCTTCAAGGAGACCAAAACCATGTGGGAGTCGGTACCGTTGGAGACAAGAGTGTAGCCCAACTTCTTGAACTCGACTTCCAAGGCCTTAGCGTTCTTCAACACTTGTTCTTGGTATTCTCTGAACTCTGGGGTGGCAGCTTGCTTCAAGGCAGTGGCCAAGGCAGAGATGGTGTGGTTGTGTGGACCACCTTGGTGACCTGGGAAGACAGAGAAGTTAATTGGGTTTTCCAAGTCGTAGTAGATCTCCTTACCGGTCTTAGGGTTGACGGATCTGACGCCCTTTCTGTAGAAAATCATGGCACCTCTTGGACCTCTCAAGGACTTGTGGGTGGTGGTGGTGACAATGTCAGCGTATTCGAATGGAGATGGAATGACGCCGGCAGCAATCAAACCGGAGATGTGGGCCATGTCGACAACCAAGTAGGCGCCGACCTTGTCGGCGATTTCTCTCATTCTCTTGTAGTCGATCAATCTGCAGTAGGCAGAGGTACCGGCGACCAAGACCTTTGGTCTGAACAAAACGGCGGTTTTCTCCAACATGTCGTAGTCAATCAAGCCGGTGCTCAAGTCGACTCTGTAAGGCATGGTTTCGAAGTAGGTAGACACAGCAGAGATCTTTCTGGTGTCGGTCTGGTAACCGTGGGACAAGTGGCCACCATGGGGCAAGTCGAGACCCATCAATCTGTCGTGTGGCTTCATGATGGCTTGGTAGACCTGCAAGTTGGCTGGAGAGCCTGACAAGGATTGGACGTTGACGCCCCACTTCTCCGGGTCCAAGTGGAAGGCCTTCAAGGCTCTGGCTTGGCACAACAACTCGATTCTGTCGATGTGCTCGTTACCACCGTAGTATCTGGCGCCAGGGTAACCTTCGGAGTACTTGTTGCACATTGGGGTTCCCAAGGCGTCGAAGACGGCGGTGGACGTGAAATTTTCGGAGGCAATCAAGTCGATGGAGTGCTTTTGTCTGTCGATTTCGTCCTCGATGATCTGGGCAACCTCAGGGTCGGTTTCCTTCAAGTGGCCAGAGACCATAGCTCTGTGGGAGGCGGAAAGGGTGTCGTGGACCATTGTGTGCAGCTGAGTGGTTTGTGTGTGTATGTAAACGTGCAGTGTGATCTGTTTTGAGGGGAGCAGAGCAGTGTACCGTACTCTAGCACGGCGCCAGGAAGAAACCGCTTCTGCAAAAGGTGCCAAAGCCTGTGTATAAATACGCTTCTGACATGTGCCCAGGGCCGTCTGCGATGGAAAAAAAAAAAAGTTGTGTCACCCCGAGGCGGTAGTAATTACCCAATTTAAATTTGCACCTTGGCGGGAGAAGTCAAAGTAAGCGGGAAGAGAGGCCAGACAGTCACGTGGAGGCCGGCACGGAATGGTGGAACAGCTCCAGCTCAAGCTGCAGGCCCAAGAGACGACGAGGGGGCAGGAAGGAGAGGATGCAGGACAGGTATTAGGAGAACTGATTACTTTATATAGTTAGTACAGCAGTATAAGAAGTCTGTATAGATAGAGGACAAGTACACAAGGATTCTTAACGGTAGGATTTTTGGAATCTGGCTCTTGCACCACGACCACCGAACTTCTTTGGTTCCATTCTTCTGGCGTCGGCAATCAACAAGGTTCTGTCGTAGGCGGCGAAGACCTTCTTCAACTCGTTCTTGGAGGCCTCGTCGACGTACTTGGCGGTGTAGGCAATCAAACCCTTGGCAAGAGCTTGTCTGATGGCGTAGACCTGGGAGACGTGACCACCACCGGAGACCTTGATTCTGATGTCCAAGCCGGCAAACTTGTCCAAGCCGACCAATAACAATGGCTCGTAAACTTTGTGTCTGAGGATTTCTGGTTCAACAAGGGTGATTGGGCAACCGTTGACCTTGATCAAACCTTTGCCTTGTTTGACGTGGGCAACGGCGGTTGCGTTCTTCTTCTTACCAAATGTCTGTGGGAAAAGCGGGGGCGGGGTGTTAGTATAATGCTGGTGGTGCGGTGGTGGGTGTGGAAAAACAGGGAGAGCTGGTCCTGGCGGTGCCCTGGCTCCTGGTCCGGCTCCTGGTCCGGCTCCTCATGCTGATATGTGCCCTTCTCCGTCTGGCGGCCCCGTTCAACCGTGCAGCAGCGGCACGCTTGTCCGGGACCCTCTTCGGTGGCGTGCAGGCCCCCCAGCTCTGCAGCTCTGCTCCTGTCTTTTCACTCTCTTTGACGGCCCTCAACGGGAACGTCCAGCGCTGGCGCAGTAACGTACTTGGACAGATGGGATAACAGTCTTCTTGGCGTCGACGGCAGACATGATCTTGTGTGTTACTGGTGGAAGCACTTCAGAACCTCTCTCCCTATCTTATCCCGTGTCCTGCTGTTCCTCAAGTCTGTGAACACACCGTCCTTTCTGTGAAAACCGTGCCAGTACCCTCTCCCTCCTGCTCTCGCCAGCGCCCCACCCTCACGCCCTCTACACTATACCGGATCCGCACCTTCTGCCCGATTTTTTTTTTCTCCAGACTCCGCGGCCGCCTGTGCGTGCGGTGCGCGGGTGGGCTCATTGTGACTGGTTTTGCGTCTCCGTAGACGTGCGGTGCGCGGGGTTCAGGCCTGCGCTCGCGCCTCGCCCGCGGCCGGAGAGCGCCAGCGGCAGAGCAGCGAGACGGCCAGGCAGGAGGGCAGGCACACGGGGAGGGAGACAGCGTTCTCTCACACACACGGAGGAGGAGTGTGTCTCTGGTCGGAGGGTGTGCAGCGGCAGAGAGGCCGATTTGACGGTTTTGTGCAAAAGACTAGGTGAAGATCTAGCGGGTGTAGGGGTCAGAAAAGTCAGAAAAGAAACAGAACGATCAAGGAGTAATCTACCAGAAACATTCACAATGGGTATGTACAGCCAGTGTCAGAAGGAGACGGCGTGGCAGCCAGAGAAAAGAGAGACGGAGACGGAAAAAATTTCACGAGGAAGAGTAGCAGCCGAAGACCAGAGTAGCACAGACGGCGATGACACCATGAAAGGCAGCTGAAGCAAGGCCTGCGAGAAAACGCCGCTTGCGAAGAAAGGAAGCCATGAAGATGGAGACAAGATGGACGCACGCAAGAAGGAAGACGACCCGCCAGGCTGCTGCGCTCTCAGAACGCCCCCGTCACCACAAGAGCCTCCCACAACGAGCAAACCACTAACACGACACCTTTTTCCCCCCTTCCCCCTCCCCCCCTCATACAGCTATCCACAAGAACCTCCCAATTCTTAAGAACCACTTCAGAAAGCACTGGCAAGAAAGAGTCAGAGTCCACTTGGACCAAGCCGGTAAGAAGGCCTCCAGAAGATCTGCCAGAGCCGCCAAGTCCGCCAAGGTTGCTCCAAAGCCAGTCGACTTGTTGAGACCTGTCGTCAGATGCCCAACTATCAAATACAACAGAAAGGTCAGAGCTGGTAGAGGTTTCACCGTCGCGGAATTGAAGGCCGTCGGCTACTCTCCAAAATACGCCAGAACCATTGGCATTGCTGTCGACCCAAGAAGAGTCAACAGATCCACCGAGTCCTACGAAACCAACGTCTCCAGACTCCAGAAATACAAGGACTCCTTGATCATCTTCGACAAGAGCACCAAGCCTTCCGGTGAACAAGTCTCCATTGCTGCTGCTTTCCCAGTTGAGCAATTCGCCCCAGAGTCTGCTCCAAGAGCCGTTGTTGTTCCAGAAGAAACCGCTTACAGAACCTTAAGATTGGCCAGATCCGAAAAGAGATACAAGGGTGTTAGAGCTAAGAGAGCTGCTGAAAGAGCCGAAGCTGAAGCCGACAAGAAGAAATAAGCATGATGCCTATTAATCCCCTGGTTTTATATATATAATTATCACCACATTAATATCATACTATAGTCTTAAATAACGTCTTTCACTTTACTCTACCGGTTTTACAATAAAAATATCTAATAAAATCTAAATCTTGTCTGGCCGTAGTGGAATCAGAAGTTCAAGGTTGAATTAAATTATACATACCCAAAGGAAAAGAAAACAAAGTAGGAGCAACGGAGTCGGCCCTATGTTACTATATAGCTCTTATATACCCTTTTGCTGTTGGCTGGACACATTTAATCGAACAAACCGAAACCCATGTCGTCGTCGGATTCCTCCTTGGCTTCTTCTTCTTCTTCGGCAGCAGCCTCTTCAGCGCCAGCAGCACCAGAAGCACCGGCAACGGCACCTGCTGCAGGAGCAGAGGAGACGTTGAAGTTCACCAACAAGGAAGACAAGTCCTTACCTTCCAAAGCCTTGGCGAAGATTTGGCCCCAGATGCCGTCGATCTCGATGTTGGCACCAGCAACCAACTTGTTCAAGTTCTCAGTGGAGACCTCCAAGTCGGAGTCAGCCAAGATGATGGCAGCGTAAGCTAAGGCGGTTTCAGTAGCAGCAGACATTTTCGTGTTCTATGGTTGTAACTGTAGTGTACCTGGAATAATCACTCTTTAAGCAAATCAAGTTGCAGACTAGTTCCTTGTCTTTCGTAAACCAGGAAAAAGCGGGCAAGCAACTATTCTCCTTCTCGACGCCGTCCAGAACCACCCTTCTCTTCACCGCCATCTTCCTCTCCTCCCCTACTCCCGTTGCAGTCTGCCGTCGTTTCCCTCCTCCTCCTGCCGCCTGCCTGCCTGCCTGTTCCACCGCTCGCTCTCCCTCACTCTCCCTCGCTATCTCGGCTTTCCCACGTCTCTGGCGTCTTTTTTCGCCGCTGAAATTTTTTTCTCCTCGGCGGTGAAAAATTTGACTAGCCCTCGAGGGTTTCTGGGGGAAAGCACGTGACAAACGAGAGGGTTTGGAGCCATGGGGCGGCGAGCGGCGGCGAGGGGCAGCATGGAAGACCGGCATGGGAGTTTCCGCATTGGGTAGTTGGTATTGTAGTGTTACACAGTGTACATAGATAAATAGAGATTGAAAGAGGGTCGACAGAGGGTCTCAGACCATGGCTGCGGCAAAAGCAGCAACGGCAGGGAGAATTAGAGCAGCGCTGTCAGCACCAAGCGATGGGGCAGCGTTGTGGAAGGTAGAGGCAGTGCTGATGGAAACAGAGGAACCGGAAGTGGCGGACCTGGCAGAGCTAGCAGAGGTGACAGAGCTGGCGGATCTGGCAGAGCTTGCAGAGGTTGCAGAGGTTTCCACGGTCTTGATGCTAGAGCTAGGAGCAGCACTGGTTGGAGGTGTTGGTTTCGAAGCAGTGGAGCTGGAGCTGGTGGAGCTGCTGCCGGAAGCAGCAGTGGTCACTGAACAAGGTGCAGTGACCGTGATGGTGGTGCCGGCTGAAACGGTGGTGTAGGTGGTGTAAGAGCCTTTTGCGGAAGTGGAGCTCTCCGGACATGGCGCAGTGACCGTGATAGTGGCGCCGTTTGAAACGGTGGTGTAGGTGGTCAACGCAGTAGAGCCGGTGCTGGTCTTGGTGCATCTTTCACATGGCTCGGTGACGGTGGTGGTGACACCGTCCACCACGGTGGTGTGGATGGTGTTGGAGACAGAGGAAGAGTCAGAGATAGTGGTCGATTCTGGCCCCTGTGCCGAAGAAGAGGAGGAGATTGAAGATGGTAGGACAGAAGAAGCAGCGGAAGACGAGGTCGACGAGGTCAAGGTTGAAGAGGAAGAGGACGAAGAGGATGGTGCAGATGACGCAGCGGAAGATGGAGTTGCAGTGGTCAATGACGATGATGATGATGATGATGATGATGATGATGGTGAGGCTGATGGCGAGGATGATGAGGATGATGAGGATGCTGGGGTTGATGATAATACTGGGGATGATGAGGAGGATGAGGAGGATGATGATCCTGCAGGAACAGAGCTTCCCGATGACTCGGTCTTGGCCGATGAGGACACAGAAGACTTGGTCGATTCGGAGGAGGAAACAGGAGCAGAGCTCGAAATCAAACGAGACGATGATGGGGAAGAGGAGGAAGAAGCAGAAGAACAGCTTTGATCATGTGGGAGCGTTGGGAGCTTAATGTGGAACATCAAAGTCTGAGTGTCCACGTCAATACCTGAATCGAATGTAATTTTACCGTAGTTCAAGAAACCGTCGGTGGTCTTGTAATCGTTATCACTGATGAGCAACAAGAAGTACTCGTCGGTGGTGCATTGCACTGGAATTAGGGTCATTCCCTCCCACTTCTCATTGATCAAATGGTCGTCATCAGCTCCACCATTGTGAACATTGAACTTGGCCAGTTCGGTATCATCCAGCAAGTCGATAAAAGAATAGTGCGTGGCTGGGGTGATGTCAGAGTTCAAAACCCCCTTGCCCGTGGCAATTTGTGCTCCGGCGTCATCGTACTTACCAACAATGTTCTCAGCGTCCGTCAATGACCAGAAGTCCACATGCTTGAAAATAGCCTTTGTACCATCTTCACCTCCACGTCCCAAATCAGAGTCTCTTGGCAAGGCCATGATCAAGTTCTCATTCACTATACGCATCTCAGATTGAGAAGCAGTCTTAGTTTTGCCATTTTCTTCATATGTTGGTAAGACAACAACATATTCACCAACGAGGGTAGCGGGTGAGCTGCTTATATCATACTTGAGCAATCTATCGTTCATTCTTGATTTGGACTTATCACCACCATCCTGAACGGTAGCAGATTGAAGCAACGTAAATAGGTACTTACCATCAGGAGTAATGTCCATACCTTCATAACCATGATTACCAGTTCTACCATCATCGTTAGGAGTGACACTGTAATATGGGTCGGTCCATAATGTATCATCCGAGGAAAAGAATAGTTTCCCGTTCACGTGTGGAAGAAGAGCTTCTGGTGCCTCAATGTAATCGATCATTTTCCCTGTAGAATCAAACTTGATAAGAGAAGGACCGTATTCGTCACCAATCCAAAACCCATTCTCAATATTACCATCAATGAAAGTGAGCGATTCAGAATCAAGAGAAAGACGGGTTGTAGTGGTAGATGAGTTCATGTAACTTCCCCAACCATCACCGTGATAGGTAACTGCAGGAACTTGGTTACCATTGAAAGTCACAGTGGTGTTTGAGTCAAGACCAGAAAGATACTGGCCGTTAAAATCGGTCAACAAGATCGTGTCCTCATATGTCCAAACTATGTTGTCGGATGAAGAGGAGTTCTTTGGAGTGAAATCGACATTGAACTTATGAATTCTTGAGAAAGTGTTGACAGTACCATCAACATTCATACCTCTGTCTGGCAACCCCCATGCTGTGAAGTGGTAGACACCTTTAGAATCAACTTTAAGTGATGAACGTTCAATCTGAACAGAAGAACCTGGTGCAATTGTCTCCTGGTACTTGTCAACAGCATTAGATGGAATTCTACCAAAGCCTACCAAACCAAACGATTCGTAAGTGCTACCTTCGATATCAACACTAACAAGGCCCATGGCCTTGGCAAGTAATGCCAAGAAAACGATTTTAACGAGTGAGTTCATGATTTAGCGGATGTACTCTGGTTCTCTTGTCTTGCTTTGATGATGGTTGATAGCCTGAAAAAAACTCTCATTTCGTTGAATTAACCGGTTACAAAATATGACAATTTGGCATTCGTACGTTTACTTATAGGCGAATTTGTCACATCAACCGTTTAGGTTCTATAAACAAGTATATGTTTGTTTTGGTTTGAAAGAACCACATTAACGACAACTTGAACTCTTTCCCCGGAAAACCCGACATTTTCGGCCGTTTGTTGCCAAAACAAAACCGCGTCAGGGGGCACGTGGACGGACCATATTTTTGTCTTATCTGTTGATCCGCATTGTTTCTCCGTGAAATTTCCATTGAATCACTGGACACAAATGCGGTACTACCCGTTACTATCGAACCGGCTTCCCCGAACACTCTATGTCGGACAACAAGCTTTGCATTTCGAGATAGGCACGTTCCGCCCCATGTGACGAATATATTCATTCCTCAATCGTAATTGGCTTACAACAAATGTTCGTTCCGAATTCTTTGAAATAAATCGTTAAACTTGTTAAAACTAGAAATCTATTATAAAACAATAAGACTTACAATGGTTGCTGCCTTTTTCAGCGTTTCTGCATAACGTACCCACCAGCTAAATAACTTTCAATGGGAACTTGAAAACACAATATTTTTTTGATTTTTTCATGGAAACATGAAAATGGACCATGTAGAATTGATTGACCAAGCAACTCTCAAACGTAGGTACTAAACAGATTGTGCTATTAGAAATTTGTTTCGAGCCCATTGCAAGTGGAAACTTGACGCATGCTTTATAAACGTTATTTTTCTCGTCAAACTTCCATTTGTTTTGTAAATTGATCGTCTCACTCAAAAATTCGAACTTTGGAACATATGCTTCCTTTGCAGAAAGCTTGCTTAAAGAGTTCACACTATTGTAGAACGGGCGAGGAACTGGCACTTTTCCAACCAACTGTTTTAGTTCTATGAGATATGAATCAAATTGACGTCGAATATTTGGAAGGGTATATTGTAGCAACTGCTCGTCCATTAAGAACTCACCGTCTATTGAAACTGGTATTGGGAATGTGGAATAAATATTCATTGCCTTTAGCGTCGAATCGACCGTTAAGCTTTGAGGTAATTCCGGCTTAAATGCTAATCTATTGTCCGGTATAAATGTAAGATCTAAATCCACAAAGCAATGTTCTTGATTGATTTGCTTCAGACTATGCAAAGATCTGATAGTATCTAGACTTGTAGAGCTATCGGAACTTAGAGATTTGATAGGAACACTGTGATTTCTGCCGTTATCAATTGCCCGCAAAGGGAGCAATTCTGGTCCGCCACCGGACTTTGAAGACAAATTAGAATGCGAATGCTTTTCTTTTAATGCAAAACTTTTTACGGAATGAATAGAACTGTCTCTTGACATTGACGCCTTAATTATAACCTCACCTCCAGACCTACCAAACAAATCTTTCCCCAACTTCATTGAATCATAATGGAGATAATTATCAGAGTCACTTCTTACGATTTCTTCATGAAAATTGGTGGAGCTAGGAAATTGTGTAAGCTTTTTTGATTCATCCACTTCTAAAGATGCAACAATTTCATCTTGCTCTCGTCTATTGACAATGCCTCCTTCTATCAACTGCTTTTTAGTTTTCAGTTCTTGGAGTGTTTTGATGACAAAATTCTCAAAATGCGTCAGTTGTTCGTAAGTTCTGATATTCCTGCTAATTAGATGATTGCAGCCGATAACTGATTCTGAGAGATTTACTGTTGCTTGGTAATCACTGGCATCTACTCTGAAGTGGTAATTTTCGTTTTTGAGAACCACGAATGGACTATTGTTGCTCTTTGGCATCTTACGTATGAACTTTTCAGCGACATCATGTCTGCCAATCATCTGAACGCGAATAAAGTATGATATTGACTGGCCTTTTAATGCCATATCATTAACCTTGATGGGACTTCCATACACTTCCTCGCACCTTTTGTATCCCAAAATAGGATCTATTTCTAAGTTTTCGTCCAAAGTACCTAAACTATCTTCATCAAATCCAAATGAAGGCAAAAGGTGCATATGTTCTTGGAGTTGGTCAGGACATGTAGTATCTAGTAAGGAAAATGGCAACTTGAAAGTGAAAAACTTTTTGTGGATATATCCTGGTATAATAGATCTGTGTTCGTCAAAGCCAATAAATGTGTTATCGGAACTATCTTTTTGTAACGTACCATTTGTACCATATGCTGTCACCGGGATATGGCCAGCATGATAGCAGGCGTTTAAGTCATACATTTTTAAAAATGTTCTACTTATGATTTTTCTGTCAATTGATTTCAGCCCACCTGCTGGAGTTTTGAGTTCGCCTTCTAGGGATACTAACATCATTTCAAATGATATTGGCATATCCACGTTTGATTTGATGGTGGCATAACCTGTTACTAAATCTCCCGGTTTATATTGGGTTAACGGGCTTTCTTTCTCGAAGACTTTCCCCACCATTGGTTGTCGTTTGGTTAGGACTATTCTAATGTCAACGGGGGCGTCCACCAAGGGTAGTTTATCTGTGTTATTGAGTAATATCAAGTTGGGATTTTCAGTAGGATCAACAAACCGATTAGGATCTATCGGCCTGATGGACCGTATAGTATTTATTTCTGAAGCATACTCTGGTAAATCATTTTCAATAGATTCTTCGGTTTCATCGTAAAGAGTTCGATTGAACATATAGTTGTGCATTTGGAAAGAGGGTAAGATGTCTTCAAGAATAGATCTCTGACTTTCAATATCATCACTCACGCTCGAGGATTTCCGGCGACTGCTGCTATTGGCGGCATTGCTCAAAGTTCTCTGACCGGTCGACGGCACTTGGTTTTTCATGATACTGATTGTTGAAAAATTAATGAACGGTACTTCCTGCACGATTGAATGGCCCTGTGTCTTCGTTGCTGCTTTGTATATGAAATGAATATTATCAATCTATTTACTTGGGAATAAATAAATAAAAGTTACTAAATATACTATGTACCAGTTTATAATGAGTCAGTGTCGGTGTAAGCAAATTATACTATCATATGCGGTCGTAAGAAATTGAAGAAAGTGAAAAATAAGCTTCTACTTCCGGGGTACGAAAACAGATCCAAGTTGAATCACAGGTGGAAGTGTTTGATAAGATGGAGCAGGGTAATGCTCGTCTATTAAAAAATCTTCGCTTGTCCTGATAGTGTATAGTGCATAACCTTTATCACTCCGTCCATGTGTCATCGTCGCCGACAATTTTACGGAGAGTGGGCCCAAGTCTTTTTCTGCACCCAGCTAATACGGTCCGCGGCCGGAATTACCCGTTGGGGCAATTCGAGGCCAGCTGCGCGCTTTATCGGGGAACAGAAACGGTTGAGCTCCTTCGTGACCCCCCTCTCGTCACACAACATGGACCGGAAACTTCATGTTCATTTTTGCCCTGGCCTTTTTTATCGACACCTCCACATCCACAGCATAGAGCCTTGATAGCAAGCATTGCTGGAAGCCTGGAACGACGCAATAAGATGAGATTTTCTCCATGTTCTTCGAGTCGAAAACCAACGGTATGCCGAACTCGCATTCATAAATGTTGCGTTCTTTATTGAATTTCCATTGGTTATGCAAATCAATAGTCTGTGTTTCAAACAGCCTCTTGACTACTTGTTCCGAGACGTGTAGCTTGGCGAGTCCGTTGACCTTGTTATACATACTTCTGGCCAGCCCGGAGTCGAGGTCCTTCAAAACATCGACTAATTCTTGATAATAGAAGGAGAATTTCTTTTTCAGATTCTGCAAGTTTTCAGGTTCCAATCCTCCGTTAAAAAGGTACTTGTTATCAAAGGTCACTGGAATCGGGTATGGCGATTGGATGTTGTAGACTCTCAGGCTAGGAGAAAAGGTGATGGTTGATGGTAAATTGGGCTTGGTGTTTCTTTTCAAATCGGGATTTTTGAAGGAGAGATAGATATACAAACGTTCAGGCGCAGATGTAACGGGCCTCAGACCACTAACTGAGTCGCTTGAGGTAGTAGGCGATAGAGTTAGGGAGCGCAGAGAAGTGAATGAGGATGAGTTAGAGTTGAGCTGGTTTTGTGTATTCAACGACAAAGAGGAGTTTGATTTTGAGCTTGGTTTGCTACTCGCGTGTTTCAACTGTTTAGGTTTAATGGCCCTCAACTGCGAGTTTCGGTTCATGCTTAATCGCACTGTCATATCGCCCTCAACTTTACTGAAAAAATCTTTGACCAGTTTTACTGTTTTCACACGACTGAACCCTTCACCGTCAGACATTGAGGTTTTCGTATCCGACAACAAGGGCACCAATTCCGCACGGTATAACTGCTGGCTTTTTTTGTTATTTGACATATTGGAAAAGATAATTTCATCCTGTTTCCTTGGGTCAGTAATACCTATCTTCTTCAAATTTTTGCGCTCAACTATTTCATGCAACTTGTCTGTGATCATATTTTCAGTCATCTTCAGCTGCTGGGTAGTTGAGATATCGCTCAAGGAATCATCTGCAGAATATTCGTCCGTATTGGAAGATGTGTCGACTCTGAAGTTGTATTCAACGTTTTTCAAAAAAATGAAATCGTACTCATGTTTCGTATCGTTCGTGTAAAACTTTTTGTAAAAGTCCAATTTTCTTCCGATGAACTGCACACTAATATAGTATGATACCGACTGGCCATCGGCGGCATAGTCATTTGTTTTGATGGGCGATCCATATCTGTCCAATCTGCCGTAGCCCAAGAAGGGGTCGACTTTGATGTATTTTGCCAGGCCCTTGAAAGCGCTTTTGTCGACACCAAAAGAAGGCGGCAACTTAAGGTGGGATGGCAACTGGTCAAAGCACGAGGTATCTAAAAGGTAGTGGGGCAACTTGAAGGCGAAGAACTTCTTATGTTTTATCTTTGGGGTGATGACCCGGTCATTGTCGAAGCCTATGAGCGACTTGTCGAGCTCATCCATCCGTGTCTGCAACGAAACTCCCTGGGAAGCCAAATCGATGCATCCATAATGAAAGCATGCACTGAGGTCGTACGTCTTCAGAAACTTCTTCTTTATCAACTCCTCAGGCTTGTGCGGGTGTGGGATAGTCAACTCACCCTCAAGCGAGACCAAAAACATTTCAAAGGGAATGGCATCGTCTGACTTGTTTTCAATGGTGATGTATCCGCAAACGACCTCGCCCGGTCTGTACTGTCTCAAGGGGTTCTCCCTCTCCTGTTTGGACCCTAGTCTGGGGACCGTTTTCGTCAACACGACCTGGACCGTAAGCGGGAGGTCGATTTTCTGGAACTTTTCGAGGTTGTTCAAGAGGAGCAAGTTGGGGTTTTTCGTCGGGTCGACAAAGTTGTTGAGATCCCGTGGCGCTATGTTGGACGTGGTGCTCGGGACGTTCATGTCCTCGTAGCTGGGCGGGTTGCCCGACGAGCTGATGTTCTCAGTGTCGTAGATGGTTCTATTGAACATGTAGTTGTGCATCTCGAAGGAGGGGAGCACGTCCTCGAGCAAGGTCACCTCCTCCCCGTCTACGGCCTCTCCGTTGGTCTGCTGTGCATCCAGTGGTACCGTTGCTGGGACAGTAACTTGCGACATCGTTTCCAAAATGCCTGGCTCTCGACTGGTATCTATCTCTGCGATGGTTAACGCAGTCAAACGTGCAGCGGTACGCGATATCAGGCGTTTCTCGGCGTTCGATACGCAGCAAAGTAGTCGGTGGCAGTCCGATCCGGTGCTGCACACCCTCTGGCCCCGCTCTCCGGCTGCTGCTGCTGCCTGTGTTTGACAAATTGGCCACACGCTGTCTGGAGTTTGACACAATCCGGTTTCCTTTAAAGCCCTGTGCGGGTGCCCGCAACGGCAGTCGCGACGCAGCCAATGCCGTTGCAGAGGCTGGCCCGGCGGTTGCAGCCCGAGAACGCTGGGCAGAGAGAGTTCGGTCTAGGTGTACGTCTGTTCAGAAGAGTATATATAGTCGAGAATGCGATGTGGACACATCGGAGATACACAGATACACAGGGGCGGCGGCCACAGGCCGCCACCACCGCGGGTGGCGCCGCAGTCGCAGACAGCGGGCCGCAGGCCCGCTAAAGCTGTTGGCCCGCTATAGCTGGCCGAGGGTCTTCAAGCCGACGTAGAAGAAACGGCCGTAGGACTCTTCGCCGGTGGCCTTGAAGGTGATGGTGCAGCCCTTCTTGAAATAGAGGGTGTCTCCCTTCTTCGGGGTGACGGTGGTGCCCTCCTCGTCGGTGATGGTCATGTCTCCCTTCGAGTCGAGGCAGATCTTCATCTCGTCGTATGGGTAGGTGTACACCAAAGGCTCGCCTGGGATCACCTTGAAGAAGCCCGAGGTGAGGGTGTGCTCTGGGTCGGTGTCCTTGGAGGTGAGGATGTCGCCGAGGTAGGCGGACTCGGAGATCTTAGGAGGGAGGACGTCGTACGCTTCCGCGGTAGGCTTGAATTCCATAGGCATGTTGGCAGGTGGGTGGGCTGGTGTGGGGTGGGGTGTGTGTGTGTGTGCGGGAGACTCCAGGACAGACCAACCCCCTCCCCGTCCGGCTCAAACACATCCCAGAGGTGGGAAACGGCTGCTCTTAAATTCCACACCTCTGCCGCAGAATCCGCCTCCCCGCAGTCCTGCTGTTTCCCCGTTCCACGCATTCTTTGTCCCCTTCCGTACCCCTATACCACTGCCGGACCTTCCTTTCCGCTGCTGCCCCCGTCCTCGAGTCCCTCTTTCCCCTGCCGGGCCTCGTCCCCGCCCCGAAAACGGCTTGCCGTCCCGCGACTGCCCTTTTGGGCAGTCCTATCCGGCGCTTATCGTGGGTTCCCCCGCGCTGAGCCCCCCGCCGGGGGATGGCTCCGGATCGGATACCCGCTTTGGGCTGCCAAGAGAGAGTCCGGCGAAGCACAGGGTGCCCGCTGACGAGGGGCGGTTCTGTGTCTGGAAGCGGACACAGTTTCCCCCGGGCAGAGACGGTATATAAGAGGCGGGGGGCCCGACTCCCGTGGCATGGAGGTTGGTGGACGGGGTGTGCTCTGCTGCTCCCCTTGGACCAGGAACCAAGGAACCCCACCGACCCGCAACCGCACACACCCCCCTCCGAACAACAATGCCTTTATTCTTCAAGCCAGGCGCTGAGAGCTACTACGCCAACTCCCCTCCAGCCATCCCTTCGCCAGGGAACAACTCGTGGTTGGGCGACTGCCTCAACTCGGACGCACCAAAGGACAAGGTGTTGTCCTCGGGCTTCTACAAGCAGGGCTCCGGCGAGGCCCTCGTCTACAAGTACGACTACGAGGAGATGAAGGTCAACGTTGAGGTGCACGGCAAGTTCACGGTCAGCGACGAGACCGGCTCCTCCTACGAGGTCACCCCGGGCTCCATCTTCTACTTCCCCGACGGCTGCACCATCACCTTCAAGGTCGAGGGCACCGACGAGGTTCCAGAGGAGGAGGCCTACGCCCTCAACTGGTTCTGCGGCTTGAGACCAGCAGACTCCGCTTGATGCGCCTGCTGCTCTTTCTATGTACAAACAGATAGACTCCTCTACATACTCTAAATAATCAAACAGTACGTCTACTTTACTGCCTTCCAGCCGGGACGCGCGCTGACGTAATCCGCAAATCGCCCTCTGCCGGGCTGTCTTTTTTTTTCCTCTGCCTGCCCTACAGGGAAAAGCTTCTTTTCTCCCAGAGTACCACCACTCGATGCTGGCCAGGACCCCGCTGGAGGGTCTGCAAAAGGCTCTGCTTTCCCTACATGGCCAGCACAGAAAGACAGCGTGCAGAGAGAAAACACCGCCCCCCGCCACGATGGACCCGCCCGACTCCCCAGAGGAGAAGATGAAGAACGGCGTCTTGTCGTTGACACACATAGCGAGACTCAAGTGCATCAATAATGCGCACATCATCAACGACGTCGGAACGACGCCGTACCACTTGATCGAGCCGGTGTTGCTGAAGAAGACGGCGAAGTCGCTGCGGCAGATCGAGTCTGTGTCGCCGCAGATCATCGCAGACTCGGAACCGCTCTGGAAGTCGTTGGTGAAGCGAGACTTCCCCGACCGGCCCGTGAACCAGACGGTGCTCAGAAGCGGCAAGAAGGTGAACGTGTCCTCGCGGAGCCTCTACGACAAGTACTTCTCCGAACGAGAGGCGCAGCGGCAGAACGCCACGAACAACATCAAGCAGATTGTGCGGAACTTGAACGAAGTGAAAAACAGGAACAAGGTGAAGGCCGTCAACAAGGTGTTCGCCTCCAACAAGCCACGGCTGGCGCACAACAGGCCCGCGTCGAACCAGCAGCACCCCTTCAAGAGCAGCCTCTTGCAGAAGGCAAGGGTGGCGAACAAACAGCGGGTACGAAACTTCTCCCAGGCGAAAAACAGCAACCTCCGAATACCGAACAGCAAAATAGACCTGGTCAAGATAGGCACCGCCCACAGAAACATCGTCAGGAACGACCTCAGGAACAGCCCCGGTGCAGGCAGGCCTTCCGATGTGACCACGGGAGGGAGCAAACGACGCACAGACCTCTCGGCTGCCGCCGCCCCCACCGGGCCCGATGTGAAGAGACAAAAGATCAGCGACTCCAGTCGAGAGAAGTCCAAGAAGTCGAATACGTACATCTACGCTAGAGGGGTGAATTGAGGTGAATACCGGAACGGATACCGGGTGTCCGTTTCCGATGGGTAAATTCTGTTTAATATATATGTAAAAAAAACACGACATGGTGGTAGTTCCGTGTCACGTTTCAGCTTTTCTGCTTCTTCAAAACTCTATCAAGGGCCGACTCGGTCCTGCGTTTTTTGTAGGCCTCTACGCCCTGTTTCACATTGCTGACCTTCTCGGGGTTCGACGTCCAATCCTTGTTTTCCAGCTCGTTGTCGATGAGGCTTACCTCCCCACCCACAGAGATCGTCTGTTTGTACGACTTTATCCTCAGTCTGCCGTTTAGCAACACCTTCAAGCTCCAGTCCTGAAACATCATGCTGCATCTGTTGGAGTCGACACCGAGCATCTTCAAGAGCGGCATCGCGTTGTTGTAGTTTCGTAGCTGGAACGGCCTGTCCACAGAACACCCGCTCGAGCAGATCATCCCCCGATTTCGGCTCGCCCGTATGATCTGTTTTGTGTTCGATATAACCTGTGCTCTGCTTTTGTTGCTTAGAAAATCTGTGTATTTTATCTCGAACATCATGCCCTTGTCGATTGCCGAGCATAAGGTCTTGTGCTTCATGAAACAAGGTAGTCTCTCGAGTAGGTTGAACGAGATGATGTCTATCTCCAAATTCGAAATGGCAGATTGGAACGACTTTTCCGTTATCGGCTCCACTGCGACAATATCAAAGACCTGCTGGAACTTCGCCACGTACTGGCATTGCGTCGGATCGTCCACTCTCACCGTGATTCTCGTGTACAGCTTCAATCTCGTCCGGAACTCCTTGAAATCTCGGTCTATGTTGATCGGGTTCAACTCGTTCAAGTCGTTGGGCAGTTTCGTCTTGTTGTTTTTGCTGGTTGCGGTTATCGGCCTGAAATTGAGAGCAACATGGGTATATCCGAGCTGTTCTGCGACGTTGAGGGTGTTTTTCACCTCATTGAGCTGTCCCCTCGTGATCTGTTCGTTGAAATTTTGCACGGGGAAAACAATATTCAAGTCGCATAGCATCCTCAGTGGTTCTTGGACGGTTTCCCACCTCAAAGCTTACTAATATCCCGTTCCCTGACAGCACTCGGAGCCTGTCTCTACCGTTGTTTCTTCATGTCAGCAAGTGCAGAAAAATTTTAGAAGCTTCCAGGGCAAAAAAGTGTGGCAGCCGGAAATACGGGCGAGGGCGCTCGATCGGGCTCTAAATATAAAAGCCAACCGAGATGCTCTTGGTATCGGCGGATCTCCGTATCGTGTGGGGTGGCAAAAGTTGATGTAGATGATAACATTCCGGTCTTGGCCGTACTTTGGGAAGGGCAAAAAGATTCAGAATGACAACCGTAGGAAGGAAGAATGAGGATGGGATGATGGACATCGGGAAGCATTGCACCATCTGCAGGCAGCTCGATTTCCTCCCCTTTGTTTGCCCCAAATGTGAGAAGTCGTATTGCAACAACCACAGAATGGACTTCAACAAACACCAGTGTGTGATTGACGAACAGAAGGCGAAGCTCGCCGCGTTGGAGAGGGCGAAGGTGGACGTGTCGAAGCTGCCGAAGTCCGCCGACGTTTTCCCCGATCTAGACAAGATCCGGAGAGATGCAGAGATCAAACACAAGGAAGAACGAAATAAAAAGATTGGACAGAGGTTGACGGATGTGAAGGACTCGAATAACAAGCCACTGACAAGCATCGAGGTGGCAATGTTGAGGTTGAAAAAGCTCTTGGGGAACTCAGCAAAGTCGAAGAAGAGCAGCAGCACGAAGCCGTCGTCTGGTTCGTCTTTATTAAGAGGCTTCGTTGGAGGAAGCAGTAAGCCGGACTCGACCACATCTAGAATGGTGGAGATGAACAAACTCAAGAGGTCTGCGAAGGGAGACAACCGGATCAACGCGAGCGACCGCGTCTATGTGTGGGTCATATACACGTCGGACGATGATACGACGTTTGAGGTTAAATCCGGCCAGTTTTTCTCAAAGAAATGGCCTATTGGTAAGATGTTGGACAGCAGCGCCGAGATCTCGAAGATCAAGAACGTGAACAACCGGGAAGTCGACGAGTCTTTGAGACTGGCTATGTTCCGCAAAGTGAGAAGTGGTGAGAAGGATGCTGCAAGTGAGTTCGTCTATATACCAACAAGCGGGAGGGTCGAGAAGGAAATCAGAGACGGAGATGAGGTCTATATTCTCCGTGGAAAACGATAGTGTTAATGTGTTATTATTACTGTACTACTATGTAGCCATAAATAGAAAAAAGGTGTTCAAAATTGTATGTTACATAAGATTTTAATATTCTGAAATTACTTTTAGTATTTGAATTTGAGATTTTTCATTTGATGTGGAAACTAGCTTTATCTGTCTGTGGTGACTTGAGGTGATTACTACGGTCGTTTAATGTAAGTAAAAAACGGCAAATGGATGATTTGCCACCTTTACAGCTGGTGGGTGGCATGGTACGGGGAGAGTCTGTTACAACACACGGCGTGTCGTGCCTTACCAGAATAGCTTAACTGCGATTTTGGCGTTTTCCGCGATTACCCTTTTTGGCATTGTGATGATTCGGTAACATCTGGTGACGTTCCCTCGAGGGCTGGCAATGGTCGATTTGAAAAGATGCACAAATCCTCTTGGCAATGAATAATAAATATAGGAACAATAATAGCAAAAAAACCACACACACAATGAAGCTATTCATTACCGGCGCCACAGGATACATAGGCGGAGAAGTGCTCCACCAATTCTTGCAGAAACTACCGCATTTTTGGGTCACGGCATTGCACCGGCTTCCGGAAGAGGCCAAGCTTTTGAAAGACAGTTACGGAGACAGAGTACATCCTATTTTCGGTTCGCTCGACAATTCCGGAACGTTGGAGCGTGAAGCGAGAGAAGCCGATATCATTATCAACGCGGCCTGCTACAACCATGCTCCTTCGGTTGAAGTTTTCAAGAAAGTGCTCAGTGAAAGGAGAACAAAGGCGCTTTTCATCCAGATATCTGGCACGGGGATCCTTGTCGACTCCACAGAGCCTGACGGCTACAGGCCCGACAAAGTGTACAGCGACGTAGACGACATCGACGAGATCAATTCGTTGCCCGACTCGCAGCCTCACCGGCCGGCGGAAAAGGTTGCGCTTTCGATCGAGGACTCCAATCCCGAGTTTGTAAAGACTGCTGTGGTATGTCCGCCCTTAATATTTGGCATTGGCCAGGGATGCGGGAACAAGCTTTCCGTGCAGATTCCGTGGCTACTGAGGGCGGTGGTGGAAGTCGGGTACAACTTCACAGTCTACGACGGGATGACCCGTTGGGACCACGCACACATCTATGACGTGGGCACTTTGTTCATGGCTATAGTCGAAAAATATTTGCAAGGCGAGCCGTTCCGAAGCGGACACGCCGGCTACTATTTTGTTGAGGACGGGTCCGATTTTTACTGGAAGGATTTAGCGGCGAAAGTGAGCGACTCGCTTTACAGCCGAGGCTTGATTCGAAGCCGTGAGATCAAGAAACTCAACCCGGCCCAGGTGAGAGAAATTTTCCATCTTCCGGCCATGTACTGGGGCTCGAATTGCCGGAGCAAGGCGGATGCGGGGAAGCTGCTGGGTTGGAGACCCATCAAATCGGACGATGCCCATTTCTGGGCCGATGTGGACGAGTCCTTGGACTACATGGTCAGCCGTGGGATTTTGTAGGGTAGGAGGGGAAAGAAGGGATCGGAGAGAGGGGATGAGGGGGAGAGGGGATAAGGGATTGAGTTGCGGATGTGTCTATTTTTAAACGGAAGGAGGAGTCGTATGCTGAAAGTAGAAAGGCAGGGATGTGTGGCCTGAGAGGCGCGGCGTCCCAAAGCGGAAGTTTTGTTTTCTGTCAACATGAAAAATCGAAATTTTTTTTCGGGATCCGTTCGAGGCGTGAAAAATTTCGTCGGATATTCATAGAAGTAAGGTATATAATATGTCTGTGCAGAATGGGAAGACATAGATATAGAAATATATAGGGGAGTATATATGGATGGATGGAGGGTGGGTAAGAACCACACTGCACGAGTTTCTAAACTTGGAGTGCTATGAGTATTAGATTGAATATATACAGTTGGTGTCCGAAGAAACCCATAGTGTATGATTTGAATTTTGATTTTTTTTTTTGTAGCTGTGTATGTATCATTGTGGCGGTAGTGCGAGACACCGGCAAGCATTGAGGATTAGTAAAGAAGAAGAAAAAAAGGGGGACGTGAACAGACATGAACAAAAGAAGAGAAGAAAAGAAGTTGAAAAGGTAAGTAAAAGAAGATTAGCCCAAGAATTGAATAACGATTTGAGAGGAGAGAAGGATATGAATGAGTAAATAGATAGTCTTGATCTTGTATTTTAGTTTCAGTTTTAGTTTTTTTTTGAGGGTTTGCCGTTTCTAGGTTTTTTAGTCAAGTTTTTTGTTTGTCAGTGTATCGAGAGCCATTTTTTGTAGTTTTCCGAGGGACTGCGCAGCATGTTGGATATGTCTGTGACGTTTGAGAGGGAGGAGTCGTTTTTCGACGCCTTGGCGGAGGCCGGCGACGGGGCTGCGTCGGACGCGGCAGAGCTGCTGCTGTGGTGCAGTCTCTCTGCGATGGTCGAGACGGACGAGTTGAGGTCCAAGCGGTTGGCGTCCAAGTCGCTGAGGAAGGTGCCCGAGGACTGCATGGCTGCGGAGGCGGTGGAGGCCAACAGCGGGGACTCGTAGGTCAGGTCCCGCAGCGGCGGCGACTTGATGGAGCCCACGACGGAGCAGCGGGGGTTGATCTGTGGCGTCAACAACGGGGAGATGATTGTGGGTATTGTGGAGGCGGACACGGCCGTGCTGGCGGGTCCTGCGGAGCCCGGGACGGTGTTCGGCACGCTGGCGGAGTGGGACTTGGAGTGTTCGAGCGAAAACGAGCCCGAGATCGAGGGCAGGCCCGAGCACACGGACAGCGTTGGCGAGTTCGAGTGCTCCTGGTCGAGCAGCTTGCACGTGTCTGAGCAGTAGGCGGAGCCGTCTTCGCAGACTTTTTCGCAGACGATGCAGTAGTCTTCGAACGCAGACATGGTGTGTGAGTGTGCGTGAGTGTGCGTGTGTGTGCGTGTGTGTGTGTGTGTGTGTGTGCCAGGCGGCGCTTTCGGTGCTGGCGCTTCTCTTCTGGCGGGGACAGCGGCAGGTATATAAGCACGCCAGGGAACAGATCAGTTGATCGCACGCAGTGATGTCTGCTGAGGGGTTCCAGAAAACGGGTCTAAGAGGTTCTGACCTTGCCTATGCTGCTAGTCAGTCTAAACACTCTAGACACTCTAGACACTCTAAACACTGTCTCTATTCTCGACCCGCCAGCAAAGGGGTGGTCCAGAATAGCGTACGCACCCATCCTCCACTGCCCATGTGTGGAGCAGAGAAGACTTTTTCCAGCCGCCTGTTTCGACCAGGTCTAGCGTGCTCCCTGGTCCACTCCACCCTACCGCTGTAGAGCCCCCAGCCCAGAATAGCAGTAGGGTGCCGCGCTGCAGCCCACATGCTAGCCCACGGGGCCCTGCCTGGCCCAACGCTTTGCTCCGGTGACGCTGCGGTCCTTGTTGCACGCCGGCTGTTTACGTGTGGCGGAGGCCCGAAAATTTTTTTCGGCGGCTGCAGGTGGGGCGCGTGGGGCGGTTACGCGGTCTAGAGCACGTTGCCGCCGGGCCGGGCTGCCGGACATAGCGGCTGCGGAGGGGAGAGAACCTTCCAGACCGGAGGGGGGAGGAAGGGTTGGCGAGGCGGGATTACGTCAGCGGGCGGGGGCGTGCGGGGATCGCTGGGTGCCGGATCGGGCACTGCCCTTTTCAGACGGGGCAAGTGACACAAGAAGACGCTTTCCAGCACAGGAGATGGTGAAGGGCTCAGCGCAGTTCAGCAGAAGAACAGGCCGTCGATGATGTTGAGAAGAACGCTGTGCTGTGCCACCCGGCTGGGGCTGGGGGCGACGTTGACACGTGGACACACACAGGTGGTGGCAGCGGCAAGGAGGCCGCTGGCACGGTTGCACACGTGTGCTGTGCGCAGGAGTGGGGGCGACGACAAGGGCGACGACAAGGGCGAGGACGTGGTCGACGTGGCGGTCGAGCAGCTGCATCCGGCGCTGCTGGAGAAGGCAGAGGCGCTGAAGGAGGAGCTGGCGGGACTCGAACACAAGATGGCGCAGGGCAGCGAGTTCAACGTCGACGAGAACAAGCGGTACGCGCAGGTGACGGGCGTGGTGACGGTGTACGAGGAGTTTGTGGCGCTGCACGAGAACTACGAGGCGCTCGTGGACATGGCGCATGGCGGCGACGAGGGCGGGCTCGCCGACGAGGCCCGGGCAGAGCTGCAGACCGCGGTGCCCGAGCTCGTGGAGACCACGGCCCGGCTCAAGGCCCGGCTGCTGCCGCAGCACCCCTTCGCAGACAAGGCTGCGATCCTGGAGCTGCGGCCGGGCGCCGGCGGCCACGAGGCCAACATCTTTGCCGCAGACCTGCTCGCCATGTACGTGCGGTACTGCCAGCTCCGCGGCTGGAAGCACGAGGTGCTGTCCAAGACCGACCACGCGTCCGGCTCCGGCATCACCGAGGCCGCCCTCGTCGTCAACCACCACGGCGCCTACGACCGCCTCCGCCACGAGGCCGGCGTCCACCGCGTCCAGCGCATCCCCTCCACGGAAACCAAGGGCCGCGTCCACACCTCCGCCGCCGGCGTCGTGGTCCTGCCCAAGATGGACGACGACGGCGCCGCCGGCGCCGCCGCCCGCACCTTCAGGCCCGACGAGCTCCGCATCGACGTGATGCGTGCCAGCGGCGCCGGCGGCCAGCACGTCAACACCACCGAGTCCGCCGTGCGCATTGTCCACCTCCCGACAGGCATCATTGTCAGCATCCAGGACGAGCGCTCCCAGCACAAGAACAAGGAGAAGGCCCTCACCGTCCTGCGGGCCCGGCTCGCCGAGAAGGAGCTCCGCGAGAAGCAGGAGCGCGAGCGCAGCGCCAGAACCGGCCAGGTCTCCTCCGTCGACCGAAGCGACAAGATCAGGACCTACAACTTCCAGCAGAACAGAGTCACCGACCACCGCTGCAATTACACCCTCCACGACCTCGAGGGCTGCATGCAGGGCACCAAGCTCGACCTTGTCATCGACCAGGTCGAGAAGCGGGAGGCCGACGACGCCGCCGAGGAGCTCATCAGGAAGCTCGAAACCAAGTAGGCCGTCTAGATATCCTTGTAAATAAAAACTCCCCATCGTGGAAAACTTGTAATTTTCATGTTGCGGCCGATCGCCCCGCGTCCCATTTTTTCACGCTCTCCCCCCCTCGGTGCTTTGCCCCTGCTAGGCCCGTGCCGCCCGCAGTTACGAAAGTTGAAGCTCATGCCGATTTGCCCTCTGCACCAACGGCCTGCATTTGTTCAGAACTCTGTCCACCAACACCAGCCACAACCTCAATCCCCACCCACCCACACAATGACTGTTGCCTCTATCCAGCAGGCTGAAAAAGAGCTCGAGCAGAAACACTACTCCAAGGCCGAGACAATATACAATGACATCCTCAGCATCGACACGACCAAAGTCGACTCTGACACGAGATCGCAGACGGAGAAGCTGGTGGAGCAGCAGGAGAAGTCCATCCTGGGATTGAGCAAAATCTACTTCATACAGGAAGATGAAGCCAAGTTGGTCGATTTGATCAACAGGTCCCGTGAAATCATGCGTGGATCGTTCGCCAAGTCGAAAACAGCCAAGATCATCAAGCACTTGTTGGACACGACGGAGAAAACGTTCAAGTGGAAGAACAAGTCCGAGGAGTACGCAATCGACCTCTCTATCAAGACAACCAAGGAGTGCATTGACTGGTCCATCGAAGAGAAGAGAACCTTCCTCAAGCAGGCCTTGCAGATCCGCTTGGCCGTCTTGTACTACAAGAAGCAGCATTATAACGAATCGTTGAGCATCATAAACCCGTTGATAAGCGAGTTCAAAAAGTTGGACGACAAGAGCTCCTTGGTCGACGTCCAGTTGCTAGAGTCGAAAAACTACTTCCAGTTGAAAAACAACGCCAAATCGAGAGCTTCCTTGACGAGCGCAAGAACAAGCGCAAACTCAATCTACTGTCCCTCAACTGTCCAGGCCGAGTTGGACTTGATGAGCGGTATATTGAACGCGCAAGATAAGGACTACAAGACGGCATATTCCTACTTCTACGAAGCCTTTGAAAACTATCAACTACACGAAACAAAGAACGATGACAAGTCTGCAGAGGGGAAGGAAGAAGTGGAGGAAGAAAACAACAAATCAGTCAGAGTTTTGAAGTACATGCTCCTGTGCAAAATCATGATAGGCAAGATCGATGATATAAATACCCTTTTGAAGCAAAAGGCATGCCAGCCTTTCATCAATAAGAAGGACATCGAGGCAATGAAGTCAGTGGCAAGCTCTTACGACAACAGGTCTTTGAAAGATTTGGAAGATTCATTGAAGCTCTATAACAAACAGTTATCATTGGACCCGATTATCAGATCCCATCTATCGGATCTATACGACTCTTTATTCCAGAAAAACTTGTTAAAGTTAATTGAACCATATTCTTGTATAGAAATCAACCACATCTGTTCAATGATCGGATTACCGAAAGACGTCATCGAGTCCAAGTTGAGCAATATGATTTTGGACAAAGTCTTTTACGGAGTATTGGACCAAGGTAACGGATGGCTAATAGTGTACAATGAACCTGTCAAGGATGAGTCTTACACTTTCAGCTTGGAAATCATCAAGGAAATGTCAACCGCGGTCGACCTACTATATGAAAAGGCCTCTTCCCTTGATTGATTTCGTCACTCATTTTAAGTTCACTCTTTAGTAGTCTAAGTTCGAAAGTATGATTCCTATAATCCACTATATACATAAACCGTTGTATAATACAAAAATTAATTTAGCATAAGATTATACGTAAACACCTTCCTTGTTGTCTCCATACAGCAGACAACCAACGTTGGAGAACTTCACCAAGAACGTCTTCAACTCATCCGTGGAATTCAAAATATCGTAAAGCTTGTACTCCTCATCTGCCAATAGATTAACCAGCTCAACTGCTTGTTGGGCAAATTTCTTGCCCTTGCTCTTGTTTTCAACCAGTACATCAAATAGTGCATTGAACAGCGTCGGAATGTAAATTCTTCTCAACTCTTTGTAAATATCAACATCTGAGTCCAATATTTCATTATCGTGATAACTACTGTCCTCGTCCACCAGATCAAACAGCCATGATTTGACAATTTTGTCCAGCGACTTGATCAATGTTTGTAAATCATCGTATGACACAGTTGCCGGGTCATAACTTAACATCAACTTGAATGCTGAGAAAAGGTTATGGTACTGTGTGAGCTCGAGAAGTTTGTAATTTGGAATATGTTGTATCTGAGATAAATCTGCATTGCTCTCCTTCATATTTGTTAACACCGATGTCTCGCATCTATAGTTGTCAATTAGCTGAGGTAACGAAATTGAGCCCAAAAATTCGATGGCACTACCGATCTTACCAACAAGCAAGAACCGACGTAATAGAACAATAATAGCATCAAGACAGTCAAATATCATACCTGCATCAATGAACCAGTAAATTGTTGAATACAACTTCTCATCGATTCCATCAACTTGATAATTTAATTGAATCTCACTACTTGTAGGATAATATTCTGTAGTTTCGTTGAATGCTTTTTCTATAGTTTTCCTCAATATAGGTTCTAATGGTAGTCTTAATGTTCTCATGCCACTAATTTGTGAAAATCTATCAGATGATGAATACTCAAACTGGAACAACAACGAGGAGTAAATTTCGATTATTGCCTCTTCGGTTGGTATAAACGACACATAAACAGGTACTAAGTCATATGATTTGTATAAGATTAGCCTCAGAATATAACACTTGAGTAATTTTGTATAATCATGATTGTTTATGATCTGCTCACCATATATCAACTGTAAGATGATGGCTAAATGTGCCAGTATTCTCAACAAGTATGATTCATTGGTTATTTCGTTGTCAATGTTATCATCCACGGATAGTAGCTTATCCAAAGACTGCACTGTGTTTTCCATTAATGTCTTGACATTGTCCGATATGACTGAGCCAATCAAAACTCTGATTGAATGTTTACTTTGCTCCTTAATAACCGGGTTTCTGTCATTCGAAAGCTTGTTCAAGATATCATCAACTGAATTCGAAACAACAGGAGGCTTCGTCAATTTGGAAATCAAGCTTACTTCTGAGTCCATTCCTAAATCTTGATAAAGCTTCATGATCTTCGTATCCAGCTTATGACTAAAAACGTTGGATAGATATAAGTACAATTTTTCTTCCCAATTGGTGGCCAATTCGTTCGCAGACATGAAGTCCGAAGATAGGATACCGTAGCATGCTTTCTCATAGGGTGAGCTGTCTAGTTTCGTGCTATTTGCTAGTTGATATATCGCCCTCTTTCTCAGAAGCTTGGATTTGACACCCGACGGAACTGTGTTCTTGCTGAAATCGTTCAAGTCAATGACAGGGTCAATCCTGTCATTCAAGCCTGCCAACATAAGAGCAAAATCCCAGTTGTTTGTAGCTTCACAAAGTGTTTTCAAGTCATCAAATTCATGAGATAGAAGCAGTTTGTATGCTCTCTTGAAGAAAGCTTCATCCCTCTTCGCATCCGTAAAGTCTACTTGGTAGCCTGTTCTTAACGGTGAATCCACATCCAGAGTTCTGACCAAAGTAGGGTCTCTATTGGTTGAGTTAAGTTTCAGAAGAGTGTTATGCCACTTAGTATACTGAAGCTCATTCTCATCATCGACGTTGTTCTCATCATCTTGTGTAGGGAAATCCAACTTGAATGTATCTGATAGCGTGTTTATACAGGTGAATATTTGTAAAAGATCACCATCCGATGATATTATTTTGTCCTGCAACACTGTATCAGAAGAATATTCACAAACTCCTTCGAGGTCTACTTTGGTTTTCTGAACAGATTGCGATAGGTCCTTGTTAAACTTGACATCAAGTAGCGACTCCAACATTGTCCAAAATTTACATTCAAGAATCCAATTTGAAATGAGTTCCACCTGTAAAGAATCAGTATCGTACAACGACATAAGCTTCTTGTATGTGATCACTTTGAAACCCAACGCAATCGATCTTAACTCACTAGCCCCAAATTCAATTCTGAAACTTTTTAAAACTTTGGCGAAACTCGAATGAATGCTGTCATCTTCGATCGTCACGTCAATGTTGCTTAAGTCCACATTGGTCTCCATAGTATCTATGCTGGGCTTGTATATAACGACTCCAGTATTGTTTCCCTTCCAGTATCGGCTTTTATCAGGTGATCTTTCCCTCTCCTTTATGTTTCTCTCAAAATGCCCATACATCCCATCAAGGCTGTTCATGAAGGGTCAAAAAATGCAACAAGCGTTTTGAACCTCCGTGCACCTTGTAGCTCCGGGCCCCCTTCACAGCGAGGCGCTTCACCTCTGCGTTGTCAATGTTGTATCTTAATGATTAACCACAAAGTTTGAAATCCGCAATTGGAGTGGTTATAATCCTATAATAGAAGAACAGTATAGAACACAGATCAGAAGCCTGAATAAAGTACAATGGTAGAAGTGTCGCTTACTGTAGGAAAACTGGATGCATCGTTGGCACTTTTGTTGACCAAAGATCACCATCTCATTGAGTTTCCAACTATATTGTTGCCTGATGGGATATCCACAGGATCCATTGTGAAGATTACGTGCGACAGAGACTTGCAAAAGGAGAACGAGGAAAAGAAGGCTTTCAATGCTTTGCAGGAGGAGATTTTTGAAATATTTGGCAAACACGAACCACAGAACCCACTTTTGAAAATCGTGAATATAACCCAGACTTCATGTGTTTTAGAATGGGAGCCTTTGAACTTAGGTACTGCAGAGTTGAAGGAGTTGACGCTATACAAAAACGGTTCCAAGCTGGGACCAATCAAAAACCCGTTCCAGAAGAAAAATATCAAGTTCAGTGGGTTGCCAATTGACACGCCTTATAAATTCCAATTGAAACTCGAGACGTCATCTGGTATCTATTATTCCAATTTGGTCGAATTGAGGACCCACAAGATGACAGACTTATCTGGTATCACCCTCTGTATTGGGGATATAGACTTTAACGAAGAAAAGTTTAGCTTGAATGACATAGAGGACGCCATCAAGGCCATAAACGCCAAACCATTTTCAAGCCAAGTCAAAGTTGACACCACACAGTTCATTTGCACTACAAACACAGGTATTGAATACCAGAAGGCGAAGAATATGAACATTCCAATCATCAGACCAGAGTGGATCAAGGCATGCCAGTTGGAGAGAAGGATTGTTGGTGTGAACAAGTTCTACCTAGATACAGAAAATCCAATTTGGAAAACGAAGGACTTCTGGGCGATAAGCAACGATGTTACCCCACCCACCGAAGACACAGAGGAACCTGCAATTGCAGCCAACAGCACTACTGTTGAGGAAGATTTAACTGTTCCAAACATCACAATTGACCCAGAGTCCGAGGCAGAGGTGACAGTTACAGATCCAACCTCTGAGTCTACTAATACCAATGATGTTGCTGCGGTTGAGACTGAGACTGATAAAAATGATGAGAAGATAAAAGATAGTGAACCTGAAAGTTTGCCAAAGATAGAAGGGGAAACCGTACCTGAAGAAAATTCAATGACGGAGGAAGTGGATGAAGTACCAAAGGAAGAGATAGAAGGAGCTAAAGCAGAAGTAGCAGCCGCTGAGGTAGCACCTGCTGAGACGCCTGGAGTGTTGGCCGAAGAGGGTGTAGTAGTAGAAGAAACTACTGCAACACCAGAACTAGCGGTAACACAGGATGAAAGCCCAGCAGTCGCCGAAGAGGAACTAGGACAGAGCGTGACGGTAAACGAAAGTAAAGAAGTAGAAGGAGGAAAGGAAGCGAAGGACGACGTTACTGAGACTGCAGAACCTAGTATAGCAATCGAAGAGCCTACAGAGGAGGTGAAAATCTCATTAATCGACTCATCTCCGGCCACACCAGAAGGGACTAATGCCGAGGCTAGCGCAACTGAAATAGGCTCAGAACCTGTGACAGAGTCTGTTACTCCTGACACCCCTGCCGACACTACTCCTGAAGAGCCAGAGTTACAGGTGGCTGAAACGGAGGATGTCGAAGCAGAGAAGCGGGAAGGCGAAGAGAACGGTGTCGAGAAGGTTCAAGCCGAAACAAAGAGTACCCCTAGCTCCAAAGGCAGCAACAAAAAGAAGGGCAAGAAGAAGGGCCGGAAATAGTTACGATATAACTTATTAGATATGTAAAACTTCTGTGTTAGCGTACGAGTAGTAACAGTATACGATAAGAAGCATTTTTTCTTTCTGCACATGTGTTTTCGATGGATTAGTTTCTTTTTATATGGATGTTACATAGTTGGGTAAGTATATATGAACGTCAAGAAGGATGGTGGTTAACTGTCACCAAAAAGTCTTCTCACTCTTCTCAGAACGGAGTCCTTTTCTGGGTCATATGGGTGGTCTTTCGAAGGGATCTCTAAAATAGCTGGGAATGGCGCAGTGAAGGAGTCGACCTCGAGTCTGATCACATCTGCAAGATGCTGATTTATGAGTAAGATGGCAATGTCATCTCTGGTTGTGAATTCCTCAAACTTGGCCAGTAGCTCCTCGCTCTTTGTGTCGTCTGTGCATATCTGGAAGTTTCTCTCCTTGCCTGGCTCGTTGGTTACCTGACCAATACCGGCCAAAAGCATTCCTGTAATTGTGTCTTCATCACCCATGCATGCTAGTAGCGTTCTGTTCTTGGCAGCTTCGGAGGCCATTGTGTGTTTGTGTGTGAGCGTCTATAATCTCTACCTCCCTTGGACGCCCTCCGGCTTACCAGCTTGTAATTGATAAGTTCCCCAGATAACGATAAGTCTGGCCATCAGCATACAGGCCGGTCAGGCTCCCAGGCTCCCAGGCAGGAAGGCAGCCACTGTGAGTGAGGGTCGTGAGCATGTTTCGGGCACTCGCTTTCCAGGCAGTGCGCGCAAGGGCAGTTCGACGGAGGAGTTAAGGAACGACTAGAAAAGGAGGAAGAAGAGAGTTTCGGGCTGCTGGTTAAGGAGTTTTTAGCAGCAGATAATCCTTGAAAGAACCAGCACACAATAAAGGTATTATAGCTCTATACAGAAAATAAAGATGTTACGTTTTGGAAGCTCGATGAAGCCGGCAAACCTGAACAAATGGCACATGTTCGGTCTTATGGACATGAAAAATGTGAATGTGAATGTGAAGGGTTGGAGCGCCAAGAGAAGGCTCCACACGAGTGACGTCAGGATGGCTGGCCACTCAAAGTGGGCAAACATCAAGCACAAGAAGGCTGCGAACGATGCAGCTAAGGCGGCTTCGTCGTTTCGGATGTCCCGACAGATCCAAGTGTTGGCGAAGATGGGTGGGTCTGACTTGAATCAAAACATTATGTTGGCGAGTGCGATCGACAAGGCCCGGGGGATGTGCATACCAAAGAAGGTCATTGACAATGCCATCAAAAGAGGCACGGGCGAGTTGAAGAGCACGGAGAAGATGGAGACTGTTGTTTACGAAGGCCTGGGGCCGGGTGGAGTTGCCATTGTCATTGAGGCGATCACGGACAACAAGAACCGGACGATCGGGTACATCAGACCGTGTTTTAACAAGTTCAACTTAAACATGACCCCGACGCTGTACATGTTTGAGAAGAAGGGTGTGATTCTCATCGATGCCGGGGAGTTGACGAGCGACGACCTCTTTGACGAGCTGTTGGAGCTTGGGTGTGAGGATATCAACGACATCGAAAATCCGAACGAGTCGGAGTTGCTGAGCGAGAAGAAGGACGGGAATATCATCGAGCTGATCACGGATGCGAAGGAGTTTGGCAAGATCGCCAACGAGCTAAAGGACAAGTACCCAATCAAGGAGATGAACATCGAGTACTTGCCCAACGAGGAGACGCTGGTGGAGGTCTCTGATCCGGACACCCGTGCGAGCTACGAGAAGTTCATGGGTCTGCTCGACAACATCGAGGACATTTCGCAGGTTTTCACCAACCTGAAGGAGACGGAGGAGTAGACGGCACGTGTTGCCGAGGCTTGTAAATATGTTTATAGATCTAGATTATCTACGCAAAGTAGGATGATAAATGGAAGCTCGAGAAAAAAAACACAGACATTGATTTTCATTGTTGATATATAAATTTTTTCTTTTTAAATAAGATAAATTAGAGTTGATCTTAAGAAAATGGGTGGGCAAGAAGAACTAAAACAGAAAGAGAAGAAGAAAGAAGTCCAAAAAGTGGCAAGTAAAAGGATAGAATAATAGTAGTAGTGTCCAATGGGGGATCGAAAATAGCTCATCTATTCCTTCTTGGCCAAGGCTTCTTCCAACTTGTCGTCGAACTGTGGGATTTCTCTGCCCAGCTTCAAGGTTCTGTCGGTGGTCAACTTCTTGAAACTGAAGTAGGTTGCGGAGCAACAAACCACGAAACATGCGGCGTACAATGGGTATAACTCAGGTGGGACCTTGAAGAGGGATGCGTTCTTCTGTGGAAGCGTGTGGGGGGTGTGAGAGTGTCCAAAGACGGGATGGATGTTAGTACTTCAAATTCCGGGAACGGGGGTGGCCAGCAGGGGTCAGCAGGGAAGCAGTGGGCATTTCTGGGTCTCTGGATGACGCTGGCCTGTGCCAATGCACTGCCTGGGCACCGTCCGACGCCTGTCTTCTCTTTCAGACCTGCTTCCACCACGGTCAGGCCGGGTTTGCGCAGCTGGGCGTACGTACCGCAGAGTTCATTCTTGGGTAGGTGGCTCTCATTGTGTATATGTGCGTATGCAGTGGGGAGGGAACGTTCTGGAGATCTGCGGGGGCCCCAACTTTCCGGACGCAGAGCCACCACCCGAAGCCAGAGTGTTGAAGATGAGGACGGTGATCACGTAGAGCTCGACCCCTCTGCCTCTCTGGCCTCTCTCGCTGGCGAGCCGGCCCGCCTCTGCCAATAGGCGCCTACACTAAGAAGCTTAGTATGGCCCCATTTGCAGCTAACCGCGTGCTGTGCAGACGTTACGTAAGCAAAAGCATTCTGCCGCCCACGGGAGACGGGGCAACGGGGCAACATCCGGTGCTGGCCAATCACAGGCGCGGAGAGACCAGAGCGAGAAAGAAGCTTGTTGTAAAGCGGAGAAGGGGCTTCGATGCCCGTAGTGGAGGATGGCAGCGTGTTGCAAAGCACTGTCGCGCCACGACACAGAGCTGTGTCGCAGGCGCGGATTCGCCGATCGGCCCTTTTTGCCAGTTTTTGCCCCGTTCCCGCGCCAGGCGCCCCTTTTGTCGACAGACAGAGCGGGAGAGCGAAAGAGTGCTCAGCGGCCCAGTGTGCCACACGGAAGAGAAGGGAGAGGAGCAGAGAGACGGTCGGGTGACAGACAGCGTGCTCAGCTGAAACAGATTGTTTCTTGTAAGAGGTATATTTGCCGTCGTCTTCAGCAGCACCGCCATCCGACATACACAGCTCCGTTCTGTGCACCAGGGTCCCGTCTCCGCCGCTAACCCCGTCCCCCGTCCCCGGCCAGCCCTCTCTACGTTGCGGATTACCTACTTTTCTAATCATTGAACCACTGCAAAAGTTAAACGAGTCACAGAGCTACACAAGTACACAAGTACAGAAATAGAGAAAAACACACCCAAAAACAAAAGTAAGAACAGCACGACCACAAGATGCAAAACAAGCCTTTTCCAAAAGTACAGTCCGCCCAGGGCTCCTACAGCAACAACGGCGGCAACGGCAGCCAGAACGGCCCGAACGCCATTCTTTCGCCCACCGAGTACGACGCCGCAAACAAGCACATGAAGGACCGCTTCATCTACGCGCTGGCCAACTCCCTCGGCACAAAGATCACTGTCACCACCGCCAACAGCGACAAGATCACGGGCATCCTCCAGTCGATCTCCGACGTCAACGACACGATCCCCTCGCTCATCCTCAAATATCCGACGAGGGCCGGCCACGTCTACGATGACGAGTTCCTGATGATACCCGAGTCCTCCATCTCCATGATGACGTGCGAAAACCTCGACTTCACCCCAAAGGCCTCCGCTTCTTCCGCTTCCGCCTCTGCCTCGGTTGCCTCCTCTACCTCGTCCTCCTCTGCCCACAACCATTCCGCGGCACGGAGAGGCTTCAGGATTGACACAGACATCTCCAGCAACGACACGTACAGGGAGCGTGAGCGGGACCTCCAGAAGTGGGTTCCCGAGGAAGACGACTCTACCAGCCTCGGCGCAGCCTTGGAGGAGGAAAAGTTTTCCGACGCCAACAAATGGGACCAGTTCAAAACGAACAAGGACAAGTTTGGCATCGATGCCAAGTTCGACGAAAATGACTACACCGTCAAGCTGAATGTCTCCAACCCGAAGTTCAAAGAGAGAATGAAGTTCGCCGAAACCGTCTCCAGGGAAATCCTGTCCCAGAGCTCGAACGGTAACCTGCACATCGCCGAAGAAAGAGGCAAGCTAGTAGACGCAGAAAACATCGACGAAGAGGACAAGTACTCCGGTGTGCTGAGAGACAACGCGGAGTCGGAGAAGAAGTTGATGAACATGTTGAAAACCAACAAGCCAGACTCCTTTTCCAAGCCTGCTCCTGCTGCTGCTGCTGCCGCTGCTGCCTCAACTACTGTTGCAGCCCCATCAAACAAGTTGTCTGGTCAATACATTCCTCCTAATCAGCGGAATGCCCAAACCCAGAAAGACGTTTCTTCGACAGCAGGTACTAAACGTTTGCCACAGGCACCCGTGAGTTCCACTACCCCGGTTGCTACAACTCCGTCCGCTGCAGCAACCCCAGTCCAGCTTCCAGAGAAGCCGGCAACGACCCAACAGACCAAGGACACTTCTAAAAAATCGGCAAACAACGAGCCTGCCCCATCTGCAAAGAAGAGCGCAGCCGCAGTACCAAAAAAGCCGGCTGCCATTCCGGCAACTTTGACTCTCTCTGCTCCGTCCACCACATCAACCATCCCCACTAATTCGGCTAATTCATCTACATCTACCGCAACTCCTGCAACTTCAACCACTCAGCATGCCCAAAAATCTCAAACCCAAGCTCATCAACCAGGAACTCAAACGCCCCAATTGTCGACACAGCAAAATGGTGTTCCTTCGAAGCAAAAGTCACCACAACTTCAGAAACAGAACTTTACCGATCCTACCTTAGATCAAAATCAGAATCAAAACCAACATCAGCAACAACCACATCAACCACATCAATCCCATCAGCCCCATCAAATCCATCAACAGCACCAGCATCAACAAGGTATTCCTCAACAGCTGCCCCCACAAATGCAGCAGCAGCAGCAGCAACAACAACATATGATGAGAAACCAACAGTTTGGGTATCAACCTCGTAGTAACATAGGAAGCCAACAGCAATACGGATCGCCTTCGATGCAGTACAGAAACCACCACAACGGGTCAAATCACAGTAGTAGTCAATACAACCAAAACTATGCCAACAGCAATAATGTGAACGCCAATGCTAACCAAAGGATGAAAAAATCATCGCCACAATTCTTATTCTCACATCGTCCTAGTGATAAAGCACCAAGGGGCTCAGTATTAAAAGACAGATTTAATATCCTCCTTTCGGCAAAGAAAGAGTACAAATCGAACAGTGCAAACGTCACCATTGACATAATACCTATGGTGCCAAGCTTTCATACCTCACCAAGTTGGCCGGAAACGACAAGTGAGTCTTACTCCGAAATATTCACGAAGGAGAACAATTCTCACCCAAACATGCACATGCAACAATCTGTATACATGCACCCACAGGCTTATCCCCAGAATCACCAGCCTTACATGGGTTTCCAAGTTCAACCTCCATACTACTTTCCTATAGTTCCATCATATCCAGTTTACCTGCCTAATGTGGCCTTCCCTATGATGGGAGGCAATCAGGGTATGGATAAAGTTTATCCAAACCATGCCAGACATGGTAATAATTACTAATCCTATCCTTCACAACATATATTTCTCTAATATGTATCATTTATGTCATCATTCTATAAAATAACATTTTCCGTAAAAAAAAGTCCATAGTACACTCGTTTGAGAGAAAATCAAGTTTTCAGCATGAATCTGGAAATTTGTGGGTAAAAAAAATTCAACTTTTTTATCTCGAATATTTCATATCAAGAGAAGTAATTTTTGGTTTAGCATTCTAGCTAACAGTTGCATCTCTAAAAACTGCAGCATGACAGAAGATCCTACCTTATACAGGACATTAGGTCCAATATATATATCTTCCATCCAGCCATTGTTGGAAAATGAAGATTTACACCAGAAATACAAGATCAAAACCATCATTTCGGTAACAAAGTCAGACATACCGCTGACATATACCAAGGAGCCATATACTCACCTTCAGATTCCCATCGATGATTTACCGACCGAAATATTACTTCCATTTATACCCGAAGTCAACCAACTGATTTTGAAAACTATATACAGACCATTATCTAAAGATGCTCTTGATAGCTCTCTCATAAAGGAAAACAAAGTGCAGAAGCCATCGCTGTCCGGGGATGCTGTTCTGATTCATTGTCAATCAGGGGTATCAAGGAGTGTAGCCTTTGCTTGTGCTTATCTCATGAACCGGCACAATCTTCCTCTCTCACATGCGTTGCATGCAATTAGACGAAATAATTCGGGTAAAACGTTCCAGCCAAACGATGGATTTATGGAGCAACTTGAAATTTACCAAGAAAGTGGATGGTGTGTCGACGTTAGTAAATTACGAAAAACTTCACCTCGTTGGAGAGCATACCGCATGGAATATCTTATAACATCAATGATACACAGTGGAGCAATTGCTGACGATGAAAAAGATAGCAATTTCAGCAAGATTGAAACTTCAAGTGAAAAGGACCCAAATTGGTTTGGTTTCAAATGTGCCAAATGTAGATCGCTTCTAGCGAGTAGTGAAGTTTATATTCCACACTCACCGCCATTTGAAAAAGATGATAAGCAGATGTATTTTATCAAAAATGCATTCAGAAGTAAAAGGGTGGTCAACGTTCAAAAAGGACATAATGAGTGCACTCTTATATTTACAGAACCACTTCTTTGGATGCGTGATAAATTGGTGAATGAAAATAGCTCCAGCGCAGACAACACTGACACAGGAAGGGGGAATGAAGACCATGAAGCTCTAGAAGGAAGATTAGATTGTTACAAATGTGGAGCAAAAGTTGGGGGGTGGAATTGGAAAGGTGGAAGATGCAGTTGCGGTAAATGGATGGTGCCAGCAATAAATCTACTCAAGTCAAAGGTGGTTCAAACGGATCGTAACAATAAACTGATTTTGCCTAATGACGATAGAGCAGTCTGAAATATCAAAAATCTCGTATATAACTTGTCTACTATCTCTTTCTTCAACATTAACAGATCAAACTAGATATTTTTATTCAAAAAGATATTGAACTATAGATCAAGCAAAAAAACTTTATAAGTCATACAAAAAACAGCTCTATTCCAAAGTCATGTCAAAGTCAGATCCGTGAATGTCATTATCGACCGAGGTGTTACCGGTTGTTTGATTTCCAATACTAGAATTGATTGTAGTAGGAGTTGTCAAATTCGCAGAGTCGGTGTAGCCTGTGTTAATGTTTCTTCTCACAGAATTACCAGACCCTCTTGTATGTGCACTTTCAAGAATCGAGACACCTCTTGACGGATAAGGCTTTCCAACTTGCCCCTCGATTATACTGTGATCTTCTTGGTAATCTTCATATGCCATGAAATATTGTTCTTCTCCTTCTAAAAATCTTCTTCCAGCAGTTCCTATGGGTATGCCTGCACCTGCACCTGCATCTTCGTGAAAACTGCTATGTAGAAGAGTTCTTGAAACATTTCCCAGAATCTCATTCCTATGGTTACCAATAGCTATACTGCTGTGTCCTTCCTCGTTTTCATCATCGTCCTGCAAGTCCACAATTGCATGGTCTCCGATTTCATAATCTTCATCGTCATCTTCGTCATCGTCATTTTCTTCAACGTCATCTACTACATCTTCATCGTCAAAAGAAGGGTCCTCTGCTATATATGCATGATCAACCACATCATGCATTTCTTCTTCATCGTCATAATAGTTGTCATTTCCTCTGTAAATGCTAACATTGCTGTAGTTTCCGTGACTGCTATCATAATTACTTATATCAGCATCCAGATCTCTTTCGGGAAGAAGCCTAACATCTCCTGATGTGTTTGCATAAATCGCCTGATTCCCCAAATCATTTTCATTGCTGGCTCTAGAGTTTATATTGTCGTTAAAACTGTCTCCCTCATTTTCGTTTCGACGCATTTGACCTAAATTCTCAGTCATCAAATCGGTGGCATCCTGTATTGCAGTATTTTGAACGGCAGCTTGACCTTCTCCTTGTTGACCCTCGTATGAATTCAGTAGCATCTCTTCCATATCATTGCTGGCGCCATTGATATCGTTCTGTAATTCCAAGTTTACATCCTCATTATCTTCTTCTATATCCTCAACTTCATCATTTGCTTCCTCAAGCATTTGAGCCATTGTTTTGTCTAGTCCCAGTGGTGTCAACCACGTATATCCCCAAACTTCGTTCTCTTTTAATTTTTGTAATCGGCAACCTAGTTCGAGGCCCAATTGCTCAATTCCTTCAAAAGCACTTTCCTGCCGATTAGTATGAGTGCAAGGCTTTTTCGAGTTCTTCAACAGTGACAATGCAGTCTTCGAAGCATTGTTCAAAAATAGAGGTGCTGCTCTGACGGGAGTATAAAATGAAAGTGGGGGAAACTCCGACTTTCTTCCTCTGGTACTAACATTGAGGTTAGGTGCGTTTGATGTAGAGTTGTTGGACGAATTGGAATTATCATTTCTTGTGCTTGCCTGCAAGCGACCCTCTGAGGGGGCTTGCATCCAGCCCGTTCGGATATCTGAAGGGATGATGTTTGGCAAGTACATTGTCAACGTTAATAGAAATGGCTTTCTTGCTCTGCAACACTATGATGGGTATCGCAAGCAACCAAAATACAATGGGAACAAGTGATAACAATTATTTCCATGCTGCCTCGTTTTTTTGTTTATCGCCAGAAAACCTGTACCTTTATTTTTCATGGTTTACTTCTCACGGCAAAACTGTCTTGATCAGCAAGGTTAATGGATCATGAGTGTGTGTTTATATTGGTAGGTACAAATAGTAGAATAATAAAAGGTAGAACTAGAGAGAAAAAGATGGTAAATTATATACAAGCGTATTACCAACGAAAAAGTAATCATTCAAGTGGCCGTTCCTCGGAGGTGCCAAAGAAACGGTCCCATTGACCTTCTTTATGTATCATGGCCAACGCTAGAACGACAGGCAATTGCCAAATCGAACTCCAGAATGTCTTTTTCGCCCATACGTTGGCCAAATCTATCTCCCCCTTCGTTGGGCCGCCGTGTTCCAACACATTCTTGGAATAGTTATGACGTTGTTGCAACCAGAACTTGAAGGCGTTATAGGTCATCCATGCGTTAAGTATTGACGAGTCAACTGCAAAGAAAATATCACAGACATTGTAATACACCATTGCAAAGCAGATTGGGAACATTGCTATGGAATATCTCAATGCAACTCTTGCATTTAAGTTTGGATTGACGAATGCAGTCATGACATAACCTGCACGTTTATACTCTGCTTTGATATTGTGACTCAAACTATTGAAATGAGGAAACTGCCATGCGTATAGAAGCAAAGCTAAGCACCATGCACCTGGATCGGTAAGTGAAGAGCATGCGGCCCATCCCATTAATGGTGGAATGGCGCCGACGATTGCTCCAACCCAGGTGTTGAGGATAGATTTACGCTTCAAGGACGTGTAAAACCAACTGTAAAGTACTATGTTTGCAGCAGCTAAGGAAGCAACTGTAGGGTTCACACCATAGTAAAGAACGGCACATCCTATTGTACCAGTCAAGGCTGCGAATCCAAAAGCTTCGTTTGGTTTAACCAAACCGGTCACAACTGGTCTGGTTGAGGTACGCACCATTTGAGAATCGAAATTTGGTTCCCTTCCCATATTAATGGCGTTAGCAGCACCGGATGTCATCAAAGTACCTACTGTTAAGTACAAGAATTTGCTCACGTCCACAGCATTTGGTGCAAGAGTATAAGAGCAAATTGATGAGAGCATGATTAGAAATGTCAAATGAGGTTTGGTCAATGTCATGTAAGGGTTCATTAGCTGTTTTAAAGTTTTCGGTTCACCCTGCATGTATTGTTCGAGAATAGATCTATCATCCTTTTTCTGACTCTTAACTTTAATCTCGAAGGGGATATGAGACTTAGCGGTGCAGGATGCGCCATCTCTAGTGGTATTTGAAGATGGTTCTGCTGGTGGATGGCATATACCAGATACAGCATCTAGAGGAGATTTTTTTTCAATTACTCTGTTTGTTTCAGACGTGCTCAAGGGCGTAGAATAGATCGATCTTGTACTGGAATGTTTTAGTAAAGTTGGTGCCAATATTCTGTAGTTTGGGGTGAATCTTAAGGAAGAAGAAGAGCTACGCCCTATGAAATTGAGGGTAGACTGGTTTACCGTGTTGTTCGAGTAGTAGATATTCGTGAACTCCGACAACGGTGTGTATATCGCAGATGCAGATGATGCGGATGACGTGGATGCATAGAGTCTCACGGAAGAGAAGAGTGGGATTTTCGAGAACTGCGGCTTAGTAATCATGATGGTATGATTTATATTGTATGCAGTGTATAGCTTATAGGGGCTTGTTTATTTGTGAAAAGGTATCAAATTTGGTAGGACAGACGCATGTGCAGAATAACAATGACGATATTCAAACTGGAAATGGTAATGACGAGATTTGAAATAGTATAATGTAAATACAGTATGCCAATACTATGTAATTGAGAAGATGATAATGGAAATCAAAAGAGTTAAAGCAACAGTAGTGGATCAATAAGTTTTGGGTTTCGTATGTAGAAAACGGTGCTTCAAGATTTTTTTCCTAGGAACGTTATTACTGAATAGTAATATGGTGTCTCTCCATAAACAAAAACTTCCGTCGAAGATATAAAGAGATCAGATGAACGGTGCTGTCTAAGAGCTGGTGCTTCTTTTCCTCGAATGATTCTTCCTCAAAGAACCCTAGGGTGTTTTCCAATCAGGAAGATACGAGATGATATGATATGATGTCTTTCTACGAGAGCAGATTCATTCCCCGAAGAGGAGGAAAAAACGTAGGACGCGAGCTCCGGGTAAATCGGTCGGAATGATAAAAGGGTGCATACGGGATATACAACAGCGCATGAGCCAGCATAGGGGCCATGCCAGCAGGGTTTTGACATGTAATGGTTATTAGTGGTTCTACGTGCTACACAGAAGAGATACAATGAGGTGCTAGGTTTTGACAGATTCGTCGTTACTGTTGCTTTCCATCCTTGGCGTTTTTGGAAGAGGAAGGAGTTTCCTTGTCGGTGGCAGGGGTGTTGCTGCCTGGGGCTGCCTCTGCGTCGGCTCCATCCTTGGCAGTGGTCTCCTCCACTGGCTCCTCCGTGCTGGTAGTTTCATTTCTCTTTCTGTTTTCGATCTTGTTGCTTATCAGGTCGTGGAAGGCGATGATCGATCTCACCAGACTGCTCACGTACAAGATCATCAACTCGTCGTTTGTCTTCACATTAAACGCAGTAGCCAATCTCTTTTCGTGGGAATATATCTGGGCGTCGACCTGATGGGCATTGCCCGTCTGGACGTCGGTGATTTGTGATATGTTAGGGAGGAGGTTGAAGATGTCCTGCAGCTTGCCGAGAATCGTGCTGTTGATAGGCAGCTCGCCCGAAATGAGCTTGCCCAGGTATTTGACAATGCTCGAGAGTCTTTCGTTGAGCGACTTCAAGGACTTGAAGTTGTTCGAGAGAGCAATGGTCAAGTTCCCCCTGTTCTCGTCCCGGATGTCCCGCAAGAGATGTTCGACGCCGATTTCCTCGGCCTCCTCCGCCTCAATGATCGACGGGTAGTGCAAGAACGTCTTTTCGCTTGCAGAGCCGTCCTCCTTGATTTCCTCGATGGCCATGTAGCAGTCTGTGGGGATATCGATCTTGTCCGTGGAGTTCACGTCCACAATCAGCAAGAGCGGGTTAGGCGTAAACGTCTTGAACACCTCGTTGATCCGCAAGTCGTTCTGCCTCAACTTTGGGCCCGAGTGATACCATCCAATCAACTTCTCCTTCGCGTTGATCTTCTTGAACATCTCCATCATCGAGTCTATGTAGTTGTGGTCTAAAAACCAGATGTTCGGGTTGGTCTCGTCCTCCTCGTACGGTATCGCAAACGAGTTCGACACCCTTACCGTGCTGTGGTCGGAGCTGTCTCCTAGAATCACCCCGACAACCCGCTTCTTGCTTGACACCACCGAGCTCTCTGACGACCTCACGATTCTCTCGTAGTGATCCACCACCGAGAGAAGCACCAATGGCGCAATGGACACCGTTTTCGACTCTGCAGATACCATTCTGTTTCTGCTATTGTACTGTCTGTCTTTTGCTGTACTGAGCTCTGCTGCTTCTACTGCTGCTGCCCTGCTTCTGTCTTTTCTTTGTCTCTTGGCCAGACACGATTTGCCTTCCTTGTCTGTGCTCAGCTCGCTTTCGCTGAGCTCTCCCTCTCTCCCTGGTACCGCGCCGCCGTTTTCTCGCCTAGTCCTTGTTTCTTCTCTGTGCTCTGGTTTTGACCCTGCAATGGGACCTCTTCTTCTGCTATTTTCTTACCATCGGCGGGCAGGGCGCTGTCCCTGGTGCTCAATGGCAGCAGGATCAGTTCAGCATGTCGTCTGCTAGTCAAGTTTCTCCTCCGGTTCCGGTTGGAACTTGTCGCCGCAGAGGACTCGATGGTATCTTTCTGCCGACACGGTGTATTTTGACACAGTCTTTCTTTCCTTCGGTCCTTCTGCACCCCCGCCTCCGTCTTTCTGGCGTCTCGGCTGTATCTACTGTCTCCATCTACACCATTAAGTACATGTCACCCCGACCCCGGACGGACCCCCATCCGTTTCACTCCGTTTCTGGGTCGATCGGCCCAAATTTCTCCTTGAACATGTTCTCAGAGAGAAAAAACACCTCCGTTTTCCCTTTTCGGCCTTGTTCTTGTACCTTTTCCGTTTTCACATGTAGATCTCGGCATGTCTTAGCTCAATGTACGTCGTATAAATACACAGTTTTCGGCACACGACCTTTCAGTCTCTAGCAAAACAGTCCTTCTTCAATCCATAGCAATATGTTCCCCCATATCGTCCGGGCTGGCCCACGTTGCCATTTCTATTCTCCCAACATCAATATGTTCTTTGTGAAAAACGTTCCTCTGCGTTCGGCATACTCGACGTCCCAGCCTCAAAAGCAATCGGTCAGGCAGAAGATACCTACAGCACTGTCAAAGCGGAGAAGACCGTTAAGAGCATTTGTGCTTATCACGTTGGGTGCTCTCTTCCTCGTCTCCATCAGAGACTACCAGGAAACAGCAGCCGGAATCGGCGAGAAAGAGCTTGTCAGACCAACCTCCTGGCCGCTTTATCTCTACTCATACCTTCCATTAAACACCCTTTCTCGTCTTTGGGGCAGCTTCAATAGTGTGACGTTGCCCGTGCCATTGCGTGTGCCGGGCTACAAACTCTACTCGTTCCTCTTTGGCGTCAATTTGGACGAAATGCAAGACCCGGACTTGACACACTACAAGAATTTAGGCGAGTTCTTCTACCGAGAAATCAAGCCTCAATCCCGGCCAATAGATCCTACGGCTTTGGTAGTTTCTCCCTCTGACGGAAGAGTGTTGAAATTCGGCAGAGTCGACCCCGATGGTGGAATCGAGCAAGTTAAAGGTATGACCTACAAACTGGAAGCCCTGCTCGGGGCGGCGGAATCACAGCAGACAGCTCATTCAATGTCGCTGAGCTATGAAAATGAAGCACACAGAGAGCTCCATCAGGCCCACGAAAACGATGATGTCTTTTTATCCCACCTCCGGAACAACACGAATCATGATTGCACTGCTCGTGCCGACGATCTGGATCAACAATCCTTGGTCACTTTCTCCCAACAGGGTGAGAAGTCCAACTTTCATCCTTCCACTTCTCAAGTGCTGAACGTATCAGTAGCCTTAACTCCAACGACAAAGGAAACCGATCTGTTCTATGCCGTCATATACCTCGCTCCTGGCGACTATCATCGTTTCCACTCCCCTGTGACTTGGGTAACTACCCTTCGTCGTCATTTTGTCGGTGAACTCTACTCAGTGGCTCCCTATTTCCAGAAAGCCTTCAACAATCTTTTTATTTTAAACGAACGTGTTGCATTGTTGGGATACTGGAAGTACGGCTTTTTCAGTATGACTCCGGTAGGGGCAACCAATGTCGGATCGATCAAAATCAACTTCGATAAAGACTTAGTCACAAATACCACCATGCTCAACGGTGAAAAATTGAAGAAAAATACATGCTATGAGGCTCATTATTCAAATGCTTCTTCTCTTTTGAAAGGTGAACCCTTGGTCAAAGGTCAGGAAATGGGTGGCTTCATGCTCGGTTCGACCGTCGTCTTAGTCTTCGAAGCTCCAAAAGATTTTAAGTTCACTCTACAAGAAGACCAATACGTTAAAGTGGGTCAATGTATAGGTGAACTGAGAGACTGAGACTTCTTTACTTTGCTTTTCTATAGCATATATATATACACCTCCTAAGGTACTTAGATTTTCACTATATTTCTCATTTCTGTATCATAAATAACTAATCATTGAAATAAACATTTTTATAGATAGAAAAGCAATTACTCCTACTTAGAGAATAGCTCTTTCTTTAACTTCTCAATAAATTCAATGTTCAGGTAGTTCAACCCTCTAGATACATCGTTGTTAGAGAAATTATCCTCTTTATCATCCAGGTTGAAATAGTTGTCAAGATTATTGTCACTTCCTCCAAGAAATTTTTTGTTTCTTCTTTTATTCCGTCTGGAAGTTTCCTTATCATCGTTTAGCAAAATAAAACTGTCAACAAAATTAAAAATCAGTTTCAGGTTCATTAATTTATCCTCATCTAGTAAAGCTTTGTCCATGATGATCCTCTCAATCTCAAACTTGAAATCAAAAACTGTGGAGCTCATTGAACATACGTTGCTATTTGATTTGATAGAATCAAACAAGATATCCTTTTCAAAATTCTGCAGTCCGCCAAATATCTTTAGTGATCTCAATGAATCAATTCCCAAGGTTGGCTTGTTTCTGATCTCGTGATTTTCATCCATATCTACTAGCTCGAGAAAGTCAAGTTTCAGTGTTTTATAGCTCGTCCTTTTATCAACGTATAAGGCCAAATTCTTTTTGAAGTTATCGTTTGCACTAGCAGAAGATCTAGCTAAATCAAATTCCACAGGGAAGTAACTATTTTTCGAGTTGACACTAATTTTGTGAATAAAGCTTAAATCCGGTAGCAAGCAAGGAGAAGGAATCCTGATTGTCGTTTTGTTCTTCAATACAACATCAACATCAACTTTAACGGGCTTTTCACTATGAACCTCTCTCACCACAAGACATCGATTTTCAACTGCTAGAGCCCAAAAATGGCGTAATGCTTGTAAATGAAGGTCATTCAATTCATTTGAGGATTTTCCCTCTGCATCGCATAATGCCTCGTAGTTGTTAGATCCAAACATTGGGTAGATAGAGGTGATCAAGGCAGCAATTGCAAAGTTATCATTAGTATTGAAAGCCTGTTGACCACCACCAAGGAATAGAAATCCTAATGACATATTGGTGGCCATATAGTTCCCATATTTGGTATACTCATCAGTAATTCCTTGAAGGTATCTTAACCTCCTCATAATATCAAGGTCACCTGTTCCAGCCATTATAATTGATAGTCCAAGAATCACAACATCTCTAGCATTGCGAACACCAATCAAAGCAACTTTTCCGTCATAGTTAAGAGGCTCTAAAAAGCTGAGACTTAGTAAAAGATCAAGGTAATAAAGTAAGGTTTTTTTTGCGTCAAAATTGGCAGTTGATGCAAAACACACAGCGATAGACAAAAGTTCACCCGATAGAATATTTATGTACGGTAAAATGTTGGTATCCAAAGCGTTAATTGACTCAATAAAGTGACGTTTGGAGATACATGTAGGAATCTGACTTTCAACAAATTCTTTGTTAGGCTCAATTTGGTTCCACATGACCATGTTCTTTGCAAGGCTTCTGAGCATCAACAAATCAGGTCTCACATACTCCAACAATTGTATCGTTTTAGGTAGGCTGAGTTTTTCTGCTACCTCTAGAGTATTCGTTTTCAAGAACATGAACATTAATGCCATAACAGCACCTGAGCAAGACTTATCGAGTTCTTTTAAAGTTTGAATGTCACGGATTGATGTGCCATAAGAAAGTAGACTGTCAATTATATGGCTATCATGAGATGATAACATCATATCTCCTTTACCTAAATTGATGTATCCCAATGCAAGCCCAGCTGCTAGTTGATATCCTTCATTTACTACTTTTTTATCGTTTATGATAAGGGTTGAGCTGATTTGAGCTAATAATACTTCAGACATTCTTCTATGCTGAGTTTCAAGATAAATCAATCCAATACCAATTATACCCGCAGTTTGAACAGGAAGTTGAACATTAAGATTTGTGGATCCTGGAGGCAAAAATGCAACAACATGGACAGATAGCACCTTGGTCATCTTGATATCCATGGAACGTTTTAAACTTGCTGCCATTCCAATTAGTAAACCAATACTTGTGTAAATATGCTTAGGACCCAAATAATTATATATATGCCATTCTTCAAGTTGTTTTAGATGACCATTAAGTCCCAATCCTAGTAAGAATCCCGCATGTTGTGCATTCAAGACAGGTGGTCTGTTAAACACCACCCAGCTTCCACTTATTCCTTCAAATTCTTTGGAAACCGAGAGACCAGCACTGGTTCCATTGTGAAAGTATCCCCAGTCTAACAAGCACTGAGGAATAGAATCATTCTCCAAAGTAACATTGATGTTATCTGGAAGCACTAATGTACTGAAATTCATTTTAGGAATTGGAAAACCTTCAGTCACCAACGGTTTTCTGCTTGAATTGAACACTACCCCTCTTCCTATTGGAGTAGTCAATGTTCGAAGAGCAATTTTGGCAGCTATTGCACGCTGACATATGATTTTATCGTAGTCATCCATAGTCGGATCTGCCTCGTATGTTACAGTCTGTACTTTTGAAGTTTGCAATAACTTCGTTAGCTCGTAAAACCGACGATCTTGTGAAAAAATCAACCTTGTTACATGAAATTTGTCAGCTTCAGCTTGCCCATCCCACGCACTTAGAACTTCATTATTAGATAGTTCAGATAATATATCTTTTATACCTTTTGAAGGAACATTGCCAGTCTGTGCGGTTACTGTCAGTTCATTCTTGACCGAGTCAAGATTCAAAAGATCATTCCTTCCAATTAGTTTTAGCTCTTCAACTGTGACATTCCAATTGGACTTCAATTTTTTTTGACATAACTCAATTGTATTTTTGAAAACAAAAAAAATTCCAGGAGGATAAGTTTCAATTTCAAGCACATCAATTCCAAAAGATACCATAGTTCTGATCAGATCCAGATTCTCAAATTCGGATGAGACAATAACTTCAAATAAGCGCAAAATGTTATAGGTTCTGGGTATCACTAGTTTATCAATTATTTCTTCTTCCCCTGCAATTATTGAAAATGTGATGTAGGGAACTAGTTGGCCCGAAAATAAACTTCCCAATGATTCCAAAATGTTTCGAGGTTTAGAAATATATTCAGCCAGCGAAAATTGTAAAGACAGATCGATCTCCTTTGCATCCACTGGATAATATTCTTTCCACGATTTTGACCATGACATCCAGTGAACCAGTTGAGAAAGTAAAACTGATAGCTGATCGTATCTTTTACTGGCCAATATATTCAACCTCAAATCTTCTCTTATCACATGTAAAGATAACACTATTTTTGGTAGAAGGGATTCCAGAGATAGTTCGGCAGCAGCTGAAAATGTGGTTGAAACATTGTGTTTATAAGAAGACCTGGCAAGCTCAATGTATGGTATAAGCTCTGTTATTTCATTGAGAGAGGTATTGACTAAACTAAAATCAGCATTTTCGGGCAAACTCATTGATAAAAGAGTTACGACATAAAGTTTCCATTCATCACAATTAGGAATATTCAATGAGACATTGGCACACCAGTGGAGCCAAAAATTTTCATAAATCAGATCATGGCTTAAATATTTTAACGAAGTAACGAATGTCCAAACATGCTGATCGTGAATCTTAGTCTGGAGGTAGAAAACATAATGCTTTCTATCATCACATAAAAATGATATTTCAGAGTCATTAGTGTCATCTATACTTATGATAGGCGGGCATTTAGCAGACAAATTGATGGATGGTGATAAAAGCTCGTAAAAAGGGTTGAAAAGAACTATCTCGTGACTGTTTTTTAACAACACAATATAAGATGAAGAAACTTTTCCTAAATCAAACTTTGCAGCATCTATTCCTTTCAACGATATGTTATCTTTGAATTTTGAAAGTACAACTTGGTTGGATGATTTCTCAAATATATATATATCAATCGAATGTATCTCAGAGTTAACAACAACCACTGCTTCTCTATCACTATAGTAAAGATTGAATATTTTAAGGAAAGATTTATCTGATTTGAAGGGTATTGAACTGACCTTTGTAAAAATAACATCTTTTCTCAAGCTCCAGTTTTCCATTGAAGAATATGAAAATATTCCAGATGTGCTACCTATAGTGTCCGACACATGTTCTGTGCCAGATGCCATTCTGTCATAAGACAATGGATTTGATGTTGCCCTGAAGTGTCTCCCATCATCATCAAAAGTTCTCGCTGATGAGGCATTTAGTAGTCCTGCCGATGAAATAGATCGCTTGCTATTTTTTCTCCCTATCTGAGTGCTTGAGTAAGACTTTGAGCTTGAACTTTTTGGCTTCGATAAATATCTAGTGTAGTATAGCAAAATTGTTTGATCGACCGAGTTATAGGTTGCAGCCAATGAAGAGGATGTGGTTTCAGGATATAATATCATTTCTTCTTTCTGAGAAAAGTACGTGGTAGAAGATGAAACCACAGTTCCCAATTCTTCAATTGGGTCAGTTAAAGTCAAGAAGTTGCTTTCTGTATAAACTGCTGAAGAAGGAATATTTGTGTACATTATATGTGACGAAAACGGAGTTGAAAACTGGGCGGAAAATGGAGATCCCTGAGTGGATTTGATTGGATCGTTCACAGAGAATGCTTTGGGGGTGTTTGCAAATGAATCACACGGCGGAGCTACTTCAAATCTTTTGCCTATCACTATTCCTCTATGAAAAGGAAAAGCATTGTGTATATGTATTGGAAAGCTAACAATGGAGACAGATTTCAATTCATCATAAACTCTAATCTGATCTTCAAGTACTATCACCAATACATTGTGATTGTTTAATGAGTCCCCTGTAATGGCTTTATCATTGAACTTTTGATCTGCAAAAATGGTGAAGAAGCAGTCAATGATGGGACTTTCAAGATTTATTTGCCGTATCATTACACCACCTACTATCCATGCTACCTTCTTTTCAAACACCAAGAGTTTTTGTTTTCGGTCATACAATTTAACCTTGAAGTCTGCATTATCAACCTTTTCTCCTATTATTCGAGGTGGGACCAACGGAGAGAGATCTGCATAATATTTCAGGCCAGTTTCTTTACCTTCAAACCTTTCTATATCCATCTTTTATCTCTTTGTATCCTGTTCAGCTTTTTTCAAACCCGGCCAACTGTTCAATCATAATTGCATCTGGCCAGATCCCGTATTTACATCAATGGGCGAATTCATGCTGAATATCAACACAAGGAAACTTGTCTTGATTATGTAACCTAAACTGATTCAATATGTGTTCTCGCGTTGGCGTTTTAGGCAAGTCTATTTTGTTTCTTTTTCCTGTACTCCTACGTACGATCCTTAACTATGCAACACTAGTCACAAACAAACAGAATCAGCCTGAAGTATTGCGGTGTAACCATGTCATTCTTTAACACGATAAAGTATGTAATCAAATCTGTCACAACTCATCAAAACACAATATACTAACGTTTCACCATCATTAACTAATCATTAACTAATCATTGCAGAGGTTTTACCCGAAGTTCTAAAAAAAAGCAGCAGGGAAATGGACAGAAGTTTAATGAACCAAATTTTGGAAATGACTCGAGTCCATCTCTAGGAAATTCAAATAGCCTATACTCCAATAGCAATGCATCTGGCGCTTCCCTTCGAAAAATTCAGTCTCCTTCGAAACAGTCGGTTAGATCCTACAAATACTCGCAGATGCAGCAACAGCAACAACAGCAACAGCAGCAACAGCAGCAACAGCAGCAACAGCAGCAATCACAACACCAGCAAAATTTACAGTTTAATGACCAGCCTCTTTTCCATGTACAACAGCACAACGTTCCTGAGAACGCAAACCAAGCACCACCTTTATTCATGTGCGAACCGTTTATCAAAACGGCCCTTGTTAAGGGCTCTTATAAAACTATTGTACAGCTTCCGATGTATGTGGATTATCACGAGTGGCTAGCATTAAATGCATTTGAATTTTATAACCATTTGAATAAGTTCTATGGTGTTATTGCTGAATATGTAACCCCTGACAAGTATCCGACCATGAACGCTGATCCAAGAACTGAATATGTCTGGTTAATGCCCAACAATCGTTCCGCATCTCTTCCAGCTAATCAATACATCGAATATGCTTTAACTTGGATCAGTAACAAGATAAACGATCAAACAATATTTCCAACGAAGTCGGGTATGGCTTTTCCTCCTTCATTCTTGAGAGATATTAAGGGGATATGCAGACAGATGTTCCGTATCATTGCACATATATACTGGAACCATTTTGAGAAAATAGTACATTTGTCGCTAGAAGCTCACTGGATTTCATACTTCAGTCACTTCATTTCTTTCATAAGAGAATTTGATTTAATGGAAGCCAAGGAATTGGAGCCTTTATCAGTATTGATTGATAATCTTGAAGCGCAAGGAAGGATTATTAAACTCGAGAATACACAAAGTTACCAGAAGCTTCAACATAGTACAAATTCAGCTGGTACCGTGTTTTGACTTGTGCTCAAAAATCTTGTTTAACACAATTTTTTAGTAAAAGACGAAGTAGTCAACATAAAATAATTGATTGTTAGATACAATTTCCGTAACAACAGAAAAATAAAAAAGTAAGCAAATAAATGAAGTTAAGAACTTTTTGAGAGTAGAACTAAAATATATACAAGAAGTTTATCCATCAAACCATCCCAAAGTCTACAATCAAAATTGAAATCATTGTGTATAAATGTGTTAACCATCGACTAAGATGTCGTAACAGAAGAAAAATCCACGGCCAAACTTAACGGGCACAATGCGAGTACTACTCATCAAAATGGGCGGCGACTTCAAGAGAAGAAATATGGACTGTCTTGGACGACCGATATGTCAAAGGCACCTTTTGGAGGAATGTTAGGAAGAGTGAATGGAACAAGCATTTTAAAAGTACCTAAGTTATCTTCAACTGTATCGTGCCTGTAGCCAACCTCTTCTAACACTGTAACACATGTTTTGAGTCTTTTCACAAGATCGATATCAGCCGGATCCTTTGAAGCAAGCAAGAGACGTCTCTCCCTTTCAATCTTGATTTCGTCAGCAAACGTTGGAGCTTTTCCTATCCTCTTTGACAATTCTTCTCTATATTTCTTAACTGCTACAGCAACTGGGGAATTCTTGTCAACAGAGACAACCATCAAGAAACCTTCATAACGTCTTTCAAATTCTCCCTTTAATTTTTCCACTAGATTATTACTGTGTAAGTTGATAAACTCTTCCCTCAAAACATGGTTCATGACGTCCACATCACAAGCATGTGTCCAATAAGAATCATGAACTGATGAGAAAGAAAGCCCGTATTCTGAGCATTTGTTTACCGACAACAGCATATGAGTTGCATCCAAAGAATGAATGAAATTTGGAGGAAAACCATTTGCCTGCTTTCTGCCGTCAACTTTCTTGATTCCATAAGGATCTTGAATGACGAAGGTTTGCATGTTGGTCTTGACTAACTTATTTTTAACCGATCTGTATGGTTGCACAACGGGTAATCCTAAAGGTGACGTCCAAATTACAGATGAAATAAACTCATCACCTTCTTCCGACTCAACATCTAGTCTCACACTTTTGGAGATTCTCCTAGCAGCTAATGCCAACCAATCTTGAATGGCATGTGCACCATCAAATAACTCTCTGATAGCTTTGAAAACTTTCTCAGTTAAATACTTTGAACAATTTGAAATAGCATCTTCGTCAAATTCTATTTCCTTTAGTCTTTTAGTAATTTGGGCCCTAGCACCAACATATGTAACACCATAAACAGAAGTCATGACAGTTTGCTTGACAATTTTTCTGGAGATAATTGGAAGAGTCAACTCAGCCTCAAGAACACCTAGTTCTCTGTCCTTTAAAACGGATTTTAGGACAGAGTTTGCCACATGCGTATAAACATCAGATGGTCTTTCTGCTGGAATCAAATTCACTTGTCTAGCACCCTCAATATCACCACCTAAAGCAGCATAATGCTGCAAGCCATTACATGTACCATCTTGATGAACAGGCTGATATGAAACATACTTAGTATGATCTGGCGAATCCAATGCTTCTACCAATTCAATAGAAGAAGCTAAGAATTGCCAAGGTTTATCCGCTTTCTTCCACCATCCTTGTCCACCTAGCGGATCTTTCACTGAATCTCTGATCATTTCTATGTTTTCATCAATGAAAGCCGCTCTTTCATCTAATGAGATTTTATCCTTACCCATCAAATTAGACAAGTGAATCTTCAGCCATCTCAAACCTTGAGTACCTAGTGGTTTTCCTTTCCAAAATTTAAGCAAGCTTCTCGACATATCATTCCCCAAATGATTAAAATTTGGGGGGACAGGATATGCTCTTCCTCTGAAGTCTAATGAATGAGGGAAAAAAATTCTTTCACCGACAAAAGCTCTTGCAATCTCTAATTTATAGTTCATGTCGCATCTCATTGATCTGTTTTTGGAGAACTCATTGCATATTTCAGTGCATGCTCTTCTATATTTGAAGACTTCAACGGCTTCGCATCCTTTTTGTGGAGCTGGAGGTAAAACAAGATCCTCCTCAGCTTTAGGAATCTCTAAGAAGGAGTCACCTGTATTCCAGACTTTGGTGACAATTTCTAGCAATCTTCTGTTCACAGTCCAGGATGTGTTACCCAGATTATTCAAACCTTGTAAAACTCTATCAATTTTGCCATTAATTGCGGCAGCTTTGGCGTACGCTGCTTGTTCCGGAGCATTTTTAGCTCTTAAAACTGTAACTCTTTTCAAAAAATACCCTCCATCATTATACGAAGTCCATGGTTTAGGTCTGCAAACCATTGGCAGGTATTGAGCTTGAATTGATTGGTCTAAACGTTCTTTTCCTAACTTACTAGCAAAGCCTTGGTTCAATTTAATGACACCAATACGTCCACCGTTTTGAAAATCATAGGTGTGATAAAAAGCTGGAGCTAATGCAGTTTTGGTTTCACCAGTTCTAGGATCAACACCTGTAACCTCGACCTTTGCAATCTGTAACAGGAAAGAGAGAAGTAATGACCCGATACGACATAAGGATTCAGAATCCCAAGAAAGTCCGTTGGAGTCAGAGCTGATATTGTTTTGATTCATTGCAGATTTTTCAACGTTTTCGACAATTTGAGCAGCTTTGGTACTTCTTAAAAACTTCTTAAATTCTGGGGTATTTTTGATTGCCTTGAAGTTTTTGTGGACATCGACATCAGCAGCAAGAATTTTTTCGGACTTGTATTCAAGCTCAATTCCTTTACCTATACCCATGACGAGTTTAGAAACAGGTACTCCTCTGCTGATATCAGATGTGACTATGCTTTTCATCGAGTCTAGAATGGCAATAGTAGCTAATTTTGGAATTTTCATGATTTCCAAAAAGGGTCCATAAGTAAGCTTTTCCTGATATCTAGCTATATCCGCCTTAGATAACTTTGTCTCTCCAGATTTTGATCCGACAATAACTTCCCTTGCCTTTTTGCATTCTTTGACTTCTTCTTCGATTAGAGGAATCAATTGTGTCAACCAGTCATGTAAATATGCGCCGACTGGGGAAGGTAATGATTTGTCTTTGATGTTTTCAAATTCTCTTTCCCATTTCAATTTTGCTGCCTCCAGAGTTGAGCTTTCTAAAACCCTTTCACGCATTTCTGAGATGCTATCTAATATTTCATCAAATTTATCTTGCTGTTCGAATGGTAAAGAATTTTTCAAATCGAACAGGTTGATCGTCCCTTCTTTGCTTTTTTCGGTCAAGAGTTCGGTATTTATATCTAGCTTTTCGAGCTCAATTAGCTGAATCATCTTTTTCACGAATTGTCCATCGTTATATGAGTCTACCAATCCTAAAAGAGAGTGCCTAATGTTTTTCAAGTTTTCTGAAGAGACTGACTTTAACGTTTCCATTTTGTTGTCTATCACGCGGTTTGTCGGTTGTCTTATCTCCTCCTTCTCGCTTGAAACCAAGTCCAAAGATATGTCTTGAACTTCGGAAGCCTCTTCTTCATCTGCTACCATTTTTTTGGAAACCTCTGTAGCTGTTTCAATATTGGACAGCACTTCGTTATTTATAGGTGCGATAGGTTCGCCAACACCATTGTTGCTAATTGATGAATCATCTAATGTTTGAGAATGTACAGGAAGATCCTTCATGAAAGATGTTTGCAGTTTGGAGTCATTGAGATGCTTTTCTTCGGCCATTGCAATAAATAGAGCTTTGTAATTTCCAGCTAAATCTTCAGCTAGCTTCGGCTTATAGTCGATCAACTTCTTGATATTCAAAAGTCCTATGATATCAACATATCTCAAAACGTCGGCGTTTTTATTTGACTGCTGCAACATGAAGTATTCCACCAAAAGTTTGTGAACAGCATCCACATCATTTGACTTCTTAAACTGCAACTTGATCAGCCATGCGTATATCCGTGCGTCGGGTATAAAGTTTCTATTGAGTGAGCAGACGTATTTGAGCCAACGACGAACTTCGGTCATCGAGTTTGAGTCCTCATTCCCCCATGTCTTGAGGAATTCACAGACAGCATCGAAAAAATAGGTTTCTGTGTTGGACTTGTGAGTGGCGATATTCTGAAGTATCAGATCAGCTCTTTCATAGTCACCGCTCTCCAAGCAAGCCTCATACAACGACCAAGTCTGTAAAATCTCGGCATCAACCCTAGTTAGGACCTGATCGTAGGCAGTGGAGGCAAAGTACATGTCATTATTGCTTTGTGTGTATCCTGGCTTAGAGATGATTTTCGTGTAGACATCGTCCAAGGATTTTGTTTTTGCCACCGGTGTCTTTGATTCTATAGCAAGTAGTCTGACACAACCGTTAGATGGGAGACGTTGTGCACGTCTCAAACAGGCACGGATGGTGTTCGAACTCAACAATACACTCATGATACAGGTACTCTATCCGACTAGTGTATCGTATCTCACCGTATTGTTGTTTGGTATCTGGTGTCTGGTAAAAATGCCTCCGGAATAAGCAGATACTGATAGTGTGACGTTGCACGACTGCACAAAAATTACGGCACACGGATGAAAAAACTGTGGAATTGAAAAATTTTTGTTCTATCACAGTCTGAGTTATTGCGTTTTTTTTAGCATTTTCTCTTTTTCCCTTTTTTTATTTTGATTCCACAATCTCCAAAAATTTACGTAAGCACATCTAGTAATCGGTTTTATCGCATTGGGAAAGAAAAACGTATCACGGACTAAGTAATTGACCAGAAGGTCTTCTCTTATCATAGATGTCACTAGACGAGCGGTGCTAAACAGATTACACATCGACAGGCATCCCAGTGGTGCTGACACTGATAGTTATATATTTCTAGCATGAGCCTTTGGCTTGCTTTGCTTAGCAAATTGCGAGATGCAGCGGCATTCTTGAGGGGGATGAGGATCCTCATAGATGATCGTCATCAATGGTTAACAAATTCATAGGTTCGTAAGCACGCTCTGGATCCCTATATGTCTCGGTTTTGTATATAACCATTCGAGATATTAAACCAGCCAAAAGAAAACAGCTGTCTTCCTTTTCATCTTGAGTCTCTTCCGTGAGGAACGAAATAAATTGCCAGCAATGGCCCTTGTTGTGTGCTTTCATGATCTTGACTCTTTCTGTCTTGAACGCCAATTTGCTCAAGGTATCGATTTTTTCGCTCTGTAGCTCTTCATCACCAAACGTGATTACCATTCCGCCGCCGGGAACAATTTTTTCCCACATTTCAAGCTTATCCCAAGCTGCGGGGTTGAACCTATCGGCGGCCTTGTTGGAGCAAAAATTTGAAGCCATATCATCTACACATCTTTGAGTCAAAAAATCCAAGTTCCCAGCAGCATATTTTTCCGGTTGGACAAAACTCACTATTGGAGAGAGTAAGATTACCGCATATGGGTCAATATCAAGGTTCATGTTGTTCTCATCGTTAGTCTTCTCGTTGAAGAAAACTCCGCTCTTTACTGATAGAAAATTCAAAATTAAGGTTGCTCCTAAAGAATCACCCATTAAAACGACTTTAGAATTTGGGTTTTGCTCAACTATTTTGACAAGTGATTCAGTAAAAAACTTTAGGTTGTATTCCATGGACGACGTCTTACTTTCCTCGGGAAATTTCATGATGAATATGGAAGGACTGTTGAACCCCTGCAATAATAATAAGCTATGCAAAGTCATCAGGTACTCAACGTAAAAGAAGGGAGCACCTCCAAACAACGGTATATTAGGAACATAAACAATTAGCAAGTCATGATTCTCGGTTCTACACGGAGCCGTAATGAGAATACCTTCTGGGATGTTTAGCTCTTCAAAATGGCTGAGCTCAATAATGTTGTATGATTGGATGAAGGCTCTAGTAGTAAAAAAGTATTTCCAAACAATATTGGATACCATTGAATATGAAGGATTTACCTTTTCAAAGCTACTTAGGTCCTTAAGGTAATGACTTATAGTTCTCGTCAATGCATGTTGATAAAATGGGGCATTCTGCGCTACTTTGTCTTTTACGTTTAGAGGCTCAACATAGCACATGAAAAAGACATCGATAACCAACTTCATGCCTGTTAAATGTTAGTAAATCCACACAAACTAATTAGCGATAAAAAAGAGGTTTTAAAGGTTTTGATTTTACCTTGCCAAAGTAAGGTTGATAAATAATAAACTGATTCTTCCAAAGGATAGTTGGAAAGTAGATAGAATGTAGACAAAGTTACCAAAAACAGGTAGTCCACCAATCTGTACTCTCTCATTTTTCGAATCTTGCTTTTACCAAATGGGTTCTCAAAGGAACCTGTATAAGCTCCAATTGAAAGAAATGTAAAGCAGTAAAGAGAAGACAAAATTAACTGTTTTTCTCAAGATGCTCAGCAAATCCTCAAACCTATTTTCGATTTTTTTTACATTAATTTTCTTTCTCTATTAAGTTATATATACACTTCTGCAAATCGTTCAAACGCAATGAAAACACTGAGTGCAATCAAAGCCCTTATAAAGTTGGGAGCACCTTTTCCATTGCAGCAATGAAGATGTCGACGTGCTTGTTTTCAAAGATTAATCCAGGTCTTAATCTAACACCAACTTCAGCGCAACCACCGACATTGATACCGGCTAATCTCATCTTGCCCAAGAACTCGGCTCTCTTTTCGCCAGAAGGCATGTCAAAAGCAAGAAAACATGCTTTACCCTTACCTCTCAAGTTGGTGATGAATTGTGGGTATTTAGTTTGAAGAGCCTCCAATTGGTTGTAGAAGTAAAGACCAGTCTCTCTCAATGGTTCCAACAAGTTGTTGTCCTTAATTTCATCACAGATGGCAGCAGCCATAATAATACCCTTTGGATCACCACACCAAGTGTTGAACTGTCTGTATGGCATGTTTGGAATGAATTCAGGGTCATGGAACCAGTAACCTGCAGATTGCATCTTCTTGGAGAAAGTGACAAGGTCAGGAGGTGGGGTAATGTTGTATCTCTCGTGGTCCCACATGATACCGGTACCACCACAACCAGCTTGAACTTCGTCGATAATCAACTTAGCACCATACTTCAAGGTAAGGTCTCTCAAGCCCTGAAAAAAGACAGCAGAAGCGTGGTTGTCACCACCCTCAGATTGAACTGGTTCAACAATGACACCAGCAATTGGGCATTTCCAGTTTTGGAGTCTGTCTTCAACGATTGCAAGACATCTTGCATCTTCTTGCTTGTTGGCTTCTGCGTTAGCTTCCAATGGGTACTTGTAAGCTGGAAATTCAGCAGTTGGCCATTCGAAAGATGGCATGTCCATCTTATGGACTGGCTTAGATCTGGTGACGGAACCGGAGGCAAATAATCTACCGTGGAAAGCCTTCTTGAAGGAGAGAATAGCAATTTCTGGGTTACCGGGAGCTTGGTTCAACATACAGGTTTCTTCTTCTTCAGCTGAGAAGTTTTTGCTGAAACCTCTCTTCTTGGATTGGTAGTTGAAGAAAACAGCCTTGAAAGCTAATTCGTTGGCGTCGGCACCAGACAAACCGTTCCAGACGTGGGTTTGGCCCTTTGGAGCGTGCTTCAACAAGTCCTTCTGGAGAGTTTCGAAATCAGCACCAGGGAAGTTACCCAAAGCTGGTCTGTCAACAATAGCTCTGATCATCTTGTCGGATCTTGCAGCCTTGATCAAGTTTGGGTTGTTGTAGCCCAAAGCGATGGAAGCAACCTGACAGTATGCGTCCAACAGAACGTTTCCGTCGACATCAATGATGTAGTTACCAGTGGACTTTTCGTAGTCGGCAACAAAGTAGGTACATCTGTTATCGAAGACGTCACCAAGAGTCTTGATGGCCTCTTGACCCTTTGGGCCTGGAATGGATTCGGTCACAACCGAAGGAGCAGCTGGCTCTTCTGGGAATAACTTGGATGTGTAAGACATATCAGGCTTATACTGGTTACTGCAAACAAGAACAAGATAAGGCTTTCAAGAACTTGGAAGGAAAATGCAGAGGTTGACACCACTACCACAGTTCAAAGGAAATCCTGGAAGGGCAGGCGAAGGGGGCCTTTTATAGCTAGGACCCTGCAAAAGGCATGGGCATAAATCTGCTATGCAATCTAACGTCGGAATCAGCAAGTCCTACGAGCTGTAGACGTCAAAGTTGGAGCTGCATGCCGCCAAAGATACGTCTCAATCAGTCGGTGTTCGGCAGGCTGCGTAGCCGCCAACACATTCCTAAAACAGCCGCTAACTTCCCGCTAACACGACAGCGTCGCTCCTCCCGCCCTCTCGGCGCTCGCTGCGGACTTGCAGGCTGGGTATTGTTATTGTTCTGTTCTTAGCGGTTATGGTTTGTACGAAGACGGTATTTGCCTTTGCGGATGCGGAGTCTGGAGGTTAGCGGAGCTAGAACGAGAGCCGTGATACGGTTGTAGAATTTGGAAAGGTGGGAGGGGTGGTTCCGAGTGTTTCCAAAAAATGCCATAGGATATTTCTCCACGTTGTTGCTGTGCCTGCGAAAAAGGCACCATGGTAGATAGCAACCCCTCCAGACCGCTTCTCCAGGCTGGGGAATGACTCAGCTGTCATTATCCCTGCTGGTTATAGGCCTTGGCAGTAAACCGGTATTGTACGTGTTGTCGGATGCGGGTACCCGTAACCGAAAAATATGTGTGCTATTTTGAGCTGTATCAGATAGCCGATGCTGATTCCATCGTAACCGTAGTAGTGAAACTATATTCATTCTCAAAAATAACAAAAATAGTGCAGCAAGCGGAGGTAACGGGAGGAAGTCTCGTAAAATTTACAGGTATATACATAAATTATGGGCACACTTCATGTTCCTTCCAGGTATCGTTGTGTGTCCTTCTATAGAGATATCTCCTGTCGTAACCACTCCCGCCGAGAACCACCTCATCCACCAAATCGACAAACATGCAGATAACGACAAAGTTCTCGTATCCCGTAGACGAATTGTTACCATCAACACCTCTATTGATTGCATCTAATAATTTTCTGTTTTCTTCTGTAAGCGGAGACCCTGGTAGGGGCTTTTTGTAGGATTTTCTCATATTTCTAGACAATGCATTCCAAACCCGGAGACGTTCGTTCTCCCATTCTTCGGCAGTGGGCGTCTTCGACACAGACTCCGTTTTGGTCATTCTGTGGCCCAGGTCAGACAACGAAACGGAGGAGTCCTCGAACGATTTTATAAAACTGGGAGAAAACAATTTGTAGTGCAACGGTTCTGTGATTTGGCAGGATCCTTCGTTGTTGGACAAAGAGAGATATTGGCTTATCAACGACTGGCTCTCGTCGTCAACGGAGGATGTGTCGGAGTCAGCTCTGTCGTTCGATTGTTCATTAATGGCGCTGGGGTTCTCGTACGCGATAACGGGGGTAAGGTCGTCACTGATCATCCTCACCGTACCTCTGAACCTAAACTGCTTCTTCAACTTGTGGAAGTAGAAGCAGGCGTCGAATCTCGGATTCAACAACAAATCCTTGTACTTACTCGATCGCTTGTCAGTGGTGAAAACCAAAACGTTGGTCTTCTCCTGGTCAAAGAGGAAGCCCCTCAACACGCAAGACCTGGTCGATGGATAGTTGTTGGAGTCGACGTTGGAAAAATTAAATATCGTGAAAGGAGAGTCGCCAGTTTCTAACTCCGTCTGCATCGCAGCGGTGAAAGACGGGTTCCATAAGGCAAGAGATTGGAGCATGGCGTGCGTCTCGTAACTTATCTGATGACTCTGCGTTCGGATGGTGGGCGAAACAGTGTAGTTGTTTCTATTTTCCGTCTCAGATAGCGAACCGCAACAGTTGAATGTCGATGGCTAAAATGGACGCACCAGATTCTTTGAAACCGACCAACAGAACGTGGGAAAGCAGTTTGGAAAAGTGGAAAAAAATTCAAGGGTTGCTGGACTGACAGCAAGACGGGATTCTCCTGTAAGCTCCGGTCTAAACGAGCCGGTGGTTTTGTTTAGCAAAGAGTGGCGGATGGAGACGTGAGGACAGACTGAATAATCTTGCTTGCTGGCACACAGAGAATCCCAGGAAACAGATATCTGGCCCGGAACCAGTCCACTACTCTCTGGCTCTTGGCCTTCCTCTGCCTCTTTCTCATCCTCATTCTGAGACTTTCTCTCCCTCTCATGTCACTAGACCTTTTAGGCCGAGGCTGTGGCTCGCACCGGAGATACGCAGCGACGCGTCGCTGTAGGGGGTGCTTTCTTTTTTCATCCGTGCACCGTGTGCCGTTGACATGAATCAATCGTTCACGGTCCCTCATCAGGGCCTCCTTCAATGATATGACTTATCAGGAGTATCCAGGATCCGATGCAAGGATCGATTCTTTGATAGCAAGACAGTCAGCAGCACGAATCATTCAACTGGAGAAGTGCAGACGGAAAACATAGCAAGTGCAGTCGACTCTGTACTAGAAGATGTTTAAAATTGAAGATTTCAACCCGATCTTTAAAACACCTTCGGGCTTACTGCCGCCAAACGGAGGCAATACTAGCAATGCTGGGGTGGGAGGCGGTGGAAACCTTGGCGGGGGGAACAACGGTGTTTCGGCGTCTGGAATGGCGAATCTCCCGTTGACCCCCTCTTTTTTCAACGGCTCGGCGCAGTACAATAATTACTCACAGGCGCCGCCTCAGTCTCAGGTGCCTAACGAAAGGCTGTTGACATACACCAACTACTATAAATTCTGCTGTTTGAAAAACGTCAACTGCTATTTCTATCAGTTCAATCCGCCCGGCAACGGGACAGCAGGCCCGAACATGAATGCGGCAGGCTCGACCTACGAGATCGTGAAGTACGAGCAATTGATCAAACAAAAGTTGGCGAGCGACTATCAAATCAATGACATTATAACCTGGATCGCAAAAAAGGAGCTTTGTCTCTTTCAATTGCAGGTGGAAGACCCGAGCGACAGCTTTGACTCATACGTTGGCTTTAACCAGTTGAAAGATGCTATGAGCAATATTATCAGCGAAAACAGCCTTTCGCTGAAGTTGATCTCTGCCTCGGCGTTCGATGCTGACAAGATCTTTGGAAACTCCGGCCCAAAAAATCATACGGCACAGAACCAGCTACAAAAAAAATCGCTTAACGTCGTGTATTTGAGTTTTCTCAGGGCAGTCCACAAATACATTGTTCAGCGGCTGACAAAATCACACTCCTTATTTGAGACCTTGAATCAATCATTATCTATCGATATTATTCCTTACAGTGGTCACTTACTATCTTCTTCAATGATACAAAAGGCTATAGTCACTATGCCGAACAATTCTGACTTTGCAACCGCCTTGAAAAAGAAGAAAGTCTTGAAGAAATTGGTCCCGTACTCAATTCTCAAAATAAGCCCTTCCTTGAATCAAAAAAATGAATTGATCATAAACATGACAAGCTTGAAAAAATCATTTTACAGATTGACAGACTTCATCACAGTAACTTGTAACGGATCTATCAAAACCCTGGACGAAAAATCCAAGTTCGCCCTTTACATTGCCCCATCAGGGATACGATGTTTGATTGCAGAAAGCTCGTATTCTGATTCAATCACAGATGAGCCACCTGAAAACTACGAGAAACTTTTCAACATCTTGAAGACATTCAATGATATTGATTTATCCCATAACTCTTCACCAATCAACGATAAAAGACTGTGGATTAAAATACATCCAATTGGATTTTCTTCCAATAACACGGCCCCTGTGATTGCCAATTATCTAGCAAACACATCATCGACAAGCAAGAAGTTCATTTATTGGCCTTTAGAACTCTGCTTTATTCAGTTTTCATCTGATTCTGTCCCTGGGGCATCAGCAAACGATGATTTTGAACTTGACACGTTCACAATTAAAGATCCTTTTCAGGTAATTGATGAATTTGTTGACATTCTGGAGGATATAGAAAAAACAAAAGTCACTGAAGAGCACAAGGGGTCTGAACAGGAGGTTGATAACGGAAATGGTGATCAACAAGATGGAGAGACCTCTACTTTGATGTCAGCTTCCAAACAAATCGATCCCAACTTTGAAAGACCAGACAATAGATCAGAATTGTTTCCTGTAAGCTTTGATTTCAAGCCAGAGTTAGATAGTTTGGACCAGCAACTAAAACCATTGAAGAGTATGAACGATAGTGGTATCGATAACATAAACGACTTGATGAGGGTGAATGACGGTTTTGACGATCTATTCAAGGGAAAAGGTGATGATGATATGGGTTTGATGGATCCTTCCCAACAAAGGGACGAACACGACTTTCAGAAAGAACTGAGGAATGTGTTTCGAAATGACGAAACAATTACCGGCGTTATTAGCGTTAATAAAGGAGATCAAGACTCCATTTCTCCAGAGAAAAAGGTCAATCCAACTTTTGAAGAAGACTGGGGCGATCTTTTCGGCGACTCTGCTGAAGATGATGAGAACGATGACAATGACAGCGAACAGAAGAATATTGATAGGGAGGTAGATCAAGAACTAGCTGAGCTAGAAAATTTAGAAGATCTTAATTACAATGGAGATATTATTACCTTCCCAACAAAAAACGAGACAGAACACATAGATCTCCTTGACGATCTGGCTGAGCGGAATAATACAAAACCCCAAGTTGATGAAACTTCTCCTCACAATTTTGAAGACATGAGGGAAGACGATCAAGAGGGCGTATCTTCAATGAAGAACGAGCAACCGACATTTTTTCCCATAAGAAAAGCCTCGACAATGTCACCACATGACCCAGCAGGCCAACTACTTGCCCCTCCTAGAATACTGGATACATCTCCTCTATATCAAGATCCCGGTGCTCCCTCCCCTATCCCATTTCAAATTTTTGCCCCTCCTGTCTATTCCAGCGAAGATTCTTCTCCATTACCAACTGAGGAAAAAACTGTATTGAAACCTTTCTCTTCTTTGACTCCCAAAGAAAAAAAGAAGTCTGTTTTTTCCCCCCTTAATTTCAATCCATTGATTGAAAAGGATATTGATAGCAAGTATAGCAATGGCGGTAAGTTTTTTGTCAAAAAGAGTAGCAGTGTGAGCGGGTTTCCCGCTTCTGATCCGTTAGACCCAAAATATATAGATTCATTTTCTGATGGCTCTAAGAATTTGATGCATCCTACAGCAAAATCCACCACTCCAGTTCTTGAGGGTACATTCAACCATATTTCGAGTTTGACTACTCCGTCTTTTCTAGTGCGTGGGCCTGGGAAAAATACAGATGGTATGGTGCTGGCAGCTGACGATCTTATCTCAGACAGTGATGATGAAATGTCAGAGGTAGCTGATGATAGTAAAGATGAAATAATGCTGTATGATATTGGTGGTCTTTCGCAAGTGGATGGAGAAGTTGTTAATACAGGAATTATGGATAATGAAAACGAGAAACCTGATGACATGGATGATGAGAATGAACAAGATGAGAAAAATTCCTCTGATCTCTCGGCAGATGTAGGATTTGTCGGGCAAAAGGGAGCTATTGGATTTGGTATTGCTACTCCTGGCGCAGATGGAAATTCATCCAAAAGAAGAAAACTTGAGACAATTTTTGATAACATTAACGACGATGATGACTTCGATTTCGATTTTGATGACGACTACAATGATGACAAGGACTATACTGGAGATGACGACGATATTGACGCTTTACATATGGATGAAACTAAGCGCCCTACTAGCTCTGATCCAGAAGTGTCAAATGATGCAAGGCTGGATACTGAAGCAAGCAGGGAAAGGGGTATCAATGATGTTAGCGGCATAGAAATTCCTAATTCTTGGTTTTATGTTTTACGTCCCATTGCGCCGATTCAAATACCTTTCAACTTTCTACAGTCTGTCAAGCTTACAGTTGAAGCATCAAAAATATTATTGCTACTTCCAATTTTGCAAGAATACGTTTTGTTTTCCCAGAAGTATATGAATAACCAAATGCTTAACATGGTAGTGCAAAGTAGAGAATGTCCCTCCGTCCTCGATAGTGATGTGGAGTACCTTCTTTACAAAATTTTTCCTGGAATCTGTAAAGTGAATTGTTATGAGCTGATAGATTCAGACAAAGAGTCGAAACAAATAAAACCTTTTGAGTGTCTTTTTGGGCAGAATTTAAATCGAGAAAGAAAATCTATTACATCTCGAAATAAACCTGATACAGAACTCAAAATTTTTGATGAAAATAATTACGAGTCATCACCAATGCTCAATGTTCCTTTCCCAGATAGTCAACAAAACCATAATGTACCTCAATACATGGAGGACTTTAACGAAGAATTTCAAAAAATTGACTTGACTGAAACCATTTCAACGGATAATCTGTTTAGAATCAATCCCACCGTGCTAAGCTTCAAAAGGTTGAGCCAGGATGTAATAATCAACAAAATAGGTATCAACTTCTGGAAAATGCTAAACTTAGAGCCTCCTCTTAGTACCAAGGACTTTGGTATTTTATTTGTTATTCCTAAAGCTAATATCGATTTCAGAAACCGGGCAGAGCATTTTTTAGAGGGAATTATTAGCTATTACAAAGGATGTAAGTTGGGAGAAATACGAAAGTTGATCGTTTCTGGCCTTATTGAAGTTCCATATGATACGGGAAATGAAGCGCATTATTGGGATTATGTTCAAACGCAGTTACTTTCAATAGTTGAGGAATTACAAAATCAGTTGACTTTGGACGAAAGGGGAAAGGTATTATTAATGTTTGTCGATCCCTTTCAAGATTTGAACTCTTTAATCAGGATGGCAGATGTGACACAAACATTTGAAAATTCTCTTGTCGAAAAGCACGTCAGTGATGGGGAGACATCTAAGAAAAAAAAGAAAAGAAAGAATAAAGCAATCGCAAGATTGCCTATTACGCTTTTTTATAAAGCATTTTCGGTGGCATCATTTTACCAGAGGGATGATGGACAATTCGTTATTTTTACAGAAAAGGACTATTTTAATCTCGTGTTAGAGCTTTACAACAACTGCCCTAACGATGGATCACAAATGATTCTTAAAGATCGAAGCAGTATGTTTGTTATTGAAAAAGATATTCAGAAGACTGTCAAGTTCATGCTAACAAGAAAGCCAGTATCAAAGTTGATTGAAAATGAAACATTTTTGCATTTATGTTACGAAAGATCTGTTGATAAAAAATGGTGCGTTGCGAGCTGGATCAGTCAGTGTGGTAAGTTGAATTATACAAAATCTTGGTACATTGATGACATGGTAGAGGGAAGTCAAAACTTTGAAAAGGTAGCAGATGATATTATGGAAATTACCATGGACTATGTCTCTCACATCTCTGGGAAATGTTTTGTCATCTTGACTAGGTTAAACAATATTATACCAGATGATGAATTAGCCGAGTGGAAAAGGTTATCAATGAAAAATAATGACCTGATTCTTGTTGTTATGACAGCAGAAATAGAATCATCAACGCTAATTTTGTCAAATAACCCAGGGCATGTTTTGAGCCCTAAAAAGAAAGAAGAAACGTCGAAAGATCTGAACTACACAGTTGCTTCAACAAACTCGCAATCGCAAACGCCAGGAAATATGCTACTGAATTCGAACAACTATGCTCATCAACTAGCTGGGAGTACGAGATTTGAGAGTCCAGATGTTTCAATGTATACTCCTTCATATGATGCAGCGTTGTCGCCAATGGATATAAGCACACATCAAGTTCAGGTGCCCATACAAACATTACAACCTCTCCTCGAAGACAATCCAGTTCAGGACGCCTTATCACAAAATCCTATTCTGATTGACATCTCAGATGAATGCTACGGTTTGATTTTGCAAGTATCTCAGCCTCTTGCAAACCAACCTCGTGTACCTTTAAAAACAGGTTTTTTAATTAATACCGGTGAGGGGGCGACTAAGAATAGAGTTTTAGAAATAAACCTACTAAGTTGTCAATCTGGAATAAGTATAACTAAATTTTTGAAAACCTTGTTGGTCCAATATCGGAACTTGAGCTCAATGGCGCCATATTTTGGTGTAAGCGGGATTTTAAGGCATTGTGGTAATGTCGATTGCGATGAGAGTGGCGAGGAGGAGGATGACGAGGATGCAGGAACTGGTTGGGAAGATGAGAACTTAAATTCGTCATCTGCTTTGGGTATAAGTGGCAGCGGGCAAAACTTTGGTAACGATAGGGTAGAAAGAAAAAAAGAAAGGCATTACATCCAGCAGCAATATCTCCAGTTTCATAGAATGCAACAAAGACAAAAAAGACAACGTGCTAAAGAACGTGAGAGAGAACTATCAGAAAGCGATTCTCACTACAATGTCATTCCTGTACATATGTTGGCAGTGAGGAAAATGCTTGACTTTCTTGTCAATATTCAAGTAGAATGACTCTGGTTTTGAGTGTTATACCTATATACCTTCTTTTCTAAGTAAATACGTAAATATCATCAGTTTGAATATATCCTTCTTGCTAATTCTCCTAGGAATATATTCGTACTACCAACAGTGAAAGAAATTTCATCTAGTATTTGCATTTCGCCATCCTCTAGCTTAATAGACTGCAAAAGTACTTTTAGCTGATACCTAGCAAGAATATAGCATTTCTCCAGAATTTCATTGGACGAATTTAGTGAAGAAAAATCTTCTCCCCCTTTTACTAGCTTAGCCTTCAATGCTTGATCTGAGTTGCTTTGTGCTGATTTAAACAAAATTTTTAGCTGTCCAAAGTAGGCCTTATAATCCCTCAAACAAACCTCAGGTGTAATGCTCCAACTTCTTGAAATAAGACGCATCACATGAAATGACACGATGAAAAAAAAATCATTATCAACAAGCTTAGTATCTAGTGTGAAATAGCTATCCGAAAAAAAGGCCAATAACTCCCTTGGGTTGAGTCGAAATGATTTTCTAGCAACCTTGCCGCAAATTTTTGATTTTACTGTACCATCGATAGGAAGGTATGATAGATATTTCCAACATATTCGTAGTAACCTGGAACGAGTAGGAAGTGAATCCAAGCCTATCCCTGAGCCTTGGAATTTATACTCGAACATTGGTGGGTTATTGGAAAAATTATATTTCTGACTTAGCGTCAAATCTAATGGAATTATGGATGAAATGCTGCACGATGACCGTGATTTTGTAAAAACGTAGTCACAAAATGTAAGTAAGGAATCAAGAATCTGATCTTGTTCCATCTCAGAAAAATCAGTACATCCGGATATATTTATTAGGTTCAACACAAGTAAAGAATTTGTAATATCAGCGCTTTTCTTTAACTCTAGTTCCATAAATCGAAGTATTATGTTTAAAAATTCACGCCAACGAACCCATGTTTCCGTGTAGCTTTCATACGAATCAACTCTTTCAATTTCGGTTAGTTTGCTGACAGTACTAAAAGCAAATATGAAGTAATTCCATAGATTCCTTTCGACCTCGGGTAAATATTTGATGCCAAAGAAGGTATCTGCATTGTTGAATTTATCTGATGTTGTTGAGATTTCAAAAAGAGACTGCATTTTGTCATTTCGCAATTCATGCTCCAGGGTATTCATGTTTTCTTCCATTGAATAGTCAAGCAAAGAATCATCTAAAGACAGAACTTGGGGTGTATTGTTAAGAATGTTTTTCTTTCTTTTAGAGCGTCTCGAATCTATTGGAGGTTTGAGGAATGAAAACAAAGTCACAAGCTTTCGATATAAGTTTAGGACCTCTTCATCATAAATCCTTTGTTGATCAGCATCATTGAATATTGAAGGGTTTTCAAAAATGTCAAACATCTGATTCAAATATTCAATACAAGGTACTGACAAATTAAGTAGGCCGTTTGAAGATTTTTCCTCTATATGGTTCAACTGTGTCCCGGATAGGATCATCAAAAGAATCTCATTAGATGGGTAGTCGATACGAGGTAAATTAATTCTTAGTGTAATCTTTAAATGTTGAATTAGCTCTGGGAAACTGTTGTACCGATATATTTTTGCATGAACCGTATCTAAGGAAGAATGATATTTGAGACAGTCATTGTGTAAGTAAGAAGAAGTGGACCCAGTATCAAGAGAAGAAGAACTGTCGTGTGTCTCGGGAAAAGTCGGTGACGATGGTAACAGTCCCGTAGTCATTTTCTACTGCGGAAAACAAAACTAACTGGTTAATTATTTGACTCCATGTATGAATCAGAGTCTGTTTCAAATCATCGTGGTCTCAGGCATCCTGCATCAGAGTAATATTTGTTAGGCACGCTTGAGAAAGATCTTTCCCAATCGGGAAAGCATGGAGCACTTATCGACATTTTTAATGTAGGTTAACTTTCTCATGCCAGAGGATTTGCCTCACTTGACCTCCGCAATATAAATGTGGGATATTTGGGCAGTAAAGTCACTTGAACCTGTTCCTTTACTGGTCCTAGTCGTACATCACTTTGAGCCAGTGTAATGTTTTTATGCTGAAGAAAATATGCCAGAATTTGTTATTGTGTGTCTCTGATATAAGCACTCAAAAACAGAAGAGGATCTTCTCTGTGCGTTATGTCACAAATTGCAAAAGTGTACTGGCTCGGTTGACTTGAGAGCTTGGTACGGTGAAAGAAAAATAGCAAATCGGATCATCTTGTTGCCAGACTCCTCAGTAAACTAGAACTAATCAGCTACGATTGAAACTTGGTGGATCATCGTATGATATTATCAAGCTGTCATAAATAAAGGAGCCGATAAATATAATTATTGGCTTTAGAGCTCTGTATCAGGGTGGGACATCTCTCTGCTAAATAGTATGCAGCATCCTTTTTCTGACAGATTGAAATTACTCGTAATTGGTGGCATCCCAACCAATTTTAACTTTGCACTTCAAAGAGATTTATCACACACTAATCAAAAATACTGAGGAAGTACAAAAGAATATCAGCGGTTATTGATGGGAGTATACCAGACCGGCTAAGTGTAGTTGAGTGGGGTTGATAAGTTTTCTGTTCCAGTATCTAATGGTGGACTACCAGCAATTTCATACAATATTGTTTGAATTCTGTGAAAATGCTAGCTAAATCACTTTTAAACGGTGTTACTGTGAACAGTTTGTGACACACGGTTACTCATAAGCCTTTTATCATCAGCTTCTAATATTTCAGCTAAATATGCTACAAGGACTAGTAGTGCCCTCCAAAAAATGTAATTGGTCGGATGGTCTAGTTGGTTATGGCATATGCTTAACACGCATAACGTCCCCAGTTCGATCCTGGGTTCGATCAATACATTATTATTTTTTAGTTTTTATTTATTATTTATTTCAAATCCACTTGGTTTTCATTGCGCGGTTGTTTTAAATTTCAGTTGTTTATCGTGCTCAGATGACTTTACAACATACTGTCTCTAACTCCTATTTTTGAGCTATTGTGACAAGACATATTTTTAAGACTTTATTCGGCCAACGGAGTGAGAGTAAAAGACTTTCATAGAGAAATGAATGCGGTACAACAATCATTCAACTCATTGCTGCAAGCATATATGTCGCAGCCGCCCCAAATGGACCAGGCGATCGACAAGCGCCGTATAGAGGTATTGCTTCAAATAAACACCGTGCTCTTATACAAGTGCGTCGCATTGCAACAGTATGTTCTGAATCAGCAGAATCTGACATCTCCAAATTACAATGAAAAAAAGGAGCTGTATCATAACTATTTGAAAAGAATCCATTATAATTTGACATGTTTGGCATCTATAAATGACATTTACTCGAGCACCTCGAATAATAAAAGGAACTACACATTGCCACAGATGGTGTATCCACCGCCTGAATGTTTGGAGTTATTTGATCATTATAAATTGTTGAACCAGCTCTATCCAGAGGCGATGCCATTTTTTCAAAAAAAGATGGCACTGGCTAGACAACAGCAGATGCTGCAATCGCAAAATCAAAAAGCACAGAATTCAAACCAGAGATTCAGTCCTGCCTTTCAGCAGCAGAACCAAAATGTATCTTCCCCCCATCCACAAAACCAAGCCCGGGCGAAGCAGACTTCTCAGGCCGAACAATTTTCTCCCGCTGCAGCAGGCACCAAGATGAATATAAACAATGCTGCAGAATGGAGTAACAATCGTCAGAAAGAACTGCTAAAAAGACAACAGCTATATCAAGAATTTCTTCAGCAGCAGCAGCAGCAGCAGCAGCAGCAGCCATCACAGCAATCTCCCCGGCTGCAACAGCAACCACCACAACAGCAACAACAACAACAATTGAGTAACACTGCCACTCCTAATTTTACAAGTTCAGCACAATCACCGCATGTAAATCTTTCAAATGGGTTTGGCAATAACCTGAATATGGGGACCTCAACAAACACACCGGAATTCAACTTTCAGCAGCAAAATGCATTCAACGCAGACGACTTCTCATTACAGCTTCAGAATGGTTCTAGAAAACTTGGGTCTCAGAGTCAAGGTCAAGCTTCAACCCCTCAAGTAGCTTCTCAAATGACGCCACATGGAATATTACAACAGGGACAACGAGGTTCTGATAGCCAATCTGTAACACCTTCTCAAAATCGATCTCAGGACCAGCAGAACTTCATGTCGATTTTAAGCCCTGAGCAAATCCTTGCCCGAGCTGCAAGCACACAAAGCCAACAACCTTTACAGCAACCTTTACAGCAACCTTTACAGCAACAGCAACAAGTACATCAGCACCAGCAGGCACGATTTCAACATGATGCCAATGCCACTGCTGACCAAAATCAGGCCGCCAACCTAGGAGGGTTCATGGGCTCGTGGTGACTCTTTTATCCTGCACTAAAGAGTTATCACCTTTATTTATAATATGTACAGTTATTGCAAACTATTTTTTAGTATTCGTTCAAGATGTAAATTTAATTATTTCATTCATTATCGAGTTTCTAATCGTAGCCAGGGCTAGAAGCATGAAAAAAATATCGGGTAGAAAATTAAACTCGCCTAGAAAAGGTCCGAGGAAAACCACCCGTATCAGCCATCCAATCTCATCACCGAACTGAGACTTTTGCTGCTCAGTATCATAGAAACATACAGTGGTACAAGTACCAGAAACGAACACTATGAGAAGAAAAAGGTCAGGACTTGAAGGAACGGCATTTGAACCCCCATTCTACACTCCGATTATCGGATCTCACGCATACAAAATTCCAGAAGATGCCGAGACTGAGTTACTCGAGATCTATACCAAGCTAACAGAGGAAAAGCCTGACATCGAGGTCGCCGACCTGCAATTAATACTGGAAACTGAGTTTCAGATACCGGCAGAACTTGTTCCTAGCATGCAGGAATTGACTTCTTGGGCTATAGAAGGAACAGACGTGGTGGATTTCGAAAAATGGTTGTACAATGGGTACTTTTGGCTTTTGTTTAGTAAATACATTGAAGACATCGACATGCTTTGGCAAGATGTGTGGACCGCGTTGGATTCTGTGTCTGCAAAGAAGGGAGAGGAGAAATTTCAGAGGGACAAAGGCGCTTTGAGGAGCCGAAAGTTATATCTGTCGGATGTTAAAAAGCTAATCGAAGTGGGGAAGTTGGATGCCAGTGCCGTCGGTATGCTGCAAACGGCCGGAAACGGCAAGGTGTATATAGGCTACGTTGATTTCTTCGTCTTGTTGGGTCGACTCGGAGTATTTAAAACATAGCTTCCCTCTACTTCAACAGATACATGTGGTTATAAATATTCAAGAAGTAAATGTAGGGTGTATAAAACAACAGACAGTGGAGAGAATAGGAGAAAGAAGAAGAAAATCTAAAGAATATGCTTAGATCTGAAGTAGTTTCTCAGATAGTGAACTTGGTAAACACCAACGCCCACCAACATCAGGGTACCTGCGACGAAGAAGTTCTTGACTCTACGGTTGGTACTCTCGTTGGTGTCTCTCAAACGCTCTTCTCTTTTAACCAAATACTCCAACTCGGTGATAACCTCTCCAAGCATCTCGTCAACCTTTCTCAACTGGACCTCAGAGGGCTTCAATTTCTCGGCACTCTGGATGGCGTTCCAGTCTCTGGCGTTGGCACCGGCCTCGACTTCCAACTCAATTTCTCTCGAAAGTTGACGTCCATGGTGGTTGTAGCCTGGCTGCAAGCGGTTTGTAAAACATATGTCAAAGCTAGAGGTTTCGTGGGCACTGAATGCAACCTTGATCGTGCCTGCAATGTCATCCTTACGACGGTATTCATCGCCGTCTGCATTTGTAATACGCATGGACAAGACCTGGCCGTCACCAACCTGTCCGGTACTGGTGGCTGTGACAACAACAAGCTGACCATCGGAAACAAACTCTCTAACACACTGTGGTTCGGCATTGTGTGGCTGAGCAGCAAGCTCAAAACGAAGAGCTTCGGCACCCTGAAATAGGGCCAAAAATCCGACTATTATTGTCGATAGACATAGATACTTCATGGCTGCAATGTCTCTGTTTCTGTCTTTCTCAGTGCCTCAGTGAGATCTCACGTATTGAGCAGTACTATGGGGAAGAAAACGGCAGTGCTTGTGTAGCGCCAGAGTCTTCGTGTCCGTCAGGATCATTCTCCAGGCAGCGGAAGGCCAACACGTCAACACAGCTGGAAAATCTATCGACACCAAAACGCAAAAACATCACCACTTCTCTTCGTGGGGCGCGCGAAGGCGGATCCACATACGACGCTGGCCGCCTCGGGCAGACACGGGAGCCTTGTAATGATGGTGCTTGATAAGCAGTGCAGAGGGATGAATTTGAATATGGAAATATACATAGGGATATACACAAATACAGTTTCTGACAGTCTGTCTGTTCGTTCGTTCGTTCATTTGTCCGTTCGGGCGTTCTTTTTTTTTTTCTTTTTGATGTCTCCGCTCTTCATTCATGCTGCTCCTTCTTCACGACAGAAGGGGTTGGAGCATCCCAGTCTCCAACCGTAGGCGTAACACCCCAGTCGACGCCGTTCTTTGTAGCACTCGAATCACCACCCCAGACACTTCGGTCACCAGCTCCGTACTCGGTTCTCCCACCGTCTCCGCCCCAGACACTCCTACTTCCACTTCCGCTTCCATTGGAGCTCCAGGATGGAGTCTTGTTCCCACCATACGATGGGGTCTTGCCGCCGCCGTTTGAGCTCCAAGAGGGGGTTTTCCCTCCACCATTCGAATTCCACGACGGGGTTTTCCCTCCGCCGTTAGAGCCCCACGATGGGGTTTTGTCTCCACCGTTCCCGTTCGAGCTCCACGATGGTGTCTTGCCTCCCCCATTGGCGCCCCACGATGGGGTTCTCCCTCCACCGTTAGAGCTCCACGATGGTGTCTTCCCACCGCTGGACCAACTTGGGGTCTTGTCACCCATAGGCTGGGGCTGGCTACCGGAATTATTAAAGCTGTTGAAAGCTCCGTACGAAGGCATTCCGTAGGATCCACCTGCAGAGTTGTAACTTAGAGGAGCACCACCAGCTCTTGGCGTGCTCTGCGGTCTTCTATTGAAGCCGGCATTTCTGCCCCTGTAATTCTCCAAAAACTGTTCGTGAGGAACATAGCTTCCTGGTCTAAGTTCAAAAAGAAGGTCAGACTTGTTGATTGGAATAATCTTGGCAGGGTTGTGCATTTCTACCCTTGCAACATCACCGTTCGCGTCTTTAATGATACCTTTCTTACCTTTATAAGGCCCCTTCCTGACACTGACATGCTGGTTTATCGTCATGTCTCGACCACCAAACCGGGCTTGATTTGCTAAGAAGGTGCTTGGAGGGGCCGGCATTCTATTTGGATTCATCTTGTTCAAGTCAGGCACCTTGAATGAAGAAACAATCGAACCCTTGTTGGCGATTGTTTGGACGGAGTTTGAGTCGGTGACAAACACACCGGTGTTTTCATAAACTGTTTTCGAATGGAGAAACAAGAATGATTTGTATATGTGCATGATATTACCCTGCCTCTTCTCACCGATAGTCTCTCGGACAACGTCTCCGACCTTGATTTCAAGACCGTTTCTATCAGTGGTTTTCTCCGTCATTCTGTTGAAGTCCAAGGCGGACACTATACTTTTCGGTTCCAAGTTCAAAACACGACCATCAGTGCATAGAATTGTGAAAACCTCCTTCTCCACTTTGATGATCATACCGATCTTGTGCGAGTTCAAGTTGACCATTTGGTGCAATTCGAATCTACCAATTTTGGAAGAAGTAGTTGAAGAATCCACCGACGTGACCAAATAGTTGGGGAAAACCATGATATCTTTTTTCGTCTGGTCAGAAACCAAAGTAACTTGGTTGTTCTTGACATTAACGATTAAACCACTTTCATCTTTGTGGACACCATGGATAACGGTGACGTGATCGCCGGGCAAGAAGACTTTTCTCAAGGAAGAAGTTGGAACCTCGACAATTGTGTTGTTGACATCACTTTCGATCTCATTACCTTCCAGCAAGACTCTTGCTACAGTGGCTTCTGCAATGGATAGAATCTTACCCTTCATCTTGGATTGTTCCCCGCTGATGATTTCGACTCTGTCATTTGGTTGAAAGGAGATGGCTTTTTCGTCGGCGTTTTTCAAAGTGGCGGCAACAGATTGCAAATCTATTCCGTCGGAATCCTTCATCGAATCAAACAAAGTCAACTCGTGCAAGGTTGGCTTGACATTCTGGGTCTCCAACTGGTTGAACTTGATGTCCTTGTAAAGAAAACCACCAATGTATTCTTCGTTTCTGTAAATGAAGTAGTTTCTGTCTCTCTTGGCGGTAGTTAGATGCTCGGCATCGTACTGTTGCGCTTCGATGTCAGAGAATAACCTCTGAGGAGGTCTAAATTTAGAGTTGAAATTCACGGGCCTTCTTCTTCCCGTGGAAGGATCGATGATGGAATTGTTTGACCTACCGTAATCTAATCTTGGAACAAGCTTGACCCTCACTTCCAAGTCATTTTCGGCAAGGTTGTCGACGATACCGAGGTCTCCCTTATACTTGCCGATCTTGACACGGACATAGGAGCCTGGCTTGAGCCGGCTCTCCTGCGAGGAGCCTGGTCTCAACAAGTCTGGGTACTCTTCGATCGGAACCAAGACTTTACCGACGTTGTTGTAGATGCCGGGCAAGCTGGACAAGATGTGGTTGACGGCGTCCATTCTTACTGCCTCAATGTAGATATAGCCTGTGAAGCTGTCTCTTTGGAAAACGGAGTACACCTCTTGGGTCCCCTTCATGTTGGCCATTCTGGCGGAAATCTGCTTGACCAACTCCTTCTCCTTGCCGTTTCTGACACGGACCCCCCAGATTAGCGGGTCCTCAACCGAAGGTAGGAGCAAGCGCTGAGAGATGTTCTGGGTGGAACCCATGTATCTTGCGGAGGCGGAACGGCCGTACCTGGCCTTGAACTGGTCGGCCAAGGCCTGTGCGTCTTGCTCGTCGAGCTTTTCTCTGGTTCTGTCCAACTTTCTGTGGGACCGGGACGCCTCTGTCTCGCCGGGCTCCATATTCTGGTCGTCGGCCAAGAACTCCTGCCGGAGGATCTCGTCGTCTTCGTCCTCATCTTCGTCTTCGTCCTCGTCGACCTCGGCCTCGACATCCAAGAACTGGTTGCCCGACTTCTTCTTCTTTCTCCTCCGGGAGACCTCATCCTCGTCCTCCTCGTCATCTTCGTCTTCATCTTCTTCGTCGTCGTCGTCGTCGTCGTCGCCGACGTCGTCGCCTTCGAGGCTTCCTTCACCAGGCCTGTCTTCGTCTGCTCCTTCGTTCTCGACGGCCCGCTTGGGGTCTGTGTCTGCGGCTGCCATGGCGGCGTCGACCTGGGCGTCTTCGTCGTCGTCGTCACCGTCGTCGCCGTCCTGCTCCTCCTGCTTGACGTCCTCGAGCTCGTGCTCCTCGCTGTCGCTGCCGCTGGCAGCGTTGTCTGCGTCGCCGGAGTCTAGCACGCCGTCGTCGACCGTGTCCTCGGCCTTGACCATGTCGTCTGCACGACTCATGTCGCTGTCACTCATGCTCGGGAGAAACGGGGAGGTGTTATCTCGTTACTTGCTGCTTGTCTGTTGGCGCCGGAGAGGGGTGTTGTCGAGCGGTGTCTCTCAAGGATGGCCACTGTGCTGTAGTGTGTGCGTTCCGGGTCTCTTTTCTAGAGAAGGGGTACCTGGCGACAGAGCTATCGGAGAGGATGCAAAGCGGCTCGATGGCATGGAGGCGTTCTACAGGGCGTCCATGGCTTCTGCAGCAGGAACAGAGCCCCGTGGAGAAGGGCCAATTTTCACACCTGGTCAAGATGCTCATAGAGCCGCCGTGTGGGAGAGGAGATCCGGAGGCTGGCCAACACACCTTCCTCCCCTCTGCTGCTGCCCTTCATTGCGCACGAGGGCAAATTTTGCACCACCGCGCCGCCCCGGCCGGGTAACCCGCGTCGCCACCGGGCCACCCATTTCTACTCATGTCATGTATTCATGTCTTGACCTATATACAGCACGCTATCTACCTCTATCTACCTACACATCACTTCTTCTTCCACAGGAACGCGCCTCTCGAGAAGTCCAGCGCCTTTGGCTGCTCGCCCTTGCGCTTCTTGCTCTCCACAAACAGCACGTGTCTCTGCACCACCGGGTCGTATCTCACCTGCGTGATCTCCCGGGCTGTTCTTGGAACCAGCAGCGTTCTTCTGTACCCGGTCTTTGCCGTCGACACGAGCTGCACAATCGTCGTTCTAGCCTTTGCCTTAGCCATCTTGGTTCTCGCTGCCCTGCTCTTCTCTGTTCTGCTCTGCTCTGCTCCGGCCCTGCTCCTGCCCACCTGTTCTGATGCTGTTCCTCTACCCTGTTCAGCTCTCTTTTTTTTCACCCCGACGGGGCCCGCACCCCGCCTGCTCGCCCACTCGCCTCCACCGCGCTGACGTAAGAACGCGCTGACGTAAGAATGTGCTGACGTAAGAACGCGGTCCCACCCCGTTTACGTCAGCGTCCGCTTCTTTTCCGCTTCTTTTCCGCTTCTCTTCCCCCCCCCCTTCTCTTCTTTTGCTCTCCCCCTTTTCTCTCCCCGCACACTCACTGTCTGTGCCGCTCCCCGCAACGGTTTTCTTCCGCCGCCAGGACAATGGCCCCGCGGGGCAGCTGCGCAGACCCCCGCGGGGCCCAGCCCGCCCGAACGGGCCTGGCCCCGCCAGCAGGAATCGGCTGATATGGGGCCCGGGCCAGAAGCAGGACGGGGACCACCCCATGCCCAAAGAAGGGCGCTGGGGGCGTGACAGGCCACAGGTGGTGGCGCACGTATATAAGCCCAGAGCCCCAGCCGGAGGTGGTAGTACAGGACGTAGTAGACCAGTGTGCTAGCAGAGGGGTGGATCAGCGCCCTTTCTGTTGCCACGCCCCAGCCTCACACCCAGGATGGATTTCTACATTGTGAAGCCGAACTTACAGATCGCCGACTGCGAGGACTGTCCGTCGGACTCCACGTTGCTCTCGAAGAAGTCGGCGTACCTGTCGCTCCAGAAACAGTGTCGCAAGCTTTCGCAGATGAACGGCGGCGACGCAGCGGTGCCTGCGTGGTGCCGGTGCAAGAGCCCCGGGGAGCCGCGGTCGCCGTCGCCGGCGGACAACGACAAGGGCGGCAGGGATGCCGGCGGTGGCCAGGGCCAGGGCCAGGGCCACGGAAACCCGGTCGCCAGCTTGCCGCTACAGTCGATCACGTTGGCTCCGCAGGACTACTCGAAGCTCGAGCCCCGCCCGGACGCGCTGTCGCTCGCCCGGCTGGACTTGCCCAACAACATCTCGTCCCTCGACGGCAAGTGGCTTGCGTTGAAGTACCTCCAGCTCAACTCGGACGCGGCCTTGGTGCGATATAAGTACTTGAAGTCGTACGCCAAGATCACGCGCCTCCTCAAGAAGTACTTCAGCAAGCCGCAGGTGTCCGAGTACGAGGACTACTCCGACAGCGAGGGCTTCAGGCAGATCAACGACGAGATGGCCAAGTTCAAGGCGTTTGAAAACGTCCTCACCCTCCTAGTGGAGTTGAAGAAGCAGTTCCACCAGCGCTTCTCCCACTTCGACGCCGCCTGCGCCACGCCAGCCGACCCCGACGAGGCCCCCGCCTGCTCCAAAACGCCCTCCTCGTCCCGCTAGCCGCTATATAGTCTACCCGTTTACCATACCCCTTCCGAGCCACGAATACCCCACCCTGTATAACACCTACTGCGGCCCTAGCCCTTCACGCTTTCGATCCTCAACTCCCCACGTCTTGACGTTTCGCAGAGCCGCCGCGACCGCCGGTCCTCATTTTTCGCGTGGCGCCCTCCCGTGGACGGGAGCGAAAAACAGGCCAGAGCGATTGTTTGTTTGTTTACACTTCTTTGTTTGGTGTGGACATCCTTCGAACAGATCTGCGTCCGTCTTTGAGCTCCGCTGCCCCCCGCCATCTGTTTCTTTGTCTCGACCAAGTCTTTCCCGCTTTCCCGACACGCGTGCTGCAGCCTGCTGCCCCCTTCACCCCCAGATAGCAGTCTTTGATAGAGAAAGAAAAGCAGACCCCTTCCCGAAGAAGAAAAGCAAAGCAAGGGTAGAGCTAGTCAACAGAGGCGTCGAAACACAGCATGTCCCATATCTCCGACAAAGAAAACAGACAGCCGTACCACCCGTCGTTTGCGGCAAAGGCCGCAAAGGCGGCAGTGACACGGTCCGTCACCCCAACGCCAAACCAGATAGATAAAGTCGTCGAGTCCGTCGCCAACGCCACAAAACGATTGTCCCAGCACTCAAATCAGTCGTCCTCGAGCAAGCGCAAAGTCGAAAACAGGGTTGGCCCATGGAGGTTGGGTAGGACCTTGGGTAAGGGCTCCACGGGCCGCGTCAGGTTGGCCAAACATACCACCACGGGTCAGCTGGCCGCCATCAAGATCGTTCCGAAAAACATCATCGACTTCGACGGCTCCAACTCCGCCTCGAACAATAACCAGCGGAAAAAGAAGAGAAAGCAAAAGGTCGATGAAAACGGCCTCCCTTACGGAATTGAACGGGAAATCATCATCATGAAGTTGATATCCCATCCAAACATCATGGCCTTGTATGACGTGTGGGAGAACAAAAACGAACTCTACTTGGTTTTAGAATACGTCGAAGGAGGTGAGTTGTTCGATTTCTTGATCAGCAACGGACGTCTGGGCGAGCAGGATGCAGTCAAGTATTTCAGAATGATCATCAATGGTGTCTCTTATTGTCACAAGTTCAACATCTGTCATAGAGATTTAAAGCCTGAAAATATCTTGCTCGATAAAAATGGTAAGATAAAGATTGCAGATTTTGGAATGGCAGCATTGGAAACCCAGCAGAAGTTATTAGAAACTTCATGTGGCTCCCCACATTATGCATCTCCTGAAATCGTTGCAGGTAAAACCTACCATGGCTCCCCCAGTGATGTCTGGTCCTGTGGTGTCATTCTCTTTGCACTCTTGACAGGACATTTACCTTTTGATGATCCCAACATTAGACAGCTCCTACTGAAGGTCCAGACGGGTAAATTCCACATGCCCTCGAACTTATCCGATGAGGCCAAGGACCTCATCTGGTCGATGCTGAGAGTAAATCCTAATGAGAGGATAAGTATAGATAAAATCTCCCAGCACCCTTTGATGCTCAGGTATCCTGACAACGCAGTTGATGAAGTCGAGGACAAGTTGGATCACTTGGACATCTCCAAGCCGGTGAGCAATTTTGACCCTGACATCTTGAACAATTTGCAAACTCTTTGGCATGGCATATCACAATCTCAGATCGTTTTGAAACTGCAAAACAAGGAGAAAAACTCAGAAAAGATGTTTTACTATCTATTGAAAAACTATAAGCTGACACATGCGAATGGCATGGAGCCTCCTAACTTGCAGAAATCAATTTCAAGGAAAACTTTAAGCTCGCAGACATCAATACCAAGATCTGGTAGTACCATTATCACCACAATCCAGGATGAAAATGGAAAAGTTTTGAAGTCTGAAAAGCAAGAGCTGAAACCAACCAGATCGCCCCCGAAGGTGAAAAATAGAAATCAATTAAATAACCCAATTGTTGCATCAACCTCGTTTAACAAATCGGTTTCTTTCCAAAAGCTCAGGCGTGACACTTCTGCATCCACTTTATCCATCGTCAATATGAAAAGAAATCTAAGTATTCGTCCAGACTCTAGCATGACTAACCTTTTTGGTGCGAAAAATGTTATCCTTGAGACAGAAGACACAGTTGATGGCAAGACCACAGATACCAACACCAAAAGTAATAGCAATAACAAGCAAACCAATAAGACTGTGAACATTTCTTCAATCATCGATAATTCAGATATTTCCAGTTCAAGAGCCGTTACTGTTAACCCTAAGGACTTGCCAGAATTACCCGACCTTCAAGATTATAAATACTTGATGAAAACTATATTTGCAGATACTGATTCGAATGCTCTCAATAAGGGCGTTAGCAAAAAAACTCATTCTTCATCGGCAGCTTCGAAACGGAAAGACGAGGCTCCCAAGTCAAGAGTTGACAATGATATGGTTTTACTCAATTTTGAAGATGCAACTTTTTCGAGCGAAGATCCTAAGAGTGATACGAGCTTTACCAACACTTCTTACTATACATCAAATCTAGACCCTAAGGCTAATCTTTTTGTCCCGCAATCTGATACCCAATATAGTAAATTAGAGCTGCTGAAAAAGGAGCTGAATGGGAACAACTCTTCGGTTCAGAGAAAATTTTCTAGTATGAAATCAATCAAATCATCTTCGACCCGAAAGTTGAATACTTTTTTACAGGATGAATACAAAAATGTGAAGATTGATGACTACAACTCCAAACATAAAAATATGTCATCTGTGACCTATTCTCATAAACCAGAAAAATCTGTTGATTCCAAATTTATTCCTCACGAAGATACCACATATAGTTTACATTCAGCTGTTGAGATAAGGATGATGACTCCCACTGAGGAAGACTTGAGACAAATGGGTGACGGGAAAGTTTTTGAGGATGCCGATGAATCATTTTTGGATAAAAGCCTCATTTCGGATTCCGCAATGAAAAATAACATCACTGTTCATAGGAACATTGTGCCCAATGTTGATAAGGGATTAGAACTCAGAACATCGTTAATCAGCACTTCCACTAACGATGACATGTCACAGCAACTTAACGAGAGAAAGCTCAAGTGGAGAAGTTCGGAGTTGATAAAGAATAGTCCGGTCCATGAAATGTCGAAGGAGGAGATTGCGAACTCGGTGTTTGATGATGCTGATGAATTACCCCAACCTCGTATCTTGGATAACGGAGCAGACGATAGCTTTGACAGCGAGATAAGTGGTTCTTTATACACCACGCTGGAAGAGCAAGTGCCAAAAAGCACCATCACAAGTAGCCAATCAAGGTCAACACGTCCGTTTTCTCAACTGAAATCGGGTGTCCGGATGTCGATGACTCCCACCAACGAGCACACCGCTCCTCCTTCGCTATTCAATCCAGCAAGAAACTCCACCCCCTCTTTACCTGTGAACGAGCCTGGTAGGACAGTCCACCTATCACCGATTGATGCTGTTTCTCGTGAAGGAGCCCTTTCGAAGGACCAGCATCATGCCTACCGCAAATACGCTTCACAAAATACAACCAAGCCAATACCGCCTCGAAAGATGGAGATTCCAACGGAAGCCAGCACTAAAAACAACGCAAATTCTACGTTTACTCCAGTTGACAGAGCCACGGGGACAAACCGTCCGAACTGGTTAAAGAAGTTTTTCTCTGCCTTCAGCAAAAAAGCCTCTGGCAGTTCATCGTCATCATCGACGGCGAAGACCAACACCAGCAAGTCCCCATTTTCCCAACAGCCGAGCGCTAGGAAATCGATCAAGTTCTCATTCAAGTTCAACAAATCTAAATATACCCCCAAGTATACCCCGAAGAACAACATTTTCTTCTCCGAGCATTGGCTGGAGAGCGATATAATCACGAGAGAGACTTTGATTGAGGCGATCAAGGCAGATGCCAGAACGAAGTTGCTGACGTTTACAAACGCACAAGACACCTCCAACGGTTGCAACTACACCATCGAGGTGGAAAACCTCAGGACAACCATCCGGGTCGAGGTTGTGGATAAGGTCGGAACAGAGTACGGCTTTGGTGGCTGCTACATGAAGTTTGTCAAGCTCAAGGGGACGAAGGCCTCGTTCGACTATTGGTGCGGCGTGGTGAGAGACCTTGTTGCAGATCTGGAAAAGAAGGCCGAGACTGCTGAAAAAGCGAGTGAGTCCTGAGTCCTAATTTCACCCTACCTTCCCATCTTCAGCCTTCCATGTAGCTTTTTTCATTCTGTATCTATTTACGCTCATAGTTTGTACAATTACAACACGATTACATTCATTCTTACCCCGACCGCGGCATGCAAACCCCTAGGCAAAACCCCCCACGCAGCGTGCCGCCCCAGCCCAGGCACAAGCGGGCCCTCTCGGCAGAAAACATCCCCATCAAGCCCGCTCGGGCGTCTTTGTTCTTATCTCTTTTCCTTTGTTTTTTCCGTTCTTTTTCTGCTCACGCCCCGCGGGTCGCCCGTTTAGGCCGACGGGAGAACGAACTTGGAAAAGAAAAACCGTTGAACCGTCGCAGCAAATGTGGGCGGGCCCATCTTCTAGGGCGAGACACATCTGGGTCCGACGGGCCATCGGGAGGCGCTAACTCACCGTGCTGGCAGGAGAGGCATCCGGTAACCGCCAGGGCGTGGCTGGACGGCGCCGAGACCAGAGGCGTTGTGTCACGCCGGGCATCCTATGACAGCTGCAAACGTTAGGCGTTCCACCGTGGCGTTGTTGTAGACTTGCTGGCATGTTGGCGTTTTGGCATGTGCTCCTTACCTGCACCCCGTAAATGTGGCACAGTAGAGTTGCACTCGCTAACCCACCGCTACGCCGACAAAGCTTCAGAACGTGGCGCCCACAGATTCGCCCTCCCGCTTCCAGACGCTTCGCCCCGTAGATGCTAGGGGCTGGGGTCCAGGGGAGAAGGGCGGTCCATGCGTTGCGGCTAAGGCGTGTTTAGGAGCTAGACCGTGGTGCAGACAAATATGTGCTGCAGAGAGGACGGTCTGCGGCTCTGCGGCGGGGGGTGTGAATGCAAGTGAGCTGCATGGACGCTCTTTTCTTTTTTTTCTTGCCTATCCGGGAAGGTTATATATATAGCTGGCGGCGTTTCCCTTTTTTCCTGGGTTGCGTCCACAGCGTCAACGGTTTCCACCGTTGCTTCCCTGCTTTCTGCCGCTGCCGCCCTGGCTGTTCTTTTGCTCCTCACCGACCCCGGCTGTCTATAGCGCAAGAAGAGCAATTGCTCCAGAGCCTCCCTGTTCACCACTCACCTCATCCACGGAGACGCCTCCCCGATCCATTCCCCGTTTGTTTTTTCTATCTTTGCAAACCGCTCGGTGATATAGAAAGGTACAGAAAATTGAAGTAGCCACGCCTTCGAAGAGCTAAATTTGCTAAATTTGTGCCACACCGAAAGCATTTTTTTTGGGACTGGTAGACATATTCCGACTCTACTTCAACTAATCTGCCCCGCTTGTTCGGTGCTTCCCCATCCAGTTTTCCCGATAGCTCCATTTCAAGGCGCCATCTGCCGCAAGCCTAGTGTCGTGCCATAAAGTTTAGACCACGCAAAATACACAGTAGCGAGCTCATTTCTCGCGTTAACTAGACCCCGAATCCAAATATGTCCAATCCAGTGATCAGAGTGGTCGTCGCAGGAGACTTGGGAACCGGAAAATCCAGCTTGGTGAATTTCTTTGTTCGAAGCGTCAGTTCCGCAGAGTTCGATCCGACGATCGAAGAAACATACACAAAGCGCATTTCGATTGATGGAGTCTACTACAACCTGGAGATAGTCGACACCGTCGACAACGAGTTCCGTGACAACGAGCAACGACAGTGTCTTTACGTCCAATCCGATGCTATCATCCTCACATACGCCATTGACGACGAAGTCACTTTCACCAATCTACTTCTCAGATACTCAAACCTCCCCATTAATGAAGAAGATGGGAGCAGGAAACTCACTTACATCGATGGGCGAATCAAGTCCTTTCCGCCGATCATTCTTGTCGGAACGAAACGAGACTTGGAGAGCTCGAGACAAGTTGCATACCAATCGGGACGAAAGTTTGCCGAACAGCTGCAATTACAGAACTTTATAGAGTGCAGTTCCTTTGCCAACATCAACGTTGACGACTTGTTCATCTCGGCCTCCAAGTTGGGGCTTGAGCACCAGCAGTCGGATAAGGACCTCACTCATATTTACGCTGCCGACGAGGAAAGCCGAAACTCGGACTTGAGACAAATAAGCAGCACCGGGTCTACCACTTCGAGGATAAGCAGAGACAACACTCACAAGCAGCTGAAACTTCCCGAAAACTTCTCATCCATCCAGGAGCAAGAGTCGCCATTACCCATTTTGCCAGAGGTTGCAAAAACTTCTGCCAGACCATCCCGAAACAACACCCAGCAACGTGCTACAGCTGCTAGAGGAGTAGAAAGCATGAAACCTCAAGACGGATGCTGTGCCATAATGTGAAATGATGCATTATTTGCTCAGCTCTCTTCAATTCTTCTCACGCTTGTGGCAAATTGTCATCGATTTTAGCACACAGATACTCAAATAAATTCGTAGCATTTTTTCCCGCATTTATATATAACTATCAGATAGAAAGACGTTTTTGTCTGAAGTTAAAGCTTCCTCGGCAAACCTGCTCTTTGGCTTCATAATTTACACTTTAAATGATAGTGCCCAGCGTTATTTATCGACAGCAATTAATCGATTCTACTGCTGCAGCCACCTAGCTCCCATGAACAGTCTTTTTCGTTGAAAAAAGAAGTTCCTTTACCCGCCGAGGGGACCGAACACGTCAGCGAAAAGTCCCATCGTTCATCGAATACATGGCGAGTCTGTTTTGCTTAATATGTACGCTGGTCACTTTTTCATCGTGAGCAAGATTTTCGCCTGTACCTGATCGGTGGTCGCTGAAGAAGAGTTTTTCGACAGCCTTTTCGATTCTATCGGACATACTACAGCGCCGGAGAAAGCAGAGCCTATAGCAGCGGAGCAATACTCCGCTAGTCATGACGCCACTTCTTTCCTGTATGAGTTACTACACGGTTTCGTTAGCGTTGTGGCTAGATCCAACTCCACCGATGACACGGCATTACCTGCCCGTATAATGTTCTCGGACGACACCGCACCAAATCGGCAACATGCTTTTACGGGCGTGTTCTCCCCATGTCAAAACCGTGCATGCGAACCTGCCAGCTGCCTCATCCGTCCCTGAAAAAAAACGGTTGTAACGTCTAGACAGAATGACAATAAGGGATGACGTGACAACACTGCTGGAGGGTTTTTTTCCTCACCCTCGGGTCGAGAAACTCCACCACGGCAATACGCGGCCCTGCTGCGCCACAGAAACGCGGCTAATCGAGGCTAATCGAGGCTATCCCAGGTCCTCGCACCGAGGCTTGCCTTTTCTTGCCGATGCCCTTCTCTATCCGAAATTGGCCTCTCTGTTGGTGATGAGGTTTAAATAGAAGACTGTCCCCAACTTGAAGGGTGGCTTCTGAGCTGTCCCCTAGCTCGGTCTTTCCCACACATGTTTTTGCTCCTGGTTATCGTTCGAGTTATGTTGTTCTCCTGCAAATGTGCTGCTCTTATACGGATTTAGCCAAGTCTATAGCACAGGATCCACTGTGCAGATGGATCGCCATTTTCTTAGCCTGCATTAAGCTGGACTAGATTCTTGACGCGGGTGACTCAAAGTTTCCTGTCGCCGACATATCTTTAGCCTTTCCAGTTGCTTTGTCGAAGGAGTGTTGTTGATGTTTGGTTTTGCCCTCCATCAACAAGAAACCCTGAAAACGATGACTGCGGGTCGATCGTCTCCGGTAACGGCGTTGCGCATACAATCCTCCGGTTCCGGTGGCTGAAGGGAAAAAAATTGCGCCGCTGAATCCCCGCAGTAATTAAATTTGTGTGTGCACCGAGGCCGGCCAAGTGGAAATCAGTCATCGTTCGGTGCTGTTCAGTGCTGTTAGGTGCTGCCCTTTACGACTTAAATTTGAGCCTTTTCTATTCGTAGTTCTCATTTCCCTGTTCCTAGCCCTATTGCACTAGCACTTTCGTGGAGTCTTCAATACTGTTTATCGGCGAGGACGCATTATCATGAGTGGAAAACCTAGTATCGATCATGAGTCGACAAAGGAGCGTATAATCACCGACTCCAGATCTGAGGATTCGGAGCAGCAGAAATACAGCAGTGACAACGATTTACTGCTCTCTCTGAAGGAGAAGAATGAAAAGGTGTCCCAACTTGCAGAGGAGTATAACATAAACCACAAGAAGTTGATGTGGAAAATCGACTTGTGTGTTGTTCCTCCTTTCTGCTTGTTATACTTCCTTGCGTTCTTGGATAGAGTCAACATCTCAAATGCCAAGGTTTACGGAATGGAGCGTTCGTTGGACTTGTCGAGTAACCAGTTTTCGGCCGCTCTTACTGTCTTTTTTGTTCCTTACATTATTTTTGAGATCCTTTCCAACTACGTCTTGAAGATTGTCAAACCACACTTGTGGTTGAGTTGCATGATTCTCTTGTTTGGTGTTGTGACAATTTGCATGGCCTATTCAAGAAACTACGGCGGTTTGATTGTCTGTAGATTGTTTTTGGGTATCTTCGAAGCTGGTTCTTTCCCGTCAATCTTCTACATCATGGCAAACTTTTACTCGTCCGCGGAATCCCAAAGAAGGTTCTCTTTCTTTTTCAGTTGCACTTGTCTAGCAGGTGGTTGTGCAGGTGCCTTGGCATACAGAATCCATGACTTGAATGGAAAGTACGGGTTGGAATCATGGCAATGGATTTACATAATTGAAGGAGCATTCACAGCTGGTTTGGCACTTGTCTTATACTTTGTTGTTCCAGATTTTCCTGAAGAGTGCAGATTCTTGAAGACACACGAGAAGAGCTTTTTGAAAAAGAAGTTGGAGATTTATTCCGGTAACTCAGGTTACGAAATCAAACAAACATGGAAAGATGTTGGTAAGGTTTTCAAAGACCCTATAATTTACATTTGCGCAGTATGTTACTTCTGTTTCATTGTCCCTGCCTACTCATATGCATTCTTTGCGCCTACAGTTATTGGAGAGCTCGGCTACACAGCAATGGAAGCTCAAAGACATTCCATCTACCCATGGCTTGCATCCATGGGTTTCAGTATTATCATAGCATTCGTGTCAGACTACTTCTACTCCAGGCTCCCGTTTGCAATTTTAGCTACCTTGATATCCATCACCGGGTTTGGTATGTTGATTGGTGCTACCGATCAACCGCTTGTAAAATACGGTGGATGCTTCATGCTTGCTGCCGGGTTATATACCGCCATGCCAATTTTGATCTGCTGGGTTTCCTTGAACTTTTCAGGACACACGAGAAAGAGTGTCGGTACTGCCTTTATTATCGGATTCGGCAATATTGGAGGTATTGTTTCTTCTTTCTTATTCCCAAACCACGAGGCTCCACATTACACAAAGGGCTTGAGTATCGGCTTGGCCTTTACGGTTTTCGCTCTTATCATGCTTCTGGTTTACTGCTCTTTCCTAGCTTACAGAAACAAGAGGAAGCAGCGCCAAGAATATAAAAATGAGTGGGATAGCCTTGACTCAAGAGAACAAATCATGAGAGGAGATTTGAACCCCGACATCAAATACCTTTACTAGTATGATTACTTCATTCATTTACTTTTAATGCTGTTTTTATAAACATTTATGATATGTAGAGTCCGCAATAGTGACATTAATAGAGTTTCGCTCATAAGCGATTTGCCAGATTAAATCAACTTAATCTGTTTGGAGCGTCTCAAGATCAAATTTGAGAACGGTCTACCATATTTTTGAAAATTTCATAGTAGTAAGGGGTACTCATTTTGCGGAACCAGAAAGGAACATGAGAAATGGATGGTTAACAGTTACTGAATTCAAATTTGCAGTTACAACAAGCACCTTAATGCTGCGGGGGTGTTTGCCTGAATGTACGGATGTTGGTAAGGGAGCTGCTATCATGGACTTTTTCTTCACATCCATGAAATTTTAGAGTCACGTGACACAAGTCTTTTCTCAAACTATCGAAAGTGTTTACAGTTACCCCTTTACGGTAATCGTCAAAAAGCCAGCACTTACACCTGCATTTTATCCTCTTTGGGTCAAAATGCGTGCATGTAAGTGATTGTATCGGAAAAGATATGCTTTAAGCACTGAACCTTATATCGTCTAGTAGGTGATGTAAATTTTAAGCGGCTTCGGTGCACCTGTCCACGCTGTCATCTGTTAGCGGAAGTCAAAGAAAGTTTCTTCTGACTTCGTGCTACAAGCTGTTTATCTTCACACAGGTTGAAGGGGTGGAAGACATTGAGTTAACACATCCCCACACTGTTGAAACTGAACACACTGTTTCAATAGCGATGTTGCAGCTACCCATAAAAACTAGAGCAACATATAGCTGGGGAGGAAACAAGAAAACGAATGAACTAGGTTTCATGGAGGGTGATGTGATCGAAATCTTGAAAGTAGTTAATGACAGCCTATATTTCGGTGAATCACAAAGAACTAAATTGAGAGGATTTTTTCCTGCAAAGTATGTTGCATGCAATGTGCCGAATGAAAACCAGACCTCCCCTTCGGCACCAAGCACCCCTGTATCTGCAAATAGTTCTAAGAACAACAGTTTTAATTCTTTGTTCACTCTGAAGAAGAAAGACAAGTCATCAAGCTCAACCTTAAACACAGATATATTGAATAGTTCGTTTCAAGAAAAAAACCTTTCGGTGGTGGCGTCACCTTCTTCCCCGAAAAATTCCGAACAGAAACAAGCAAAGAAATTTACTTCATCTTACGTCCAACAGCTATTAGATGCTTCAACGTTGAGTACAGAGACAGGATCATCCTCTGCATTTGGCCATTCCGACTTCAGTGCCACATCTGCCGGATCCTACATGCGTCACAAAGAAAGGGAAGAATATGAGTCTAAGTTGCAAAGTATGGCTCACTCTACTCATACTTCAATTGCTACTCGAAAGGCCTTGGACGAAATCATTGAAAAAAACGAAAAAAGAAAGCAACCAAAATTACTAAGAGATTTGCTAGGATCCAGAAATGATACTGGTCCAAGTTTTGATGATCGCATATATCTAATGTCAGTAGAGAAAATGAGTCAAATGGAGCTAGATGAAGGCTTACCTTACGGATATCAAAGCTTCCCTTCAAAAAGATTTGCAGAGCCAATATCTGACATGGAACGAACAAGGACAGTCTCAGGACATGAAAGGGCAAAAAGGGCTAAAAGAATATTAGACGAAGAGCCGGAACTTATTCTCAAACCTCAAGAGACTATATCTCATGTCAATTTCGAGGAAACTGACACCTCATCACGGAGTTGTAGCTACAGCCTCGACTCTGAAGGCTTGGAAAAAGTGGACCACTTCATGTCCCAACAAGAACATAATCCGTTTGACACACCTCAAAAATTCACTATAGATACGATATTGCGCAAGTTCAAAACTGAATTAGAAGTGTCTCGGGCAATATATACGTACTTAACGCAAAGTTTCAAACTAATAAAAAGGAAAGATGAGAAAGTTAGTACAAAGAGAATGTTCGGATCTGAGAAAATATCCGAAATCATGCATACCTGTTTATGTACCCCACATCAGTTGGCTTGGCTTTTTTACATCATGGCAGATACAGCTGGATTAGAAGTAGAGATTGTTCTTGGTTATCTGAAACATCCGTTTGCACTCAACGATGTCGTAACCAATTCAAAGAAAAGACTCATTATTAATCATTCTTGGATTAGTATCAAAATTGATGGCGCCTATCGTTTCATTGATGTTATTTTGGGAAACCCAACCAATGACTTTTCCGTTAACTATCCTGAAATTTGGGATAATAATATGACGTGGAGATTTTACTTTTTAGCTAGGCCGTTTCATTTGATCCACACTCACAGTCCACGTTATATCGACCAGCAACATATTGTGCCTCCAATCGATGTTGTTGCTCAACTTTCTCTTCCACCTCTATACCCTAGTGCAATAGCATCGGGTGTTTCATGGTATAAGTATAATACGAGTATGATGCATCTGAGAGATTACGAACTATACGATTTTGCGCTTGAAATTCCACCCGACTATTTGGTCCACGGAAAATTTAAGCCCTACGATAGTGCTTTTGAATGTGTTGATTCTTTCGTTCAAGTTTATCAAAAAAACGATGTAAGGATAGCTCATTTTCAGGGCATAATGTCCAAAGGCTGCCCAGCAGGTTTTGTTTATGTGGTAGGTAAAAATGAATACTCTAAAAAGTGGAATCTACTTTTGAGTATTCCATGTTTTCATCAAGGAAAGTGGAAACCACTTGAATGGATGAAACGGGTTCCTGGCCTGAATGGAGTTGACGTTTATGTCAAAGAACCTAAAATTAACAACCTAAAGTGTGGTGAACAACTTTTCGATATTAAAGTCCATGGAAAAAGCGACTGGATAAGAGAAGTGCAACAGTTTTACGATGGATCGTTGAAACTTGGCTTGTTTCCCCCTAACAAGCAGATAATTGAATTGAATGTAACCAATAACCAGTTTACAGGCGAAATAAATTTGAACAAAGCAGGATATTGGAGGCTGGGTGTTCTTGATGTTAAGTTTATGAGATGGAAAGTTATAGCAGAATGGTCGGTCGCATAGAACATAGGATAGCCAAAGAATTTCTTGACCGGGCACCATCAAATGAAATCTAGCATAACAAACGCAAATGATAATAAAGAAGACAGTATATGTCTGTTTCCACGTACGAAACCTTTATATAGTACGTAGAAAAAATAAAAAATCCTTAATACAACATAAAGAACTATAGAAAAATGCAGCCGTGGTAAAACCTTGGTTGTTTGAAAGCCAAAAATTAAAAAAAAACGAAGAAGTTATGAGATTATGCAAAAGAGAAGAGTAAAAGAAAACCAAAATTAACAAAGTGAAAAAAAATTCTGCAACCAAAGAAAACGAAACAATACCACCATATATGATATATGTACAAAAATGTCATGGCTAAGAAGCCGTGATAAAAAAAACCAAATAAACCATCCAATACCCTGGCCTCTATGGATCTGGGTCGTCTATATTTTCACCCATAGCCTCTCTTATCTCATCCTGAATCAGGTGGTCATAGTTTGGAGGTTGCTCAATTGTGTCCAAAGTCACTTCATCATCTCCTCTTTCGTCATCCGTGAATTCAGCCGGACGAACCATGCCACTGTGAACAACATCCTCAAACTCTGGCAACTCTGAATCTTCAACATCACTGCAATCCAAAAGTACATCATGGTTGAACTTTGTATACAGAGGTGGTGGGACCTCACTTCCTCTTAGCGGAGCTAAAGCCCACTTTTTAACATTGGCTTCGATAAAAACAAAACCCATTTGACCGAAATTAACATCAATACGACATGGATTTATACTTCCTACCGTTGGATAAAGTTGGACACTTCTGGGTAGCTTTACATGTCCTCCGATTTTTGATTCTGATAATTTTTTCCCATTTCTAGTGAAGAAAACAGCTCTAGAATATTTTTTGATTCCAATTCCAACAACGTCTCCCTCCTCCAAAGTTGGGAATATATCATGGCCTGCTTTCAAATCTTCAAGTAAAAAGGGATTATTATGTCTTCTATCACCATTTGAATCATATGCCAAACTATGCAAATAACGACCTGGTAGTACGAATGACGGATAAGGAAATGTGCTCAAGCTCAAAGAAATTAATGTGTTGCCTCTAAACCGCTCCGGTATATCGAATATTTTGAACTCTATGTAATGTACATCTTTTGTGAAAGGGATAGGTAAGTTTGACTGAACCGATATTGGAATGTTTCTATTGTTGAAGGTGATTTCTGTTTTGTTTTCCACAGTGACGGAATGCTGATTATCCGATAAGGTATCTAGGCTCCATGCGTGAACGCCTTTTTCTTTTATCATGTCTTTTTGCCATGGAGCAAGGTCCATCCGTGCAAAACCATTCAACTTGATATATTCTTTTGCTTGAAAATATATCTCCTGCTCATCTGGAGACATGGTTCTCAGTGCAGAGGCGTCATTTTCAATCTCCGTAGCATCATCGTATTGCAAATCCGACTCTTCAGTATCATCCGACAACTCCCCTCCTCTGCTTCCACAACATCTTTGTATCAAAGCAACAGTGAGGAGCATAACAAGCATGAGAAGGAACGATATTGAAATGAGAAGAAACGGCACCAAAGGAGAATCTCCGCCATCGCCTATGTCCTCTGATGGGCCGTACCCGTCGATGACTTGCGATCTTGGATGTACAAAAGGCATCTGTTGTCTTGCGTATACCCTGTTCTCCAACACCCGTCAAATAGTGCTGCGTATGTTGCCTCGTGAGATATAGGTCAGACTTTTCTGCCCAGGTCGAATGAGAAGCAAAGCCTCGGAAGTGATACAGCATCTGTGTCCTGTTGACAAACCCGTTGCTGCCTTTGTTCTCATGATTTTGCGTGCTGCGGACCGATTTTCTTTGCAGCGCCCGCATTGGTGGCTTTCTGTATTTTGGGGTCTCTTTCTTTCTTCGAAGCAGATAGAGAACTAAAAGATAAAGGGGCCCTGTACACGAGGCACGTCCAACGACTTGGATTGCGATACCGTTCAGACTATGAGTGGGATACAGAATTACTCAAAGACGAAAAAATTGGGTGAAGGTACCTATGCCGTGGTTTATTTGGGAACGCAGTTGAGTACAAGCCGAGAGGTGGCAATCAAGGAGATCAAGACGGAAGGGTTCAAAGATGGGCTAGACATGTCTGCCATCCGAGAGGTGAAATATTTACAGGAGTTACGACATGCGAATATCATTGAGTTGGTAGATGTTTTCAGTGACAGCAGACAGAACCTAAATTTGGTTTTAGAGGTTTTGCCAAGCGACTTGGAAAAAGTGTTACGTGACAAGAACACCTTCATTGGTGGTGTTGATATTAAGCGTTGGTTGTTAATGATACTCCGAGGAGTCTACCACTGTCACAGGAACGGGATTTTGCACAGGGATTTGAAGCCGAACAATTTGTTGATGGATCCTTCGGGAAATTTAAAGATTGCTGATTTTGGTTTAGCCCGAAGTTTGGATCAACCGACAGAGAAACTTACTTCTAACGTTGTCACCAGATGGTACCGCGCGCCAGAGCTTCTATTTGGTGCCAGATTATACACTGCTGCCGTCGACGTCTGGGCCATCGGTACGATTTTCGCAGAAATGATGTTGCGGACGCCGTATCTGCCTGGTAGCGACGATGCAAACCAGTTGGCAGTCACCATCCAGGCGTTGGGTACCCCGACAGAAGAGAATTGGCCTGGTGTGAGTCATCTCCCGCTGTATAACAACTTAACCGTTTACCCTGCACCGACGCGGGCGGAATTGAGAAGACGGTTTGTGGCGGCAAGTGAAATGGCGCTTGAGGCTATGGAAGGTATGCTTATTATGAACCCATCAGAGAGATGGACTTGTGAACGTGCCTTGCAGAGTGGCTACTTTCTCGAAGAACCTATCCCTTGATAGGTGTGGAGGTCAGTGCTTGCATGTATTCAAAAAAAGCTAACAGGAGCTTTCTTTCCTGAACAAATAATTCTTTTCTAAACACTGGTATAGTTGGTGTGTTAAACTCTCCTTCGAGGCTTTAAGCAAAAATATTACTGAAACCTCAAGCTCTGTAACCTGCGCTGCATACAAAGAGTATAAGTCCAAGTTATGTCAGTACTCTTCTCACAACTTCACTACATGTAAGTTGTTAGCCTGACAAAATCTTTTCAACATATGAAGTGACTTCAAGTACTTTACATTCAAGAGGTGACTGTAAGGTTCAGGTAGGTTGAAGGAGCTGATCATACCTGAATATTCTAATTAATAAGTGATATAATTTTTGGTCAAATGTGGTTCACTTCACAATGGAGAGTCAAACACAACTCAGCGGCAACACTTTCATAAATTAGACTTACTACAGAGGAAAGACTTTTATATATTTTAAACATTTAAACTACCTTTTGAAGAGTGTTTCCATGTCAGTCAGACGACCCAAGCACTTTCCGCAATATTACGTCAGCATAAGTTTTGGGGCTGTGCGAAGAAAAATTATTTTTTTCATACAAGAAAAATTTCTGAAGTTTTTCAATTTATCTGATATAAGGAAAAGCAGAAGAATTAATCAGCAGTAATTGCTTCATCCCTCCCATCAAAAGTCAAAGAAACCATCGAGTGCACGGAAAGAAAGCAAGAAAAATGGAAACCGTATCATCAGCTTACACATGCAACTCATGCCAAATCCAATTTTCACTTTCTGAGGACCAAAGATCGCATATGAAAGGAGAATGGCACAGATATAACTTGAAGAGAAGAGTGGCACAATTGCCTCCTTTGTCTGAGGAGCTGTTCAACACCAAGGTCACCACCGTCAGTGAACAGAAAAAGGAGGAGATGGAGGCTGATGGCAAAATGGAGAAGTTGGGCAAAGGCATGCAAAACCTCGAACTTAGTACGAAGCAACAGCGCAGAAAGCAACGTGAAGAGTTACTCGAGAAGAAAAGGAAGCTTTTGGAGCTCGCTAAGAATAGGCTAGTCAGTAATGGAGGTAGAGTCAGGATTGGAGAAGATGGAAAAATAGTAGTTGAGAAGAAAGTAGCCACACAGGAAGAGGAGCGTCTCAAGGAAGAGGTTGAAGAAGCTGTTCGTCAGGAAAACGAAAATGTTGTGGATGAGGAGACGTTGATCAAGGAAAAACTTGCGAAGAAGGTGGATGTTCCAGTGACGAAGTGTATTTTTTGCAAAAACGAGGAATTTGAAAACGTTGATGGTACCTACGAGCATTTGTTCAAGAAGCATGGTCTTTACGTTCCAGAAAAGGCATACCTAGTTAACAAGGAAGGACTCCTCTCCTACCTATACGAGAAGATTGGCTACGGTAACGTGTGTTTATCGTGTAGCTTTCAGGGAAGAAACTTTCAGAGTATCATCCAGCACATGTTGAGCAAAAACCATATTAAGATACCGTATGAGGCAGAGGACGAGAAGTTGGAGATCAGTGATTTCTACGACTTCTCCAAAACATACGAGGTGGATGACACCGGTGCAGATGGAAATGAAGAGGAGTGGGAAGACGTTGCGGAAGAAGATTTGGAGAACGACGAGGACATTGACGGCGAAAAGCTTTATGCGTCCGAATACGGGTTGCATTTGCCTAACGGAGTGGTTCTTGGACATCGGTCACTTGTCAAGTACTACAAACAGAACTTGAAACCTGAGAAGGAGTGGACAGAGGCAGAGGGTACAGTGATGGCTGCAGAAACGAGGAACTTTGTAAAGACGATTGATTCGAAGGCGATTGCGCAACAGAAACGGGTGTGGACCAGGGAGGCCAAGAGCAAGGACAGGAACGACAGACGGGCCCAAAAGTTCATCAACTGGCAACCGCATTACAGAGACGAATTGCTACAGTAGGTAAATACTGAGCTGTGCCTATGCAGTATTATATATTTCAGATAACTGAATAAACAAGTGCGTCAAGTGAGTAGTTAGTTTATCCGTAAGTTATGCCCGGAGAAAAAAGGGCCACGCCGGATCTGACGCGTTAAGCGACTCTTTCAGAATCCGCTTTTTTTCCTTCCTGTCAACAATACGGTTCTTCTTTACGTATTGACGATAGTGTTGGACACGATTGCTTCCAGGAGGAAGAAGAGACACCTACCCACACATATTAACTACAGCTGGAGAATCGAGGGATGTACTTTGATTTGGATGACATTCTCGCCGATTCGCAAAAATTTACAGGCTCCTTTGAGGTCGACGTGCACAATGTCGGATGCCTCATCAACTCTAAGGAGAGCGCCAAGATCAGCAAGACAGACAAGCTCGAGTTGCCATTTTGGCTGGTCACGTCGCTGTCGCACATCTTCCTCTCTGAGGACCGATCGCTCTTTTCCGTGGAAAGGCCAGAGTATTTGAGCAAGTTGGCCACGAACTTCTTCAAGGCGTCACCGCTGAACGCAGACCTGTCGGTGGTGTCGCATTTCTACCGGATTGTGGAAAAATGGTGTGACTTCATTGACCAGCCCGAGTTGGTTGACACCGTCTTTGACATGCTCGTTGCCCGTGCGGGACGGATCAACGACTTGTCATTTAACGCGTCAGAGATGCACTCTCGCGAGAACGTTGAGTTTCTCCAGACGCTGGACTCCTTTGAAAAGGACCTTTTCCAGATCTCGTCCGAGTCGTACAATGACTCGCGGAATTGGATGAAGTCTGTTATACACTGAACCAAAAGATAGAGAGACCGTTTATGTGCCAAGAGGAGAGAAGGAGAGCCTCGTTTCTCGATCTTAGCGACAAAAATGATTTTTTTCCTTTTGTGAGGCTTTTGACTTCTTCCCCTGGTAAATTGGCAACTCTACCGGCTGGTTTCCTTTCATCGGCACACCAGCTCACGCTCTGTCGACGCCACCAGAAGATCCACACACACACACAGCAACACCATGTCCGAAACGAGGATGCCGAAGATAGTAGTGCTTATATCAGGGGGCGGAACAAACTTGCAGGCCCTGATCGATGCGTCCACAGGGAGCAGTCCCCGAAAGTTGAACGGCATCATCACACGGGTCTTCTCCTCCTCGGCGAAGGCCTACGGAATCACGAGAGCAGCCAACGCCGGCATCCCCACCACCGTGCACACCCTCAAGTCCTACTACGAAGGCATTCCACGCGAGTCCACGGAGCAGCGCAAAGCTGCCCGGGACCGCTTCGACGCAGACTTGGCTCAGCTGGTTATTGCCGAGAAGCCGGACCTCGTGGTCTGTGCCGGCTGGATGTTGATTCTCTCGCTTGCCTTCCTCAGCCCGTTGAAGACCGTCGGTGTCCCGATCATCAACCTCCACCCGGCACTCCCCGGCGCTTTCGACGGCACACACGCCATCGAGCGGTCCTGGGAGGCTGGCCAGAAGGGCGAGGTCGCTAAAGGCGGCTGCATGGTCCACTATGTGATCGAAGCCGTCGATATGGGGGAACCGCTTCTCGTGAAGGAGTTCCCCGTCGTGCAGGGCGAGTCCGTCGAGACCTGGGAGGCCAAGATCCACGCTCTCGAGCACGTCGCCATTGTGGAGGGCGCCCAGCAGGCCCTCCACAATGCCGGCTTCGCATGAGCTTCCACATACATAGCCCATATAGCGTTATAGAATAAAGCAGAGCAGAGTACAACAAAGCTCAGCTCCGTCTCTACCTATCTTCATCTTCTCCTTCTGTCAGAGCCACCTGGTCCCCGTTGCCCTTTTTCGCAGCACCGCGGCTCGTCCATAACACAAATCCGTTTTGGGTTACCGCCGCCGGCAGCAGCAGCAGGCACAGCACAGAGGACCGGCGTCTCTCCTGGAGGGAACATGAATCGGATCTATCTAGTTTTGCAGAACTTCACCACCTCCTACCAGACGGTGTGAAGACAGCCTCTGCGGCCTGGCCTCCTTTTCTGGATGTGGTGCCCGTCCGCTGGACCAGCAGTACAACACGTCTTGGCGGCAGCTGAGTTTCCGCTTTGGGAAGGCCAGGCGGCCTACCAGACGGGCCGGCGCAATGGCATTGAGCGACCCGTCGCACAACGTCTGACTCTTTCAGGTTCGGGAGTCGGGCACGTTGTCGAAGTTGGACGTGAGGTCTGCAGGCAAACGAAACGGCTTGGCTGCGTCCCCATGTGGTTTTTTTTCGACTTTTTTTTCCACTCTTTCTTCCTCTCTTCTTTCGTTGCTCCGTGGCTTTCCTTCCTGGCTCCTGCACGGCAGCACTGTAGACACAGACCCCCATACCCCACCACCACACTTAACACAAGCCATGTCCGACAGCAAGGAACTTTCCCACCCTATGATCAAGGACGGCTGGTTCGCCGAGATCTCAGACACCATGTGGCCTGGCCAGGCCATGTCGTTGCGTGTCAAGAAGGTGCTCAACGCTGAGCAGACCAAGTACCAGGACCTCCTCGTGTTTGAGTCCACGGACTACGGCAATGTGCTAGTCTTGGACGGCGCCATCCAGGCTACTGAGAGAGACGAGTTTGCCTACCAGGAAATGATTGCTCACTTGGCTCTCAACTCGCATCCAGACCCTAAGAAGGTCTTGGTCATCGGAGGCGGGGACGGTGGTGTCTTGAGAGAAATTCTCAAGCACGACGGCGTCGAAGAGGCTGTCTTGTGCGACATTGACGAGGGAGTCATCCGCAACGCCAAGAAGTACTTGCCAAACATGTCTTCGAGCTTTTCCCACCCTAAGGTGAAGGTCCACATTGGCGACGGCTTCAAGTTTTTGGCCGACTGGAAGAACACCTTCGATGTCATCATCACCGATTCCTCCGACCCAGAGGGCCCTGCTGCTTCCTTGTTTGAGAAGCCTTACTTCGAACTTTTGTCTGACGCTTTAACTGAAAAGGGTGTTATCACTACCCAAGCCGAAAGCATCTGGATCCATCTTGAAATCATCAAAAACTTGAAAACCGCATGCAAGGCTGTTTTTCCTAACGTGGACTATGCATATTGCACCATCCCAACATATCCTTCCGGCCAGATCGGTTTCATGGTCTGCTCGAAAAACAAGGAGGTCAACTTAAAGGCTCCTTTGAGATCGGCAGACCCTGAAACAGAAAAGAAGCTTTACAGATACTACTCAAAGGAAATCCACGAAGCTTCTTTTGTCCTTCCAAACTTCGCCAAATACGCCCTAGAATAATCTTTTGCCAAGCGTCGTGTATATCTTTGTAGATTCTAACTACCTTTTCTTAATTGCCTTAGTTCATTAAAACTACATATTTTATGTCAAATAACATCATCTAACATCTACCTCCATCTCCTCCACCTCCAACATACTCCAGACACTCTCCTTAAGGATGGCCGTCGTTCCTCTTGGGAACTTGTAGTTGTTTTGCTTTTTCTCTCTGGCGTTTGGCGTTTGGTAGTTTCTGTACAGTTGTGCATCCTTGCCGATTTCCATCACACACAAATCGACGTTCGACCCAGAACCCAAATCGTTCCAAATACCAGCCTGGATTGCCTCCGATGCTAATTTCATTGCCTCCTCCTTGCTCATATCCTCTCTCCAGTCCTTCTCCAAAACAGCCATGGCTGCCAATGACCCACTTCCCAAAGACATATAAAATCCAACATCCGTACTACCGTGTGCGTGGATACTGAAAAGTCCAACACCAGATGGGTCAACTCCAGCAACAATCAAGTAGGCTCCGATGTATCCCTGATATTTGAACAAATGCTGCTTCAACATCTGCATCGCAGAAACAACCCTAGATTCCCTCCCTGTGTTCAGAGAATGTAACTCAAGGTTTGATGCAATCAATTGAGTCACCATCTCAGTGTCGGCTGCTGTACCGGCACCGGCACACCAGATCTTTGGTGATAAACGATGTAGTTTCTCACAGTTTTTATCTGCAACTATTGGACCTGCTGTTGCACGGGTATCAGCTGCAATAATTACACCACCTTTAAATTTACAACCCACAATAGTCGTACCTGTGGAGGTGGCCTTTGGTGCCTTGTATCCTGCTTTCGTGATCAAGAACTGGTTTCTCTGGTAGTTATCAAAATTGAGTCCTGCCATTGCGATAATGAATATATGTTATTCTTTCCACTATTTCTGCCCCGTTCAATAGATGGTACTGTCTGAAAATGGAATCTAGTTTCAGCTTTACGTGCAGTAGATAACAAAGCCTAACCTTTTTTGCCACTCGACTGGACCGAAAATACGTAGAGATGTGTTTGGCCCTCCTCGTCTTTTTTCCCCGAAGTGTGCGAGAGCGTTTTTCTGAACATGAATGTGCTAACTGGCCTTCACGGCCTGCTAGTAAGTCTTCTTCAGCAGGGAAATTTGTTATAGAGTTTAAGTTTCATCAACTACATACCCTTGCTGCAGGTGTATCAAAAACTAACATCAGCCAAAAGGAGATGGGTATTTGCTTGTCATGTTTGAGGCCAAAGCAAACTGTTCAGGAAGATGAAAATGCATCGTTGCTTTCCGACGATAAGGCTAAAGCAGTGGAAGACGAATTATTGACAGAGTTGAGAAATAAACAGTTGAATGCTATTTTAAACAGCACTAACGATCACTTGATAGACATATCTACTTTTAAATCTATGTCAAACTACGGTTCTCAGCACACTGATCCAAACAATAACGGCGAGGGTGAAGACACTAATTCTCAGATACAGCAAGAAGAAAACGACGTGTTCAAGGTCATTCCCATCTCACAGTCACAAATACAGGATGAAATGGATCAGCAATACAATAATTGGATTTCACAATTAGGGGAAAGTACAGTGCGTAAATACATGGAAGTCAAAGAGAACCCGGTTGACAAAAATAGGAAATACAGTGTTGACTTGGTATAGTCCTTTATTTTTCTTTCCACATTTTCTCCTTTCGTCTTTTTTTTTCGGGCTTTATTGTACTTCTAATTAATATACACTTTCTATACACAACACAAAATCATACAAACTTTAGCGTGTAATATTCAACCAAACTTTAACGTTTTCCACGAACTCCTGGCTCTTGCCACGTTCGTGTCGCTCTCTCTTTTCGTGAGCCTTTTCTTCTGAGTCTTCGTTTCTCTCCGAACTGGTCTCGTTGTCAGCCTCTTCTTGTTTGTTTTCTGATGGCTCAAGTGATGAAGACGATGATTCCTTTCCCTTCAGTGGATAAGGAACCTTTAGTGTAAACTCAAAATGATTGAGTCCGTAGCCCAACCGAACACTATACTTACCAGCACAAAACATTCCATCATCACCTGCTTCTTCATTATAAGAAATTGACATTGGAACTCCGTTGATACTTTCACCGTTCACACGCAATTCAGAGACATACTTTTCGTCAACAATTATATTTTGTAGATGTACGATACAAGATATCTCGTGACCAACAACAGCTGATCCCGGTAGTTGCATCACATAAGTGGATCCGCCAACAGTGGTGTTTCCAGCTGGTTCAACAATTATGTTTTCAAAAATTGCTGGACCCTGTGCACCCGGATTGTTGCTTGCATTTTGCTTGTTGTTAAATGTGGCAGGGGTATTTGAACTGACTAAACTTTTCCAGTTGTTGGCAAAGTTGTTCAAGTTTGTAGTCGAGCAAATTGTAAACTTTTTGATAAAGGCAGTTATGTCGTCAATTTCTTCTATCTTCTCGGCCTTTTCAACGTCGTGTTTACGAATAATAGTTGGGGCTTCGGGTACAGGTTGCTTTGCAGCCTCTTCTTCCACATTGCCTTCATCAGGATTCATCAATTCTTCCTGAGCAGAACCGTATTCCGAAAACTCCTTTACATCCTCATCTTTACCCTTTTTCTTAAACTTATCCTTTTCGTCGTTCCCACTGTTAGCATTCAGTATGGCTTGACGCTTTCTTTCAGCAACTTGAGATTCAAACTTTTCAAGACGCTTGACAAATGCCTTACTTAGCCCAGTAGCAGCCTTGTAGTAAGGCCCGTCCCCAAAAACGTCCAGGGCATTGTCGAAAATTAGGTTGACATCACTTATAAATTTTTTGTAGCCCAAAGAACCATTCGCATACTTCCCCTGTTCCAATCGTTCACCAATCATATTGAAGCACATTGGCTTCGTAATAATATCGTAGTAATCTTCCGTTGCAGGATCATCTCTATCAGGAAGCTCTAACAAAACCTTTGAAAGGGGGATAGAGTTTTTGTGATGCGACACCTTAAACGTTAACAAGTGCCTGAAAACCTTTAGAATATCAGCAGTGTAATCTTCATTCGAGTCATCAAAATCATCAGTATTGATTACAATACTTGCGTCGTTTTGTTTTGGAGGATCAACTGGTTCATCTTTAGGCACAACCTCTTCGTTCTCGGCACCATTGGTGACTACTGTGTCTTCTGCTTGTTTCGTTGTGTTTTCTTCCTCGACAATGCTGTCACTTTTCGCTTCTTCTTTTGCACTTGCCTTGGCTCTTCTCTTGTCGTTATCTTTTGACCTACTGCTGCTCTTCTTTCTTTTAGGTTGAGGCTCCGACTCTCTAATTACCTTTTCTGCCGCTTCTGCGGCTGCTGCTGCCGCTGCCGCCTCCAACTCAACCTTCTCCTTCTTGATCTTCTTCAAAGACTTTTTCTCCTCTAAGGACTTGAGAAAGGTGCTGTACTGGTCTATCTGAGAAACTGCATAATTTGAAACAGACTTGGCATCGTTCACGATCAAACTGTCAGGATCATTGTACGTGGAGGCGTTCTCTGTCAACTGGAGCCACATCTGTTTGAAATCTTCCAACGTAACAGCATTCCCATCTGCAGACTCTTTTCCTTTACGTTTTACAATTGTTGCTTGACGGATCTCATTGATCGAGATCGGGTTCTTGATCACCTGGTAGTAGTCAGCGTACAGTTTCTTCGGTGGCAACTTCAGGAACGGGCCGGAAACAATTTCACCGGTCTCTGGATCTTTCAAATTTGTTGCTCCATTGATCACCGCAGTGTAGAACTCGGTGAGAGAGCCGTACTGAGCAACCGGGTTTTCAGTTGAATCTTGCACAGGGGTTGTGATCTCTGCTGCTTCTGCAGAGGGTGAGGCCGTGGCAGGCTTCTGCTTCTTCTTCGACGAGCCTAGGGTGAGAGTGACCTTTCTCTTGGGTGCCATGTCTGAACGTTTGCCTGAAGATGTACCTTCACATCTCTTCTTCCGTGTTTTCCGTCACCTCTATTGCGGCGTGTGGCACCGCCAATCCCCAATTCATGTTCAGCTGAGCTCTGGAAAGCACAGAAACAACAAACTCTGCTTCTCTCATGCACCCGTGCACCGTGCGAGCTTTGTGAGAAAGCGATCCAGGTGGGGAGCGAGAGAGCTTTGCCAAAACGAAGAAATAGACAGTACCGTAATACAGGAAGATAGAGGTAAACGACAGAGGATCTGAGAAAAGGAATGAGTCTGCTACAGCTCAATACATCGCACAGAAACCACACATACACATACACTATGGCCAAGTACGAGGTTATCGACCAAGACCCTGTTTTCTCCAAGGTTGTCAGCTACTTCCGTGTGTCCGACTACCTAACATGGTTGGGTGCCACTGCTGCAGGTCCACTATCACTCATCCTGCTTGAGAAGTATGAACCAGCCTCAGGACGTCACTTCAAGATGCCTAAGCCAATGTTCCTGCGTGCAGGAGGGCTGGTTGGTTTTGCTACAGGTTTCTTTTTGGCTTATAATCAGTCTACCAAGAGATTCTGGGGTGTTTCCGAAAACGCTAGAGAAGTGGAAAAGGACAGATACGAAGTCAAGTCTTTGCTTGCCAAGGGTAAGAACCCATACGGTAGCGATGAATCGACGCTTACTCCTTACATGCAAGACTTATCCGCCAGATACTCGAAAAACTCACAATTATTGATTGCCATTCTTCCATGGTTCAACTTTGTCGCTCACCCTTACCATGGTGTTGACTTGAAGAAGTACTACGAGGTTAGAGAAGGTGAAGAGAAGTGGGGATTCAACTTGGTTCCATTAAATGAAATCAAAGGCCTACCATGAGGATACTAAAGTATACCTGTAATTATCACACACGTGTATCCTTATGCATCCTTTTCGACTTCTATTCATTCATTTTATTCATCACTTATTTATTATAAAGTATGAGAGAGACAACGGAAAAACAACGACTGTTTTCTTCGTTCCTAATAGTTTATAATTTTTTTATTTATTATTTATATTAATCTTTTGTTCCAGTCAAAAACGTCAAGCCAGTTATTACAACTCCAAATGCCTATAATCCCACTATTTTTCTCACATGGTTCTTGATCGAAGGTCCCCCAGGAGGACTCAAGTCATTATGATTATTGTCGTAGTACATATCCCACACCGTTTTCCATTGATTTTCAAAGTTGTACTGGTCCCACGTCTTGCCTGTCAATGAGTCCTTGTTCCACTCCCTAATTGCTCGCTCAAGTATAATAAATCTGAAATAGTTTATATTGAACCTGACTACTCCACTTTGCTGGCTATTAGGTGCCAAATCTTCGTATCCAGACTCGGCATTTCTAAGAAAGCGAAGCATTCCAACCAAATCATGACACCAATAGGAAGAATGGACATCAGTGGCAAGAGAGGTGAGTTTGGAAAATAGAAATGAAAACTTAGTCTGGTGTGCTGTGTCGAATGTATTCAAGTTTGAGTTTGTTAATCGAATTAAAAACTCCCAATCCTCGGTATTCACTTTATATGGCATTTTTGCCTTGAAGTTGGATAAGATCTTTATGATCTGGTTCAATCGGCCATTTAAGTCTAATCCGTGTGGGTTCATGAAATACAGCAAACTAATGAGATAGTGTGTATCAGTATCATAATCTAGTAATCTGAAGTAGTCGCTGATTTGGTCATTGGCTCTCGTGTCATAGACTGTTCGCAGGTTCATTATCTCGTAAATGAGAAGTGACTTGATTAGGTTCTTATCAATGCTGTCTGTTTCATTTCTTAACGAAGAAAACAAATCCGCCTTGATCATCACGTTGTTCTTCGTAAGCTCGAAGTTGGGAATGGATGCTAGTTGCATTGTGTAACTAGCAATCTCATCGATTGCTGTTGGGGGTGGCGGTAACTGTTTTTGCTCATCCTTGTATTTAAGAACCGGGATTATCTTATACCAAGCAAGGTTTCTGCTCGTGTATATTTGTTGCTTATTTATTAGGTCTAGTACTACAAGCTTGATGTCCGAATGCTCTTCATATACCGCATTAATCAATTGTGGCCTCACTGAATCCAACTTCGATTTGATATAGTTTGCACTTGAGACTCTCCAAGATGCTGTAGGCAATGGGAAGTTCTTGGGTGTTTCACCGTTTTGCGTACGCCGAAGAAGACGGCTCGGGGCTTGCATGGTCAAGCTTAGCAACGTTCGTTCTTTTCAATGCTTGCTTTACTAATATACAAAATAAATACCTCTATATAGATACTTTTGAAATTGTTCTGGTTCCTTTCAAAACAGGTGTGGGTGTGGATGTGTCTGCACTCCGGGAAAATTGAAAAATATTTAGAGATGAAAATAAAAAAACATTGCTATCATCATTGTGATCAGCAGTATTAAGCGCTTCTCCAAAACCTTAACGAGCTTCAAACTGAACCATTCTTTTGGTTCTAGCCTTGTAAAGAACTCTGTGACCACATTCCTTACATCTGACTGGCTCCTTTGGCGAAAGTGTGAAGTTGACAGCACATTGCGCACACACGTATTTCACACCGTAATTTTTAATGGACTGGATACCACTGGCAGCATTACCCAAGTTGGCTGCAGTTGGTGGAACAAAACCTTCTCTTGACATCTTAGTGGTACTGATGCTTCGACAGACGTAGTATGCCTTCCGTAGCTCCCTCTGTAGCTCTAGCAAAAGAATCTAATTCTTACTATTTATCTATCTTGCCATGAAAATTTTTGCCTCTTTCTCTGCGACGAAATCATCTCGGTATGTCACGACAATAAAATTGTGGCGCTTACGTCAGCGTGATGGAAAATTGGTCGAAAATGGAAGTCGGGGATGTTGGAAAATAGAAGTTGAAACGGAAGGAAAGCAAATTGCTTGACGGTCCGCCGCCGCTTTGAGCCCCAAAAGGCAAGAAGACTGTCAAATAAAAAGAAGTTTTCAGTTTTAGAATAGGCTAAGCATACTGTGCCAGATTTTGTGGAGCGCCCCGTCGATCTTCTCTGCCGCCATTTACCCAATTTGACTTAAGCTGAGCTTCTTAAATCCTATATTTCCGAATTTGAGAACGGAGAGAAACGCACTCCAAAACGACCCCTGAAACATAAGAAGACAAAGAAGATATGCAAACGTCATCCTGTATACATCAAATACTATCATGCTAATATCTTATTGCTCAACTTGCTTTCATAATCTGTTGTTGAGTAATTGCTTCAAAAAGCTGAATATCAGAAAAATTTACTTGCGAAGTCGTTTCCAGCAATGTTCCGTACCTTTAGAGCATCAAAAAAATGACTTCCCATCCACACGAGATTTGGAATCTTTCAAACTTTCACATGTGGTGGATCAAATCGTTGACCCAGCGTCAACCGAACTGATAGCGGTTCCCTCAAAGTCAGATCAATTAGTGAAACCACATACATTACAGAGCTTCAATTCATCAACGATAACGTCTAAAATGAAGTCTCCAGCTCCGGAGTTGAAAAAACTGGGACGATCTATAATATCAAGATTGGAGTCGTTGGAAGTAGACCGAGATATTGAACATAACATTGATTTGCACAAACTTCTTGACAAAGATGATACTAAACCTACACTCTCTCCCATAGATGAGCATATTCTCTTGAACGCAAAAGCTATGACCCTTTCCAGAGACCATACTGGTACTCTTCGACTAAGTGCTGGGCTTAAAGCAAAGAAAAAAGTGATAGACGATACATTATACGAATACAAATACGAACTTATTAATGACCCTCACTCCATTGTGGAGATAACGTGTCTAATCAGCTTCATTAGACGCATAACAAAGTACAACTTCATGAATTCAACCCCACAAATAAAGCATTTTCTCAAAAGTAGAATCGTTTATACTGAAGAAGGACAGCAGCTAATGAAAAGTAATAGAGCTTTGGCGTACTACATGATCGACTTTTTCATGAGAAGTGGAACTCTTTCAAATATTGCAATTATTGAAGACATAGTTCGTGCTATAGATGGCTGGGATACGTATGCATTGAATATATACTTGAAACGTTCTTTAGTATTCTGCGTCGATCCTTATCTTAGGTTGCGCCTAATTGAGAGAGCTATAATCAAATTTTCTGAAAATAACTTGAAACTAAACAAGACAACTTTGTACATGATCTATATGCACATTGATAAAGCCTCCCTATACTCTTTTGACCTACAATTCTTTAAGTATGATTTGCAAAAGTTTTTGGCTGAAAGAAATCTTTTAAATGGTCCTCATTTTACATCCATACTATTTGAAGACTTAATCAATTCTTTTTCCATTATCAATGCCGAAAAGCAACATTTGCCCCAAAACAGAAACGATTCACATTTGTATGCGCTGATAGATGATTCTATGAACTCAATAGACATTATGCCGAAATTTAGGAATAGTTCACAGTTAAATATAACTAGGAACAATTATTCTATAAAATCTCTTAGGAAAGTGTTTTTGAATAGCAAATTCAGAAATGTTGAGTCTTTCAAAAACCTGATATCGGCTCATTTGGAAACTTCCAATTGGAAACGTGCATGGAAGATGGTAATTTCAAACTACCATTGCTTACAGATTTTATCGAACATTCCACCAACAGAACGCATGAAAATCAAACTATCGAAGCAGCATCCCGATTCCAAGTATACCAATTTTGGAAAACTATTTGCTTTCAATCAAGAGTTTTTTCTCACTCTTCTCCGTGGTCCTATTGGACATCAGCTAGTATCACATTTATGCTCCAGTTCAAATTGGCAGCTCGCGGTACGCACAATCAACGAGATTAATAGCTTGAAACTTTCCAGTGATGGTAATAATGAAGATACTAAAGTGGTTTGGAACACGTTTTACGTTTCCCTGAAATGTTTGCTAGACGTTGATCTGACCAAAAGTTTACTTGATCCTATGTGCCACCTGATTCTAATAAAATATTTAATGAATATGGCGTTGAAGACCGACCTTGGTACTTATAAGAGGTGGGACATACTTTTCAGGCGGCTACAAGCAAAAGTTGACTCCATCCACAACACATCATTTTCCAAGCTGGGGAGCAACTTAATCTTACCAGAACCTGACAAAACGGACAACGTGTACGTTTGGTTGGAAAGAGTACGTTTGGTGAGGGCCAAACGCGGTGGCTACAAAGACTTCCAACTTTTAGGATCTGTTTTTGATACCACAGAATGCTATGATGCAACTGATGAAATTTCTAATGTTACTGGTAACGAGAAAAAACAGCGACCAAAGCTGCGACTGCAACCACAAAAACAGCCACAAATACAGTCACAACTAAAAACATGTACACAATCGCAGTGCCAGCCAAACGCAAACACTTTTCTTGTTTCAAATTTAGTTTCCTGTGACTTATCTATAATTACCCCCTTTGAATCTGCCCTTTTTCGAAGCCTATCTTCTTTGAGGATTTTGGATTCGAAACAAAAGATAGAAAATGAGTACAATCTGTTTCCGGGGTTTTGGAATTCTAAGAATATAGATCATGATGATGTTTTAGAAAATTTTCATTTGGGATTCATAAACAAAAACTACAAAAATGAGAAAATAAAGTGGGAGACATGCACATCTAATCTATCTGCATTAAGTACTGAACTTGAAACTTTAGGCATTGAAAACTTGGGTAATGAAATGGATTCCTTAAGGGTGAAAGCTATTTCCAAAATAAACGGTGCAGTTAAGGAAAATCTGACTGGATTGCTGGATGCTTCAAAGAAATACGTGGTTATGGAAAAGGTAATCACTAAAAAGTGTAATCATGGGGTTTTCAAGCGTATCGATCCGAAAAGCTCTATCAATAATTTACTACCCAATGATTGGTTGTATATGGTATTGAATTCTTGCCATAATGATTGGCTAGTACAATATCTTAGAAAAAAACCGCATTCCCCAACATAGACTGTATATAATATTTATAAAATTTAATGAACTCAACTTATATTCATCAGATAAAACATTACTCTTCAGGCACTATTATTTTTGGCCTCACCAAAGTAAATTTTAAGTAAAAAAAATTTATTATGTATTTAAAAAGCTATGTCAAATGTATATAAAAGTGTAAGAAAAAACAAAATATAAGCTAGCAGCTATGGAAATGGAAATGGGAATGTATAAAATCAAATGTATAAGGGTTAAATAAGGAATGGAATTATTGTGCTGTGAGTGTAAATATTAAAAATATATTATTAAAATAGATTGGGTGGCTTAAGTTTAAACCAATGATTAAGTTGATGGCTTCTTTTGGGTACCAATCTTGTCATCGCCTGGTTTCTTTTGGAAGATAGTGTTATCTTTTTCGTGTCTTTGCTTAGGAATCAAAGACTTAGGGTTCAACAATTTGAAAATCATACCGAACGGATTCTTACCGATAACTCTGAAGTAGTAGTAGCCAACCAACATGAAACCAGTGTTAGCAATGATGTAGATCCATGCAATACCAAAATCTCTCCAATGCTGGTTCCACTTGATACCATATTGGATAACAACCTGCTCTTGCATGGTGTATGGACAGTATTGGCAACTGCTGTCAGCATCCGGGTTTCTCAAGTAACCACCGTTGTTGTCAATGTAATGCGAGAAGTAGTCACCACAGTTTTGTCCCTCTGGTGGATCAACAATACTCAATTCACCATAAGCACAAACCAACTTTCTGTTGTGCAAAATAGGACCAACAAACGCTTGCACAAAGTAGGTAAATGGTGATGCAACATACATGAAGGACCAGAATCTTGGCGAGTATCTCTTTGGATTCAAAATACCACAGAACAACAACATCGCAGCAAACAAGTTGGAGTTGATCATAGAAGCTGATGGCACATCTGGGGAAAAGTACAAGATAGCCAAACCGTAGGTACAGTAGTAAGCTGGGAAAATCAACACGTTGATGAAGAAGAAGAAACCAGCCTTATTAGCATCCCCGGAGTATCTTGGTGGCCAGTAGTAACAAACGTAAATGAAGAATTGACAAATTGTGGACCAGAAGATTTCGAGGATAGTGTGACAAAGAAGCAAACATGACCAGTGGAAAGTATTCGACAAAGCTTCTCTGACTTCAAACAATTCTCTGGTATCATAAGCAAAGACGTGAGATTGGTTAATCATAGCAACGGAAATCAACAACAACATGAAAACAGATGAGAAAGCACCTTGTGCACCACCTACAGAGTGGTCCATACCAACATAAGATAAACCAACGAAAAGAGCACAAGAAACACATTCAAGGAACTTGGCTCTGATATAAACCGGTGATCTCCAGAACTGAACATATGTTCTTCTCAAAACATACCAGAATTGCTTGTCGTATGTAGTAGCATATTTAGCAGACAAGTCACCAGCAGTTGAGTTCTCTGGTCTCTTTGGTAATTCAGCATGCAAGTATTCAATATCCTTTGTGGTTTGGGCACATTCTGGAGAATTGTTCCAAAGTTCAGCCCAATCCTGGGCAGCAGAAGCTGTTGCACCAGCACCAATACAGTTCAAAATGTATTCAGCAGGATTCTCAGAAGCACCACACTTGACACCAGAATGTCCTTCAAAGTATTTCAACAATGTAGAGGAGTTTGCACCAATATCACCGAAGTACACAGTCTTACCACCTTTCTTCAACAATAGCAATCTGTCGAAAACCTCAAACAATGTGGCCGATGGTTGATGAATCGTACACAAGATAGCTTGACCAGAGTCTGCAAGAGCTCTCAAGAATTGGACAATAGACCATGAAGATTCAGAGTCCAAACCAGAGGTAGGTTCATCCAAGAATAATAACAATGATGGCTTAGCAACTAATTCAGTAGCAATAGATAATTTCTTTCTTTGTTCGACATTCAAACCTCTACCAATTTTACCAACCATAGCCTCGGCATATTTGTCCATACCCAAGCAGCCAATAATCTTTTCAACATATTCGTACTTCTCAGCAGTGGACACATCCTTAGGTTGTCTCAAATCAGCAGCAAACCTTAATGATTCTCTAACAGAGTACTCAGCCATATGCAAATCTTGTTGTTGCACATAACCAGTTCTTCTCTTGAAAGATGTATCCAATGGTCTACCATTAACCAACATATCACCGGTAATAGTACCGAAGGAAATTCTTTGGGCTAAAACGTTCAACAATGTGGTCTTACCTGCACCAGATTCACCCATAAGGGCGGTCATGGTACCTGGCTTAACGTAACCTTGAATGGAACATAATAATTGTCTGGTAGCACCATCGTATGGAATAATGTAGTCCAAGTTTTTCCACGAGAAGATATCGGCAGTAGCAATAATCTCTTCAAGGTCGGCATCTGGACCGTTCAAAGCAAGCATCATCTCACCTCTTGTGGCAACCTTACCATCCCAATCTTCACCGGCAGAGGTATCAGGCAGACAACCTCTCTTGAACAATAGCAAGTCACCACCACCTTCAACATTCTTGATGTACTCAGACATAAAAACGTTTAATCCAATATAGCCGACAGTCCAACATAAGTTGATACCCCAGTATTTCCACACATTGTGCCATTTAATATCAAAGGCCTTGTATAGGTAGTCATCTCCAAGAACCCAGTCACGTCCGGCAATGGAACCTGGAATACTACATATTTGGTTGGAAAGGGATGTGTTTTCGTAACCTGGACCAGATGGAACCAATTGATAACAGTCCATATGTCTTCTGTGGAATTCATTACCCATCAAGGAGTAGAAACAGTAGAACATAGGATTCAAGTAATGAATCCACTTAATCCAGTGATGCATTTGTGTTAATGGAAGCACAAATCCAGCATAAACACACATCATCAAAACCCATAAACCACCAATGGCATGAGCTGTGGTACCATCTTTAGTCACAGTGGCAACACACTTGAATGTGAACGACATACACTGTTGAATGGTCAACAAGAATAGCAAGTACATGAAAAATCCTCCAGCAGTATGTCTCAAGTTAGGCATCCAGTAAGTGGTCAATGCCAAGATAACAACAGCAATCAACTTCGTTGGGAATTCAGTGATAATTTCTTGTAATGCTTCAGCGGACAAATGGTACATGGAGTACGATTTTTGTTTCACTAAAATGTTTCTGGTAGAGAACGAGTTAGCAATTTCGGCCAAAGATGTAACGGAACAGAAAAGCAAAACATAGAACAAGATACCACCACGTGAGTATGCACCATTGGTGGACTTCGGAATGTGGTAGTACATAGAACCGACAACAAAACCCTTAGTAACAAAAGATGCAACATAAACGATGGTATAAGTGATATTACCCTTGGTTCTTTGGAAACCTCTTAACATCAAGTAGTACAATTGCGACCAATAGGTAACCATAAATTGAGACTTTTGTCTGTTACCCTTTTGCTTTCTCTGCTGGTTGACAAAATCCAGTCTTTGTCTGGTCTCATCGCCATTATGATTAGCATCAAATTCGTCCATTTCAGTCATCAAGGTAGCATATTCTGGAGAGTTGACCCAGTAATCAGCAAACTCTTCTGACGATTCTGGAACCTTACCTTCAAACCCTGGTTGCACTTGTCTGGAAGATGGAGAAGTAACTGCAGTCAAAAACTCCGGTGCAGTCATTCTGCTAGGCTTCAAATAGCCCATCTTCTCAAAATAAGAAACACCTTGGTCGGCAGGACCCCAGTAAATCTGTCTACCCTTGTATAGAACACTCACCTTATCAAATAATTCGTAAATGTTTTGACCGGCTTGGTAAATAGCAACAAACGCAGAACAGCCCAACATGTTGGTGGCAGTTCTCAAACATTGTGTGAATTCCAATGCCGTAGAAGCATCCAAACCTCTGGTAGCGTTATCGAAACAGTACACAGAAGCGTTCAAAGCCAAGGCTTCCACAATCGAAACTCTCTTTCTTTCACCACCAGAAACACCTCTCACAAAATCGTTACCGACTCTAGTAGCGTATGTGTGGGTCAAACCAAAAACGGTACACCATAACTGTAGTAAAAAGTCAAGAAAAGATGTTAGTATACTGTGTCAAAAAAATAAACACTAGTTAAAATGAACTTACCTTAAGCATGTTATCAACATATTCAGCTCTGGATAGGTTGTCAATTCTTTTCTCTGGAGTTTTGCATCTCAAGGCCAACTGAATTGTTTCCTTGACGGTGATGTATGGGAAATGGAAATCCAATTCCGGGTTGTAAACAACATAACCCTTATACTTTTCCATCATCTCCGCCTGATCTAACCCGTCATAGGAAAAGGAACCTTCGACCTTAGTGAAATTCTCGATTTCACCAGCAACGGCCTTTAACAATGAGGAACAACCGGCACCCGGCTTACCAAGACAAAGCACCATCTCTCCTGGCTCCAAGACACCAACAAAGTTTTGAATAATCATTCTTTGCTTACGGTTATCTTTCTGGAACATCTTCCAGAAGCTAAGGTAGTTGAGGGTCATTTCAGTCACAGAAGGACCATGGGCAGCAGAGGCATCAATACCCCAACATGTCAGATCTCTGAAAGAAACACCTGCATTGGCAGATTCAATACCTTGCTCTGCGGAACGGTCACGGAGGTACTTCAAGAGTAACTCCAAGTCAAAGTTCTCTTTGTTGATCTCGAAGTGGTCCATGTCCTTCTTGGTCTTGGTGGACAAGACTCTGGCAAGGGTAGCAACACGCTCCATACCTTCCTGGGTAGACAAGATACGGGAGACGTGGTGAGACAAGTTCTCAGCATTACCTTGGTCTTCAGGATCATTCAAAGGATTGAACTTCTGGACATCTTGATTATCAGAGTCGATACTGTCAGTATCGTTACTGTGGTTCTCAGCTGGCTTCTCCATTTTGATAGAGATAAGAACTAAGCTGAGTGTTTGGTTTTGTCTTTTTGTTGTTTTTTGTTTTCTGTTTTTTTTTGTAGAGTGGGATGTGTTGTATGTGTAGAAGTTATTAAATTAGTGAGTAGTACGAATGAACAAATAAAATAGGGATGTGTAACTGTGCGACAACAAAGGGAGCAGAGGAAGCTGTACGCGGGTATCAACAACTATCTGTTTGAAACAGTCAATTAAGCCTTTCTGTGATCGATTGAAGTTGAAGATGGGAGGAGAGCAGGGAAGAGGGAAAGAAGGAAGAAAAGAAGTGTACAAGGGAGATGGATATCCTGGCGTGAAAAGGTGAGGAACTGGCCTTTATTTGAATGACTGGGAACTCCTCCCTATTTACATTCAAGGATGAAGATGCCAAACACAGACTGAGCGATTATTATTGTTTGTCTACAACCAGTTCGGTCTCCCTCTTGGCCGTTGTTATTTCGGCCAGTGTCGTCCTGCCCTCGGAAGCCGCAACGGGAGACTACACTCCAAAATCCCGGATAGGTTGCTGGCGACCACTGAAGTCTGGATGTGTTAGGCTGAGCAGCCTATCGCTGCCGATGCACACCTCTCAGACCAAGGGTACCCCGCACCGACCGTGTTGGGACGGGTAATCCCCGGCTATTTGGGTCTTCAGAAGCCTCTTGAAGCCTGCTGAAGCCTGCTGAAGCCTGCTGAAGCCTCTGCAGCCTTCCGCAGAGCCCATGAGAGCAGCTCTTGCTCCTTGTGCACCTGTCAAAGTAGATAAAACATGCTGCGGACAGACTCCGCGTCCGAGTGTCGGCAAGCGCAGGCTCCAACCCCGCCGACGCCTTCCGCATTGGGGTAAACCGCAGGGCTATCAGCCGGGACAGACGGTGCGGAGCGGCCGACACAAGATAGAGAGAGCGACGGGCCGGACTTCTCGGCGGCGCCCGTTGGCGAGACACCGCGATCGCCTGTCCCTGTGTCCTGCCTGATCCGTGCTTCTTGCCGTCCCTGCCCCGCTCTCCGCTGCTCCGCGCGCACCTGCGACTTCTGTGCAGACGTCGACGCAGACCGCAGCAGAGACGAAAACCGTTCGGAAGCAACGGCGCGCTTCGCATGCGTCTATTACGTCTGCAGCCCATCTGACAGTCTACCCACGCGCCAACAGAAGGCTGGCCTGTTGCGGCGGCGACGGGGTCGATCGGCGGAGACAAGAAAAAAAAGAAGGCGTCGCGCCTGCTCGACGCGTCAGCTTGCACTGCGCCGCCACGAGACACGCTGCAGGCGGGGACGCGTAATTTTCCAGCTTCGGCCACGCTGCAGCTGCTGACAAAAAAAGAAACCGACACATGCAGCCGCCAGCCGGAACGCCTCCTGAAAGAGTCCGCATTCTCGTGGCGGACCAACGTCAAGAGCAGAGCCTGACAGCCACCGAAGGCCAGGCTGCTACAAATAGAAGCCGGTGGGCGAGGCGCCAGAGGTCAGCTCTGCAATGGCGTGGCATTGGCAGTGGCAGTGGCGTTGCCGCTGCTTATAATTTCTCGGCTCGTGGCCGTCGCCTGTCCGCCTGAGGCCCGCTCAAGGCCCTCCTGACGCCCGCCGGCGGGCAACCTTCCCTTTTTTCTGCCGGCGGGCTGCTGCCCCGTTGCCTTGCCTTCGTCTCGGGCGTTATGGCCGACGCAGATCGGCAGCAGAGCAGTCTCTGCGCCAGAGAAGGACGCTCCGCCCGCGCTCGAATCGGGCAATCTGTTTGCCCAAAGCGGAAAGCATATGGGAGAAAAACAGGGAAATTTCGTGATGGGATCACAGGCAGGGTGGATCGACCCGAGGAGCGTAGGGAGGTGGGGGGCCTGTCCAAGAAAGAGGCCCGACAGTACGATAGGCCCCGGCGCAACTAGTCGCAGCCAATCTCGGCGTGCCAGCGTGCTGCAGCTGTTGCGACGCTGGCCACGGTGTCGCAGCACGTATTTACTGCTGCTTTTCCCGTCCTTGGTGTCCGTCCACCGAGGCCTGCGCCGCTGGCGTGCCGGCTCCCCGGCGTCCAGGCGCCCTGGCGTCCCGTCGACATAACTCCGGTGGAGGCGGCGCCACGCCGAAAGTGCGTCGCCGCCATGTGTATCTGCCTCGCTGTTGCTATATTTAACCTGCTGCGATTTGCCGGACAAAACCTGTTTCTTCTCCATGTCCGCTACGCTCCGACGGCGGGGAGGCGCCGTCGAACCCATACTCGACACCTCCACGGGCTCCAGGGCTCTTCCCCCCCTCCCCCCCCCCCCTAGCACGCCTGCCTAGCCCCTAACAGATCCGGCTCCACACTGTCTCTCTTGCAGCAGCCCCCAGCCAGCATTTTCGTAGTGCAGAGAAAATGGACTCGCGATTCTCCAGCTAATTAAATAACCGCTTTCAATACGTTACGCACGCTCTCAGCCGGGGTGGCCTGCGATCTCTCCCTCACTGCCTCCCTCACGCTGCGGGAGAGAAGCTTTTGGCAATGTTTATGCGACTCCAGTTGCTCCAGGGTGGGAGAGCTTGTCCGCCGTTGGGCTCTGCGTGCACATTGCAGGCGTCGTGCTTCCCCGTGCTCTCCCGTCGTACTCCCTCCGCTGCTGGTAGAACGTCAAGCATCCGCTCGTCGACTTGTGTCTGGTAACCTCACATCGTTGGCCCCCCCTCCCCTCTGCCGAACCCGACACGAACCTAGAAGCGGCACTCAAGAGAGCCAGAAACACACCTTGATTTGTTTGTTTCTCCTTCGACTGCTTTCCTGCTCCATCCGCATCAACAGCACGCTTCCCTATCCATCTTGTCTGATCAGAAGACCAGCAGCTGCAAGACTTTTGACTGCTTCTGTGGAAAAATTTTCTTGTGTGTCCGTTTTCTTATCACTATCGTTCACGTACCCTCCACACTCACCACACACTCACGCTCACGCTCACTCGCCACATTCGTACTAGCCATCTAGAGTTTACTACACAGGGGAAAAATAAGACAAGGGTCTTCTACATCCCGTTTTTCAGCCCGCCCTTCTTGAGTCCGACTTGTTTCACCAAATAGCCTTCCCATAGCTGATCGGCTCTCTTACTCCTCCTCTCACGCATCAACGCCCCATTCCATCTCGCTGCCAGCCAGGGTTTGTTTTATCTTCTCTGCCAGACTACTCCACCGTCGGCCGTTTCTGCTGTTTGTCTTTTCTCTCCTGATACATGCTATATTTCTAAAACTACAACCACAATTATAGATTTTTTTCTTTTTGCTTAGCAATATCCCAAAATTTCAGTTCACTATAACTCTAGAAAGAAACAGTTATCTTGTTATTTATACCACAAATTACCTCCTTTTTTTGACAGGTCATTCCAGTTGATAGAGAAAAAGCAACCACGAAAATTGACAATGATGTCTTCATCCCCTCCACCAAATGGTCCGAGTGGGTTCAACCAATACACATCGAATAATCCGAATCAAGTGTTCAACTTGACTTCCTCGCCCTCGTACAACGAAGGTTTGAACCTACAACTGCAGAATCTAGACTCAACAATGGCTCAATCCGGTCAGAGCAACAGCAGCAATAACTACACTACCAAGGATAACAACTTCAACGATAATAACTCAACAAATATATCCCAGTCAGACAACTCGATCATCTATGAACAGCAACAACAGTCCAATGATACCCCTCAGCTGCAAGATGAAATGTCTGTCGATATGCAACAACATCAGCCCCAACATCATCAGAGCCACACACAGATGCACTCTCAATCGCAATCCGAGCACCTCCCTCAGGCACAAATGCATGTGCATCCTCATTCGCAACTTCACCACGATCATAAAGTACTATCCACTCCGCAGTTTGGCCAACTTCATGACCCGATCAACGAATCCGAATTCGAAGACTTTGTTCCAATTTCAACAAATATGGATCCTAACCTCCAATTCCCTTCATCTTCGTCATATGTCCAGCTAAATAGTTCTGTGGCAAGCTCAGCAACATCTTCCTTCAACTCCAACTATTTCCCTCAATCGATATCAGGAAACTCGATCTCCAGTAACATCCATCAAACGCCCCTTCAACTTTCCAGAAAACAATCTACAAATGCCATGCAAAACCTAACTAGTACACCTTCTCAAACACCTGTAAGAAAATCAGGTTTTGTCACTCCAAGAGTTGTCGGGCCCAATGGGGTTGTTTTCTCTCATAAAAGGACAAAGTCTAAAGTGGCAGTAGAAAAATCACCTGCAACGGGAAACCCTTTCTACAATCCGCCTTCTTTCCTGTCACCCAAAATAAGCAAAAAGTCACACAGAAAGAATGTGTCGATAACAAATTCCATCTCGCTGACTCATCTAGATACAGATTTGCAGATCCAGCAGATGCAACAGTTAGGTAGATCAGGATCTCCTGGTGATACACCGCTTCGAACTCCCGGTCGTCGATCAGACGTTCAATACATATACGGGCCTGACGATGATAACTATGACGATGATTTTGATGATGATGGTGAGGATGATAAGGTTGGTCATAGTCATCAAGATGATCATGAGCGTGGTGACCACAGAGACGAAAATGACGATGTTCTTGACGATGGAGAAGATAGTGATGATGACGAAGATGATGATGACCTTGGAAAGCGAAATATGATGATAATGAAAAATAACGCTTTGCTTGACCCTCAAATGCTAATGAACAGTGGGCTAAGCCAACAGTCTGCCAATAGCACTGTGAACGATGGAACCTTTATCATGCCCAACATCCTGATGAAACATAAATTTGGGGACAAGTTGGTGCAGTCATCGAATGATTTGAACAGTGTCCTCTCTGGGAATAGTTTGGAAAATGAAAATGATGCTGCATCTTTATTTGATAACATTTCATCCGCAAACTTTGTCAATATCAACTATCTGAATGGCATGTTCATTCCAGATCATTCGGCTGTGGAGTCGTTACAACAAGATATATTTGCATACCCTTCCTCGACAAAAGATACAAATGAGGCCTATTATGGTTCTCTTGGACATGAAACACCACATAAACAAAAATATCAGTATCAGAAACGGTCAGTAGAACTGCATCAGCAACCTTCAGACTCATCACCAGTGCTATCAAAGGCCTCTTCGATTCCTCAAACTGGAGCAGAGCCTGCTTCCATGGATTCAAAAATTCAGAGATCGGGTTCTTCCTTCAACTTGAGCAATATTGCTGCTTCAAGAGAGGGCAAGAACGCATCCAAAAACTTAGAGCATCATAACATGATGATGAGCGACCGTTATAGATATCACAGGCCTGATTCGTTGATGGCATTTCAAGAGAATTCCCCACCACAAACTCATGCCCAAGCTCAAGCTCAGCAGCAATATGCAATGTTTGATCCTAAAATTGGGTACGGACCGTCATCGCATATGAGCTCTGACATGATGACACCCGTTAATACAGCCCCTGGTTCCTCTTCTGTACCAACAACAACTATTCCAATGTCTACTTCAGGTACACTTCAGCAAGTTGCTGAAAGCGCTTCCTATCGAGGAAAAGAGTTATCTATTCCACGGTCAAGTTCTTCCAAGACGATATTGGAATCACCAACAATGAAGACACGCTCGAAATCAAAACGTACTTCATTCGCATTAAGTGATATCAAGCATCCAGAGAAGCTTGATTTACCTCAACAATCCGCCAGATCTAGATCTAGGTCTAAAAAGACAATCAACGATGAAAAGAAAATCCACGAATGTCCGCTTTGCCATATGAAATTCCAACGTCCTGAGCATGTGAAAAGACACATGTTGTCGCATTCATCGGAGAAGCCCTTTGAATGTCCTGAATCTGGATGTAATAAACGTTTTAATAGAAACGATAATCTGAAACAGCATTTAAGAAACATTCATAAGAAGCAAATATGATTTGCCATGCAAAACTCTTTCTCTAGTTTGTTTTTCTTCCAACTTGTGTTTTATTAGAATTTGATGTTATTATTAGGCAATCACACCCCCAAGATATGTGTTATGTATATCCATCGACACACAGATTTGCATCTTTCATTCGTTGAATGCAAGTAATATATAAATTGACTAAAAATATTTGGAAAATAGTTTTTGCAGTATACTATTGTAATATATCGATACATAGTAATTATGTAGGTAAAGGAAAACTAAACAAAAAGGACCAAGAAAATACAGAAATTAGAAAATGACATCTTTTATAAGACGTTTCTTATCTGTGCTTCTGACGGAGTTTCACTTACCTGAACAGTGGCAACAACATTACTTTTATGAAAGTCCTGTTTCATTATTGCAGCACCCCCATATAGGAAAATATTCACGGTGAACAATATAGCCAATGTAAGTAAGGATGTGGCCATACATGTCAAACTCAACCACTGGAGCACCGCCATGACTGTGTAGAATGCCGCACGGTTCGGGTTGGTGTCCAATTGTTGAATGAAAGAGATAATTGAGTCTGGGATACGGAAGATCTTTAACAAGAATGGAATCTCCACCAATGCCAAAACAGGGGCTTGCACAATGGCAATGATCCCGAAAATGAAAACAAGATTTATATGGAAAAGGTTTGCAATTCCAAGTGCAAGCGAAAGGAATATGCTTCCAATACCAATCCACTGTCCATAAAGACTGCATGATGATACAAAATAAGTGAGTTGATGTTAGTATGAATTATCGGGCTAGACTAGGAACAATTGATACATACCTGAGGTTTCTGGATTTCATATCGGCAAGAAATCCCGATATCTTAAGGTAGTCGCCAAATGCCATTTTTCCTAATGTCAAGATTAATCCGTTGAGCTAGCAGCTGTGCTCCGGTTGTCTACCACGTTGAGATTTTGTTGTGTCAAAAGAGAAGATATTGGCGGCCCAAAGCTGATATACCCTCCAGCCTAATAAGTAAACTTTATGTTAGCGATCAGCTGCCTACATGAGAAAAGTCACTGCCTAGCGTCGAAATTTTACTTTTGCCTGGGAAAAGTTGCCATGATGGGCTCTTCTACACCTGCAACGGAGTTTCTATTCCACATTCTGTAGCAGTATTTGCCCATGCCGGTTGGCGTCCTCATGAACACTGCATTATGCTGTTTCATGAGCCCCTATGTCTCTTCCCGTTAACTCTAGCCCCCTTTTGATGATGGTCCGTAGAATTTGCCGTCGATCGTCCAAATTTTTTGTTCAGCCTGTCTCTCACCGATCCTGAGTGGCACAACCTGCCCAACAATGTGATAGATGAAGATGGCTTTGGCCAGCACCTCCGAGTCAAGGTCACCGTGCCCAAGGCTTGATCCTTACATTTTTGGAGCAAAGGGGTGTTGTCTTTCCGAAAGACGATACATTATGGGGAAGCAATCAGAGCTTTGCACACTAGAGAACAAAACCAAGAAAAATGGAGATGATGAGATCATTAAAGATACATGTTCGGATGTGGACTCTGATGATTCCTTGACGGTTTCGTTGGAGCGGATAGGGGTGACGATACCAAAATTCATGATGCCAAAAATTGATCTACCTTTTCCCTCATCCATGTCCAAGAAAATCAACGATTATTGGGTCCAATCCGTAAGCATGGACAATTCCTCAAGCAGTAACATCAAGGAATTGATCGGAGATCTGATAAATAAAAGAACGTCGGACTTGAAGAATTTGTACTCTGAGGTTAGCGAATCGCTAACGGGTATAGTCAATATCAATATCGATCATCCGGTAGAGGATTACATCGAGAAAATACGAGATGAACAAAATAGCTCTTATGCCAAGGCAGTTGATTCTCCAACGGGTAAAGGCGTAGCTGATCGCAACGAAAAAAACAGCGGTTTGAGAGAGCTCGAAAAGTATGAGTATTTGACTTGTTTAAACTTTGATCAATTTCAGGACCAAATGTTTTTGCGTCATAGAATCAGGGAAATTTTGAGTCTTGAAATTCAACCGATCTTACAGAGATTATTAATACAAAAGTTGATGTCACGGTCCTATATAGAAAAACAGAAGCATCTTAGAGCACAGTCGAAAATTTCAAACAAAGAAGGTAATATATGTTATGCTGGTAACTATCATGATGACGAGGATGAGGACGAGGACGAGGACGAGGACGATATGGAAGATGATGAAGTGGTTCTGACAGCAAAAGATAGACAGCCTACATATTATAGTCTCGAGGATGATATTTTGGGTTGTGAGCATTATCAGAGAAATTGTAAAGCGGAATGTTCTACGTGTCACAGGTGGTATACGTGTAGGTTTTGCCATGATGCAGTGAACCCATCCCATCAGTTAGAGAGGAAGAAGGTGAAGCACATTCTTTGCATGTTTTGCTTTACCCCACAGCACCCCCAGCAGTATTGCATTGAGTGCAACAAAGAACTGAGCAAGTACTACTGTGATAAATGCAAGCTGTTTGACAATGACCCTTTAAAAAATATCTATCATTGCGACAAATGTGGAATATGTCGCCTTGGTTTGGGTTTAAACCAGGACTACTTCCATTGCGATTCATGCAATGCTTGCATCTCAATTGAGCTTCAGAAAAATCATGTGTGTATTGAAAACTCTACAAAGTCCAACTGTCCAATATGTGATGAGTTCATGTTCAATTCAAACGCCAAGGTTGTTTTCATGAGCTGTGGACATCCTATTCATGAAAAATGTTACGGTCAACATACCCTTCATTCCTATAAATGTCCTACATGTTCAAAGACCATTGTGAATATGGAATTACAATTTCGAATGAGAGACTTTGAGATAAAACAGAGTCAAATGCCTGATGAGATGGGGAATTGGATGGCAGAGGTGAAGTGTGTGGATTGTCGAGGTATGAGTCGGGTTCCTTTCCATTATTTGGGACACAAGTGTGACCATTGTCACAGTTATAATACTATGCAAGTCAAACTACTCAAGGGAGTGGATGAGTCAAGTCCTGTTGATGCAGGTATGAATACGGATGAAAAACTATACATTTCAGAACAGTTCATAACTGATTCGTTAAAGCAGAATTTCGAGTTTGCAGAAGCGAAAGAAAGACTTGCTTCCGATAAGAAGAAAGACGCTAATAAAAATGAAATAACGGAGGAAGATCATTCCATTGACCACGACTATGTGGAAAATTTTATAAGAGTTATTAACAATTTTGAAGCGTACTCTTCATTAAGTGATGCCTTTAAAGATTGGATCAGTGCATCATTGGACCGGGATGGTGAAAGTGTTGTTGGACCTAATGTTGCTGGGGAAAAGGCTGCCACTGACAGTATCGGTGGTGTAAACCAAAACTTCGATGATTATGGTACTGATGGTGACAGTCAGAGTTTGATTGATAATGCCAATGCTAATGATAAAAAGAATAATTGAAGCGATTCAAAAAAATTAATAGACACTGATCAATTCACAACTCGAGAAAACATGGTAAATTGCAAAGATGATCGTAGTATATAATTGATACCTTTACTAACTATATTATATCTACATAGTTTGATTTAAAAAAAGAAAAACTTTGCTAAATTATACAAACCCAAAGATTGATGCTAGCATCGGAAAGTAGCTTCTGAGTAAACTAAGTATTATGTCGTCCCCTCGAACTCAAAATCGGTATACTTAAAATCTTGCTTCTTTTGCTGAGATCGAGAGATGTACTTTTATTATCGTTGCTGTCCGTTGCTGAAGAGCCACCGTGGTGCTGCGAGGTTGCAGGGGATGTCACTAGATTTTCCTGTGAAGTGTTGTTTATTATATTACCTAATTTCGTATCTAGCTTCAGACGATCAACATTTTTCAATTTCAAATCGTGCAATTTCGACGAAGCCTCTTCAACCTGTAATGGTACAGGATACGACGAGTTCGAGCGATATCCACCTTGGAAGCTGTGTCTAGGTGTGGAGGATCCAGATTTTATGGCAGAAGATCCTGTTGACTGTTGTACCAATTGTGGATGTTCTCCTTTTAAAGGAGAAACTTCAGATAACTGAGAGTTCGAACGGAAGGTTCTTGTAGAAAGAGACGACCTTTTAGAAGTGGGAGACTCTTGCATAGAGTTATTGCTTGCATTGGAGCGCCGTGGCGATGAAACTGTGGAGCCTTGTCCGTTACTAGATATTGATGAAGAGATGGCGGGGGGTTGTGGGTATCTTTTGTTGGTTACTTGGTGATTTGACTCATTAGTCCCAGCTTGCGGCGTCTTGCGTGGCATGAACAGATGAGGACTGGAAGTGCCTGTTGGAGAGGATGTCCTTGAGTTTTTTGACGAAGATGAAGAACGAGTATCATCATGCGGGTCGAATCTGTCCACATACTCATCCGAAAGCATTGACGATAAAGAATACTTCCTTGGTTGGATTGAAGGTAAGCTTATTCTTGGTGGATAGTTTGCCGTTGATGAGTTGTGGTTAGAGGGAATGAATGATATGCTGCTGACGTTATTCTGTGTGACTTTGACGGGAGCGTACTTAGTTTGCGGCGTCTTTGCAACCAAGACTGTGTCTGTGGGTACTCGGTTCACTGAGCCGGACTTGAGTGTCTTGTACTCTTGTATGATGTCTGTGTTGAATGCCACGTCCACAGGTTTCCAGCCAACGTTGTTGAGCAATTGGTCGTCTGCGTTGTACTTGATCAGCAACTCGAGGCACTTGATGTTCGAGTACTGAAAAGCTTTGTGGAGCAAGGTGTCACCGTTGTTGTCCTGTATGTTCGGGTAGGCGCCCTTCTCGAGCAAAATCGAGAGACAGTCGGAAAAGCCCTGGGTGCAGCAGATGTGGGAGGGCGTGTCGCCTTTCATATCTCGCTGGTCCAAGCAGACGTTGAAGTATGACAGGAGCAAGTTCAAGGTCGCCGCTGCGTCGCCGAGGCAGGCCACGTGCAGCACGGTCTGTTTCTCGAACGTGAGCTTGATCTCGTCTTCATCTGTGATCTGGCTGTACATGGCGCTGCTCTTGGGCTTCGCCGGACTGTCCTGCTCGGCGAATCTTATGCTTGTCGACACAAACCGGTTGTGGATGCCCTTCAGAAGCAGTTCTGAGATCTGGTAGTTATTGTGGTAGGCGGAGTAGTGGAGGTTGGACCAGCCATTTGACGGGTCGATGTTGTCGAGGAGTCCTGGAAAGCGCTTCAAGAGTCTCGAGGCGATGAAGTAGTTGTCCTCCTTAATTGCATTTCGTAGACGTATGCTTGGATCGGTCATTCTGTACAAGGGATTCACCTCTCGTGGAACATGGACAATGTGCTTTCGCTGGAGGCCGTCGTTGCTAGGTGCCGCTGTCTACCTGCTCTGTGCTCTGTGTTCCGCTCCTACTAGCTGGCTGCTGCTCTTCTGTCCGGTCTCGTCCTGGCCCTTTTCTCTCACCACGGCTTCGCCATAAGCTGATGATCCTGTTGGAGATAGCCCGCCATTTAGCACCCCCCACCGGCAGATGTTCTTTTTCTTCGCTAGCTCCTGCTTGTTCCGGGCCCCTTGTTCCTTGCCTCACGCGCCAGGGGGAGTCACGTGGAGTAACATGTCTGAGACAATAGATGGGTGAAGAGTAGATAAAAAGGTGGATAAATAGGTAGATAGAGGTTTGGAAAGTACATAGGAAAGCACGGACCACTAGGTGTAGAACCTGCTGGATGTCTTGACTAGCTGGGAGAGAGCGAGACCCTTCTCCTCCTCAGTCTTTCTTGTGATGAGCTGGAGACACACGGGCATGCCGTCAAAGGTCTTCGGGTCGTACTGGCCCCGGATCTTAGCCTCGAGCTCGGAACGACTCTCTCTCGGGTGGAGAACGTCAAGCTTTTGATCGACAGTGCCCAGCGGAAGCACGACCGCGGAGCAGTCGCAAAGGTTGCACACACCGGTGTAGTCGAGACACACGCTGCTGTAGGGGAGGACGGAGGTGCTGGCCATCACGGGTGCCACGATTGCGTCGAGCCCGTTGTCTTTCCAGAAATGGAGATAGATCTGCTTGATTCTGTAAACCTCCTGGCAGAGGTTCCACCACCCGTTGATGTCCAACGCAGGCTGGGGGCTCTTCGAGCCAACCAAGTAGTCAAGCAGGTCGTGCACCGGCTCGCCCGACTTCTTGCACTCGTCTAGGATTTCCTTGCCGCCATCAGCCCCAAAGACGTTGAACAAAGCTTTGATCAACCGTGAATGGTCTGGCCATTGCACCTTGACGACCTCCACGCCTGGGGCCTGTGAGAGGTCCTCAAATAACTCGCCTAAAACCCTCGTTATTGCAGGCATTGGCTCGACGTCTCCGCTGTCAAACCACACTCCGATCTTCACCTTATCGGGGATGACGTATTTGCGCCACTCAAGAGGCAGCACTTTTGGGTCGTCAAGCCAGCACTTAGCCCCAACAACAGTCTCCATCATAAACTCTACTTCTTCCAAGGTCTGAGCCAGTGGCCCAATCACCGACGGAATGCTCTCCTGCGCCTCATACGAGTTAGACACTCTAAGATAACTGACTCTGCCCACACTAGGCTTGATTGCAAACAATCCGTTGTAAGTAGCCGGGATTCGGATACTTCCCCCGATATCGGTACCAAATCCTGCTCTTGCACCTCCAGCAGCAATCAATGAACCTTCACCTCCGGACGAACCGCCTGAGGAGAGGTTGATGTTTGCCGCACTGTAGTTATAGGGATACAAGTTTGAGGCGGTTTCTGGGGCCATCATCGCCATTGGAACACATGTCTTGGCAAAGAAAACGGCACCTTGTTCCAGCAGCTTGTCGGCTAACAACGCATTTTGCGTTTTCTTTTGGTTTGCCAGGGAGACATACCCAATTGATGACGGAATTTGAGCGAGATCAACTTGATCTTTCAAAGAAATGGGAATACCATGCAAAGCCCCGACTGTTTTCCCTGTCTCCTTGAAAGTCTCATCCAACTCAGCGGCCCTTTTCAATGCTTGATCCACAAAAATTTCCGAACAGCATCCTAGAATCTGGTGTGCCAGCATTGCCCTATGGGTAAACGCCTTAGTCACTTGCACCGCAGAAAGTTCATTTGTAGAGATCAACTTGGAAAGCTCGGGGATTGTCTTGCTGGTAATCTCGATCTCCTCCTTTGGCAAAATCGTGTCAAGGTAGTCTCTAGTCTTGACAAAACCTTTGGATATCATGTCCTCTTTTAGTTCGGGCTTTACCCATTCTTTGGGAATAGCACTTGCAAGTGCTGCCCTTTTTTTTTCAACAATTGACTTCCAAGATTCAACCATGGTAGTTTTCTATTGGCACTGGTTTGGGGTGTTCAATGCAAAATCTTCATTTGTAAGGGCTCTGTTTGAAGACAGTACTAATAAGAAAGTTAAGACAAATAACTCTGTAGTCAAATAAACCCTCCTGCAAATCAAACCAGCAAGAATCACAAAATTCTTGCCAGAGTTTCAAGCCCGATAAGATACTCGAAGCGGCAGATTGCACCTTTTTTTCTAGCCCCTTAGCGGCCCGTTATCTTTAGTCGAGGCAATTTCCTAACTGGTACTTAAATCCTAGGCAAGCGTGCTTGTTTCTCCCCAGATTAGCCTAGCAGCTAAAGCTTATTCCATTGTCTGCTTAATCCGTTATCTTTATCTGAATGCTGGTAAGCAAGGTATATTGTGCACCCAATGGACGCATCGTCATCCGAATTGCACCTCTGCAATGCTCCCCAACTTTGACCGCATGATGGAGCCACATTCCAACACCTCTTTGGCCGATAAATCTAGCCGAAGGGCACCTTGTTGGAGTGGCGGGAGCAGTTCCCCGATAGAAGTTTTGCGAAGGGCGATAAAAAACACGCTGGAAGTTACACGAGGTCGGAAGGTTTGTATGGCTTATCGGGACTACCCCTGGGGTGTCGAGTTACCGCATTGGGAAGGAGGTTCGCCTGGGCGATAGCCCTTGCCGCTCTCGGCGAGCGATAGATGATCATCCGAAATTGTATGACAATAGAAGGCAAGATTTCACCTATTTCCCTTCTTCTTTTCCCAGGCAATGCAAGCCGTAGCACGGTGGGAAAAGTCTAATGGCTTGATGCTTGATCAAACCGTGCTTGTTGTGTAACTAAGGCTTGCAGATGCGTCTTATCTTTCCCTACAGGTGAGACGCATACTTTTGCCGAAGGATAGATCGTTTACGGATTCCTGTCATGCTTCCACAAACCTAGTGCACTGCTTATATACTAAACAGCCTTCCCCTTTATTTTTACTTTGTCTTTAGCCTGTTTGAAACAAACTTTTGACTTTTCTGGCTTTTCGTTTCAGAGAGAAAACATTTATTAGTAAAACGCAACGGTAATTGACACAATGGCAGACTTCCAACCAATATTAAGTCAAGGGTATGGTTATGGATTTGCCGTAGGCATTGGTGCAGCCTTTGCGCTCTTGATGGCAATCTTGACCAGGATTCTTTCAAGGTTCATGGGACAAGTGCAGAACTCAGAAAGGTTTTCCACCGCGTCGAGAAATGTGAATTCGGGGTTGATTGCTTCATCGACGGTTTCTGCATGGACATGGCCCGCAACGCTACTCTCGTCAGGGGCTTGGAGTTATACACACGGAATTTCTGGCGGTTTCCTATACGGTGTCGGGGGTACTGTTCAAATTACACTATTTCTGTTTTTGGCTATCCAGATAAAGCTGAAGGCGCCAACTGCACATACAGTTTCAGAGTGTTTTGCAATAAGATTCGGAACTGCTGGTCACTGGGTCTACCTGTGCTACTGCATTTGTACAAATGTCTTGATTTCGTCGTTGCTCTTGTTGGGAGGATCGCAGGGGTTTGCTGCGGCCACCGGGATGCATGTTGTTGCCGCAAGTTTTCTTCTCCCATTGGGTGTCATGGCCTATACTGCCCTAGGTGGATTGAAGGCAACATTTATTTCCGACTGGATCCACACGGTGATCATCTACATCATTTTGATTGTCACTTCTTATACAGTCTACTGTACATCCTCATTGATCGGATCGCCATCGAAGATGTATGACCTATTGAAGGAAGTTGAAGAGGTATTTCCAAGCGCCTCTGGCCAGAGTTACTTGTCTTTCCACGACTCCGAGATGCTTTTCTTGACATGGTCGGTCATGTTGGGTGGGTTGAGCTCAGTGTTTGGTGATCCTGGCTACTCCCAGCGTGCAATTGCCTCAGACGCCAAAAGTGTCTTTCAAGGATACCTAATGGGGGGACTCTGCTGGTGGGTGATTCCGATGAGCTTGGGCTCGTCTGCGGGTTTGGCGTGCCGGGCGTTGTTGCTCAACCCTTCGTTTGTCACCTATCCGAACCCACTTTCTGCAGCAGAAATCGACTCCGGGATGCCTGTCATTTACGGGATGTACATGATTTTCGGCACGAGCGGCGCTGCTGCTGGGTTATTGATGTTATTCATGTCAGTGACATCTGCGTCTTCCGCTGAGTTGATTGCATTCTCGTCTGTTGCCACCTATGACGTGTACCGGATCTACATCAAGCCGGACGCCAGCGGGAAGGAATTGGTGAGGATCTCGCATTTGGCTGTCTTCTCGTTCAGTATGTTAATGGCGGTGCTTTCCGTTGTCTTCAACTACATCGGGGTCACGGTTGGATGGTTGTTGAGCTTTATTGGGATCATCTTGTCGCCGGAGGTGTTTGCAGTGACGATGATGTTATTCTGGCCCAAGATGACAAAACTGTCGTTGCTCATCGGCGCTCCCCTGGGCACGCTGACTGGTATCGGGTGTTGGGTAGGTAGCACGTACGTGTATGGGGGGCACATTGTGAACAAGGACACGTTGATGGTGTCGAAAGCCACGTTCATCGGGAACATTGCGGCCTTGTTCAGCGCACCCATCTACATTGTCATCATCAGCCTGCTCAAGCCGGACACGCATCCGTTCGACTTGAACCTTTTGGGCAAGGACATCAAGATGGCGGACGACTACGACCAGGAGGAGGAGGAGGCAATACACGTGAGCGAGAAGGATAAGAAGGTGTTGAAGAAACAGTCGATCTTCTCGATTGCCGTGAATTTTTTCATCCTCCTTCTGGTGTACGTCATGGTTGCGTGTGTGCTTTTCGGGGTGAAGAAGGACTTCAGCAAGTCTTCCTTTGTTGCCTTCATTGTTGTGTGCCTCATCTGGGTCGTGCTTGCTGCCATCTACATCATCGTGTTGCCGCTCTACCAGGGGAGACACTCGCTCATGTTTGTCCTCAAGCACCTCGTGCGGTTCAGGATCCCTGACCACCCAATGAACTACACAGAGCGTCATGCCAGCGAGCACCCACACGTGCTCGACGGCGACATCGAGACCTCCAGCATCGAGGCTGTCAGCTACGTCCACGAAAGCAAGACCTAGCCTCTTTGCCCGACTCTGTCTGTACTCTATCATACTTTTTTTAACTCATCATTTTTCCACCTCCACCATTGCTGCTCCCGCCGTAGTCTGTCGTCATCGTCCTTGTCCTCGCCCTCGTCACACTCGACCCCCAGACACCCTCGACAGGCCTCTTTTCTGTTTCCGTCTGTCTCTCCGGTGCTTCCGCCGCCGGCGTCCGCCAATCAGAGGCCCCTTGTTGCATTGCAACGTCGCAAAATCCCCGGATCCCGGTGCGTCGTGCTCCGAGCCGGGGCGGCCCCCCGTCACAGCGTCACCGCGGTGCCCCGGAGATTTCCATTTCCCCGTTGCGCGCGAGTTGCCCGTCTTCCGAAAAGGGCTACTGGTGTGGGGTGCCGGGCAGCGAGTCCGGCCGGCAGGGGATGATTCAGACGGGGCGCCGGGCCGGGGGAATGGAGGGGGCGGGGATGTGGGTGTTGGGCGTGGGTGGGGTGTGGGTGTAAGAGGGCGAAGACGAAGGCGAGACAGGAGGCACGGGTGTGTGTGTGCACACATTGAAATAGAGTGGGCAATTGAAGTGTAGACGGGCCACAAAGGCCACACAGGCACGGACCAGGACAGTCGGCCCCAGAGGGGGCAGGCCTGAAGCCGGGAAAAGAGCCGGCCCGTTGCTCCAGCACAGGGCGTGAGAAGCAGCAAACAGGCCGCGGGCGGTGGGAAAAGGCGGCGGCAGCGAGAGGGGACGGCGTCGTGGGAGTGCGGGCGACACGCGGGGCCGACGTTGTATAAATAGGATTCGTATTCCCGTCTGGGGAAAAAAGGTTTCGACGTTGAGTGACTCAGCTTCGGGCAGGCTGCGGACGTGTCTGTGTGTTATTCCTCCCTCACGAGTGTCAGGTTCTATTACTATCTATCTGGTGCAGATAAATCTTAATTCAGTTCTCATCTTTACTCACTATATTCCTGTATTTCTATAAATCAGCATTGTTATTTCTCCAGCAGCAATAACAGTACAACACACACACCAGCAAACCTAATTGGCGTCTCAGCAGCAGTCAGCGCCCCCTTCCCCAACTTTACTACTCAATCACCACTGCATTCACAGTTCAATTCTTTCCCTCCCCCTCCCACCATATTCTGCTATAAACACACACAATGTCTTCCGCATCCCAGAAATCCAACCAAAGACCAAAGAGCACCGTCATCGACTTGATTGCCGGCGGTACCGCCGGTTTGTTCGAGGCCCTATGTTGCCATCCTTTGGACACCATCAAGGTCAGAATGCAGCTCTACAAGAAGGCTACCACCGCCGGGGTTAAAGCTCCCGGATTGTTTGCCACCGGTTACAACATTTTTGCCCAAGAAGGCTTCTTTGCTCTCTACAAGGGGTTGAGTGCCGTCTGTATCGGTATCGTTCCTAAGATGGCCATCAGATTCTCCTCCTACGGTTTCTACAGATCTCTGTTCACCGACGAAAAGGGTAACATCTCCGGCCCATTCACCTTCTTGTCCGGTGTCATGGCCGGTGTGACCGAGGCGTGTATTGTCGTCAACCCTATGGAGGTCGTCAAGATCAGAATGCAAGCACAGCACAACTCCTTGAGAGATCCCTTGGCCAAGCCAAAGTACACTAACGCTCCTCAAGCCGCCGTTTTGATTGTCAAGGAAGAAGGTTTGAAGACTTTATGGAGAGGTGTTGCTTTGACTGCTGGTAGACAAGCAATCAACCAAGGTGCCAACTTCACAACATACTCCTTCTTGAAGTCCCGTTTGCAAGACTCCCAAAACACCGAAGTTTTGCCAACTTATCAAACCGCCGTCATTGGTTTCATCTCTGGTGCAATCGGTCCATTCTGCAACAATCCTTTAGATACCATCAAGACCAGAATGCAAAAGGAAACTGGTATTTCCAACGAATCCAACTTGAGCAGAGGTTTGAGAATCGGTAAAAACTTGATCAAGGAGTCCGGTGTCACCGCCTTCTACAAGGGTATCATCCCTAGAGTTATCAGAGTCGCCTCTGGTCAATGTGTGGTCTTCCCGGTCTACGAATTCTTCAAAGGTTTCCTCTACGAAGTCGCAGGTTACGATAAGCCAGAAAAGAAATTAAAATAGTTCTGTAAAAAGTATGTTCCCCATATAGTTTTTCCTTCTATACTTATTATTTATTTATTCCAATAATCGATGAATCAATCAGTCGATCATTATACGCTACAGGGGAGGAACGTCTCCTGATGTCCAGTCTTTAGTTTTTACCGTCTTCAGAGTCGAGTACGGAGAATGATTTTATTAATTGTTAAGAAAAGAGCATTAACATGAAAATCTATTATATTAGAATATAAAAAACTTCGAAGAGGAGATGTGATTATGGTAATGATAGTGATGGTATTAGGCACTGTTTCCAATCTAATACTTCATGACAATGGTTATTTATCGATTTCGCAATCATTCGTACGTTTTGTATGTATGAGGTGTGATGGCTGTCCCAATCGGGGCTAATTTTCTGGACCAAGCACGTTTAATCGAACAAACCGAAACCCATGTCATCGTCGGATTCTTCCTTTTCTTCTTCTTCAGCAGCAGCAGCGGCTTCCTCAGAAGCACCTGCAGCAGCACCGGAAGCAGCACCTGCAGCACCTGCAGCTGGAGCAGCAGCAGCCATGGAGAACAAGATGTCCTTCAAGTCCTTGCCTTCCAAGGCCTTGGCGAAAACTGAAGTCCAAATGGAGTCAACAGAAGCACCAGCTGCAGTCAAGACAGATTGTAAGTTTTCGGATGAGATTTCCTTTTCAGCATCAGCTAGGATCAAAGCTGCGTATGAAACAAGTGCGTCAGACATGGTTGTTTTGTATGTAGTTTCTTGAAGCCGAAAGTGCCCTCCTCTTTCTAAGGCTTGTTTCCAATCAGTTCGTCACCAATTTGTTGAAGTCGTGAAATTTGACCACTATTCACTGCCCTCGCCGAAAGGGCCAGTGGTACTCGACGGATGGTCCGCCATAGCAGTGCGTGTCTAGAATTCCCAATGAGGAAGGTGTGACTGCTTTTTCCCCAAAAAAAGAGACTCTGGTTTATCAGGTAAATCACGTGATATGTTGAAGGTGTCAAAAGTCACGTGAGTAAGCGAGGCTAATTCATTTCAAAGTAGACAGGTTTGCCATGAATGGGAAGATTGTGAAATGAAAAGTTATAAACAGGATTTAGATGAATGTATAGACTAACTGTAGACGTAGGCTTACGTAGTGCTATAAAGATACAGCACAAATGCCGTATAACGGTGTAGACCAGAGTTGGGGGCGCAACATTACGCAATTAAGCGGTGAACTTCTTCAAGCTGTCTAACCAGTCGAGGTACTCGTTGTTCTCCTTTACGCCAGAGTAGGCAAGAATGAAGTCGGCCAAGGCATTGTCAATTCCTCTGGAATTCAAGTACTGGTTGATGGCTTCTTGTAACTCCTCGGCGAGGTTGTTAAATTCCGGACCGGAGTATTTCAAGTCTCTGACGGCAGAAGCCTCTGGAGACTCGTCCAAGGCGAGCTTGGCGTCCTCAAAGTTGGTGATGGCAGAGACGGAGAACGAGGAGTCGATCAACGACAAGGACAAGTCAAAACCCGTGGCCTTTTTGTCCTTGACAATAACGACGTTGACGTCGGCAAAGGCAATGTCTGCAATCTCGTCCTCCAGATACTCGGAGTTCTCGACCTGCTCCTGCATCTGCTTCAATTGGTACGAGGTCTGGGAGATCCGCAAAATATCGAAGTAGATGTGGATGTTTTCAGTAGGAGTCTTTTTGACAAGCTCGGCCAAAACCTTGCCGTCGGTCTTCACGATTTCGATATTGTTTTCATTCAAGTATGTTTTGAAGGACTCGTCCAAGCCGAAGGCGTCGCTCTCTTCGAACTTCAACTCCTGGGAGAGGACCTCATGCAATTGTGTTTTGGCCTCGTTCTTCGTGCTCACCGAAGTAGAAAAAAAGCTAGCCCGGTTGCCGGCATTGACAGCAGCAGCTCTTGGAGCAGCACCAGCAGCAACACGTCTGAGGGCGGCGACATGCTGGGAACCCAGCAGGGAAGATCTCAAGGACGATCTGGCGGTATGGACGATGGGTCTAGAAAACATTTTAGGACGGGTGTTGAGTTGCTATCGAAAGATCTACCTCCTTTCGTAAAAAAAAGACACCGGCTCCCCCCATCTGTGGGAAAATAACAGGGGGCAAAACTTGAAAGCTTTGTATGCGACTTTCCGCTCGACAGCGTCTTTGCCATTCCTGGAAATGTGCGCTTTGGCTCCACTCTCCGCAGTGGCGGCCTTTGCCGAATTATATCGCGGGGCGCATCGACGCAACAACAGGAACCGCAGATGCGCCTAAGAAAATTTCCGCAGGGGTTCTAGCACCGGGCTGTGTAACCCCTCTGCGTTGGCAGTTGCCCACCGGTTGCACACACGCAGAATAGCCCCTGAGGGATCGTCATCAAATATTAGTGGGATTTGGAAGGTTCTCATGCACGATGCAAGCTTTTGTATATGCGTCTGCGGATATGTTGCAGATACGGCTGCGTCTGCGTCTGCATCTGCGTCTGCGTCTGCGTCTGCGTCTGCGTCTGCGTCTGCATCTGCATCTGCATCTGCGTGCAGAACAGATCCATGTATGTACGTCTACCTTCGAATCCTTCGCATTCTTCGCATACGTCGCATACTTCGCATACTTCGCATGCTTTCAGACTATATACGTAACAAATCGTGCAAATGTCGAAAAGTAACGAAAGTAAGGATATTTTAAAGTTTTATTTATATAACGGATCTATGCAAGAGGGAGGAGGCGGCTGGACATACCGGACGATTGCCGGATGGCATACTGGATGACATTGCATGCGGCGTGGCATGCAGAATGGCATGCAGAATGGATACCAATAGCATGCCAGTGGCATGGCATGGAAGACGGTATGCAAGACAGTATGCACAAAGGCATGGCACGCGGAGTTGCATGCAAAACAACAACAACATGCGGGACGGCATGCGAAACGGCATGCGAAACGTCATGGCTCATTTCTTTTCGTCAAGGCGGAACAAAACCTTTAAGTTCTCATACATCAAATAGCTTATGGAGACGGCAGGAATAACCTTGGCTAAATTCGGGACCAATCCTTTGAATAGACCCTGCACACCTTCCCGCTGTACGGTCTGTCCCAGAACGTCAAGGAAACCCGTGTACGTGTATGGATGCGCATATGTCCCCTGCGCCTGCAGTCTTGTTCTCAAAAGGTTAATTGGATAAACCATGGTAGCGCCGAAAGTACCAGAAGAGGCCCCGATCGTAAGGACAATATAGTTCGGCAAATGCACGTCATCCACGGGACAATTTAGCTTAAGCGACTGGTTCTTAATGTACCACTTTTTCACAGTGGTGAAAGTGCCCAAATCTAATGCAGCATACGGGAACATCCCGCTCAAACCGACCAGCAATCCCCGGTAGAACACGCGTATACCGCCCTCCTTGTATAAGTCAGAGGCGGTTCTAAAAAGGAGATTGACACCTTTGATTTTCGAATCTAGTGATGCACATTGGAGTCTGTACTTGAGGGTGTCAATCGGATAGACCGTCGTTTGTGCGAGAACACCTCCAATACCTCCGCTCAAGTAGGTGGAAAACTTGGAGAGCTTTTTCTCGTCGTCGACCCCTTCCAGCTGGCACATGATCTTTTTCGTGGCTTCGAACGAGCCGAACTTCATAGCGCTTTCCGGGAAGACCTTAATCACGTTTAAACCATTACCAACATAGAATGCTTTGAGGCCGCCCTGTTTATAGAGAGTTTTGATGGCCCTTACCAGCGGAGACTCGATCTTTTGGGGAGGTATTTTCTTGTGTCTCAGCTCCTCGATGTGGTGCCTGAGCTCGGCCTTGTTTTTCAAAAGAGTTGACGAGAGGTCGGTTCTTGCAATTAAAAAGACCTTGATTCTATCCAAGGGTGCGGTGCATGTTCTGGAGACGACACCTGAGAGCCCGCCTGCCAAGAAATAACCCACACTATTCAATATGTTGTCACCCACAGTGACATCTCCTTCCGAAGATAGATAGTCTAAATCGTCGTTGAAAAATTTGTACGCCGTACGGATCCTCGATCCGTCGATTCTTGGCATGAACAGAAGGCTGTCTCTGAACGCCGCGTACGTAACGTAACCTTTCTTGTCTATGTCTATGTTGCTGAAGAACTTGGCTATTTCTTCCGGCTTTGGCTTGCATCCGATGTTTGTCAAGTAGTTCGACACGTCCACTGGCTTGATCAAACCGTCGTGGTCCTTGTCGACGTTCAAAAAGCCTCTCTCGATCTGCGCCTCGGCCGTCATCAAGTACTCGTTGAACTTGTTGAAATCGATGTCTTTGCGTCGGCTCCAGAAGTGGCTTCTCTCTGTGCCCTCGGAAAATGACTGGAATATTTCTGCCATGGCCACCGGAGAGTCCTTCAACGGGTGGTTCTCCTCCATCATGGCTCTCTGGAACTCGGCAAACGAAACCGTGCCTCTTCCATTCTTATCTATCGACTTGAATATCTGCTCGTGTCTTTTCCGCTTATCTTCCGCGGATTCGTCGGGGAACATCTCGTAAACGGGAACTGGAATAGTATTTGGTCTGAGCTACAGGAAATGACGCTGCTGCTGCTGCTGATGTAGCTTCCGTCGCTTCTATCTATGGCAACTGTAAAGAGTTAGGCGTGTTTGCAGCGTGACTTCGTTTCGCTTGTTTTCTTAACGCCACGATTCAACTGTTTGTGTGATGCCTATGGACCGCTGCGCTCTCTGAGTTCTTGTAGTTCTCTGGCTCCTCTGCACACTATCTGGTCTTCGTTATTTACCTCTCTGCTTTGGCCGTGTACTTGCACTGGCTGATCCGTGTTCTATGTACCGTTTGGACCCAAGAACCGTTTCCTTGCTTATCGAATCAATTGTCTTCACAATCGCAGATAGCTACCACTTTGCTGCAGTAACGTCTACACAGAGCCCGACCCGGCCGATCCAATAGTCTTTTGCTGGTCCGACTTCCGGAAGAAGGGGCCCAAATTTTTCCTAGTGAAAACTCAGTCGCACTCCACGTCCTTTAATTCTATCATACACCAATGGTTTTTTTGTACGGTTAAAGTGGGGGTGAAAAAAAAAGGCCTGATCGCCAAAAGGACTGTTTCTATTGGCCTGGCAGGGCAAGCTTTTGCGGGGGACTGTTCGAGACACAGACACGCTGGTATGGCCATTACTGACACGTCCAGCACAGCAGCCAGCCAGGTAGCCCGTCTCCAGCTTGCTCGGTCCAAAAGAGCTCCGAAAGCTTTTGCGCCGATCGACGGCGGCCAGGGAATTTCAGCCACGCTGGAGAGAAACGCAATGAAAAAAGAGCTGAAAATGAAATCTGGCTCTGAATATTTCGGCAACGCCATCAGGAAGACAGAGGAGATGAGACATAAGGGCTTGAAACACACAGTTTGTCAGGTCACTAGAGAAGCAGGAAAATGTCTGTGAATATTTTTGGAGATCAAGTGACAGAGGAGAGAGCAGAGAACGCGAGACTCTCGTCTTTCGTGGGGGCCATTGCCGTTGGGGATTTGGTCAAATCGACGCTAGGACCAAAGGGTATGGACAAGTTGTTGACCTCGGCGTCGACAGGCGAGTCGATGGTGACGAACGATGGTGCCACCATATTGAAGTCGATCCCGTTTGACAACCCTGCTGCCAAGGTTTTGGTCAACATCGCCAAGGTCCAGGACGACGAGGTTGGAGACGGAACGACGTCTGTCACCGTGCTTTCGTCGGAATTGCTCAGAGAGGCGGAGAAACTGGTGGACCAAAAGATACACCCTCAGACCATCATCGAAGGGTACCGGATTGCATCCAAAACTGCGCTTGAGCAGTTGGAGGCGCTGGCTGTCGACAATTCTGCAAATGATGAGAAATTCAGGGAGGATCTGTTGAACATTGCCAAGACCACGCTCTCCTCGAAGGTGTTGTCGCAGGACAAGGAGTATTTCGCCAAGTTGGCGGTGGACGCGATTTTGAGGTTGAAGGGGTCCACCAACTTGGACCACATCCAGATTATAAAGAAGGTGGGTGGGAGGTTGTCCGACTCGTTTCTTGATGAAGGATTCATTCTAGATAAACGGTTCGGTGTTGGTCAACCGAAAAAGATCAAGAATGCCAAGATACTGATTGCTAACACCTCTATGGATACCGACAAGGTGAAGATTTTTGGCGCTAAGTTCAAGGTGGATTCCACAAGCAAATTGGCTGAACTGGAGAAGGCTGAAAGAGAGAAAATGAAGGAGAAGGTTGAAAAAATCAAGAAGTTCAGCATCAACTGTTTTGTGAACAGACAATTGATTTACGATTGGCCGGAACAATTGTTCACAGATGCTGGAATAAACTCAATCGAACATGCGGATTTCGATGGTGTCGAGAGATTAGCCTTGGTCACAGGTGGTGAAGTTGTCTCAACCTTCGATGATCCTTCCAACGTTAAACTTGGACATTGCGACACGATTGAAGAAATCATTATTGGGGAGGACGTAATGACAAAATTCTCTGGCGTTGCTAAGGGCCAAGCATGTACAATAATTCTCAGAGGTGCTACAGAACAATTGCTAGACGAATCTGAAAGATCTTTACATGACGCATTGTCGGTGTTGTCTCAGACGACTGTTGAGACAAGAACCGTACTAGGCGGCGGGTGTTCAGAAATGAACATGTCTAAAGCTGTTGATCAGGCGGCACAAAATGAATCAGGCAAGAAGTCCCTTGCAATTGAAGCCTTTGCTAGAGCATTAAGACAACTCCCAACAATTTTGGCGGATAACGCAGGTTACGACTCCAGTGAATTGATTACAAGATTAAGATCCTCGATATATAACGGACTGATAACCTCTGGTCTGGACTTGAACAAAGGTGATATAGATGATATGAGAGAACTTGGTATTGTTGAAAGTTACAAGTTGAAGTATGCCGTTGTCTCATCTGCTTCCGAGGCAGCAGAGGTACTTTTGAGAGTCGACAATATCATAAGAGCAAAGCCTAGAACTGCTGATAGAAACAGAGCTTAGGACAACTGAATACTATATAGTAAGATTTAATAAAGTTTAAATCTAATCTACATTTTCTAGTCTTTTCTCATCTTTTTTGGGGATTGATTTCTGGTCGTTTGTAGGAGAAGTAGAACTAACAAACAAATCTATAAATAGGAGATACCTTATAACCTATAAAAATAGCGAGCCGGCTATAAATCGTAAACTATTGCATACGTCACATAGTAAAAATATACAACAAGAATGAATCTGGAGAGGTTGGCCAGAAGAGACCCAGCGATGGGCTACCAAAAAAAAGGCCATGAAACCAAATTTGAGCCTGCAGGAGTAAAAATTAAGCAAGGAAGAGAACTATTTTTTTCTCACCTAATACTTCTAATTGCTCTTAGTCTTTGGATTGCTCTCAAAATCACTGCCTTGGTTTTGGGCTTCATCGTCGGTTTCATCTTCTAACTCAAAGTTGTCAGTATTACCAGATGATTTGAGCTTTTCTTTCTCCTGCTTCAGTTGCTCATCCAAATCATGTTGCCCATCATCAAATGGATCTTGAAGTTGATTAGAATCATCAAATGGGTTCTCCGTAGCACTCTGTGTAATATTGTGATTTTCTCTAGTTTCGAATGGATTTATATTACTTTCTAGACTTCTTAGGTCATCAAACTCAAAATCGTTGTCGTACTGCTCTAAGTCGACGGTATCAGCGGTAGGAATAGCATTTCCTGCAGAAGTTGGGACTTGTGTCGAGGCAGCTAAAAGATATGAAGTGTCCGTTGGCCTCCAAATTATAGCAATCCCTGTGAAAACAATAAAATAAATACATGCTGGCCAGAATGTTGTCAAAACGTCATCAAATTTCCAGAACCTTTCAATTGATTCTGTCAAGTTGTCGTTGAACACAATGATACTTGAAACAATAAATGCAAAGACAAGTAATAGCAATGAACCAAATATTAATTTGAACAACTTCTGGTACATCTTTAGCTTGACAATCTGTTTATTTTCTGCAAGGGTTTGTGTAGTTTTTCTCAATGATGATAGAATCCAAAAATATAAACCCATGAAAATACAAGCTAAGGGGATGGTTATTAAGAGGATAATCCAGGAGTCCGAGTCAAAAGTATCAGACGCTTTCGATGTATCAGTTGTAGATGCTGTCGGCTGAGATTGAGTTGTATAATATGATAGCCATGCGAATCCGACAGAAAAAAGGAAATGTATACTGCAGGCAATCTTACAGAAATTCATCAATCTTCTGGGTAATTTTGGATAAACAACACCATAGCCTAGTGAGATAATCAATAATATGAACAATGAGAACGAAATCTTAAAGGCATTCAAGATACTAATGAAAACGATGTAAAATTGAACTCCGCCTGGTAAAGGGTATTTCTTGTTATTGTTTTGCACATCGTACAAAGACCATGTCAAGATATCTTCGATAGTCAAGAAAACAAAGAAGCCCGCCAAGTATTTCTGTAATAATAAGAGTTCTGACCTATGCCTAAATACCGGAAATAGATATATGCACAAGCAAACTGCATAAACCACAGCTAATAAACCGTACAACGACAATAAAGGAATTTCTGAGGCAGGTAGATTACCAAATGCATTGTGAAAGTTCACCGTCATGTCAAAGTTATTCAAGCCACCGGAATATGGAGGGTTAAATGCTGCAATACAGTAATAACCCGTCTCGGAAACAAGATAACTAAAGTCGTTAGTACCCAAATCGGTCAACACTGCAGTCTTCACACTAGCGTAAGTTGTAATATTATCTTCCACAATGAACTGGTACAACTGGTCGGAAGTACAAAGACCCTCGTTAACAAGTTTTTCTTCACATATGTATCTTCTATGGCCCTCTGCGTCCGTAACACCTAACTGGTCGATATCTTTGTATTCAAAAATGATCAAGGAAATTGAAGCATTTCCGGTGGCAGGGTTTGTCGAATCAAACGAATTCAAGTCCACTTTAATGAAGGGCTCTGTTGGTCCTCCCCAATCAATTCTGCTGTACATTCCTGTACAGTATTCGGCAGCTTTGCCTGTTAGCTTTATCTTTTGGGCTGAAACCGTGCTTACTGCCAGAAACGAGTAAAGCAAGAAGTAAAGTCCGAATGCCAGTCTCATTTTGGTGCTTCTAATTCAACAATTGCACCAATGGTGTTTTAGTTCAACAAACTTTACAACTCAGGGGGACAATCACTCCAAAGAATGTCGCAAACGAGCATATACTATCAGGCTTAACTCTATAGGCGTAGGCTTCAACACACATTTGCCAAACTAATTAAGCGGAAGGAAAGGAAAAGGACCGTCCGCGCGATTGCATTTCTGACAGGCCCGTTGGATCGATCGTCCGAAGCGCTAATGACGCCCACTGTACTCTTCTCAGCGGCGGTGTTAGTGATGGAAGTCTTATTCGGCTCTACCACAGGTCTGCTGCCGTGACCGCCCCAAGTTAGATTATAGAAGGTGATATAGTACTAAGAGGGACAGGACAAGCTATGCTAAGATTTTTATCAAAAAAAGCAAGCCTGAGTTTTTCTCGAAGCTTTACCACAAAGGCAGACTCCAGAATACTTAAAAAGTACTCTGTCGGTTCCAACATACATGGATATACTGTCCAAAGGGCAGAGCACATACCAGAATTTAATCTGGTAGCTGTCGCATTAGAGCACGAAAAAACGGGATCAAAACATCTTCATATTGATCGTCCTGACGACAATAATGTTTTCGGTATCATTTTCAAGACAAACACCCCAAACGATACTGGTTTGCCTCACATCTTAGAACATACGACCCTATGTGGCTCGGAAAAATACCCAGTAAGAGATCCCTTTTTCAAGATGTTGAACAGGAGCTTGTCCAACTTCATGAATGCGATGACAGGCCATGATTATACTTTTTATCCTTTCGCCACTACCAATGTTAAAGATTTTAACAACTTGATGGATATTTATTTGGACGCCACCTTGCATCCGCTATTGACATCTGAAGACTTTTATCAGGAGGGTTGGAGATTGGAAAATGAAGTCACAAAAGACAAATTTTCTCCTCTTGTTTTCAAAGGTGTTGTTTACAATGAGATGAAAGGACAAGTCTCTGATTCATCTTACTACTTTTGGATAAAGTTTCAAGAATCGATTTATCCCTCTTTGCATAACTCAGGGGGTGATCCTTCTCAAATAACAAAACTTGACCATGGAGACTTAATCGATTTTCACTCAGCATGCTATCACCCCTCGAATTCGAGAACCTTCACATATGGTAATATTCCCTTGAATGATCATCTTAAAAAACTTGACGATGCCTTTGTTCCTTTCGGAAAGAGAGTATCGCACAATGTTTTAAGACAGCCAGTTGACTACACAGAAAATGTAGATCTTGTCGTGAAAGGTCCACTTGACCCGATGTTACCTCCAAATGCACAATACAAGACATCTTTAACATGGAAAGCTGGTTCCCCGACTGAAATTTACGAAACATTTCTATTGAAAATGGTATCTTCGCTACTCACAGATGGGCATTCTTCTCCATTATACCAAGGATTAATTGAAACAGGTTTGGGAACTGATTTTTCAGTGAACTCTGGCGCCGATTCTATCACTGCTTCCAACTTTTTTACGGTTGGGTTAAATGGTTTAATTAAAGAAAATTCAGACAAGCTCGAAGAAAAAGTCATTGCGATCTTGCAGAAGGTGAAGGAAGAGGGTTTCTCTGACATTAAAATCAAGGCCCTCATTCATCAACTTGAGTTAAGTAGAAAAGTCGAAAATGCCTCTTTTGGTTTGAATGTTTTGAGTTCTTTGGTTTCGAATTGGGTTAGCAATGTTGATCCAATCAATTCATTGAAATGGGATGATATTGTGCTGAAATTTAAGGACGATTACAGTAAAAGAGGCGACTTTATATTCAAGGACCTCATAGAAAAGCATTTTTTAACAAAGCCATACTTTAAGTACACCATGAAACCAGATGAAAACTTTTCTAAACTTGTTGCACAGGAAGAGAAGGAAAGGCTCAAATCCAAGGTGGAAAAGCTCACAGAAGAGGATAGAGAGGTGGTTTACAATAGAGGCATCAAGCTACTTGAGAAACAAGAAGAGAAAGAGGATTTGTCGTGTTTGCCAACTGTTAATGTGAGTGATATATCTAGGGAAGTACCATTTTTGAGAATAAACAACAAGTATGAGCAAGGTATCCCAATTCAGTCAAGGCTTTCGCCCAAAACCAATGGTTTGTCTTACTTTCGCGGTCTTAAGTGCATAAAAGCGTCGGAGTTGAATCAAGATTTAATCAGTTATCTACCCTTGTTTTCGAGTTGCCTAACTAACCTTGGTACAAACAGCAAAACAATGGCAGACCTTGAAGATGAAATAAAACTAACCACAGGAGGATTATCTTCAAGTTTTTTCACTCATGCATCCCCGTATGATACTAATGAGGTATACCTTAAGTTCAGTTTGAGTAGTGTATGTTTGGACTCAGAATTCGGTAAAATGCTGTCATTATGGCAACAGATTCTACTTGACACAAACTTCAAGAACATTTCCAAGTTGAGCACATTGATCAAATCTTCTACAGCAGACAGTTTGAGTGATATCGTAAGTGGTGGTCACAGCTATGCACGATCCGCCGCTTCCTCTAAGGTTTCACCTGTCGGTAATATACAAGAGTTACTGGGTGGAATTCACAGCATAAAATTCATGAATGAGCTTGCAGTTTTTGAGACTGAAGGCAGTTTGGCTGAAAATGTAGTCCCAAAGTTAGAAAAAATCAAAGAGATTTTGCTGAGCGGTTCAGGGTTGCAATATAGTGTGACAACCTCAAAAGATGTCATCAGGGCTCAGGAATCCCAAGTTTTAAAGTTCAACGATCAGCTGAATTTTATGGGTTCCTTTGAAAAAAAACCTTATGAGTTTGAGGTTCCATCAGGTGTAATTTTGAAAAACCAGTTCATAAAAATTCCTTCACACGTCAGTTTCTCGTCAACTGCGTTATGTGCTCCTTCATACAGCTCGAAAGAGTCTGCATCTCTCCAGATATTGTCCCAGCTATTGACATTTCGTTACTTACATGGTGAAATCCGTGAGAAAGGTGGTGCGTATGGTGCGGGGGCCAGTTTAGACTCGTTAAATGGCTTATTTTCTTTCTATTCGTACAGAGATCCTAAACCGTTAAATACAATGAATATTTTTGACCAAGCTGTTTCTGCTACATCCAGCAACATAAGAAAGAACCAGATAACTGAAGAAGATTTAGAACAAGCAAAACTCACCATCTTTCAACGTATTGAAGCACCAAAAAGTGTTAGAGATGATGGCATGAGCCTTTTCAATTACGACATTGATGATGATTTGAAACAGGAGCGTAGAATTGATCTTCTAGACTGTTCATTGGACGATGTATTGGAAGCTGGTGATAGATACTTTTCAGAGAGCTCCTCCAAAAGCCGTGTCGTTATAGGACACGACACTAGTGAGATAGAAAAGTCATCTGATTGGGTTGTTGAGGAGCTTAATTGAGGCGAAAGGTTTTTGGTAAATATTGATGTTTTTATAAAGTTTGTACATAAACATTAAAACTTTAAAGCTCGCTGTACTTTTTTACCTTTCTCGCCATAATAGCTTTAAATTTCACGTGACCAAGTCACGTGACTTTGTTTTAAAATGAGAATGATATTTTCAGAATGATTGTTTTGAACATCTAATATTGAAAAATTTCTGAGAAGTAAATATTTTAAAAATTACCAAGATAGTTCTTTTACTTTAAAATTACATCCGCCCAATAAGTAAATACTCCTCTATAGGGTATCGAAGTTCTAGCTTATAAACTGAGCTAATTCTTCCTACATCTTTGATGAAAGTTGTGCAGAACATGTACTACACCCTCAAATTACAACATCAAGACCTGTCGCAGCCCATCGAGGTACTTCTATGATGTTTTAACACCCGTTTGATGCGTTTTGTTTATTTCCTCAGCCTGTTCCCCGAAGTTGAGGAGAGAGCTATAGTAACATCGATTGTGTAGGTTATTGTACTCTGTTACCTGACTGTCATGGAATACCCGTGAGTCGGTAGGTACGGGTTTAGAGCAGAATCGTAAAGAATTTGAAATTTATTTACGATAACTACGAACTCACTTTTTCGATCCAAGAATACTGATTTAGAGATCAGTCTCTCATTTCATTACATCACATAACCAAGAAATGAGGCTATCGGATTTTGCAGTTGGCTGATTTTATATTCAAGCCCCAGTTGCCTCCTGTGGATTTACATCTGCAGCAATCACTGCAGCGAAATATGGCGCAGAGTTCATCGGTACGCTTTTTTTTTCGATTTCCCTGCGCGAATATTTTTATGCACTATGGCATTAACGGTAGAATACTGTATTCCTGCATGATGACGGTCTCAACTTCTTATAATAGACAAATCCTTGAAAGCGGGGGGCGGGAGAGAAAAAAAAACTAAGAAGGGGCGCAATTTGGAGTGTATACATCTAAACACAATATTTCGAAAACGGCACTAATTTGTTTTGTTTGGATCAAGCTAATGCTCTTCGGCTTGTAAATATTTACCCAAAAATAAGATGTTGTAACTACGGCAACGAAAGAAAACATTTGTCACAACAAGAACAACATAAGTCAGGGGAGTATAATAGAGTCAACGACAGTAAGAGTGAATGGGGCTTGCATTCGCCGGCTCTGTCACAACACTCATTGGATTCTGCTCACAAGGCTGAACCAGTGTCTGTTCTGTTACAAGAGAGGACGTACTGTTTTGAAAACACTTTTTGTATACAAGCACATTTTGCCATTTTGCCAAGACCTGAGGAAAGGTTAAGAGTTCCAAAGCCTGCCTATTTTAACTATTACTCTCTAGTCACTCTCTCTCTGTAAAAAGTTTCGTAGGATGGAGCATAGAAACGATATGTCGTACAGTCAATTGAAATCCGGAAACAAATTATTGTTTACCTTTTCAACATTGCGCCGCAAGGTGACCGGCCAAATTGGAATCTATTTTTTTCGACAATTTCAAATAAGATATAGAAGTTAGAGATGAAAAATGGAAATGGTACAATAGTTTGAATTACCGAGACTAGTTAGTAACGGACTTTTCCAATGAGCCAAGACAAGCTGAAAAAGTGAACTGCTAATTTTTTCGACAATATTGATAATAGTCAACAGCTCCAAGTTGGTTCGGCAAAAACTTTTGACGTAGTACTAGATTACGACAGTGTGTTTTCAGGTAATACATGTTTTGACCAAGGCAGCCCGCATACCATTAGTATCAAAAACCGGATTAGTCCTGTTTTTCGCTGTAAACTGAGGTAGGTTGATAACAGGCAGAAGGAGTAAGCCAATACTAGTCGGCTATTCAGAACTAAGGAGATGCCATTAATAAACTTGTCAGTAATATGCTAAAGGAACATATGTAAATCGCCTTCGCTTTATTAAGAAGACCACAAGGTATGCCACTCAAAAATGCAGATGAATTTCCGGTAAGAACAATTTTCTGCAGGATACGCGCACATACATACAAATACAAGGAGCGCAGGTGCTTAAGCTGCAGCATTGCTTTTTCTATATATATATGTACACCTTGCAGTTTATAAGTTTAACCCGCGTGCAGGGAAGTTTAATCTGCAATGCATATGTATGTTATATTAAAGGCTTTTGAATGGAAAACCGCCAAAAACGATTTGCTTCAGCAGGAATAACCAATGACAGTTTATTTTCCCCGTTAGAAAAGATGAGCATTTTTTTCGTTTCAGAATTGTAGAATAATGCCATTCAATATATTTATGCAGTAGCCCAGAACGAACTGATTCAAAATTATGTGACTGGATATTCCAGCCCCGGGCGCCGTAATTATTCGTTGAATGATTTACAGCTGATCTCTTCTTTTTTTCTACAAAATATCCGACACGGTGTTAGCCAAGAGTGGGATGAGCAAGCACCGTAGACCTTTTGAGACTAAAGATAAAACCCTTAGGTTCCCTGCACTTTTGTCCGTTCTTTTTGAAAGGCTTGTAAGCTATTCTGTCAAATTCTTTTGACAAGTAAGTCTCATAGAGTAAGCGATTGTCTAGTATATCATTACATCATGAGACTTAGTAATATCGGTCTGCTGGTTACTACGCTGATTTCTAACATTGGAATCTCGAATGCAGACACCGATAACGAATTAGAAAAACGTAATAGTTGTTCTACACAGGTTTCATCATGTTCTCTTACACCATATAATCATGGTTACCCCGCAGCTTCCGTTTCTTGGGGAAACACTGTCACTGATCTAGGAAATGGTATTTATGAGGGTACAATGAACTTTCAAGGTAAAGACTGTTCTCAGTTTGATAACACCAATGAAATCAAGATTGATGGTGGTGCTGCGACAGTGGTTGTCTACTCTTACAACAACCCTTCCAATGGAGGTAAATCAATCAATGGTTGTTCTTGGAGTGCAAAATTCACATTCACTTCGAGACAGGATGCTTCTGGCCAACAATGTATGAAGGACGGCATGCAGATTCAGTTATGACTTTTGCTGATGGTAAGAA